CGACGAGGAAGGCTGCGTCGAGGGAGGCTGCGATGAAGGGAAAGGCTGCGATGGGGGGAAAGGCTGCGACGAGGAAGGCTGCGTCGACAAGTCGAGCAACGCGGGGTCAATGGGCCACTGGGCGGTCGACACAGAAGAGGGAGCGAGAGTTGCAGGAGGCTGAGACGGAGGGAGGGCAGGCCCTTGGTTCACCAAAGCTGAGTACCTTGCTTTTGTGGCCGCCTGCTGACGCTGACGCTTCCCTGCCTGCTCAGGGCGGTGACCCTTGGCAGTCCTGCAGCCGCCATGGTCATTGCAATGAGTCTTGCACATGCCGCGCTCGCAGCGATAATTCTTGAGCGGGCGCAACTTGGGGCACGGTGCGAACGCGCATTTAGTGTCGTCAGCAGCACATTTAGTGTCGTCAGCAGGGTGTGCGTGAGGGTGCGCGAGAGGAGGGAGCTGAGGGGCGGATGGAAGCGACAAGGTGGGTGGCGGAAGTGAATGAGGATTAGAAAACGATGGGGTGGATGAGCTAGAGTGGGCATTGGGCTGTCCAGCAGCTGTAGGTGGCCCCAACATAGACGCAGAGGAGGAGGTGCCGAGTGATGAGGAGCTAACGCTAGAAGACATCTCCGGGAGCATAGAATGATAATATGCAACGAGCTCAGGGTCAGGCTCGTCGCGATCACACCAGTGCCAGTACGTCGGATGTCCCGGTGCATGACACTGAGGGTATTGAATGTTAGATATGAGCATCCCCTGAGTGGAAAGAGAACGTACCGTTAAGAAATAGCGATGAAGGTGATGAGCCTCTCCGTTCTCGCAGTACTTGACCCTGATACAGCGGAAACAACGCGGGCAGTGGGGCCGGCTATTGACCATGACAGGAGGAGGAGGGCCTGCCAGTCCAGGGGCTGAGTAGGAGGGTTGAGAACTCGTACTCATTGCTTGGGCTTGTATCACTGCGTTGGGGAGGATTGGGGAGGAGAGATGATGATGGGGAATAGAATGACGAGACGCTTAGGTTGTCTGAACAGTTTTGAACGATGTATTGGCATGCAAAGTGCCATACAAAGATGAACTATACAGCTGGGCGGTGGCTAGCGCGACGCGTCACTATCACGTGACTTGATTTCTATCTCGGCTAAACATTCGGCTGCGGACCGGCGGCGTACCTGGCGGCAGAGCGGCGGCGCGCGCCGCCAAGTCCATTTCCCTGACGTCCTCGATGGGGGAAGAAAACAAACTGCCACCGTTCACTCAGATTAACATCATTGTGCGATTTTAAAGCGAGGATATTTGGATTAGAAATGGACGCTAAACCATGGATTAAAAAAGGTTGTGATTTTTCAGGGGAGACCTATCGTATCATGCACACCGCGCCGGAAGATTAAGTAAGACTGTAGATTATGAGTAGTAGTGACTGCGACAAAAGACCTTTGCTCTGCCATAGACATAGAATCAAACAATGCAATGGTACAAAAGGGAAAAGGAAATCCACAAAAAGCGTCTAGGGAAGCTGCCAGCAACTACCCTGAGACCCAATAGCGGATACCATCCCGATGAACCAGTCTACATCGTCGAACGCCGGCGTCTGGGAATAGGCGAGCCGACCGAGCATGTTAGTTGACGAGGGGGCGGCGAGGAGGGAGCGACAAGACGATAGCGAGTTGAGTAGCCCCGGCTCGTTCGTGTTGACGATCAGACACTCGTCATCCTCTGGGAAACCCACCGAAGACGTTGATGGCGAAGTAGGCGGAGAGGAAGATCGTGACGAAGTCGGCGGAGTGAACGGCAATGTAGGAGAAGGCATCAGAGATGAGCTGGATGATGTCGCGTCCTCCGAATGCTCCGTGTCATCGTCGTCCGAAGAGGCGGACAGTGAAGCTATGTCACCAGTGACATAGACTGAGCCCTCGCGTAGATCTTCCTCTGCCTTCGCCTCTCCGGAGCACGCATCAACGTCGACGCCAAACGAGAAATCGGCTAGATTACGGAGCATGACATCCCAGGGTAATGGGTCGTCGTCCCAAAGATTCAGCAGCCGCCCATCGTCGATGAGCCGATTGACGTCGGAGAACATTGAGATATTGCTGAGAGCTGAGAGAGAAGAACGAGTCGGCGTATGTCATAAAGTTGGTTCAATTGTCACTCACTCAAGCGCTTGGACCCAACGAATCCGGAGGGAGTGGACGCGAACATCGGGGAATAGAAAGAGTTGCGAGTTGAAATCAGCCTGCTGATATTGTCCACTCCGCGCACAATCCCACCCTCGGGCTGGGTTAGGATGACGTGCGGAAAAGGATGAAGACCTGCACGATAAATGCAATACATCAATGGCTGCGTCAGGAATAAGATGAAACGGGAACGTACTCTTTGTGTCCGCGATGTACCGCTCCGCACCCTCGGGCTCCTGTTCGCCAAGCCTCTTGAGAATGACGCGCTTGAGGAAGTTGATCTTCTCGTCATTCGCAGCGGCTTCCTGGCCCACGGAGAAGATCATCTCCGTGAGCTGCACGGCAATGAAGAGTTGGTCGCCTAGGTCGCCCTCGAGCTCCTGATTGGTGTACTCGAGCGTCCGAATCTTCGATTCCAGAGATGCGACGAGCTGGTCCAAGTGGTGGATGTAGTCGATGAGGGAAGCAATGTCGATCTCGGCGGGGTCATGGGAAGGATATAAGAAGTAATGGAGCGCGGAGGCTGAAGATGAGAATGAAACCTTTGGAGAGAAACCGGAGTGCATGGGTATAGTGCAAGAGGGTGATGGAGTGAATAAGGGGAGTGCGGGGGTGGAAGGAGAGGTAGATATTAAAGTAGAGGACATTATCGGAGGTGGTGTAGAATGCATGGGAAGGATGGGAAGAGAAGCGGACGAGATCATCGAAGAAGGAACACGGGGAGAGTTGATGACAGAATCGAAAGAGGATAGGGCGACGGGGGCAAGTGGCGAGGCAGTGTGGTGATCGCGAACGCTGAAGACCTTCGATGTTCCGGTCCTCAGCTCCGCTATCGTGCGCTCGAGAGCCTCCATCCGTGCGCAGACCTGCTCGTTGATGTGAAGCAACGACTGTAACGCCTGTCCGGACAACTCGGCGCGGTCGGTCTGAGCCTCGACTTTAAGGTTGGCTTCGGCGAGAGCGTTCTGAAGGGTATGGATGTCGGTGGAGGGAGAGATAGAGAGTGACGGGGGAGGGGGAAGGACAGCCATGCTCTGCTCGGAGTAGCTCCATGCGGTGGAAAGAGCCAGTAGCTTCTGTTCCACCCGACGAGCGTGGTCCCTCTGCTTGTCAGCCTCGGCCTTCTCGCTCCTCCTCCTCTCGTTGGCGTCGTACACCTGCTCCCGCAACGCCTCCACTTCTTCGTCCCGAATCCTGATGCGCTCTCGGCATCTGTCGGCTTGGAGTTTCAACGCCGGGCGTAACGCCGCGAGTTCGATTTCCAATGCAGTGTTGCACGCCTTGATTGCGCCGAGCTCGGTCGCGATGATGCGTTCGTCGAGCTCCGCGAGCTTGAGCCGCGCCTTGAGGTTGTCGATTTCGGAAGTCATGGATGTCCTAGCGTTGACGTTAGTGGATGCGCTATTGATTTATGAAGGCGAATTCAAAGACACTCACTCAGTAGGACTGGGACTTCCTTCTCCAATGTTTGCTCCTTCAGGAGGAAACCTGCATCGAAGGTGAGCTCGGAGTACATGGCAGGACCCGCGGAGGAAACAGTACTCACTTGGAAGACTTTCCGTAAAGCACCATTGCTCCAACGCCAATCGCAGTCACGAGCGGATGGACGATGACCAACGCGAGCCCGAGGGCAGCAGAGACAGCAGCGAGTAGGTTGTTGAACTTGGGAGACATTGTTGGATGTTGAGGCAGTGATGAGATTTGCTGCGAGTGTGCTGAGTGCGATGTTGGAGCGAAGAGCAGGTGGTGAACTGAAGAAACCTAACGACAGGCCCTCTTGATATACGTCTGGTGGTCGCATGTCAGACTGACCGGCGAGACTGAGATCTACAAATAGCCAGTTGATCTTGAAAGGCGCGCGGTCTGATATGTCATGAAACAGAGAGAATCTAGCCTTCTGGTCAGTAACGGAATCATGAGCGAGATTGAAATCATGTACGTACCCCACAGCCCAGAACCCCCCACTATCCAAGCCTCTGAACGAGAACCACGCGTGATTGTCGATTAGCCTTGACGCGGATGATGCAGTAGTAGATAGATAACGCAGTCAAGCTAGTGTGTTTCGAATTCATGTATACATCGTGATAGAACATAGTTGCGTAGAGAATGAGAAACGCCAAGTAAGAGGATGAGAGTCAGCCGCAAGTCACGGTTTGTTTGTATACGTTTGTGCAGTTCGGGGTCCTCGGCACCCGCTTTTTGCCCCCGCTCAACAAGTTGCTGTCCGACACCTGAACTCACTTCCTGCGTGCACCGTGACTAACCAGGCTGTTGTACTTCTTTTCACTAATGACCGCTAGTAACAGGGGAAAGGATTTTCCCTAATTCTCCCGTATGGCGAGTAGCGGCAGAGGGGAAGTGGACAAAGTCGCATCGCAGATCTCAACTTCAGCTGAATCCTGCCCATACGCGTGTAGACGGTTCCTCTACCGTTCCTATGTGGTCTTTGAGCAGGCGTTCTGACAGATTTTATCCTCCAAAAGTCCGGCAACAGACATTAGCACCACGACCTGGAGCTACTGGAGCTGATGTCTACTCATACGGTTCAAATCATGAACCGTTTTATGACGTGTTTAGTCTATTAGCGCTGCCATCTTTCCGCCATTGTATTGGTATGCCTCCATAGCCTTGTGCGCATTCGCATTCTCATCCCTCGCAGACTTGGCCAGCGCCTCGAACTTGCACTCAATAATCTTTCTAAGGATGTCACCCAGGATATTGCCGACTGGGAAGTCCTCCTCGCCGAGTATAAAGTCGCTGACGAAGCTGAATTTTACACTGTTTGGCATCGGCTTCCCCTCTTGACCATCTTCAACTAACTGACGACCGTGCTGTCTTTGACTAGCTCCAGTACCTTGTCCCGCTTTCTCCTGGTCACCCTCCGCTGCATCTGGACTCTCTTGCGGCACTTCTCGCATCCCCATCTTCCTTCTAGATAGCGAGCTGTAGCACTGTCTTCCCATGCGCGCGCGTCGCACCACGGATCGGCGGGCGCTATCCATTGGCAGCGTTTCAGATTCTGCACTACATACTACCACGCAGTCGTGTACGTCTCCGGGACGACAGCTACGTTGTCTTAGCCGAGCCAACGCACTCAATGCCCATCATGGGCATGCCCTTGGCCCAGTCGCCCCTGTGTATGTGCAAGTCGGCGTTGTTGACGCCGAAGGCCCGGCTGCAGATGAGGACGCGGCCAGCCTCGAGGCGGACATGTGGCGGACCTGGCGACAAAGGGATGGCCGGGAGAGCCGTACCTCTTGATGACGATGACGGTGCGCATAGTGAACTGGATGGTATAAGACATCTCGTGAACTGTTAAAGTTATTGTAGTTATACGAGGAAAAGCTCATGAGTGGTTGATTGAAAAGCTGTGTTTATTACCTACTGTCAGTCGATGTCTATCTTTCTACATGTCTTTTTGTTGCAGTGAACACACGATGACCGTGCCAACTCGACCAAGGTGAGGAGACAGGGGCTTAATTCGAGTATGGCTTTGTCACCTTGGGCGCTATAGCGCTAAGCGCCAAGTGCCAATGATTAATTCAGACCTCCGAGATGGTTCAGCAAGTGCTTCGCCTCCCCGTCCCTTCTCCCTGAACCTTACAGCGCAATGTAAACTCTCGCTGGCACAATCAGCACTATCCCATTCGAAAGGCCAGTACTAGCTCCCAGCGAGTCAGACTCGGAGCAAATGTAGTGCATTTACAGGGGCGAGAATTAGTTTGCATAGCCTCCTAACGAGGGATTACAGCTAGTGTCAGCGCTCTAGCATGCGTCAACATGTCACCTTGACGGGTCTTCCTATATGTCTAATTATCCACCACCTACTTCAACTCTCTTTCAATGATAACTAAATCGCGCTCCAGCTGCTGAATTTCCTGATGTTGACTTTACCTTGGATTCCTTATACCCGTCGAAGTGAAATTTGTCGCGAGGTTTATTAACGGTTGCATTGGGTACAAGCGGCTCCAACTGGTTCCAACGTTATTGCAATCAGCTGCAATCACATCGAAACGTAATTGCGGCTAATACGAGCTTTGCGACATTTGGTGCTAGCTAAAGGATCAACACGCATAAGTCGAAGACCTTGGTGAGGTCGTTGTGTAGTTTGGGCTGAAGTTAGTTCAGTTCATAGAAGTAAGCGAGCAAGCAAATATCGCGGGGCCACTCGAAACCAGGTCTGGGTGTCAAAGGTGTCTCTTGGTCATCGAGCGTGGATTCGGCTATGTAGTAAGGCGGAAGCACAAGCTTTAATTGCAGGATACTGTACCCTTTCTATTGCCCTTATGAGGAATGGGTGAAAGTCAAATGCGTTTGAAATCAGATTTTATTTTGTTAAAATTAAGAGATACTAAATTATATGCAACAATCAGTGGGACAAAAGTATCTTCGCTCTGCCGTAGACATAGAATCAAACAATGCAATGGAACAAATTGGGAAAGGAAATACACAAAAAGAAGTCAGGGCAGCTGCCAGCAACTACCCTGAGACCAGATTGCGAACACCATCCCGGTGAACCAGTCTACATCGTCGAACGCTGGCGTCTGGAAATCGGCGAGCCGGTCGAGTATGATGGTCGACGAGGAGACGGCGAGGAGGGAGCGACAAGACGATAGCGAGTTGGGTATCGATGGCCCGTGAGCGCACACACCAGGGCCCTTGTCCTCCGGGTAAGCCACCGAAGATGCTGATAGAGAGGTTGACGGAGAGGAAGATCGTGATGAAGTCAGAGCAGTGGGGAACGACATCAGAGATGAGCTGGATGATGTCGTGTCCTCTGAATCATCTTCGTTTGAAGAGAGGGATATGGACGATATGTCACCAGTGACATAGACTGAGTCCTCAGATAGATCTTCCTCTGTCTTCGCCTCTCCGGCGCATGCGTCAACGTCGACACCAAATGAAAAATTGGCCAGGCCACAGAATACGTCGCGGGGTGATGGGTCGTTGTCCCAAAGATTTAGCAGCGGCCCATCGTCGATGGGCCGATCGACGTCGGAGAATATTGAGGCATTGTCGACAGCTGAGAGAGAAAGCCGAGTCAGCCTATGCCCCAGAAGTGTTTCTTTACAGCGTCACTCACCCAAGTGCTTGGACCCAACAAATGCAGAAGTAGTGGACGCGGACATCGGGAAATAGAAAGAGTTGCGTGTTGAAATCAGCCGGCTGATATTGTCCACTCCGCGTACAATCCCACCCTCGGGCTGGGTGAGGACGACGTGCGGAGATGCATGAAGACCTGCATTACAAACAGTTCATCAATGACTGCGTCAGGATGATGAAATGGGAACGTACTCTTCTTGTCCGCGATATACCGCTCCACACCTCCTCGCTCCTCCTCGCCAAGCCTCTTGAGAACAACGCGCTTGAAGAAGTTGATCTCCCCGTCATTGGCAGCGGCTTCCTGGCCCATGGAGAAGATCATCCCCGTGAGCTGCATGGCGATGAAGAGTTGGTCGCCTAGGTTGCCCTCGAGCTCTTTATTGGTGTACTCGAGCGTCTGAATCTTCGACTCGAGCGACGAGACGAGCTGGTCCAAGTGGTGGAGGTGGTCGATGAGTGAAGCAGTGTCGATCTCGGCGGGGTCATGGGAGCAATATAAGAGGGAATGAGGCGCGGAGGCTGAAGATGAGAAGGAAACCTTTGGAGAGAAACCGGAGTGCATGGGTATAGTGCACGAAGGTGATGGAGAGGATAAGGGGAGTGCGGGGGTGGAAGGAGAGGGAGGTATCATAATAGAGGATAGCGGTGGAGCTGATGTAGAATGCATGGGAAGGATGGGAAGAGAAGCAGACGAGGACATTAAAGAAGGAATACGGAGAGAGCTAAGATCGGGATCGGATGAAGATTGGGCGATCTGAGCAACGGGTATTGACGTAGAGGGTGATATTGAGGACGATGTATAATCCATGGAAACGATGGGGAGAGACGAGGACGAGATCAATGAAGAATGAATGCAGGGAGAGTTGACGACGGAATTGAATGAGGATAGGGCGACGGGGGCGAGGGGCGAGGCAGCGTGATGATCGCGAACGCTGAAGGCCTTCGATCTTCCAGTCCTCAGCTCTGCTATCATGCGTTCGAGTGCCTCCATCCGTGCGCAGACCTGCTCATTGACACCAAGTAGCGCCTGTAGCGCCTGTCCGGATAGCTCAGCACGGTCGGTCTGAGCCTCGACTTTGAGGTTGGCCTCGGTGAGAGCGGTTTGAAGAGCTTGGATGTCGGTGGAGGGAGAGAGGGAGAGTGACAGAGGAGGCGGAAGGACGGCCATGCTCTGCTCGGAGTAGCTCCATGCGATGGAAAGAGCCAGCAGCTTGTGTTCCACCCGACGGGTGTAGTCCCTCTGCTGGTCGACCGCGTCCTCCGCCTGCATCCTGAGAGCCTCCTGGCCCCTCCTCCTCTCGTTGGCGTCGTACACTTGCTCTCGTAACGCCTCCACTTCTTCGTCCCGAATCCTGACGCGCTCTCGGTACCTGTCGGCCTGGATCTTCAACGCCGGGCGCAACGCCGCGAGTTCGGTTTCCAAGACAGTGTTGAGTGCCTTGGTTGCACCGAGCTCGGTCGCAATGATGCGCTCGTCGAGCTCGGCGAGCTTGAGCCGCGCCTTGAGGTTGTCGATTTCGGAAGTCGTGGACGTCCTAGCGTTGACGTTAGTGGATGCGCTATTGATTTATGAAGGCGAAGTCAGAGGTACTCACTCAGTAGAACTGGGACTTTCTTCTCCAAGGTGTGCTCCTTCGGGAGGAGCCCTGTATCGAAGGTGAGCCCAGAGTACATGACAGGACCCGCGGGGAAGACAGTACTCACTTGGAAGTCTTTCTGTAGAGCACCATTGCTCCGACGCCAATTTCAGTGACGAGCGGATGGACGATGACCAACGCGAGCCCGAGGGCAGCAGAGACAGCAGCAAGTAGGTTGTTAAACTTGGGAGACATTGTTGGATGTTGAGGCGGTGATGAGATTTGCTGTGGGTGTGCTGAGGGCGATGTTGGAGCGAAGAGCAGGTGGTGAACTGAAGAAACCTGACGAGCAGGCCCTGTTGATATACGTCTGGTGGTCGCATGTCAGACTGACCGCCGAGACTAAGATCTACAAATAGCCAGTCGGTCTCGAAAGGCGTGCGGTCTGGTATGTTATGACACAAAGTCTAACATTTCAGTCAGTACCGAGATCGCAAGCGACATCAAGCCCATACGCGTACCAGTATCCGTTGACATCAAAATCTCTGATGTCACCCAAGCGTGTATGCAGGAGAGCGGGCGCGGGAGTTGCAGCGTCGTTGGAGATCATCCTACATCGACGTGTCTAGGTGTTTGGGTGTTGACTGGGGGCACGGGTTTGCGGGAGCTCGGTGATGCAGCTTGGCTCAGACATTTGGACTTCATGGGCATTTGAACATGTACCCAGAGGATGAGAAGAACACCCAGTGTGCGAAGGTGTATGCTGGTGTACGATGTGAGTCAACTACCGCCGGATCGAAAGGCGTGAGGCAAGGCCAGGTTTGTTTGCCTTTGTTTAGGTGGCCGAGCGCCTAGCACAACCTTCATGACAGTCGTCGATGGCGCGTGGTGCACAAATCGCCAACATCCAGTGTCCACCACGCATCCTTTCGCTTCTTCAATGGCAGACGATTAATCTTCACTCTCATTGGCTGACAAGAAGTCCGACACGCCCTCACTGCCGCGGCCATAGCTGCCGATGGCTGAAAGATTGAAACATTTCCACGTTGCCTTGCACTTTCGCGAGGTGTTTAGAAGCATACCCGAACGATATATATACTAGTCGATAATTTATAGGCGCTTATATTTATATACATATTCCAAGACGAATGAAGAAGAAACCGAAGGGAGCGCCGGGACAAGCCAACGTACTGGTCCGATGTGCGGAAAACTATACCCTGCTCGAGCGTTTATCCAGCTTCATCTCGGCAAGACCGCTTGCTTCGTCATCGAAATAGGAAAGACCCTCCTCCATCTCCTCGATAAACTTGCCTTCTCTACGATCGCTGTGCCGATGATCAAGGGCTGGGGCTCGCTCAAACAGTCTCCCGTTCCGGCGCCCGTCTCTCCGGTGCGGCGACGACGACGGTGTAGCGAGTTCAAAAAGTACGCCATCGCCACTAGACGATGAGGCCAAATGTGCCCCGCCACTAGGATGGAGATAAGAACACGTCCTAGTGGGTGTGCTGTTATCGGTGTGGTACGCAGTGGATGGGGTTGCGAGAGAGGCCTTGAGCTTCAGGAGCGTGCGTCTGAACGGAGGGCTGTTCTTCGTGACATCATCGACGGCTTCTTCGGAGGTCAGAAGAGACGCATGAAGCGAGATATTGCCACAGAAGACATCACTAAGACTATCAGATAAGACTGTTGCCGTATCGAGCTGATCATCGGGGGCGACAGAGGGTAGGAAAGAGACGCCTTCTTCCTCCCTGGAAGGTAAGGCCAGGTAGCTTGACGCATTGCCGGGAGACGAAGACCTGATATACCCCTGGCCAGCCTTTCTATCTGTTCGAATAATATGAACATGAGCTCGAGAACGACCAGATATCCCGGCGGAAGAAGCTCACCCTTGATACTGCGAAGCCGTTGCATTGGCTTCGGCGTGATTCTAGTACCAATACTTCCTAAGACCCTAGTGATGCGTCGCTTATCGGACCGCAGTGCGCGCGTCGCCCGTGCTAAAACTGCCTTCTCCTCGCGCACAAGAGCAATCTCATCTCTCAGAGTCTTCTCGAGCGCCAGCTTCGTTCCATAGAGGTCAGCTAGTTCTCTTTCAAGTGCCTGCTCCCTTTGCGACGGAGGCGGAGGTGGAGGGAGAGAGTCGCGTACAGGGCGAGGACGACTCAGACGAGAAGACGCGGACACGCGTGAAGAAGATCTCTGGCTAGACATGGAGGCCCTAGGGAACTCGGAGATGGGCTGTGATAACGTATTAGGACGAGCTTCCGTGACGGAGGCGGAGCGAGAGGATGCGCCCATTGACTTGGATCTGGAAGCAACGTTGGGATCAGGGTCCTGAGCTGGGAGGCGTAGTATTCTGGTCGATAATGACCGCGAGTTAGTGGCCTTGAGAGTCAATGCCTCCACGTATGCTTTGAACTCGCTAGCCTTGCGCTTAACGTTGGCTAGATCAGACTCGAGAACCTTGTTTGCGGTAGACAGCGCTTCTATCTCTTCCCTCGCGCTGAGAAGCTCGAGTTCGGCCCGTTCGACACGGTGGATGTAAACAGCTTCCTGGTTCTTGAAGTTCCTGCAAGCGGTGTCGGCATCTATGACGTCGAGCTGCGCCGCGGCCAGGATGCATTCAATCTGCATGGACAACTGCAAGCCGACCCTCGCCCGGGCCTCAAGAGCTTGATGAGCGTCTCGTGCTTCCGTGACGGCACGATCCGCAGCCTTCTCGCTCGACCGACGTAGGTTGCGCTCTCGATGAAACCTAGACCGCAGCCTTGATATCTCCGCGTCCTGTAGTGCCGCTGCTGCTTTGTTCTCCTCGATGCTGGAGTGATATACCTCATCCCGAGCAGCGCTCTCGTGTTGGAGTCGACAGACGTGCTGCCTGGTGCCGCGTAGCTCGGTGGCAAGAATGCTGATCTCGGCTCCCGAGGCGATGAGACGCGCTTGAAGACGAGTAACTTCGGAGTCGGGCGGGCTAGTCTTATGTATCAGCACTAATCTTGAGCCATGGTTACCTAGTATGCTCACTTTATAGAACCACGCTCTCCAGAAACTATCGGAGATGAGGTATCTGATTGCAGTGTTAGTGAGCGCTAAGGCTGAAGTAACGATGACGCGAAAGCGTACCAGAAATCATGATGATTGCGGAAGTGAGTCACAAGAGAGAGTGGAGATACTCAAGCGGGCGACAGAAGGAAACGTGTTGACGAAAGCCGTTTGTAGTCCAAGCTGAGCGGCTGGCAGTCGTGGGCCAAACGAGAATCGACCATCCGCGCAGTCCATCGTCCAATTGACGGACACCCAGGCAGCGCAAGCATCACCGCTAACGTCCACACGTATTTCTATAGACATGTTCTGAGTATGCTGAGATCGTGGCGACGAGACTTGTGTCGAAAGGCGGACGTGTTCTGACATGACGCTGAAAATACTTGGAGGGAATGCGCAACATGGCAGTACGCGTCGCGTTGGTTGAGCGCTCGCCCGTGAGAAACATTCGGATGTTCCCGAGATAGGTGGCTCAACCCATTAGTTTGCTTTTGTTTAGTCGCACTAGCAGTGATTGGGGGCTAGGTAGAAGGATTGTGATGGACTTTGACGTATGTCGAACATTATGTCAGAAAAAACGTTAGGAAGAACATTGGAAGCGAATAGATCCAGATTACAGGGCGTTTATCTAGAGCGTGGAGGCCTAGTGCCTCTGATTTATGATGTCCAACACATAGCCATTAAGCGCAACGTGTCCTAACTTGGTGTGATGCAGCATCAATTGGTTTAATTCGAAGGTAACAGCCTGAGGATGAGATATATGTAGAATAATGTAAGAATACAAGGTAGACAGTGATTTTGATTGTCGTTGAATTCCTGTGAGATGGTTCACAAGTGCCAGTTCACCAACGAACGAGGTTTGCATGTACATACTTTGCACATATGGCTTGCATATGGCCTGTTCAGGATACATCCGTAGTATTTACAGTATTAGCCAAAGCTGCGAGCTCGAGTAGAGATATCCAGCATGCGGAGTGTGTACGATATTCCAAATAAAGTTATAAAAATCCAGATAGGTTATCCAATAATACCCGATTGATCCAGGCCTCGATCAGCGTCCGGCGCACCCGTGTTTTATGAAGTCGCTCGAGAAGGCCGCGACTCTACGGCAATCGCAGGCTGTGGGTGGTGGACACGCGCGGCTGCCTAGCCCGATACGCCGAGCTGCCCAGCCGTCTGGATCCTACGCGGAAGATGACCGACTGGTCGTCGGTCTGCTGCCCGTCAGGAAGAGTCAGGCGGAGAGAAGGGATAGTGTCAATTCCCGGAGACGCAAGCGCAGAAGAGCGATCCTCAGGATCTGGTAAATAAGCGAAATGAAAATAAGTATATACAGCCTAGTCGCTGAGAAGAATAATAGCCACTCGACACTCACGCTTTTCCGGCGCTACACCGTCCAGCGGTTCAACCATGTCGCCGAGACTCACGATTTTCTCCGAAAAGGCAGAGCCGTCGTCGTCCACGCGACTGCTCGCCTTAACATCCGTATTCAAGAATTGCTGTGTAGGCTGAGCTTGCGCCTGCGTCCACGCGGCAGCCTTGCGTTCCTGGCCCTTCCGATGCGCACCCTTCATCGGCAGACTCATGATACGTTCGTGGATGGGCGAGGCGGCGTCAGATCCCAAGCCCAAGACTAAGCCCTTGGCCTTGTTGGCCTGAGGGAACGCCACCCGCCACTCCGCGCTGACCGGGCTGCCGCGCCTCCCCTCCGCACGCCGGGCACGGGCGGGACTGCGTCTGCTGCCAGGGCGACTGTGGCACTCTGGCTGTGTGCATGCGGTCGTGTCGACGGTGAGGCCGAGCTTGACGGTGGCACGGTCCGAGTCCGGCTGGACGACGACGGGTGGTTGGTCAGCGAGGAAGCCTTGCCATTTTTTGGAGAAGAAGAAGGAGAAGATGTCGAGGCCAAAAGAGAGGGACGTCTGAGCGACGATGAGGAGCATGTAGAACACGGCGGTGAGAAGGCTGATAATGTCGCCGAGAGTCATGCTGGGTGTCGACTAGGGAGATGCCTGATGAGCCTGAGCAGGGTAGACGTTGAGTGGTAATTGAGAAGGTTCAAGGGATTGTCCAGAAGACGGTGGCCGCAGGTTTATAATACTTCGGAGAAGCCCACTCGCCACGCGTGCAATCCAGAAGCTGGCGCACAGCAAGCCCTGCTGCAACTCGGCGAGGCGAGCTCATTAATCGAGATCCCGAGGAAGTTTCCCCTCATTTCGGCAAGTTTCGGTTTCATACAAAGTTTGCGATGTGATCGTAGAGTCCAACAAGGAAGTATGGCCGCCTCGAGGTGAATATACGAGGGAGAATGCAAACAGACGACGCGTCCAACGCCGGTGTCGCGTTCGCGTGTCGTACATGCATGTTAGAATAATTAAACTCCCACGATCATATCACGTTTCGCGTCTAGCGGCCCCTGTACCCTGGGCACCGATGCGCAGGACACCGTCACGTTCTATAGTGTGCATGGTGGACGCGCGAGAACAGTCACCTGAGTTAGACAGATAGACGCCGGAGAATAATACCATTTTTTACTTCAAAGAAAACTGCGGTAACAGCAAGTTATCCTAGACTTATAGCAAACGGAAAATGACCGAGAAATGAAATGAAATACAGGCGTGAAGCAGCTAACGAAGACGTCGTGCACCATGCGCAGGCCGAACGCGAGCAGACCGAGGCTGAGCGTTTGCTGTGCGCAAACTTGGTTCATCCGTGGGTTTGGGAAGACGAGGCAATGTAAATGAAGCGAAGTTGCTGCCTTCCACGCTCGTTGCAGGAGAGCTTGGCGAGGAGAGATTGGGGCTCAACATAGGACTGAGAGATCCGCTCGAGTCACTGTCATTCCCGGAGGCGAATCTCGGTATTCTTGAAAGTCCAGACCCTCTCAAACCGTGTATTGACGAAGGGAGAAGCGAGGGAGGGTGTGCGTGAGATGGAGGCGATGGCGACTTGTCCCAGGGGTTAGGGAGAGGCCCCTCGGAAGGAGGCTTGGGGTGTGTGGACTCGGTGCTCGCCGACGACGGCGTTTTAGCTTTGCCCCCTAGCAACACTACAGACCCACCACGTCAGAAAACTAAATGCAGCAAGGAGATGAACAACCTACAGGAAGGTTTCGGTCGCTCCAACAGAGCGAGGCCACTCTCCTTGCCTATCGGCTGAAGCACTGGCAGCACACGGTCAGATTGAACGCCGCAGGACACCCTCACCGCCGGAGGGGGCTTGGGCTCAAGCACCCCAAGATCTGTCTGAACGCCGCAAGACTCCCTCAACGCAGGAGGAGGGTGTCTGCAAACGCACACACGCGTAGCACGCCGCTCAGCCTCAAGCTCCGTCTTCGCTCTCGCCACCTCCCCACTCAGCTCGTCCACCCGCCGGCCGGACTGCTCGGCGACGTCCTGCAGCGCGGCGAACGCCTGCTCGGCTCCCTCTGAGCGCTCCGCGAGCGCTTCGGCGCCTGCGCGCGATTCGTCCAGCGCTACTTGTAAAGCCCCAGCGCGGGAGGTGGACGCGCCGAGGTCGGCGTGGAGATGATGCATTTCCACTGATTTGTGCGCGAGGTCGGTTTTGTAGGCGGAGCGCTGGCGGGTGTATGCACCGCGCAGGGTGGTCAGCTCGGTGGACAGGGACGCGAGGTGGCCTTTGGTCCATCCGAGCTCGGTTGCGAGGACGTGAACGTCCGCATCAGAGCGTGTGAGCTGAAATTTGAGGCGCTGAACCTCTGCAGTGGGCAGATTTGCGGTCGTGTCAGGCGAATGTGGACGGGCTTGGTCGACGGAGTGATCGGCGGTTTGTGCTGTTGTTTGGAGCGCGGTGTCATCCACGGACAGAATTGACAGTATGCTACCAATGGTATAATTATGTTAGATTTTCTGCTCGACATAGGTCATCAGATAGAATACGCTTACACCTCTCGCAAACGATCCGCAACCATTAGCGCTCTGTCTGATTGCCTATACGATAATACAGTGCCGGCGTCAACGCTGAACGCTGAGCTTGATTATCATTACTCACCTCAAGCCACGAGCTCGGGAAAGCACAAATATCACAATGACAAGAACTCCGGAGACATGGGGAAACAGAGAAGCGGTCAAGAGAGCAGACAGAAGGTCGTCAAAGTTGGAGCCTGGCATGATGACAGAGAGCAGAAGAAAAGTCGGGAGAAAAACGAAAGTGTCCCTTGTGTCAGGGGAGGGCGGGCTCCCGCGTTATATGGTGTTGGAATGTCCGCGGAGTCGGACTGAGGCTGTGACGACGTGCAACAAACATCTTACAAATTCTCAGTTGAAACACCAGGAGGTCGCATCTTTGCCCCTGAGGTGACGTTAGAAGACAGCATCAGGCCTTTCTCAAAGCATAGGCGCGCGCGAAGTAGAGTCGAGTCAGCCTGAGCTCGAGATTAATTGAGATGATGATACAATTAGGTGAGGTTTAGATTATCCACGCATATACGCAGAGGTAGATAGAGTACAATGTGCCAAAGACGGAGACCCAAAGAGATAAAGGAGATATTCCCAGTCTAAACACAAACTTGTCGCCGTCGTCACCCTGGGCGCGTGCAGTCACCATCGATAAGGAAGGATTTTGTCGTCATCGGTTTTGACCTTCAGTCGCAGGAGCCGAGGCACCAAGGGGTCTGGATCCGACGGCGTAGATCAGTCGCTGGTCCTCGGTCTCCTTACCGTCTGAAAACACAAGACGGAGCCGAGGAAATGCCGTGGAGATGCGGTGGGTATATGCGCCTGAAAGAGATGTGCTGTAGACGACGGTGGATGTGGGTCCAGTGAGCGACTTACGGGTGTCAGCCCTGGGCCTAAGATCCCGAAGCCTCTCCATCGCGGAGTCGTCGCCGGCCATGAGACCTCGGAGCAGAGACTGCTGAGCCAGAGCACGAGCCTTGATGTCCTGCAGGTCGTGGTTGAACTTATTGCGAGGGCGGGCGCTGGCTGTGCTGGATAGTGCCAGCTCCTCGTCGCTGTTGTCGCCGCTGTCAATACAGGAGTGAGCCCCGGGTGAGACGCTGTCGCCGGTCATCAAGCGCTGAAGAAGATTCCGCTGAGAGAGAGCGCGAGCTTTGACTTCCTGAATCTCCCGGCTGATGTCGCTCTGAGATTTGAGCTTGGGCGTACTGTGGTTGGCATCCTCTGCGGAGGGTGTCGGCGTAGGTTTGGTTTGCTTGGGCCGAGTGGCTTCAAAGTCTCGGTGGGTAGACTTCCGAGACTTGGCCAAGTACGTTGAGGAAGTGTTGCTAGAGAAGAGAAGCCGATGGAGAATCGAGAAGGCAGCCGACGCGAAGAGGTGGGCGACGGTGAGGAAAATGCAGACGGCGAGGATACAGGTGTGCTTGGTGCTCTTGAGAGTAGTAGTGAACATAACCGCGGGCAGAGAGATGGCGTGTAGATGATAGCTCTGTGTGCTGATGGTGGTAGGAAAGAGAGAAGGTTGAGTTGACAGCGGATGGCGGACGCGATTCAAATACAGACAGACTTCTTTGGTGGCTGACAATTCAAGACAAGTCTAGCCGCTGGTCGAGCCCCATCAGTAATTCTCACGCATTGAAGTCGACAATGAGACCACAGCCATCGCCAAAGAGGTACATGCGTGTGTCTACAAGAGCGCGAAGGTGATAAGACACGCATCACGGTCTACGCGCTCACTCGTCGTGGTCAGGAGCGACAAAAGCAAAGGCTCGCCGCGACATAAAAGTCACAGACAGTGACGTCACATCGTGGACTGCTGAGGCGCGTGACATGATATGCAGCTTCCGTTCTCACCTTTATCGCCTGCTGGTGAGGCTATAACTGCTGCCCAATGGACGGCCAATGGATCCCATCCCTGCTGCATATCGCGTGGAACTCCCTCGCTCCCTCGTCTTGACTCACAGCGAGAGACGACCTGGCTAGGTCAACTACCCAGTCTTACCCTCCAAGATGTTCTCTTATCTTGCTCACAGACGAGCATGGTACGCACACCGCCCTCTCACCATTATCCAAGTATTGATCATCCTCTACCAGTCGTGAAAAGCAGCAACAGCGCACCAAAGCGATAGCCGACCTCCCACCCGCCTTCCACGAGCCCCTCACCCCAGCAGACATCCACATCCTCTCCCAACCCGTCTCCGCCATCGTCGCCCGCGTGCAGACCTCCGACCTCGCCCCGCACACCGTATTCCTCGCCTACGCCAAGAAGGCCCTCCAGGCACATGCCCAGACCAACTGCTTCACCGAGATCCTCATCGGTCGCGCCGAGGACTGGTCCCGCAGCGCCACGCGCTCCGGTCCGCTCGCCGGCATGCCCGTCTCCATCAAGGACATGGTCTCCGTCAGAGGGTGGGACGCGACGATCGGGTACTCGGCGTACGCGCACAGGCCGGCGAGCCAGGATGCGGCGCTGTTCAGGCTGCTGAGGGACGCGGGCGCTGTGCCGTTCGTGAAGACGAATATGCCGACGACGGCGCTGTCGTTTGAGGCGTCGAACGATGTGTTTGGGAGGACGGAGAATCCGCATAAGAAGGGGTATGGGCCTGGTGGGTCGTCGGGAGGGGAGAGTGCGCTGTTGGCGCTTGGTGGGTCTAGGTTGGGGATTGGGACGGATGTGGCGGGGAGTGTTAGGGCGCCTGCGCACTACGCGGGCGTGTATACCATCAAGTCGAGCATGCATCGGTTCTTGAAGACTGGTGGAGTGAGTACGATGCCCGGGCAGGAGGGTGTCCCCGCTACGTATAGCCCGATGACGAAGACGTTGGAAGATCTGGAGACGTTCTGGAGGGCGGTGTTCCAGATGAAGCCTTGGGAGTATGATCATTCGGTAAAGTGCCCTTATCTCGAGAGTGCCACTTAGCTGACATCGAGCGTAGGTGTTGAATATTCCGTGGAGGGAGATTAAGCTACCTGTGGATCGACCTCTACGTTTCGGCGTCATGTGGGATGACGGTATGTCTAATCCCTCGCATACATTCAATACAGAACTGACTTTGGCTGTAGGCGTGGTCACTCCTAGCCCAGCCTGTCTCCGTGCTCTCAAGACTGTCACATCCGTCCTTGAGAAATACGGCCACCAAATTGTCACCCTGTCCGTAACCCCGATGCATATATGCGCACTACTCAACTAACACTTACCCCACAGAAACCCGCCAAGCCCGTACGAAGGCCTCAAACTCGCCTCGCAGCTCCTCCTCGCCGACGGCGGTCGCACCACCTCGGCCCCGTTCCGCACGGGCGAGTCCAACGACCCAGGCATGGTGCCCGCCTTCCGCGCGCTGCGCCTCCCGCGCGTCGTCATGCGTCTGTACGCCGCGTTCTACCGGTACATCATGCGCGATGCCGTGTACGCGGGGTTGATCGAGACGTTCTACGAGAAGACGGTGCAGGAGTATTATGCGCTGATTGCGGCGCGGGAGAGCTATCGCGCGGCGTGGTTCAAGGTGTGGCGCGGGGTGCAGGTCGAGACGGGCGCGGGTGGGGTGGGAGGGGAGGGGGAGGGGGTGGATTTTGTGTTGACGGTGCCGAATGCGTTGCCGGCGCTGCCGCATGGGGGGATGAGGCATGGGTGGAAGGCGAGCGGGTATACGTTTTTGTTTAACTTGGTGAGCGTGATTTTCTTTATTCTGATGCTTTCTCCCTTTCCGTATCTTTCTTTCTCTCCTTTCTGCGTGATTTTTGCGGCTGGGTGCTGATACACTCTGCCCGTCATCCACAGCTCGATTATACGGCGGGCGTCTTGCCCATCACGCACGTCCGCGCGTCTGAGGACGCGCTCTCGCCCAAGTTCCGCGCGCGCAACGCGATCGAGCGGAACTACTACAAGTACTACGACGCGAGGGCGATGTCGGGCCTGCCGGTCGGCGTGCAGGTTGTCGGGAGGCGGCTCGAGGAGGAGCGCGTGTTGGAGGGGATGAAGCTGATTGAGGGGTTGTTGAGGAAGGAGGGATTGGCGTATGAGGGGATTCCGCTGTGATACCCTTGTCGCGGTTCGATTGCTAGGCTCAGAGAGCTTTGGGGTCGAGTCTATGTATACCGGTTCTTGGATTTATGTTTTTGTTCATAGGTGCTCTACGATATTGCAAAGCTGGGCGATACCAAAGCATGCGACAGCGTTTTGGAGATTGAGGTGGTTCGACAAGTCCACCATTGTCTGTCCGGGTTTGAAAAAATGCGAGAGCTAGATAAAGGGTCAGTAGTCGTGAAAGCCAGAGGCACTGAGGGCACCATGGACGAGGACTGAATAAATAGTTTACTGCCATTGATATCGTATCGAAGTGCAAAGCGTTGACCATGTCGGAAAAAGCTGCGAGGGGTTTATAATGGACCGTGTTAATTATGCGCATGATTATGGCCGAGACTCTATGGGAATGGCCATTATCAGGACCAGCCCTGATCTTTATCCCACGAGCGTGAAGATCATGGGCTCGGCTCGCTTAGAATGCTTGATAATGCGGCCCAAGCGATTATTATGCGAATATCATGAGGTCAAAACTATTATTATCCCGCTGTTAGTTATTCTCACGCGCGCAATATTCATCATCATGCAGATGCTCAACGCGTTTTTGCTGTTGTTGATACAAAGTTGCAAACTGCAATTATGTTTTCGCAACAGCTCTCAATTAGTTACTGTGTAAGTACTGCACGGAAGGGGTTCAAACACAATGGTAGTGTGTTTTCGTGCTGGGGAGCAGCCATATATAAGGAAGTACATAGATTGACGTATCTAAGGCTTCGTAGCCTAGCGTGAACTATGCTCTGCACAACGATGATTTTGTCGCGAAATTTCCCTAAGTCCCGAGTTCGATCCACTCTGACGCCAGCAGATCAGTAATATATCATAGAGTACCTGGTAACAAGTAGTAACATAAGCAATAGAGTACAGTAGCGAGTTCAATCAGTAGTAAGTAAAAAGTGTAATAGATTAGTAGCAAAGTAAGTAAAGTAGCTCGAAATAAAACAAGCAATAGTAGCGACTAAAGCAGCCGGATGATGGTCGTCATGCGGCCTGTACACTTTTGGAGAGCTTTTCCCATGAGATAGGGGCTCATATCAATGCATTATAATCGTTTCAGCCTTTCATTATTATGCTTCGAAATGCTCGGGGCCATAAGAATGCATTCCCATGCTTACTAATGCCCAGAGCATGGACAACAGTCGGAGATTGAACGAGCGCTTGGAGTCGTTCCTCTCTTGCCGTCTGCTCGTCGCGGAAGTCCGCATGTATCAAGCTCAAGGTTCAAACTAAGGATCGATATGGTCCTCTTTCCCCCCATGTTCAACACGAGGCATTCCTTGAGCTACTTGCGGTCCTTATCATCATAGCCTTCTGACGGCACACTCTGAATGAGATAATTGGGGTCTATTGGGGTGCGTGCGTCTCTCTTCTGATGATTGCCAGTGCAGTATCTCAGTCGCACCATTGACCTCGCAGCCCCCGTCGCCTTCGCTCATCTACTGCTACGAAACTAAGCACACTCAACAAGTCAAGTCTCAGCGCTCAGCATGAATACATCGACAAACTACCTTCGCCAACACGGCCGCGTCGCCGCTCGCGCGCGTTCGTCAACCAGCGCTTTGTACTGAAGGCCTTGTCGACACGACCATCCGCTATAAATAGGGAGGCGCCTGCAACTAGGTAAGCTGACCTGCCGCGTTGGTCTCCGTATCGCTCACCCCAGATCGCGAACAGACGCCCGACGAGTGTTATAAGCTCGTCCTGTGGGAACGAGGCCCCTTTCCCTCTCTCTTTCGTTCCACCACCAGGGGGAATCTCTCGAGCTTTCATCTGCAACTCTCAGCTTAACCGACCAAACCTTCGAACTTCCGATTCACTACCAAATCTACTATGGCAGAAAAAGAGACTAAATCGCTGAGGCTGCTCTCCATCGGTGCGTATCGTCCCTCTATCTCTCTGTCGCCGGCGCTCATTGCGATCAACCCTTCTCGTCGTAGATGGAGGCGGTATCTGCGGCATGTCCGCGTTGCTTATCATTCGCAAGATGATGCGACGTATCGAGGCCGAGGAGCGTCTCTCTTCGACTCCGGCCCCTCACGCGTACTTTGACATGATCGGCGGTACTGGCACTGGCGGGTAAGTACCTCGTCTCCCTTCCTCGCCCTCTACCCCTTCCTCGCCCTCGTCCCCCTCCCTCGCCCTCACACCCCTTCCTCGCCTTCATCCGCCTCCCTTAACCTCATCCGCTTCGCTCACCTTCATGCCTCTCGCTCACCCTCATGCCCCTTCCTCACCATCATCCCACCTCACCATCATCCCTCCTCCTCACCGTCGTCTATCGCTTACGATTGTTTTGATCACTCATCGCTGACATCTTTTCGTATCACAGGATCATCGCCCTCATGCTCGGTCGCCTTCGCATGTCGGTCGACGATGCAATCAAGGAGTACGACGGGTTCATCAAGGCCGTGTACGTCGACGGGCGGAAGCGTCGGGGCGAGGAGATGTTCAAGGCGGAGGCGCTCAAGGAGAAAATGCGCGGGGTTGTCGGTGCCTACTGCGATGGCAATAAGGATGCTCGCATGGTTGAAGATGCCGAGTGTAAAGTGTATGTCCACCTTTCTTCAGTACGTCATGTCACCGTTACTAAGCCTCGACTTCATCTTAGGTTCGTGTGCACCAGCTACAAGGAGAATGTGACTCCGGGTAGGCCCTCTCTTCTTCGTACCTACCAGGTGTCGAGGAATGTGGGACCCAATTGTATGATGTGAGAGGCTGCTCGTGCTACGACGGCTCATCCTGGGCATTACAAGCCCATCACCATCTCTGATGGAGTGGTTAACCACGAATATGTTGATGCGGGCATGGGCTCGAACAATCCCTGCCGCGTGCTGCTTGATGAAGCTGCATCTGTGTACCCAACCCGTAGCCTCGGGGCTGTGGTCAGCATTGGGACTGGTCGTGCACAGACCATTGGTGTACCTGTGGATGGTGTCCGTGGTAGAAAGTTCTTGCCTTCCGACCTGCTTGATGTCCTCCGTGATGTTGCTGCAGATTGTGAGAGGGTGTCAGAGGAGATGGAGAAGCATTTCCTCCACTACCCGGAGTTGTACTTCCGGTTCAATGTGATGCATGGCATGCAGAGTATATCATGGGATGCATGGGACAGGCAGAGTGCTGTTGCTGCCCACACTGCACAGTATATGCAGATTGGGGATGTTGATTCTCGAGTTGATGTGTGTGTCGGGGTATTGCTCAGTGGTGTTGGGCAAATTCAGATGTCCTCGGTGGCTCATATGCCTGCCCAGCCAAAGAGTGCTGGCATGATCAAGGCTATCCCTCCTCCTTCAGCCAATTTCACTGGCAGGAGTGATATTTTGACCCAGATGAAGGGATATTTTGCCAATCCAATTGAGAGTGCTATTCAACAGCACATCTTTGTGCTTCATGGCCCTGGTGGGGCAGGGAAAACCCAGATTGCATACAAATTCATTCATGACTGCCAATCCAACAAAGATGTTGAGTGAGTGGATATTGATTATATATGTGATATAGACTTCTGACAATTTTCTGTCAGATTCTCAGAAGGTTTCATGATTGATGCTTCTTCAACTCAGTCATTGGAGACTGATCTTACTGCTATCGCCATTGTCAAGAATGCTGGAAAAGCATGGGGTGATGCCCTGAGTTGGTTCAGAGGCCAAGAATCCAATTGGCTGCTACTGTTGGATAATGCAGATGACCCTGACTTTAATCTGGGAGCATACATCCCCAAATGTGCACATGGGAATGTTCTTGTGACAACAAGAAATCAGTCTTGTGTTGCTCTCAGTACCGGTGTACAAGCCTCTAGCCATGTGTATGGCATGTCAAAGGCAGATGCACTTGAGCTTTTGATGCATGCAAGCCACCATAGTGTTGGTGAGCAGGTGGGATTGGAGATTGTTGAGGTAAGTAGAGTAATACAGGAGGAAATCACGAATGCTCAATATCTTTATAGGAGCTTGGTTGCTTTGCTCTGGCAATTGCTCATGCGGGAGCGTATATTTCATCTACACAAAGCTCTGCAGATGGATATCTATTGCTGTTCAAGGAGCATAAAGCCAGAATCCTCTCCCAGAAACCAAATCAATGGCTTGAAAGCTACGATTCTACTGTCTATGCTACATGGAAAATCAGCTTTGACAGGCTAAACTCAGATACCCAGACACTGTTGATGCATTGTGCCCATTTGAATCACAGTGATATTACAGAAGAGCTGTTCAAAAGGGCATTTGATAACAAAGATTGGAAAATCAGGCCCTCACTCTTGAGTTTATTTTCTGATAGCAATGACAACTGGGACTCTTTCAGGTTCCATGAAGTGGTGCAGGAACTTCTGCAATACTCTCTTATCCACTACAGTGGATCATATAGCATTCATCCCCTCATCCATCAATGGGTGATGGAGCTTCAAAATGATTCTGGGATTTTGTCAGCTGTACAAAATCTGCTAGCAATGGCAACTCCATATGATGTGAGTACAGAAAGCTATGCTCTGAAAAGAGAGCTCTATTTGCATATCAAACATGCACACCAGGGCACTATTCCTGTTGCTGTAGCAACTGAGTGGGCTGAGGTGTATAGACACATGGGAATGTGGAGTGATGAAGAGGGGCTAAGAGCCCTTGTTTATAATGAGAATGTGCACCATTTTGGCACAGAAAATCAAAGAACCTTGACTAGTATGATCCATCTGGCAGCCACATTCTGGCAGCAGGGAAAATATGCTCAGGCAGAAGAGCTGGAAATACAGGTGCTAGAGGGAAGCCAAAGGATATTGGGCACTAAACACCCTGACACATTGACTGCCATGGCCAGCCTGGCACTCACATTTTGGCGGCAGGGGAAATATGACCAAGCAGAAGAGCTAGGTGCACAGGTGCTAGAGGAAAGGAAAAGAATATTGGGCACTGAGCACCCTGACACATTGGCTGCTATGGCCAATCTTGCAGGAACATTCTTGCTCCAGGGAAAATATGACCAGGCAAAAGAGCTGCTAGCACAGGTGCTAGATAGGAGCAAAAGGATATTGGGCACTGAGCACCCTTACACATTACTTGCCATGGCCAACCTGACAGTCATATTTTGGCACCAAGGAAAATATGACCAAACAGAAGAGCTAGGTGCACAGGTGCTAGCGGAAAGGAAAAGGATATTGGGCACTGAGCACCCTGACACATTGACTGCCATGGCCAATTTGTCATCCATATTTTGGCTGCAGAAAAAACATGACCAGGCAGAAGAATTGCAAGTACAGGTGCTAGATAGAAGCAAAAAGATATTGGGCACTGAGCACCCTAACACATTACTTGCCATGGCCAACCTGGCACTCACATTCTGGCAGCAGGGAAAATATGACCAAGCAGAAGAGCTTGGGAAAACAGCTTTGGATATGAGAAGAAAAATATTGGACTCTAAGCATCCAGACACATTAAACTCCATGAAGATACTGGCAACAATTTGGTATGCCAAGGGAGATATTGATGCAGCCATTGACCTCATGGTTCAAGCAGGCAACCTGCAAACAAAGGCATTGGGCCACAATCATCCAGACACAATTAATACTCAGGAGTGGATCAATTCTTGGAAGGGGGTAGAGGAAGGGTCTGCACCCAAAGCAGTTAATGATGTAAGCCATTCAGTAATCTAATCACATTCATTCTCATGTATCAACAGGCTTACAACATCTGAGGATGCAACATGTAACACAAGTGGGAAAAGGTGTTGTGGATGATAGGTGCCAGATTATATTTTGTACATTAGAGTATTCCATTTGTATTATTGAAAGCAATGCTTACTTGCCAAAATTCAGTAGTAGTAATTGCACTGGATAGTATAAAGCTTTGAGTACACCACAATTTGAACTTCAAGTACATGCCACCAGCTGTAAGGGGAAGGGCAAGCAGTAGATCAGCAGGAATGTTTATTGATATGCTTTAAAGTAGACATGCACATGTATCAAACATATTGGGGAGGTACAAGCAGTGATCAGCAACGGATATCCATAAGACTAGGATCAAGCCAAAATTGGATCTGTATCCATGCCTTTCATCAGTTAAGGTGTTGTTAGAGTTTGGAACCTTGTAGATTACTATTACAATGTTCAGACAAAAATCTGATAATACACCTGGCATATTCTTGTTACTGCTAGAAGTAACTGGGTTAGAGGGGCTTGCTAACGGCACAACATATGGCTGGTTGGTTGAGAAATTGAATGAGGTCATGTGACCTAACATGGTACAGCCTCTGGTCTTGTTTTGTAAGACATTTCCAAGACATTTCTCTTGTTATGGTGTCTTCGCGCTCGCAAGTACTGAACAACTACTGAACACCATCTGCAGCATATACTCTCATTTCCCTATCTCTTGTCCTCAACCACCATGTTGGCTTTTGTTAATGGGACTGCAGCCTCTGTGGCTGAGGACCCATCCCTCCTTCAAAGTATCATATCAAGCAATCTTGCAACATACTTGAGGATTGGGATATTGCTGGCAGTGCCATTTTGTATGACAATACTATTGATTTATCCACAAACACCCTGCATAACAACACTACCCTGCAAGTCATTGATGTGGTGAGCTGTCTCTTGCTTGCAGCTTCAACAGATGACAATGCTTCAGAAGGTGACCTGCACACCCAGATGACTTTTGCGCAACCCATTAATGTTCTTGATGAGTGTATCTTAGTGACATTTTGCCATGTCAACTTTTGAACGTGCATGCAGAAGAAATCAGCTTTGATTGATATTAATTTCACACCTGCGTGTGACATCTTCAGTTCTCAACAGCTGTCTAGGTTTTAATTCATAGGTACACGTAAGATAGTAGATTCAGTATGGAAATATCATGGTCCTTGTATTTAAATTTTAGTTTATGCAGCCTTCTTTGCTATGATGTATGTGTTCTGTTGGTGGCTGCACCACCAAAGTGGCTGGTGAACATTGTATGCTATGACTTCAAACTCAACTCACATCCAAAGTTATGGAAAATATACCTCACCCACAGTACATGGCTGTAGAGAGCCTGAGTGCCATGGTTTGATACTTATACCTCATTAATTCATTGGCTGCTTTGAAAAAAATCTGTGGTAACAGGCTTTGCCGTGCACTGGAGCATGGTTTTACCCAATTTTGAGGTTCAAAGAGAATTGATCTCTTAGGTTATACTATCTTATCTTTTGTGATGTCTTACTATTGATAGCCCTTGGCTATGATCTTAGAGTGAGAACAAATGTCTGTAGTAATAGAGGTAGAACTAGTCTGAGGCTTTCAGGCCTTGTACATATATATAGGGTTTATATACCTTTCTACTAATTACTTACTAAGTTGCAATGACACTGTGATTCATCAGGGTCTTACAGTGATTGCTAAGAAATCAGTCAGCCGCTGACTGAGATAGAAGTAATATGAATCAGCAGGATTCATATTGTTACTAATTGTAATACAAATGCTAATAAAGAGAACAAGTTGCAAGGACTTGTGGTTCACAATCAAGTTGTTAGGATTCATAAGGAATCCAAGATGTTACTAAGGAAAAAGATAAAAGAATTGAATCTACTAGAAGTGTCCAGTTGCTGATACTAGTAGATGTCCCAAGAATACAAAGTAAAATATACGGATTGTAACAGTACCTTACTAAGCTGAGAACTGCCTACAGTTCTCAACATTCCTTAAGACTCAGTCCTAGCATCAACTTCAACCATAGGTCTAATAAGACTTTTGATGAGATCACATACCTGCTGGTCTATAATGTGTCAAGATCCGTGATGGTGTTCTGTCGCTGTAATTGGCGATACCTGAGCTCATAAAATCTGTGTCAACATTGCTGATCTTCTCCAGACAGGGGAGTTCTGACACGCTTGTGCTAGGCAAAGTTGAGGAGGATGACCAGGACCAAAGCATTGGCACTCACCCTCTCAGAGGACGTCCTTGCACTCCCACTGGGTATGGCCCTCCTGACCGCAGACATGGCATGAGATGCCAATGTTGCACCTCTTAATCCAGATGGATTGGCCATAGTTCCAGTTGGGGAATATTTTGGTGAGCAACTGCAGGTCCGAGGGGCCCAGATGGAGTCATTGCCAACATCATAGTCCAACAGAAGTGGACAAGTAGAATGGAGGTTCAAGTCCAGATTGAAGGATTCCTGTTTTACACATGTCAGATCTGATTCCTGAAGTGTATGAAGGGGGCTGGAGTGATGGAAACATTTCTTGTAGAGTAGGAAGTTTGATAGGAGGAGAATGAGGAGTAAGAGGGGGAATAGGAAGACTTACTGTTGGAATTCGAGTCGCTGGGGCTTGCCGACACAGTACAAGCGCGGTTTGTCCCGGGCAGGAGAGTAGCCCGAAGGGCAATCACGTAAAGATTAACATAGCGAAGTACACAGATTATATACTGTGGCTGATGTGCTGTACAGTACGTAGTTTCGAGACGCTTACGTAAACGTGATTTACAATACTTACCTCACTCTGTGGTGCCAGAGATGGTACATGCAGGGGCTCAGGAGTTGGTTTGGAGATAGGGTATAGATTCTCCTGATTCTGATGCTGAACTTGATCAGTAAAGTGTTCGAAAGAGTCTTCTGTACTACTTACTAAATACTCCATGGTGACTCAATTTAGCTTGTTAGAAGGAACATAGCAAGGGATTTGTACTGAAACTTTCTGCTCATCAAGCTCTTCCTGCTCTACCTTGGAGAGCAAGATGTCAAAAGGCTCTTCCTTGAAAAAGGCAAGCTTATTGTTGACAATGGGGAGCTCCTGGTTGAATGAAGGCCAGTCAGGTGGCAAGAGACTGTGAGCCATGTTGTCATTGAGAATCTTGTTGACATTCAGCATTGACATGTCCTGCACGTCCTGTATGTCAAGTTTACAAGGAAATTGTGAACACCAGCAATTAGGATAATTATGAATAAGACATACCTTGGTATTTACAAATGGATCTGAGATTTTGTGACACCAGACTGTCCACCTCAGATGCATTACCATTGACAGACCACCAGGCAAATGGAAATGTGAGACTGGCCAGGATGCGAATCATAGGCCAAGTAAGCATGCAAGGGTTAATTAGCATGTACACTACAGCGGTTTGCAAAAAAATGTGGAAAAACCTCTGATGTGTAACGGCCCCGCCAAGGCAGCCAAGTGAGGGCCCCAAGCAATACTGCCACATTTGGCCATGCAAGCACAGCAACTCAGGCAGAACCTCTGCATCGTCTGCCCACTGTGAGCGACTCTCAAGGCGCGAGCCCCAAGAACCAACCACACGCAAGAACCTACAACAAGGTAGACAATGAGGCCCTGTACAGGACAACAACGAGAGGGATGGAGAGGTGACTGCTCGCCGACATGGCAAGACTAGGTGTAGCTTTGAAAGGTATTCCCACAGGGACTCACTTAGAGTCTTGGGGCGTAGTTTATATACAAGTACAGGATGCTTGGCCAAGCCAAACAGTCTACCTACTATGGTAATGACAGTGTGCGCACAGACCATGCTGTGCTGTGTACTACTACTTATGGTTAAGGAGTGACGTATGTATGATGTCATGTATGATGTGTTTGATGATTCATGTATGATGTCATATGGAATGTTCTGGAATGTTCTAGAATAGGAGCATGTGACCGGTAATGGTAATAGCCAAAGCCGGGTTACATGATCATAAAAAGAAAAGTATTCGTAAATGGTCATGATGTGTCATGCTGTTGTGAGTGATCGCAACACCCACCTGGTGCCAGTGGTCCTGAACCAGCCCCAGTTTGCACTGCCATCTCTCCATCCAGCCTTCCACATTCATATGCAAAGTGCTGTAATATATTACATATATTGTGCTTTATGTTGAGCATGTGCAGCTTGTTGCAAACTGCCAATGTGGGGGAACAATGAGAGGAGGAGAGGGTAGCTGGTGATAAGATGTGATTTACCTTTTTTGGATGGTTCCAGATCTTGTTGATGTAGATTAGCCTACTGGGGATAGGGGAGGGAGGAGGGTTGACTGTGAAGCACTTACAGCTATTTGCATAGATAATGACACCACTGTGAATGCCAAAAATTATATTGGCCACCAGTCCGTACCCATTTCCGGTCCTCCGCGCTGACTCGCGACCTCTAGAGTAGTGTAGCTACACTTTCTCTGTACCCATACACTATGGGCAATCATTGTATCTCCCCCAACATCAAAGTAGCTGTGATAAGGCTTCAACAGGGACGCTTGTTGGGCCTTGGAGGCATCTTGCGCTACTTGGACCTGTCTCAAAGCACATTCTTTTGTGCCCTCAAGCTCTGGCACGATACAGGAGATGTTGTTGGCCTTAGGTCAATCCATTGTGGTTGTTCTCACAAACTCAATTGAGAAGATCACAAGTATCTCCTTGACATCATCAAAGCCCAGCCCAAATGATTCCTCAATGAGCTACAGTCCCTTCTCATGCACAACAGATTTACCTCTGTTCATTTCACAACTATCTTCCGCAAGCTTGTACGTGCTGGTGTAACCAACAAGAAACTCAAACAGATTGCCAAGGAGCAAAGCGAGTATGCGCAGGGAGACTTTATTTCAAGGATTGCTCAGTATTATTCCCACTCTATTGGCTTCATTGACAAAATTTCCAAGGATGAGCAAACCATCTTCCGCCAATATGGCTGGTCAGAGGCAGGCACAAGGGCTGAATCAGGCCAAGTTTTTGTCCGTGGTCGGCGCTTTACAGTCACTGCACTGCTCACCCTTGAAGGTATATCTGCGGGAACAGTTGTTGAGGGTTCTATGAACTGCAACATGTTCCTGGACTTTCTAGAGAATGGGGTGGTGAGTTTATCCTATAATCCAAGCTTGATCTTGGAATTGATTAGTGTTTGTAAAGCTTTCTCAGTGTACGTGGCATCCAGACCCTGGTATCAATGTTCTTGTGCTTGACAATGCAAGGATCCATCATGGTGAGGAGATTATAGAGCTTGCAGAGCGTTTCAGTGAGTGGTTCAGCCTTGATTGTGAGCGACCCTTAACTAGGGGAGTCACTGCACATGTGAACAGGAAGAGGTGGTGATGAGAAAGACTAACCCTAACCCTAGATGGGGCTTGGGCAGAAGTAGATGCCTCGACAAGAGGACTTGAGACTTAGGTTTACAAATTGAGTTAAGGGGAAATCCCAAAAGAACTCTCTTGGAGTTCTGGGTCATTGATTGCAGTCTTATATACTACTGGGCAGCTGCGCACAGACCATGTAACTAAAGGTAGGGCTCCTGCCTAATTAGGAATACAAGTACTTAGTAATACAAGCACACCATATTGCGTGATCCTTGCATCATATGATGTCATGGTCCAGACCCATCACGTGCCTGGTCACGTGCCTGCTTATGTAATAAATAAGGCCAAAGCCTGGCCATGTCAAAAACAAATGCAATAAATAATGCGTTGTTTGTCCAAGTTAGGGTTAGCAAGAGGTATTTTTGACATTGATAGTCATCATCCTGTTTCATTATCTACTTCCTAGGTGTCCATATCAAATATCTCCCTCCTTACTTGCCCAACCTCAACCCTATTGAGGAGGCGTTCTCCAGAATCAAGCACTTTATGTGATGACACCAGCACTACTATGACAGGCCACAGCCTGGTGATGGACTCCTCTACAACCTTTTTGGAGTTTTAGATATCATTACTCCCTTGGATGCGCATGGCTACTATATTCATGCAGGATATCTCTAGTCTACATGTGTAAACCTCGTCTCTGTAATATACTGTAAGTGTCTGACATAGTGTAGTATACAGATAGAAAACATAGTACCTATTTGTTGAGAAAGTGGGGACACATGCGCAGCGTGAACTGAACACACATTGATTATGTAAGCACCCACACCGCAATTGCCCACCCACCCGACCACTTTGCCCACCTCTCATCTGCCTCTCTGCCCGCCAAACCACCCTTGCCTCCAGCCGTGATCACCTCCCCAGTCACCCCTGCCCATTCAGCTCACAGGCCACCTTGCTGAAGATGCAGACGCCAACCACACCTTCCCGTCAGCCACGCCATCACCAGGCTTCGGATCTATGATCCACCACCTACACAGTGCCCACGTCCACAATGACTCCCGCCAGGTACTGGCTCGCGTGCACTGTCCTCGCCGTGTACATGTTCAGCATTGTCCTTGGCTGCATGTACACTGCCATGCACAGCGCGACGGACTGCGCCGCGGGTGTCATGATGGGCGCGGCGGTCTGGGCAGCCTATGAGGGTGTCAAGTCCACACTGGAGTAGTGGCTGGTGAGCGGGTTCTGGAGCAGTGAGTTCCAGATGGATTGGAACGGGTGACTGGCTGACTTGGATGGCGTATACAGCCCCACTCACAACCATCCCCGCCTGTCTCTTCATGGTGCACTTCCACCCACAGCCCATGGACGACTGCCCATGCTTCAAAGACACCATCGTGTTTGTCTCTGTTGTCCTTGGTGGCTGGCTCACGTGGTGGCACATTGCCTACGCCAGCCTCTCCAGCTGTCTCGAGACGTGGTTCGGCCATCCTCCCCACTGCTGCTATTGGTGGTGTCAACAAACACCATTGAGAGTGTCCCTTTACCTGCCACTGCAGCAAGCAATTTTCTCGCCTCAACAACCTCTGTCAGCATGCCCAGACCGTCCACTCCGACAACCAGTTGCCAACCCAGTCATCCGTGCTTCCAGCTTCCCACCACTCTACCACTGCCATCAGCAATCTCCAAACAACACCCCAGGTCCTTCACCGCTGCACCGGCAAACCCTTGCAAGCAACCTCACTCAGGATCCAACAACAACAATGGACCACAAGGGGTTTCAGCGCCAGTCTACAAGCTTCCCACGGGGCAGAATGTCACCACCAAGATTGCATACAACAAAGCGGCAATGTCCTTCCACGATACAAGTGCGCCAGATTTGGTCAAGTCCATCATCAACCCAAACGACCTGGACAACGTGTGCCCCTGCCAGCCCATATCCAAGTTCCACACCAAGGGCCTGGACAACGTCAAGGGCTGCGTGTTTGCGCTTGCATAGGATTGGCACCAGCAAGCAACAGATCAAGTCTTCCGTTGCCCTCTTCATCGGGCAAGAAGACATGCCAGTGAGTATCCTCAGGAACTTCTGCGCCTTCATCTTTTAAAAGATTCTGATCGTTCAACTCATGTCTGCAGCTCCCGCAACTCAACCTTGACCGCCACCAAGAAACATTGCTCCAATCTCTCCACCGCATCACCAAGGGCCTGTGCAACCTCATGCGTGAGTTTTTCCCACCACATCGTGCAGCGGTGGCACTGCAGTGCACACGCACATGCAGTTGTTGTTCTTCACCCACCCCAGCTTGTTGTTGTCCCTCTTGTCGGTACATCAGGAAAAACATGGAGCTGGAATTACTCTTATATAGTGTAATTCTATGGATTTTACGATGACTTTACCCCCGCATTATTATCATCAATTACAGTGAGGTGCCTGCAAATTATGACTAAATAATGTTGAATTGTACACACCAACAAAGCATCCTCGCGGTAATTAGCTGCAAAATTATAAGAGATTTCCACTCATTTACAAAAATTGTCACCGACAGTCAACACTAATGCCCAGGTCAAATAGAACAACAAGCCTGCATTTGAGAGCACTAGCTACACAAGTAACTAGTACTATGAATAAAAGACAGCAGAACCTATTCATCCTCATCTTCGCACTCAGTGGCAGGGCCACTAGTAGCGTCACTCGAAGCCCTCGACCTACTACGGTACCGGTTGATGGCTCCAAGAAATACAGAGTCAGCCAACATTTTACGAGCAGGAGGCGGGCCTCCATTCTCGCCATCCTCTTCATCCTCCAGTTTGGCATTCGCGTGAGCTCTGGAGATAAGATTGGTTAGACTACCGATAACCATCATGGATGAGAAACTACCTACTGGGCAGTGTCAAGAAGGTCAGTACGGATGGCATCAAACAAATCCGAGTTAGCAGCCTTACAAATATCGTTGAACTTCTGCAAGTTATTGATGTGCTTGTCAAGCACGTCGGTATAGTCGTCCCTGTCGAAATCAATGTCCTTACGTGAGCCATCAATGTTTCACTCATCAATGCGGCACTCAATCTATGAACAGATTAGTAGTAACGGAGGACAAGTATGTAATGACGTACCGCAGCTAAGAGGAGTGAAATTGCCGGGATGGGAAGGGGCCTGAATAGATTTGAGAAGCAAGGCCCCAGGTCCCCGATACCTGAGAACCAGGCGCTGTTCAATGTCATCTGGATGACGGGGTGCTTGTACAGGCTGTCGCGTTTGTCAGCGTCAAGGTTCTGGCACATTGCATGAGCTCTACTCATATAAAGAGCGACATGTTACTTACCATGTAGCACATGCCAAAATTGTCAAGAAGGCATTGAGCGAGATGCTTGTTGGCCAGGTGCACGTGAGGCTTTGTCGAAGCCTTGAACCCGTACTGGCTATCCACTAGGTGTGAAACAACTGACTTGACCCATGAAGTCGTAGTGGAGATGTGACGTTTCATCTGCGGGAAATAGTGAATATAGTAATTTTGGGGAATGAAGCAGCTTACAAGGGTGATAATATCTTCACCCCACGTAATCCTTGAATTACGCGCCTGCCGCGCGAATACCCAGCTGTTCTTAGCCCAGCGCGTGCACTTGAGGTTGTCAGCCCAGACACCTTGTGTAATAGCAGTGGCACAAAAGTGGGCTGTGGCAAGCCTGAAGAGTATTTAAACTGGCTTGTCATAGTTGCTGATCTTGAGCTCGCCACCCAGCGGATGAAGATGCAATGGAGGGATCCTGTTACTTCCATCATCGTCATTGTTGTGGTCCTCATTGTCCAAGGGATCCGAGGGGGAAGGGAGAGAGGTGTGGCGTGATGATGGTCATAGGCCCAGCATTCGAGGCGATTGAAGTTGAGGGGGAGATGCTTGCCACCAGTAAGCTTAAAAAACAATGGGTGCTAGAGCAGACTGAAGATGCAAGACAGCAGTAGTACTTCTCCTTGAGCTGCTTGATGAAGTTGCTCTTCCGCTTGTTCACTGGAAGAACCTTGCTAGCTTGCTTGCTAGCCTTACTGCTGGCACCACTCTAACCTGGAAGACCATAAACAAGCACATATAGTGATCTAATAAAGCCTAAAACTCACCTGTTTCCCCCCTTTGCCCCATTATACTGTACTTTTTCGACCAAAAGTTCGTCCCGTGTCCCATTCGGACCAGCACCGCGAACTTTTGGTCGGTTTGTCCCGCTTCAGTAGAGCCCACAAACTAAAATGAGGGACATGTTGTAAATAGGGGCTAAATGGGCATCAATATTTCACTTGTGGACAACCAATACAGTCATCCCAGCAGCTCATTAATACACCATAGCGCACAGAATGAGGCGATGATATCCACCACCCACTCATTTTCCTATTAAAAAAACTCGAACCGAACTTATGTCCCGCACCACCAACACCAGCGAACTAAAAAGCGGGACACGCTGTATTTGGTAGTCATATTCCCATGCCACCTCGCGAACTTTTGGTCGAAAAAGTACAGTAGTTCCCCTTTTCTACCCCATTGGTTGCCCATCGGCCTACTTATCCTCCTCGTGCTCATCAACAAAGAGTTGGACCTGGGCCTTGCCCTGAGGGAGTTTGGCGGCATGATCTTTCAAGGTCTTGAAGCCAGCTTTGTTGGTCAAAGAGAGCTTAGTAGTCTTCCCAAAATCTTTTACACTGAAAAAGACATCACAGCATTCAAATGGAGGGACTTTCTTGTTCTCACTGCCCACTTTAGTGACTCGTGAGAGGATCTGAGCCTTCATCATGTCCCACGGCTCATCAAGAGCAAAATGGAAGGTCATCTTTTTGATGCGTCACTTGGTTTTGGGCTTGCTCATCTCGGTTACAGGGGTGATATCAAGGAGGACCTCAATCTCGGTGATTGGCCCCTCATTGTCAGCTTTGTGTATATACAGTCAGGCACTGATGAGATGTAACCTAGTCAAATACCTGTACACTTTCGCTTCCCTTTTCCCCAAGTTGGAGCCAGATCTGCTATTTCCTCATCCTTGGAAGCTTTGTCGTCCATGTCATCCTCCAAGTCAGATGGCCGAGCATAGTTGGCCTTCCTAGATGGTTGAGGGCTCAGAGGGGGTGGACTTGGGGAGGTTTCCAGTGGCTCCAGTCCGAGTTGAGTCCGAGAATTCTCAAGGTTTTGGCGTCAAAAACGGGGGCTATGCTTGGGATGAAGAGTTTTTGAGGGATGTGTAGGTGTACAGGTACTCCTTGCGTCACAAGCACAGAGCACCGGGGCTCGGAACTCACAGCCGCACTCTGGCAGCTCAGATCGGACAGGTCTGCCATGTCTCGCAATTTCCTACTTTCAGCCCAGGTGTCATTACATTGGCAACTAGCTGTAAATTATTTCTTAACCCACATTCAAATCTTTTAAATATATACTACCCCTTGGATATGTGCCATGTTGTCGAGTCTGTGACTCTGACTCCCTGCCACAGTTGGTCTAGGACTGCTGGGGACAAGAAGCAAGTCAATGGCCAAGACACTGGCTTCAAGTTATTTCAGTTCAGAGCGCTTTCGGAGATTCGGATGACAGAGTAAAACGCTAATTTGCAGGGCCTAAACTCAGCAGTAAATAATAAATCAATAATTAACTGATCTTGGTCCTCGACGTCAACGATGGCGAGCACATCCAAATCGCCCTACCGCGACGCCGTCTCCGCCCCCCTCATCCAGTCCCCAGCCCTCCGCGTCCCACCCCGCATCGAGCTTCCAGAAGACATCCACCCACTCCCTGACACGGTGCTCAATTACGTGCGTCACTTGTACTCTTTCCCGTCCTTCGTACTCACTCACCACAACATGCCTTCGCCCCGACATCCGCTGACCGAACAATCACACAAATAATAATACCCGCACTCATACGCGCAGTTCGTCTACCCCTACACTCTCGAACCACACATCCTCACCCTCGAGTCCAACCGCCGCTCCACGCTCGCCGTGCACGCCGCCCGGCGCCAAGCGCTCCTCGACGCTCGAGCTGAAGACCGCGAGCGACGGCGGAAAGCGGCAGAGGACGAGCGCGAGCGAAGACGCAGGGAAGAGCTGCGCCGCGTTGCACCGGGCTGGGAGGGGCACGCGGGTGCGGCGCTCGTGCCGACGCGTACAGGCATGTTGAAGGCGGAGGAGGACGGGTATGCTGCTGGTGCGAGCGCAGGGTCAGAAACAGGATCGGGAGCAGGGCCAGGACACGGGAGAGGGAAGAGCAGGGACGTGATGGATGATTTGGTGGATCAGCTTGCGCGCCTCGAGGGCGACGGGACATGAATGTAATCGCTACTTTTGTTCACTGACGAACGTTATGTTTTTGCCTTTGACATGCTAGGCTCATGAAAACATAATCAAGAGCACAACCACTCAAGACGCTACCCAAGTTTCCTAAACACATTCCGACTCCCACTCCGCATCCCCTTCCTCCGCTGCGTCCTCCCACCACGGCCCTTATCCCCGTCCTCGTCCTCCCCGCCACCACGCTCCATCGATGCGCCCATGAACTCCACGCCCTTGCGCGCACCCGGCTTCCTACCGCCCTTGTTCTTGCCTCCAGGTCCATCGTCATAGAGCCCATCGCCGTCTGCACCAGACGCAGACGGCACCCACGACGTCTCCATCTCTCTGCCCCCGCCTCCCCACCCATCTGCGTCGGGACGGGCACGGCCTTTGCCTTTACCGTTTTGCTGCGCATAGCTTTTACCTGTCCGCCGCGCACCAAAGGTGTCCGTGCGGTCCCCGCCGCGTCCACCACGCCCGTTGGCCTCGGTGGACGCGACGAGCGGGACCATGTCGACGCGCGGTGTGCGCTGTGCAGGTCCTGCCCTTGCTTTTGATTGTCCTGAGCGGGCGTACGGCGCGAACGCGCTGCCCTGGTTTTGGATTCCGGTTTGTTGGTTTGATGAGCGATCGACTGGGGCTCGCGCGCGCGGGTTGAAAGACATGAGGTCTGCGTGATAAGAGAATTGAGTAAATAGAATTAAGGTGCTGTCAGGAAAGATAACAATTGAGGAAACGCACCGCCAGCATCGCTACTATCGTCGCTCGCGTCTCCATCGCTCGCCTTTTCTTCGTCGCTGTTGCTGCTCTCCGTAAGATCGCCCAGGCCTTCCACCTCGCTTTCCTCGCTCTCCACGGCCGTGCGCGTCCGCCCTTTGGCGCCTCTGCTGTCCACATTCGTAGCAGCGCCAGCGCCAGAACGCCGTTGCGCAGCCTGCGATGGGTTCAAGAGCGCGTACTCGCGGCTCTCCTCGTCGACCGTGAACGCGGGATTCTCGAACAGCGCCTTGAACCGCGGGTCGCTGAGCAGCGTCGGGCGCGTCTCCTCTCCCTCCTTTTCTTCTTCTTCCTCCTCTTCCTCCTCTTCCTCGTCGGGCTCGCCACCCTCTTCGTCTTCGGACCCGCTCTGGTCCTCTTTCTCTTCCCCATCCACATTCATCTTCTCCTTCTCCCCCTCCTCCCTCTCGCGTCTCCTCCTCGCCCTTTCCCTTTCCTTCTCCCGCTTTTTCTGCTCCCTCTCCGCATCCCTCGTAATCTTCTCCGCAAGCGCCTTGTTCACCTTCACACCCGCGGCGGCGGCGGCGGCAGAGCCGGCCTTGGGCGCGCGGATGCGGCTCTCCGCGAGCTTGTCCATGCGCTGGCGCACGAGCTTCTCGCGGTGCTCCGCGTACACGAACGGGTTCGCGATCAGCCGCGCGGTGTCGTACAGCTCGAGCGCGAGGAAGTAGCCGTGCATGTACGGCTTCAGCGCCGGTGTGCCGACGAGGTGCTCCAGGCCCAGACTACAACCCATCGTCAGCATTACTGAAATCGCTCTACCGGCGAAGGGGGATGGAAGAAGGAGGAAAAATACGCACGTCTTGAGCTCGCTCCGCTCGACAAACTTGTAGTCCTCGTACACGCTCCGCGCGCCCGCGCCCTCCATCTCCTCCGTGATGTTCTCCAGGAACCGTGCCCACCGTGGCGCAGGGCCCAGCGCGGGCACGTAGAACGCGCCCATGCCTGGCCCCTCGTGTGCGGTCAGCAGCAGGCCAGAGCCGCGCACGTGCGTGATGTCGTTCAGGTCCGTGCCTGGCGTGATCGAGAAGAGGTTCTTGGCCGGCTGCATGTATGCGGATGCGGATGTAGATGTAAATGCAGAACCAGACAAACAACGCATCACGAGGAAAGCAAAGGCAATCAGCAGCTGAGCCAACAAACAGACCAGACAAACTCAGCAAACTCACATTCCCCCGCTCCCACACCTTCACGACCTTCCTATCCGCACTCATCACCAGCGCCTCCCCGTCCGCCCCCGGCCCCTGCTTATCGATCCACTCCACCCGCCTTATCGGCAACCCGTACCCCTGGTCCTTCCTCGCCTGCGCACGCGCCATACGCACATCATACACCAGCACATGCCCGCTGCCCGTCCCAAGCGCATACGACAACCCATCATGCCGCGCCGCGAGCGCCGTCACCCCGTCCCACGCGTCGCGCGTCGCCGCCGCGCCCGACGCGATCGCCAGGCGGCCGACGGGCGCGCGCGCGCGCGGGTCGACGAAGGATACGACGGGGGCGCCCGAGAGCGTGCGTGCGCCGGCGGCGATGAGCCCGTGTGCGGGGTTCACGGAGAGCGCGTCGACGCCTTCGAGGTCGTCGTCGTCGTTTGGTGGTGCGTTTGGTGCGGAGTTTGAGTTGGGCGGGGAGGAGGAGGGGGAGGGGGAGAGGGAGAAGGGCGCGAGGAAGCGGCCCTGTGCGAGGTTGAGCCTGTATATTTCGGAGCCCGAGGTGGCGAAGAGCGCGTCGGCGGAGGACGCGTGGTATGCGACGGCGCGGCCGAAGCGCGGGATGCGCGTACGGTGGTGCAGGCCGCCCTGTGCGTGCAGCTCGACGGTGCGGTCGTTCTGCAGCAGCAGAAGCTTCGTCCAGTCGTCCGAGAGAATCTGTTCGAGTTAGTCAGCGACCATCTTCATCCGAGGTATTATCAGAGGAAAAAAAGTAGGAAAGCGCACCTCAAAATCCACATTCTCAGCCTCACAATGCCTCTCAAACTTCATGCCCAGCTCATCCAGATCCCACACCCGCACCTGCGGCTTATACGCCCCCGTCGCGACAACATGGTGCCCCGCCCGCGTCGTCTTCAGGCGCACGGCCGCCGCGGGGAACTCGAACCCCTGGATGAGCTCGAGCTTGCCCTCGACGGCCTCGCGGTCCACGCGCCGCGATTTCTTTCCTCTTTTGGGTTTTGATGATGAGGATGTGGAGGGGCGGGATGTCTTTTGGGTGAGCCAGTCAGGGATGGAGGACGCGGAGCCGGTGGTGTCGCCGTTGACGGTGTAGACTTTGACGTCGGCCATGCTGATGCTTAGTGGTTAGCGTTGACGTGCGTTTCTTGAGGCAGAGGGACGTAGAGGCGAACGAGGAAGCGTTTATGTGTGAGATGATCGACGTAGACTTGTGACAAGGGTCTTTTGGGTGGGAGGATTACGTCGGGGTTGAGCTTCAGGGATCAGAACGGTCTTGTCTCGGATACGTCGGTGAGGGTGTGACGAATAGCACTGCTGCACTTGATTGAAAGGCGACTATAGTTATAGAGTCGGGAGATATTAACCAGTGTTCAGAGAGTCCCTGCTAGGCCGGTGGGATGGTGTAGGAAGGTCCAAAGGCAAAGTAGATAGTCCTGCGGCGTGCAGTGATCCCAGCGAATCCTCGATCGGAGACCAGCGTCGGTACGATCAGTCCAACGTCTCCTCGTCAATATATGAGAAAGCAGATGAGAGTGGTGGAAGAGGAATAGCACAGACGCCCCAAGCCGTGCGTGATCAACGTGAACGTCGGCGAGCTCGAGGAGCAAATTTGTGCGTAACGTCAACCTTCCATACGCAGTATGTCTCCTCGGACACTCCAAATCAAGACATGTCGTCGGCCCACACATTTTCCCATCGGAACACCACCAAAGAACAATGAAAAGTATTGATCACATTCATAAATAACTCATTACCCACCCCTCCTCGCTCGCTCTCAAAATGTATGCAGGTACCGATACTAGTAGTGTCTAGAAAAGAAACCCAAATTCGTGTCGACGGATACGTTATATGCATAATCAATCCAGACGTCGTCCGCTCTTTATCATCACACCACCCCCTGCACTCCACAGATGCACCTCCGCGCTTGTTTTTCTGGCTTTTGCTAACGCCCAGCAAGCCTAGATGCCCGCTTAGTAGTTCTTCTTCTTCTCGTCGACCGAGAGACCTCCAGGTCCCATGTTCACAACGAGGATCAGACCGCCCACAATAGCTATCATAGAACAAACACGTCAACACGTCCCCTAAACACAGCCACAGCACAAAGCACTCACAAAGCGTCTGGAAGAAATCGTACTTCAAAAAGTCGCGCTGCGGGTGCGCCGAGTGGACGGACCACCAGTTGTTGGCGAACACGTTGAGGATGGAGAGCACAATGACGAGGAACGTGCCGGCCCACTTGGCCTTGAAGCCGATGGCGACCATGACGCACGCGGCGAGCCCAATCAGGGACATGAAGACGCGGGAGATGGACCAGGTGCCCTGGAACATGAAGCCGATGAAGAGGAAGATGAGCAGCACGCGACCGGCAAGGAGGAAGCTGCCGAAGGCGTCAGTACAAGCGCAGGGATACGAATAGGAGGGGTGGAGAAAGAGGGGATGAGTGACACGTACTACTTCTTGCGGTCAGTTTCCGAGATGTTCGGCAGGCCGGCGAAGCTCTTGCGCTGGGTGACCATCGTCTCTGAAAAGACCATGACGAGGCCGCCAATAACGGAGAGGTTGCGGAGGAAGAAAGTGAGGTCGAATATGAGACCGTAGCCGAAACCCTGGATGACGACGACGGCAAAAAGACCAGCGCAGGCTGCCTCGGGGAAGCGGCGGGCAACGATGGCAGACGAGGCGGCGAGCATGACGAGGACGTTGAAGAGCAGGAAGAGGTGCGAGATGCCCCAGTAGAAATGGCGGTGTCTACGCGTGCATCAGTATCCTCCTCTTCGTCTCGTCTATAGAAAGGGGAAGAGAGCTCACGTCTGGAGATACCACAGCTGGTCGCTCCACTGGGTCAGAATCCTGAGCGCGTCCTCGTAGAACGTCACGACAATCAAGAAGCGCCCGATGGCGGGGAGGTGCGGACGAAGGGGCTGTGTGTAGGTGTTGATGGCGTCGTCGACCGAGTCGCCAAACGCCCTGAGCTTTGCGAGGGGGTCGTCCGGGTTGGGTGCAGCGCGGAAGCCTGGGGAGGGGCGCGAGTTGGCGAGGCCATACGGGTCGCTCGCGGGGGCGGCGTACGAGGACTGGGCGCCGCCTGGAGGTGGGCGTGCGATGTTGATGCGGGATGTCATGGTCGACGTTGCGAGCGGCGTGGACGTCGTCGTGGAGAGAGAAAGAAAAAGGTGAGCTCCTCGACGGAGCGAAACGAAAAACGTGAAATGCAAAGGACGGCGAAATAAAATGAGGACGTGGCGGTTGGAGGCCGTGGGAATGTTAAGGTGGATGCATCCGAGGGGTGAAAAAGAATGCACGTGGATGACGCGCTTCACGTCATGGACGAGCTCTAGTCAGTCCTCTTTTATTCCTATGTTTTTATCACAGACTAACATAAGGCCAGCTCCGTGCTCAACGTGCCAGCATGCGTGTCGGACACTGAGCTCAGAGACCGCTACAAGGCGCTCTCCATCCAGTTCCACCCGGACAAGCACCATGATCCTCGCACAAAGGAGGCGGCATCCCAGCACTTTCTCGACATACAGCGAGCCTATTCAGGTTTGCCCTATCCCTTGTTCTCCTCCGGATCTTGTAGCTGACTCCTCTGCTCCTAGTTCTCTCTGACCCTTTTCTTCGGTATGTCCTTGCCTTCCCTACTCTTTCGCGTCTGACATATCTTTTCAGTGTCGTATATGACGTCCTCGGTATGCGCACACACCCAACTCCAGCCTCTTTACATTGACTCTCTGTCGTAGGCGAACAAGGGCTACACCAGCCATGGCCCCCAGAACTGCGCACAAAATCTCCCGAGCAGGTACAGTACATCCCCTCTCTCCTTACCCTATGCTTACGCACACCTTCCATTCTCCCCCTCTCCTCCCAATGAACGCCACCCTAGGTCCGCGCGTACCTAACCGGCTCACGCCGCACCGCCGCGCGTATGCGCACCGAGCTCGCCGTCGCACCCCGTGGAACATTCACTGCCAACATCGACGCCAAAACGCTCTTCCTCGACGTCCCGCCTGGTAGCGGCATAACCTTTTCCGACCGTCTGCGCGGTGTGCGCATCTCCAAGTATGGCATATCGCATCGAATACAGGTGCGTCGCGCGTCTTCTGCCGTTGGTGATGCAATCTAAGGTTGGAATTGAAATCTTCATTGCAGCCCGAAATCAGCGAGAACACGACTCTCGGCCTCTCCGCGGGCATCGACGTCGTACGCGCCTCCGTCCCGGCGCCAAATAACCCTAGTAGACGCACGATCGTGCCTATCGCGCAAGGCGGCGCGCTCGCGGGCACGCTGCGCCACCAGATCTCGCCGCGCCTCGCCGTCGAGGTACGTACACGCGTCCCTGCCTTCAGACGACTCAACACTCCAAACTAAACTCAGGGCCTGAATATGAACATCTCCAGGCCTCCATCACGCCGTTTCCGTTCCCCCTCCTCACGACCACAACCTCGTACGCGCCCTCGCCGCCGTCGTCCATCACGGTCTCCACCGCGCATGTGCTTTCTTCACCAGTGTCGGTGCTCCGCGGGCTCGTGCCCTTCCCGCCGCTCGTCACGGCCACATACTCACGGCGCCTGTGGCGCAACTCGCCCGCGACGGGCACACTCACTTACACGACGTTCGAGCACCTCTCGCCTGCCGCTTTTCTCAACGCCGGCGCCGGGGGCGGGCTGGGCGGGAGACTGACGCTCGGGGTGGACAATGCGCGCTCGTTTGATTTCACGGGCGGTGCGCCGTTCGTGTATAATCCCCTCGACGACGACTCGGACGAGGAGGAAGACGAGGAAACGTCAGGCAAGCCCGGCGGCGACGACGACGACAGCAAGGAAAGGGGCGGAAAACGAAATAACAACGGACGCGGCAACGGGAGCGGCCGCGCACAGGGCCCCGGCTCCACGAGCGGTTTCGCGCGCGGCACCGCGCGCTACTCGTCCTCTCTGTCCCTCGTCGGGCCGCTCGGGACGCTCAAGACCGAGTGGGCGCTGCACTTCCCCGAGCTCGGGCTGCGTGTCGGCGCGGGCGTTGAGGGCGGGACCGCGTTCGTGCCGCTCCAGTCTGAGAGTGAGGACGGGGGTGTGACGGCGAGGGTCGGGCTGGCGCTTACGGGCGGGGTGAGGGTCGATGGTGGGTGGGAGGACGCGAGAGGAAGGGGAGGCGTCGGGATGGGGGTTGGGTGTGGGCAGGGTGGGGTCAGTTTGAGTGTGAAGTGAGTGGGTTTCTTTGGATGTTTGTTGGTTTGCATGGTGCTGATTTTGTGATTAGTTTTACGCTGTGGAAACAGCGCCTGCGGATTCCAATTCTTATGTCGGGCGAGCCAGACGGCGGGCTCGCGCTTCTCGCAGGTGCAGTGCCCGTTGCGGTGCTTGCCACCGCGTACATTGTGTATCTGCGCCCGAGGCGGATCGAGGAGCGGGCACGGTGAGCTTCTTCTTTCCTTACATTATACACCGCGATAACTGAAGCGACCGTGACTGTAGGTACTTCAAAGCCGCGCGTCAGGCACTCGAAGACGAGCAGCACGAGACACGCCGCTCACTCGAGGACACCGCCCGGGCGCTAGCAGACGCAGCTGCGCGCAGCACCCGCGCTGAACGCGCATGCGACGGCCTGATTATTATCGAGGCGTCGTACGGGCCTGCCTTTTTCACCTCTCCCTCCCCCATCTCCTCTTCTCCTTCCTCATCCCCAACCCCATCCAGCCCGCTCACCGCCCTCCTCCTCTCCCTCTCTCGCCTCTCCATATTCGGCCCAAGCAACACAACAGCAGCGCACGCCGAATCCGCCGCCCTCCGCGCACTCTGCGTCGACGTCACCCCCGCCGTCCAGTCCCTCGTCTCGCACTCGCAGATGTGCATTCCCGCGGGGCGCCTCGGGCGCTCGCGCACGCGTGCGGCGCTGCCTGGTTTTGTCGATCCCGCACCGGGGCTGCGCAAGGTGCTTAGGGTGAGGTATACGTTCAGGGGCAGGATGCATTATGCGGAGGTGGCGGACGGGGGCGGGGTTGTGTTGCCGTTGAGAGGTGAGTTTTTCGTTTGGTTTTGGGTTTGCTGTGAGTTCGGTTCGGGCTGCACCAGTGCTGATTATGTGTCAATCTACAGAACATCTCGTCGAGTGAATGCTATAGGTGGCTGTGAGGAGACGGGCGGTTGGCGTTTTGCAGAAGAAGCTGCATCATGAGCTGCAGGTGGCAAGCTCTAAACTTAGGTACCAGCTACAGTACTGCACCTTTGTTCGCATGGTGAAGTGTCGTCTGTGTCTGACAAGCGAACGGGAAGGAAGGAAAATAGTGTTCGTGATTTTATGTTTAATTATGGGTCCATCGGTTCTGCGTACCTCACCACTCGTTCAACTTGCGTCTGGTATGTCGTTCAGACAGGCCGCGGCCTCCATGTTCCTACTTTACGAATCACGAATCGTCGGCCTGATGGTCTAGTAGTATGATTCCTTGTTAGGGCTTTAACATAGCAATCTCGAGGAGGTCCCGGGTTCAATTCCCGGTCAGGCCCTGTACGCATTGTAACTTTTGCATGTTGTTTGTGTTCTCTTTTTTAATCCAGCTCTGGGAGAGATATCATGGTTTTGTTTTTGTGTCTGCGATCAAGCGGGCTCCAAGAACTGGCAAGTATGTGTAAATGGTGTCCGAAGAAAATCCTACTGACCTAGATAGCTCGCGGGATTGAATCTGCGAACACGCGTCTTGACTCGTGCCTTCATCGCATCTGCCCGTCTCACCTCACACCACAACCAACGTCTGTAACGCGCAAAGGAGTTGGATGCACGCGATACTGATTTAACGTTTTCATTGCCATCCTCGTCTCTACGCACTCTTGCTTGTCTCCTCCAGCTACAAGCTTGACCACGACAATGTCCGTACACCACGACTCGCAACCTCTCGCCTCTTCCTCCAAGATAACACCCAACATTGCCATATCCGACCCTTCCTCGAGCAAAAGCGCGGATTCAGGTGCACAAGATGGCAGCGGCGATGCGAAGTCGGACTGGCACACGATCCGCCCATGGACGCCGCGCCTCGCGCTCGCGGTGCGCGAGATTACGAGCGTAAGCGCGACGTTTGTGCTTGCTGATTCGCTTGCTGTGCCGGATGAGCTTGCAGAGGGGTTTGAGGGAGATGAGGAGGGGGATGGTGGAGGTGAGGATCAGGGTCAGGGCCAGGGCGATGGCAATGCCGAGGGTGATGGAGGCGAGAGAGGCGAGGAGAAGGCCAAGGAAAGGGAGGGCAGGTCAAGAAGGCGGGGGATGTCTACGTCGTCGTGGTCGTCGACCAAGGATGGGGGAGATGGCGCAGATGGAGATGGAGGCGGTAATGTCAGCACCACCGGCGCCGACAATGCAAACGCCAATACCAACGCATCCTCAGAGGAGCGCTCTCTCGAGTCGAGCAGGCCGACGATCGCAGATGCGCTCGCACCTGGGCTCTCGCTGACCGTGAACGGATCGCCATGGGCCCGTGTCATCCTCCGCGTCGACGAGCCGGGCGACCGCGCGGTTATCGTCATCTATGGGCTTATGCCAGGTCGGCAGTACGATATCGATCTCGGGCTACAGACGGCGTGGGGGAATGTCCGAGGTCGGATAACGACAGGTCAGTGCGCTTTATTCTGATGTTTACCTATACCCAAATGCTAATGGTACACCATTATTTCTAGACGCAGATGCTACAGACGACAGCGCCCCGTCCGACATGTCGGGCCCGACCATAAATGGGACGACGGCAGGTGCATCATTACAGCCCTCGATCACCGCCTCGTCCTCGCTCCTTCCCTCCCCAACAACGCCCATATCCTCCATCGGCGCACAGCCCTCCTCTCCGCCCTCCCCGTCCTCCTCCCCAGGCCCGAACAACGCACAGCTCGCGGCCCACCAAGCGCAGCTCACGCCCCTCCTCAGCACGCACACGCAGCTCTCCCAAGCACTCAAATCCGCACGCCGCGACGCACAGCGTGCCGACGCCGCAGCACGTGGCGAGGCCGACGCCCTCCGACGCGCCGCTGAGCGCGCTGCGGCTGCCGATGTGCGTGCTCGCGGGCGTATTCTCGGGCTCGGCGAGGCTGTGAGGAGGGCAGAGGCGGCGACGGCGCAGATGCGCGAGGAGACGCGCGATATCGAGGGCGAGCTGCCTGGGCTCGAGGCTACCGTTCATGCTCGCGAAGATGACGTTGCCCGTGTGCGGCGGGATGCGGACGAGGCGAGGAGGCAGCGGGAGGAGCAGGAGGAGGAGGGGCGGCGGAGGCTTGAGAGGGGGAGGGCGGAGGTGAATGCGTGTGGGCATAGGTTGGAGCGGTTGAAGGCGCGGACGGAGAAGCTCGAGGGTGGGATGCCGGAGCTGGAGAAGCAGCTGCAGGAGGTGGAGGAGGAGATCAAGAGGGCAGAGGAGGAGGCGGTGGCTAACAGCGAGCAGGCTCAGGCGCAAGCTGCGGCTGCGGCGGCGGCTGCTACCACTAGTGCGTCGAGCTCAACGTCGCCGCACCGGCGGCGAAGCTATGGTCCCCATCCATCGATACCGAGTCATCATCTCGCGCCGCCGCATCTCGCCCACGCTTCTCACTTGCAGGGTTCGCTACAAACGCAGCAGCAGCAGCAGCAACAGCACCCCGCACCCATCGCACGTCCATCCATCATGCTTTCCGCCTCCTCAACACAACCAGCACTCGCTCCGCCCTCCGTCATCCAACGGCCACGCGGGGCAATTCCTTCATCTACATCGCTGGGCGGTAACAGTGGCAGCAGCGCCGTCGGGACGCTGAGTCTGGTGCCTGGCACACTGGGGGCCGAGCGCATGTCGTCGACGCTGTCGAGCCGCGCGCCCGTGTTTGAGCCGTCACAGGCGAGATGGGGCGCGATGCTCTCGGGTACACCCACTGGGAGTGCGAACCCTGCAACGGGCGGTGCTGGTGTACTCGGGCCTACGGCTATACAGCCCATACAGAGACCAGCGCGGACGGGGAATGTTGGAGTGCATCGGTGATTTACTGCCAGTGGAGGATGTAGGAGTGTAGCTTATGGATGGCGTGCATGGACTTGAACCGTAGACATATACTGAATGAGACTCCTGCAACAATGTATCGATAGTACTGGTATCATCCTGTTAGCTGATTGTTGGCGCCATCTGCATCTCATGGGATACAAGTCCGAAGTCTTTCACCACATCCTGTACTTAAATGTCATAATTCTAGTGAACGGTTGCTTTGTTACTGTCTCACCCGAAATGCCACGGACAGGGGTCTGATTTGGGTTTGATTCTAACCTTTGGATGGCCATTGTTCATCACCACTGTATATACCTTCCCGGTGTATTGCTTACATGGTCATGGCTACTTTTGAGCATACCGATAAACATTCCTGCTGACCTACCACTTGTTCTTTCTCTTGCAGCTGGCGGCTTGTACTTGAAATTCAGATGTAGAATACTCAAAGCTTTATGCTATCCAATGCAATTACTACTGCTGAGTCTCAGCAGTAAGCATGGCTTTAACAGTACAGATGGGATAATCTAATGTACAAAATATAATCTAACACTGTCATAAACAGCACTCTTATTTCAACTTGTGTCACTTGTCACATCTTCAGATATTATGAGCCTGTTGATGTTTGAGAAAGAATGTAATAAAATTACTGAATGACTTACATCAGTAACAATTCCAGGTGCAGACCCTTCCTCTACCCTCTTCCAATAGCTGATCCACTCCTGAGTATTGATTGTATCAGGATGATTGTGGCCCAATACTTTTGCTTGCAAGTTGCCTGTTTGGACCATAAGATCAATAGCAGCATCAACATCTCCCTTGGCATGCCAAATTCTTGCCAATATACTCATGGAACCCAGTGTATCTGGATGCTCAGAGCCCAATACTTTTTTCTCATTTCCAAAGCTGGTTTGCCAAGTTCTTCTGCTTGGTCATATTTTCCCTGCTCCCTGAATGTAACTGCTAGGTTGGCCATGGCAAACAATATGTCAGGGTGCTCAGTGCCCAATATCCTTTTCCTTCCCTCTAGCACCTGTGCTTCCAGCTCTTCTGCCTGGTCATATTTCCCCTGCTGCCAGAATGTGGCTGCCAGGTTGGCCATGGCAAACAATGTGTCAGGGTGCTCAGTGCCCAATATCCTTTTGCTTCCCTCTAGCACCTGTGCATCCAGCTCTTCTGCCTGGTCATACTTCCCCTGCTGGCTGAATGTGGATGCCAGATTGGCCATGGCACTCAATGTGTCAGGGTGCTCAGTGCCCAATATCCTTTCGCTTCCCTCTAGCACCTGTGCTTCCAGCTCTTCTGCCTGGTCATACTTCCCCTGCTGCCTGAATGTGAATGCCAGATTGGCCATGGCATCCAATGTGTTAGGGTGCTCAGTGCCCAATTTTTTTTTTGCTTCCCTCTAGCACTTGTGCTTCCAGCTCTTCTGCCTGGTTATATTTCCCCTGCTGCCTGAATGTGGATGCCAGATTGGCCATGGCATCCAATGTGTCAGGGTGCTCAGTGCCCAATATCCTTTTGCTTCCCTCTAGCACCTGTGCTTGCAGCTCTTCTGCCTGGTCATATTTTCCCTGCTGCCACAATGTGGTTGCCAGATGGGCCATACTAGTCAAAGTGCTTTGATTTTCTGTACCAAATTGGTGCACATTCTCATTATAAACAAGGGTCCTTAGCACCTCTTCATCTCCCCACATGCCCATGCTTTTATACACATCAGCCCACTTAATTGCTATATCAACAGGAATAGTGCCCTGGTGTGCATGTCTGATATGCAAGTAGAGCTCTCTTTTCAGAGCATAGCTCTCTGTATCCAAATTATATGGAGTTGCCATTGCAAGCAGATTTTGTACAGCTGACAAAACTTCAGAATCATCTTGAAGCTCCATCACCCATTGATGAATGAGGGGATGAATGCTGTATGATCCACTGTAGTGGACAAGAGAGTATTGCAGAAGTTCCCGCACCACTTCATGAAACTTGTAAGAATCCCACATGCTATTGCCATCAGAGAACAAATCCAAGAGTGAAGGCCTTTCTTCCCAATCATGGTCATCAAATGCTCTCCTGAAAAGCTCTTCTGTGATATCACTGTGATGCAAATAGGCACAGTGTGTCAACAGTTTCTGGGCATCTGAGCTCAGCTTATCAAAGCTGATTTTCCATGTAGCATAAACAGTGGAATTGTAGCTGTCAAGCCATTGCTTTGGTTTTTTAGAGAGGATCATGGCTTTATGCTCCTTGAACAGTAACAAGTATCCATCTGCAGAGCTTTGTGTAGATGAAATATATGCTCCTGCCTGAGCAATTGCTAGAGCAAAGTAACCAAGCTCCTGTAGAAATATTGAGCACCCAATTTTATTTTATTTTCCTGCATGATTATGCTTACCTTGACAATTTTCAATCCCACCTGCTCACCAACACTACTGTGGCTGGCATGCATCAAAAGCTTAAGTGCATCTGCTTTTGACATGCCATAAACATGGCTGGAAGCCTGCGACCCAGTACTGAGACTGATACAAGATTGATTTCTTGTTGTCACAAGAATATTCCCATGTGCACATTTGGGGATGTAAACTCCCAAATTAAAGTCAGGGTCATCTGCATTATCCAACAGCAGCAGCCAATTGGACTCTTGGCCCTTGAACCAACTCAGGGCACCACCCCATGATTCACCAGCATTCTTAGCAATAGCAATAGCAGTAAGCTCAGTCTCCAATGACTGAGTTGAAGAAGCATCAACCATGAAAACTTCTGAAAATCTGACAGAAAGTTGTCAGCAGTCTATTCATCATCTAGATGATATTCACTCACTCAACATCCTTGTTGTGGTGGCAGTCATGAATGAATTTATATGCAATCTGAGTCTTCCCTGCACCACCAGGGCCATGAAGCACAAAGATGTGCTGTTGAATAGCACTCTCAGTTGGGTTGGCAAAATACCCCTTCATCTGGGTCAAAATATCACTCCTGCCAGTGAAATTGGCTGAAGGAGGAGGGATAGCCTTGATCATGCCAGCACTCTTTGGCTGGGCAGGCATATGAGCCACCGAGGACATCTGAATCTGGCTCTTGCCATGGAGCACCACTTGAACACATACATCAACTCGAGAATTAACATCCATCATCTGCAGATATCTGCAGTGTGGGCAGCAACTGCACTCTGCCTGTCCCATGCATCCCAGGATACATTCTGCATGCCATGCATCACATTGAACCAGAAGTACAACTCCGGGTAGTGGAGGAAGTGCTTCACCATCTCCTCTGATACCCTCTCACAGTCCACAGCAACATCACGGAGGACACCAAGCAGGTCCGAAGACAACAGCTTTCTATCACGGACACCACCTGCAGGTACACCAATGGTCTGTGCACGACCAGTCCCAATGCTGACCACAGCCCCGAGACTACGGGTCGGGTACACAGATGCAGCTTCATCAAGCAAGACACGGCAGGGATTGTTCGAGCCCATGCCCGCATCAACATATTCGTGGTTAACCACTCCATCAGAGATGGTGATGGGCTTGTAATGCCCAGGATGAGCAGTAGTAGCACGAGCAGCCTCCCATAACATGCAGTTGGGTCCTGCATTCCTCGACACCTTGTAGGTACGAAGAAGAGACGGCCTACCCGGAGCCACATTATCCTTATAGCTGGCACACACAAATCTAGGATAATGTCGAGGTTTAGAACAATGATGTGAGCGAGTGAAGATATGTGGACGTACACTTTACACCCGTCGTCCTCGACCATGCGGGCATCTTTAGCGCCGCTGCAGTAGGCACCGACAATCCCGCGCATCTTTTCCTTGAGGGCCTCCGCCCTGAACATCTCCTCGCCCCGACGCTTCCGCCCATCGACGTACACGGCCTTGACGAAGCCATCGTACTCCTTGATTGCGTCGTCGACCGACATGCGAAGACGACCGAGCATGAGGGCGATGATCCTGTGATACAAAAAAAGGTGTCAGCGATGAGTGATCAACAAATTCGTAAGCGATATACGACGATGAGGGAGAGGGATGAGGGAGAGGGATGAGGAAGAGGGGAATGACGATGAGGGATAGGGACGAGGGTGACGGGAATGAGGGCGAGGGACGGGAATGAGGGCGAGGGACGGGAATGAGGGCGAGGGACGGGAATGAGGGTGAGGGAGGAGGGACGGGGGCGAGAGAAGGGGGCGAGGGTGAGGGAGGAGGGACGGGGCGAGAGAAGGGGGCGAGGGTGAGAGATGGGGACGAGGGCGAGGGTGAGGGATGGGGACGAGGGCGAGGGTGAGGGATGGGGACGAGGGCGAGGGCGAGGGTGAGGGAAGGGGACGAGGGCGAGAGAAGGGGACGAGGGCGAGAGAAGGGGACGAGGGCGAGAGAAGGGGGCGAGGGTGAGGGACGGGGACGAGGGCGAGGGTGAGGGATGGGGAAGGGGGTGAGGGAAGGGGACGAGGTACTTACCCGCCAGTACCAGTGCCGCCAATCATGTCAAAGTACGCGTGAGGGGCCGGAGTCGAGGAGAGACGTTCCTCGTGTTCGATACGTTTCATCATCTCGCGGATGATGAGCAGCGCGGACATGCCGCGGATGCCGCCTCCATCTACGACGAGAAGGGTTAATCGCGATGAGCGCCGGCGACGGAGAGATATAGCGACGATACGCACCAATGGAAAGCAGCCTCAGCGGTTTAGTCTCGTTGTCTGTCATAGTACAGTCGATAGTGATTCGAAAGTTTGGTTGGTTAAGCTGAGAGTTACAGATGAAAGCTCGAGAAATTCCTCCTGGTGGTGGAACGAAGGAAAGGAGGAAAGGGGCCTCGTTCCCACAGGACGAGCTTATAACATCTCTCGAGCGTCTGTTTGCAACGTGGAACGAACGATAACGAGATCAGTCGAATGAATTGGAGCTGGACGGCTTACCTGGTCGCTGGCTCCCCCTTGCTTATCGTAGATGGCGTTTTCTCGATCTTGGCCCTTACAGTCCCCAGTATAGGTGTAGGCTGCAGGCGCATGACTGACGATGCCTGCTTCGCGAGGGAATGCACCGGGCCACATGTCAAACACGGGGGAGGGACCAACTGCTTCAGGGCGTAGCACAAGGTAAGGGCGGATGGTGTTAGCGAGATGTTGCTGGACCCGGAGAGACGACGTGAAAGACCATGGCTGGCACACTCGACGGAGACCTGCGCATGCCGGAAGCAAATGAGTTTGAGGGAATCGAACCATAAATGTCGAAAACGTACCTGAAGACAAACGAACGTCTCACAACCAGTGAGAAGGGAAAGAGCATCCACAACGGCGAGAGACAGCGACGAGCAGGGAAGAGACAGGGGCTCATTCAAACTCCGGTTGTTTGCCCAACATATGCACGTCTAGAAAGTAAGTAATGCAGTTCACGCACGATTTGCGCAGTGCACACGACACTCTCCTCACTCTGATAAAGTGGCATTGAACATCCCCGGCTTCGCTGATTACAGTCTTCGTGCTTTGGGTTTCTGAAGCTTCAATGGGTCTGAAATCGTGTTCGTGGCTCGAGACCGAAATAGATTCACGACCGCGTCGCATTGATACTGAGTCCGAGTCGCGCTCTTCACTTCTCATTTCAACAGGGCATGATCTTAACCTTTCATTTGGCTCCAAACTCAAGTTTTTGAACAAAGACCTAGAACCCGTCTACTAGTTCCCACACGACTCTCTTCTTTGACGTACACAACGAACAGAAAAGACACGACTGAACAAAAGCAGACAGAAACCATCCATGAAGATATCCGAGGCAACTGCTCGAGACATCTCACTAAATTACAGAGCTACCCGACGTCGTCGACCACCGACGTCTGCAGTTAAATGAGCCGACCGACCATGCCGGGTGATAAATCAGCGAAGAGGACGGAGCGGCAAGACGGTATCGAGTCCAATTGCCCTGTCACATTCGCACTGGCGAGAAAGCGTTCGTCATCCTCGGGGGTAATCCACTGACAGTACCAATGGAGCATCTGATGGAGGCGAGAGATGTTAAGCAAAGTCGAGACATTCGAAGGTAAAGTCACATACAGCCGTAGGAGATATGTTAGATGATCAATGATCCCTCGTCCGAACGTTCCGTATCATCGTCTTCCGAAGTGAAGCAGTGACGCCAAGCAGTCCACAAGACGCTGTAGTATAGCATTTTCGAACGGGCCTTCCTTCCTCTGCGTTCTCTCTGGTATAGGCATGGATGTCGATACCAGACGAAGAATCGGCGAAGTTCATCGTTAACGAGCGGATCGACTCCGGATGAAGTCGAGACGTCAGCGCGTCAGCAGCGGCTGGAGGAAATTTTCAAATTAAATCACGTCGATCATTGATTCAAAGCATTTAATCACTCACCAAATTACAATTTACTCCGGCGCGGTCAAACCAGAAGAACCCGACTCTCGATTCGAGGAGCAGAATGTGATGTTTCTCAGAAGCTAATCGCCTGAAATCGACTCCGCGTCTAACTCCACACTCGGGATGGAACGAGGTTAATCTGAAGGGCGCAGACGTATGCTTTAGGACTAAGCAAGCGAACATGTTGAACTGGGAACGTACCGTCCCTGCCCGCGGTATACTCCACCACATCCTGCAGCCCCGCAGCGCCAGACATCGTGAAGACGACGCAGCCAATTGAGGTCTTGATCCCCTCGTCCTCCGCGATTGCCTTTCCGCGCATAGCGAGAACCGTCTTAGAGAGCTGAGCAGCTTTGGGAGGCTGGTTCCTCAACGCGTCCTCGAGAGGCTGGGTAACATCTTCCAGCGTTTGAACTTCCGATACAACATAGTGTTGGCGTTGAGAGGTCAGGTGGTGGATGTGAAAGACGAGAGATGTTGTATCTGCGTCGCCGTGGAATCTAAACCGAGCGAAGGCAAGAGAAGAAGGTAATGACATTGAAGACAAAATGGAAGTCGACGAATGTCGTGGGTAGTAAGGAGGAAGTAAACATGGGTGACGTCAGAGTAGACGATGAAGACAGTGAGGGCCGAAGCGGAAGAGTAGAAGCGTACGTCGAGATGAAAGTAGGGCGAGGGAAGAATATGAACAATGGCGAGGAAATGTGAATATAATTAGTCACATGGGCAAGATAATTTTTGTGGGCAGAGGAGAATGCAAGAGGTGAGCCAAATCGTCGTCGTAGACACCGAAGGCCTACGACCTCCGGCCTTCAACCCCGTGAGGTGCCTCCACCCAGCCCATCCACCCGTTCACCGGACAGCCTGTCGACGTAAAGCGAGTCCCGGAGTACCTGCTCGGATGGCTTGGCGCGGACCGGGTGGACGTCAGCCTGAAACATGCCTCCAGTAAGTATGGTCTGGATGGGTTGGATGACGATGGACGGACGAAAGCAAACAGGGGAGAAAACTGACAGCTGTGATCGCAAAGCCGGCTCTTTGCGTTGCGTGGGCTCGCTGATCCTCGGGTGCCCTCCTTCTGCGTTCCAAGGGCCCTTCGTTCCTCTACCACCGTTCTTGCCTGCGTACCAGCAGGAAACCCGCTCCCTCCTTTCGTTGGCAACGCAACCCAGCTCCCTCCGCTCGTCCCCTCCTCGTCCTTGGGCTCGATACGCTCCCTGATGTCATTTTGGAATTTGAACGCCGAGCGGAACGCGGAGAGCTCGATCCGCAATACGGTGTGTACCTCCATCTCGTCGCACTCTGGTTCCATGATGCGGGCGATGACCTCCGCGACCTTGAACCAGACCTTGAGGTTGTCACTTGCGGGAAGGATGACGCTTTAATGCTGGTTGAGCGACGTTCTCGTAGCGTGGGCGGCAGAGAATACTCACAGCATAGAACTGGGATCCATCTCTCTGGACTTCGTTCCTCGGAAAGAGACCTACGTAGAATCAGCTCGCACCATACATAATAGGGCTAGGTAAAGACGAGGACACTCACTTGCAACACCTTGCACAAACTAATTTCGCTTCGACGACGGATCCCGCTGGCTGTGGATCGCTGACGCCAGCCCGAGGACTTGCGATACATCGCCGAACGTCTAGAGTTTGATACCATTTACTTCAAGATTGCAAGGGACGAAGGCGAGGCCGGGGAAGGACAGGAGAGCTGAAGAAGGGCTGAGAGTCTATCGCCGCAGATTTGCCTGCTTGGCATACCAGACGGATGAAGGTGGTTTCCTAGTCGGTTTTTATGAGTGTTGATCTAGCCTCTAGGTTATTGTTGAGTCATGACGGACGATGAGAACATCAGCGTACCATAGACCATCAACGTCCAGAGTACGAACATCTCTCAAGACATCTCTATCCGAGCATCAGAGGATGCCCGCGAGATGGACGACTCGACTCGATCACGACACGTCGGAGAAGATAACGAGAACATGCGACGGCGCGAGTAGTTTGATAAGCATGAAGTGTGAAGTATTGTATCAGTGCAAGGATTGGTCGTCGAGAGGCATCGAGTCTCGACGACAGTGAGATTGCTGATTTAGGGCAGGTTGTTTGGTGTCTTGGTAAACCCCTGGACATCAAGACCAGAGTGCAGACTCAGGGCACCATCGTCAGATGTCACAGAGCCTACCACAATCCATCGGCCGCCTCAGATTCCAAACCTCTGAATACCGCACGCCTATCAATGCGCACCCGGTACCCAACCTTCGGTGATGATGTGTGGATTGACGGTGTAGGGGTAGACGAACTACGCATACGGGTGCGGGTAGTGGTCATTCGTTCAGCGGAAGTGAAGAGAGAGAATAGAGCGGTGCAGAACAAACTTCCTATCGTTGACGTCGACGTCGAGGACCAAGATTATTGGTTGTTGAGACTTGGGTAAGGATAATAATCTCATGATGAAGTTAGCTCTGGCCAACCAGAGCCTCTTCAAACATCCCGAAGCGTCTTTCTCTGCTCGTTACCCGCAACATCCCTTGAGCAGCGGGTCCAAGTCTACTAGTGCTCGGCCCTCTAAGATGCCTGTTCAATCGACCCAACGTATAATACGCCCCTTTCTTTCGAGTCACCATCATTGCGAACCCGGTCTCCGGTCCCGAGATGTTCATAGACTTGTGACTTGGCCCCGAGCCCGAGGTTTGCGGGTAATGGGGAGCAATTATCGTTTAAAACTAATAAAAGCTCATATCCGGCGATCCTTCATGGCCCTCCATCTACAAAATCTCCCTCTTGCATCGTGTCTACTTCGGCTGTGAACTCAAAGCTCCTCTCGGTACATTCACCGCATAACTTGCTTCAAGTTGCTCAGCATCTCTACTGATATGTCTACACCATCTCGGACCCGCGTACCAGTCATCTACGTTCGCCCTCGCTTACTTCCTTGCCCATGACCTCTGCAACTGATATCGTGATTAATTCAGGGAACCGGTGGCTTTGGCAAACCCGGTCCGCGTTCCAACGGGGCACGTATCCACACCGTCGCCGATGCCCACACCGTGCTCGATGTCTACTTTGCACGCGGGTACACCACGCTCGACACTGCTCGCCTATATGGAGGTGGGACGTCTGAGGAGGTATGTATGATGCCTTGTGCAAATGACTATGACACAAGCGCTTAATGGGAAAACTGGTGGTATCTAGTTCCTGGGCGAGATGGACTTGCCTCAGGGTGTGACGATTGACACCAAGTAAGTTCCATTGCATCGACATCGTGCTCGATGCTGATTCTCAACGAACTCGTATCTCAGAGCGTTTCCTGGGCATGCTGGTGCGTTCAGCGCGTCGGGGATTCGTGCATGCCTAGAAGCATCACTGCGTGCGCTCGCTGGAAAGAAAATCCGGACGTTCTACCTACACGCTCCTGATCGGGGTACACCTGTCGAGGAGACGCTCAAAGCGATTGACGAGCTTTACAAGGAAGGACGTTTGTAAGGAAATCCCAGTCTTTCAGGCAAGGGTTTTTATTGAATAATTGAATACCATTTACAGTGAGGAGTTCGGATTGAGCAACCATTCCGTATCGCAGGTTCGCTCTTTTCCCCGATTACTACTGTGAACCACATATAGCTGACGGGTTTCTGACCCAAATCATCAGCTCGCAAACGTCATACGAGTCTGCAACGAACACGGCCGGATCAAGCCTGCCATCTATCAGGACTGCTACAATGCCATTGAGCGGGACGTCGAGGACGAGTGAGTGTCATCCCTTTTCCGTAACTTAACGCTAACTTCAAGCTGTAATTTATTCCTTGGTCCAAAGAATAATCCCCCTCCTCCGCGCACACTCTATCCGATTCTACGCCTACTCCCCGCTCGCAGGCGGCATTCTCACGCCGCGCATCCACACGCTCGGGGCCGTCAAGGACGCGTGCCACGGTACCTCCTCAAATGACGACGGAGGCAAGGGAGGGAGCGAGAAGCTCGCAGGGACGCGGTGGGACATCTCGAACTCGCACCAGGCGCCGCTGCTGTACCAGAACTACGGGTGGATGATCGAGAGCGGGGCTGTGCATAAGCTCGCGGGGGAGCTGGTGCGTTCTTCTCCTTTTACTCTGATGATAATATCGTTTCTCCCGGGATCGAAACATAATGAAACAGAATATACTAATGCGAGATTGTGGTTCATAGGAGAACCTCGATCCCCCGATCCCGCTCGCCCAGGCCGCGCAGCGCTGGCTGCAGCACCACAGCAGGCTCGACCCCGCACGGGGCGACGCGGTCGTGCTCGGCGCGGCGACTGCGCCGCAGCTTGAGAGGAACCTGGATGATTGGTACGTTCGATGCTTGCTTCACTCTAAGCTTGAAATAACGTTGACCGACATTCTCGCGCCGTGCAGCGAGATGGGGCCGCTCCCGGATGACGCGCTTCAACTGGTCAACGATGCGTGGAGGAAGCTGAAGGAGTTTGCGCCTAAGGTTGTGTCATAATGTAGTGTGATGATGAAGGTTACGTTGTGGATTCAAGTTATTTCTATTTGGGGGCCCGGGCCACACGCATAATATTCACCATGTTCTACACGTAACCCCAGTGTTCGTTAGTAGTCTCCTTTGTGCAGACGTTCAATTACACGTGTCGCTGCGTTCATACTTCTGTTGTTTAACTCAAGGGTTTAAGTGAGTACGGCTGTGATTCATGCACGACGCCCTCCTCACTTGAATAAGTTGGCAGCAGAACCGTTTCCCGGCTTCGTCGATCACAGTCCCCGCGCTTCTTCTATGTCGTGATCGTGGCTCAAGACCAAACCAGACTTGCGAACGCGTCGCACTGACACTAAGTCGTACTATATCTATATCAACATGGGTCCACTGGTCGACTCATGCTGGGCCTACCTCCACAAACATATTTCATCTCAAGAACACGCTTTTCACCTTCATTCACCCTCATTTATTGATACTTCGAGTTCGAGCAAAGAACTGGGATCAATCTAATAATTATCACACAACAAAAGGCCATCCTTTTTATTCTCGTTGTTATACTTACACATCGAACATAAAAACGAATCAGACAGACAAAAGCGCGGGATCGTGCGTGGATTATCGAGTGCATACGCCAGTACGAGTCTCGCACTAGATCGAGTATGCCCCCGCGGGCTAATCAACGTCTTGAGATCGACGAACGGACCAACCATGCTAGGTTTTAAAGCGAATGAGAGGATGGAGGGGTAAGACGACGCCAAGCTGCGTATCCCTGCGACATGGATGGAGGAGTCGATGTCGACGTAAAGTATGGCATGGCCGAAGCAGCCAAAGGCAAAGTCACTTACAATGCTGTAGATGAGTTGGATGATTCCTCGTCCGTGCGCTCCGTGCCACCGTCTTCTGAGAGAGGGGCATCGACCCCAAAAGCTATCGGCAAGACGATGTACGGGGCTCTTGTGCGAATCCGCCTTCGTCCTCTATTTTTTCTCTAGCATAGGCTTTGATGTCAATGCGGGGTGAGGAATCAGCCAGCCCGCAGAGGGCGAGTTCTGATACGAGGAATACCCAGATATTCGGCAGTGGCTTATCGTCAACGAGTGTTTCGACTCCAGATAAATTGAGACATTTCCGGCGCCTGAAGGAGACAGCCAAGTCAGTGTATGCCGTTGCATTGGTTCAACCGAGTCACTCACTAAAATATTCTAACGCGATCGAGCCAGAAGAAGTCGACTCGTGCATCGACCCGGAGCAGAATGCGTTGGTCGTCGCAGCCAGTCGGCTGATATTGCCAGTCCCCCATCCAATCCCACCCTCAGGGTGGAATTTGGATAATTTGCGGAGTGCCAACGTACACTTGAAGACCTATCTAGCGAACACCTTACCGCCTGCCACGCGTCCTCGAGTCGGTTGTTGGCACACCACAGCGCTTGAACCTCCGATTCGAGCGCAACATTGACTGGGTTGAGGTGGCGAATGAATAACTTTTACGACCGCAAATTCGTGGAAGAGGTGTGTGCTATGACCGTTGAACGTTGAAGCCAAGTCGCGAGGAAATGAGAGATTGCCAAATAATTGTATCATTTGAGCATCTGAGCATCTCTTCACGCAGTTGTTCCCACCTACTTGACCCGCTTCATTGCCCCGCAAAGGCCAGACACACTACAGTATCCTTGCTACACCAGATTTCCTCTCCTTCCTTTCTGTCGACCCAGGACATCAAGAAAGCTAAAGTGAACTAAGCATGACATGGTCAAATTAAACGTCGCAATAGATGAATCCGCCCTCCTCCAGGCGTACAAGATATCCTCTCTCAGCCCCAAGTAAGGCCGCCAACCTCGCGCTATGAACGTATTCCGCTCACTTCGTCGATCCTCAGGAAATGGGAAGAAGTCGACTATGATCTCGAAGAAGGACTCGCCGACGCGATGAACAGCTCCAGCGGGGAGGGAAGGGGTGACGCGCTCGGCCTTGGAGCTGTCGTCGAGTACGTTCCCATATCTCTCATGCATATACTCATAACTCAGTATCATGTAGCTACAACGGCATGGACGCAGAGACAAGTTCGTATTAACCCTCATCCCTACCCTCGATGCCCCGTCCTCGCGCTCTCTGACATCCGATCCAACCTCGCTCTCGTTTTAGAGGCGTCCATCGTCATCTCGTCCAAGTCCTTCGACCCCAAGGCATTCCTCTCCGTTGTCCATCCAAATGCAACTTATCAGGACCTCTCTGCTGGAATATCGAACCTGGATTCGTCACTCAATGCGCGGTCCGAGCAGGTGCGCGTTCTCGTGGAGGACAACTTTGATAGGTTCGTGGCAGTCAAGGCGTCTACGGATGGTGCGTACGGTATCATTCCACATGGATTATGCTCACTAGAACCGGTGGAACAGCTCTGTACGACGAGATGCGCACCGGGCTTCTATCCGACAAGAGCGAGCACGCGTCCAAGCCCCTGGTGGACCTTCTGAAACGTACGACCGCCCGCTGCCCACCTCTTCCCCTTCCTTTGGCTGATCACTCCGGATAGGCGCTGCTGTCAAGGCTGACCAGGTCTTCCTCCCCGTCCTCGAGAACGCGTCCAAGGCGCAGAAGCTCCGTACGACCCTCGGCGTGTTCGAGCGCTCCAAATTCTTCTTCGGCCTCCCCGGCTACCTCGTCGAGTCCATCGAAGCAGTACGTCCCCTCCTCCCCCTCCTTCCAATTCACCCCACCCGAACACCACGCTGACGCCTCGTTTTGTGTACCATAAAGGGCCGCTTCGAAGCCGCCCTGCGGGACTACAACAAGGGCAAGTTCCTCATGGAGTCACGCCCGGGCCAGATCCTGCCCGTGGGGAACACGAAAGACGGCAAGCTGCTCCCGCAGCAGCGGCGCATCCTCGACAAGGCGTGGGCCAACGTCGAGCGCGTCATGGGCGAGATGCGCAGGCTGCTGCTCGCGCGGCTCGAGGAGCCCCGGCGGACGGTCGAGGAGCAGGAGAAGACGATCGAGTGAGTGGGATCTATGCCGTGTGTGATATGGAGAGTGGTCGCTGACGAGGTGGGTGGGCTTGCAGGATACTGCTGGAGCTGGGCGGACAGGAAGACCCCGTGTGGACGTACTTTGACAGCCAGCACAAGTACATTATGGGTGAGATGAAGAAGGCGTTCAAGACGACGTCGCAGAAGATCAAGGGTACGTGTGTTTGCGAAACATCCGCCCTTAGCCTCACTCAGCTTTGCATTTCCCCGCATACTGACGTTTCCACCCTACCAGTCGCACGCCAGAAGTCAGCTTACTCAACGACCGGCCTCGACTCAGTGAACAAGGTCCTTGCATCTCAGCTCCAGGTGTGCATCGCCGCTCTGGATGGAAATAAGCAGGCGTCGGAAAGCATCATCGGTAAGCCTTTCTCCACTCTCATTCAATTTACACTCGACCCGAATTGGTGACTCTAACGATTTCCCATGTATAGGCCAGACGGGCGAACACGAGGTATGGGAGGCGATCTGGGAGATGATCAAGGGCGTCTCAGAGACAATGATGTCCTCGCTGCCCAACTTCTGGCGGATCTCCAAGGACTTTCTGAACGGCAAGTTCAAGCGCGTACGTCCCTTTCTCTCGCAACGCACGATACACTTCACAGCTGACACTCTTCGCGATTGTAGACCTCCACATCACGCCGGAGCCCCTCCCAGTGCCGCCAAATGGCAGTCGACATCGTGCAGCTCTACGCCTCGCTCCTCTCCGAGTTCTTCGCACTCTCCGACTTCGTCGTCATGTCCTCCTCTGCCACCGCCTCGTCTAACGGCGACCGCAGCGCGACGTTCCCGCCGCTGTTCCCGACGCACGCGAACTCGGTCTCGACGGCGCATTTTCTGAGCAAGCTGCTCGGCGAGATCCAGGAGTGCGTGAACGACGTGACGGGCATGGAGATCGGCGGGGAGGCGAGCTCGGGGATGAAGAATCTGCTGGAGAGCGCGCGGTGGAAGTTTGTGGAGATTCTGACGGACGGGTGGTTGCGCGGTACGTTCCCTCTCCCCTTCTGTTTTTTTCCCTTTCCGCTTGCTTAATCCCAACCCATCCATGCAGACTCGAACCTCTTCTTCTTCGTCGAAACATGGACCCCGTCCTCGTCCTCCCCATCCACGACGCAGTACCTCTTCCACTTCGAGCTCTACCAGCGGTACATCGCCACCGCGGCCTTCAAGCTCGCCGGCGCAGTCGACCTCAGCTCCTCCGGCGGGAGCGTCTCCAGCTCCGGCTCCAACTCCGGCTTCGGCTACTCGAGCGTGCTGCGCAGCGCGAAGAAGGCGTCGATCCCGCAGGCGTTCGCGGGGCGGATCACGAAGGCGTTCTACGACTCGCTGTACGCATTTTTGGACGGGCTCGTGTTTTTGGCGTCGGATCAGAGTCCGGTGGCGCGGGAGAGGGCGGAGAAGAAGGGGAGCGAGGCGGCGAGGGGTGTTGCTGCCGGGAGGGATTCTACGGGCGGGTTTGGGAGGCCGGTGGGCGGTGGGGTTGGTGCGTTCGGGAGTGGTGCTGGGGGTGCTGGTGGCAGTGGTGGGGGGATGGCGGGGGATGATCGGGATCTGGGGGATTCGGTGAGTGCGGGGGTTCTCATGTTTTTTTTTCTCAGCTTTCTGATATCTGGTGTTTGAATCGATAGGATACGAGGCTGCTCATTGTCACGTCGAATTTTGCGTACCTGCAGGCGACACTTCTGCCCGGCATGCTGACGCAGTTCGAGGACGCGCTTGGTCAGTCGACCAACAGCGATCGGCAGGTGAGCTCCCGCTTCCTCGCTTGCCCTGATAAGCGCTGGCCTGACTGACTCGATATTGCACAATAGACGCTACTCAAAGTCGTGAAAGAGCTCGACCAAACGCTCTTCGAGGGCTACACCAAGCCCAAGAGCGCACGCGCGACCTCCATCCTGCGCGAAGGCATCGTCGGCGGCGGCATGGACTGGTACAACACGCCGCAGCCCTCAGAAATCCGCTCATACATGTACGACGCGCTCTTCTTCCTCGTCGAGGTGCACGCACAGGTCTCGCGCACGGGCGACACGCCCCTGCTCGAGCGCGTGCTGCACACGCTCGTCGAGGACGTGGCGTCGCAGGCGCTCGCGTCGTTCAAGCAGGTGAAGAAGTTCGGCATGGGCGGCATGCTCCGCGCGACGCTCGAGATCGAGTTCCTGCACCAGACGCTGGCAAGACACGTGTCCCCGCAGGCGGCGGACACGCTCTCGCAGCTGTATACCCAGATCTCGCACGCGTACGCGAAGCGCCCCGGGGACGAGAGTCTGCAGGCGAGCCTCGATAGAGTGAAGAAGACGCTGTCGGAGAGCAGGCGCGCGACGCATGTCGATTTTATGTGTTTCCGCCAGCCGAGGGATAAAGCGTCCGCGTCGTCGGGGTCGGTGGGGCCGGGTACGCCGGCGAAGGAGAAGCGGACGAGGGAGCGCGGGGAGAGGGACAAGGACAGGGACCGCGAGCGCAGTCGGCGGGATGGAGTGAGTACGCCTGCTCGGGAGCGGCCCCCGCGCGCTGTTCGACCAGATGTCTCAGGCTAGCAGCGTTCGTCATTTTCCATTTTACAACATAGTCTTCTTAGGCAGCGGGTGGACAACAAAGGGACGAAACCGATGGATAAGGGTGTGATTGGGTATATGCACCTCGCACACGTGTCGATGCCAGCATTAGTCCTGAACTAAGTATCCACAGTATGTAACTTTACACTCTATTGATGGAAGTTGAGAGGGCCTGCTTATACGGCCTCTCTATCATATGCAAAATCAGTGTCCGTTGACCACGCTCGGTTACGAGGGACCTGCACGCCGGGCGCTTGCTAGGTCCTAACCTAAACGCCGGGCTTAGCACCCGCAACCTACGCCAACAAATCGACCAGAATCGTAATGACACCCAGCACTGTACGCCACCACACCAGTCAGCCAGCGAACCACTCAATCACAACACAACCTGACAAGGGAAAAGGAGCCCACGCACCGATCTCGATCGCAATCAAGACGATGACGATCGTCTCGAGGCGCTCCGCGTGGCGCGAGGACACGGACTCCTTGAGGAGCTGCAGCATGTCCTGGAGGACCTCGACGCGCGTGTTGAGCAGGTTGATGCGCTGCGGGATCTCAAGGTAGCTTCGCGCGGCGTCGTACAGCGGCTGTAGGTCTGGGTAGCTCTGTTTGTTTTAGTTTGGGTATTGTCAGCACTTTGCTTATGCATGTATGGGGAGAGATAAGAGGGAGGCTCACCCAGAAGACCTCCTAAGGATCGACGACAAAGGACAAGCGGGCGAAGCGGGTGAGTCGGCTGGTTCAGTATAACGAAAAGTAGGGGCGGACGTACAGGTGAGTCGAGCACGGATCCGACGGAGTTGATGTTCGTGCGGAGGATGAAGAGTTCACCGATCTTGCGCATGATTTCTGCGCGGTAATTACAAGGTCAGAACGCGAATCCAAAAAAGCAGACACAGTTGATCGAGAGCATGGGGAGAAGGAAAGCTCACCTTTGTGCGGCATGCCGATCTTGCCGGTCTGTATGATGGCGTCGGGTATGTCCTTTGTGTCCTCTATCTTATTCGAGATAAGCTCTTCGAACTAAGTTACATGCATGCGTTAGATGGCGCCGCAATGGTGAGGCGACCGTTGTTTGCTTACTAGTGATATCTTTGTGGATTGCGAGAGAGCATGCGAAAGCGAGAGTTTGGTCCTTGACAGCTTATCAGCACGAAAGGCAGCCGGGAGCGCAGAAATCGGCTCACATGTAACTCGATCCTTTACGGAGTGTTATAACGTCGTTGTATATTCTGGGATATTGTCAGCTCCCTGCCGTCGTGTCAGAGGCGGTATCTGCTCACCGACTATAATTAGCATAGTAGAAATTAAGGTCCTCCATCTCAACGTCATCGGGGGCTATGTCGCAAATCCTGGTCAGGCTATGCAACAGCAGAACTCGCCAATGAACATACCTAACCGCTCCACCTCAAACCGTTTTCTTGTTTTACACGTTAGCATACATACACCAGTGGTCTGTGCGTCTGAATGAGGGCACTCACATTGACGAGAGGAAACGGCGCTCCTGCGCCTCGGTCATGCCCCAGAGTACGACCGTACCGTAGTCAAAGAGAAAGATTTCCGCCGAGGGCATGGTGACGTCGAAGCGTGTCTTCTTCTTCTTGATGAAATGCCCGCCGTCCTCGGACGCGTGCTGGTGCAGCTCGGGGACGCCGAGGAGGTCGCCCACGCGTTGGTCGGGTTGGCGGGCGGGCTCGGTGCCCTCGAACGAATACGGCGTGTAGAGGACTTCGTCGATGAGCCGCGGGTCCGTGCCGTGCGATGCACGGCGGGCGTTGAAGAACTTCATGGCCTCATGGAGGCGGTAGGAGCTGCGGGAACACGGAGATTGGGGTTGGTAAACACCGTGCTCTGGGGGATAATATCCGCTGAGATGCATGCCGGGCGGGAGGAGACTCACCTCGCTGTGGCATATGTGGTGACGCGGGGGAGCGACTTGGCCTTCTTCTTGGTGAGCTTGAGCGCGTCGCGGCGGGCCGTGCCCTGGGGGATGAGCGAGAGCGAGCGCAGGCGGACCTCAGCGTCCTCTGCCTCCTCCTGCTCCTCGTCCTCGTCCTCGTCGTCACCCTCGTCGGTGTCTCCAGTTGTTCCCAGACTCTCTTCGTTCTCCGGTGGGACGTTGAGCAAGCGTTCCTCGGCCTGGGCGGGCTCTGGCTGCTCGGGCAGGACCTTGAGTTTGCCAGCGACCTTGGTGGTGCGGTTTGCACCGCGAACCTTGGGTTCTGGGGGGTCCTGCTGACGCTGTTTGGGTGCTATGAAGGAGCGTGGTGTCTGTTCTGAGGGCGGCATGTCGTGTACGGGGAACAGGAGCAAGGGCGATAGACGTCGCGCCTGATGAGACCAAACCTCCGTCTGAGGTCACCGCGTCTATAATTAGTAACCTCATCAGCACTGCGACTTTGCCTTGACTTTCACTAGCCTACATCTGCACAAATTGGCCCCATCGTGCGTTTGACACCTTACTAACATTCTTCGACATCCGCCAAACAGCCTCGCCCAAGCCACTTGCTGATCATCACCGACATGGTACGCTGTGGCCCCATTTCGCGCCAGGCGGAGACGCATACATGCTAGAGAAGAACGGTGAATAACACGACAACTAGTCTCCTCCAAAAGCTATCCGTATGCTGTGGCTGACATCCATATACTAGCTTGCGCATCTTAGGCGCTCTTAAACAATTCGATAAATACAGACCACCAGATGTATGCGCACTAGGCAGCTGGTGTTTACAGTTTCTTACAGCAAACAAAACCGTCGACGCAAAGACGCGACTACCCGTACCCGATACCTTCCTACCACCTACGTTCTCCTCATCCTCCCCCTTGCTACATCTTCAATATGGTGGCTCCGCTCCTCATTTTCTGAAGTGAACCCTCCAGACAGCCTCTGGGGTTCTCGGCTAGACGTTTACACAACTTTTGTCCCTACTCCACCACTTTTTTCTGGCTTCCAGCTGCGGCAAACCACCGTCTGGCCCCAGGCCTTCTGGCGGAGGAAGCTCTTTCATTGACGCTCTTTCATCGATACTCTTTCATTGCCACAATGGCTCTTCCAGAGCGGCCTCTAAGGTGTCTTTGCTGGCAAAGCGACTGTCGGGAAAACCTGGAACCCGGATGGACGCGTCTCGACGCATAATTACATTCCGCTACCCGTTTTGACGCGTCGGCAACTACAGGAATGGTACGAACGCCTTCCGAAAGCCATCCCACCCCCGACCCGACGTCGTTGTGGTGCATCCATATCAGCGACAAACCAATCGGAATGTGTTTTTACGCCATGTTTACGCCATTTTGACAGTATCAAGATGCAGGTGCGACGACGTTGGCAACGGGGTTTCTGCATTTGCGTCAGAACGCCCCTCTCCAGTTTTCCGACACGTCGATTACGCCCAACTGATGATTTCGAACACTCATTCCGTCCTTACGAGGAGAGTCCCAGGAAAGCCTTTGCCCTCTCGGTCCCTTCCCTACCTTTCAGACCATTCAGCCTCACTCATCCCATCATCATCCCTCACTCACTAACAGTCAAGCACTGGCGTGGCCGGGCCGCATCGCACTGAGAGTCGCCACGCCATGCGGGTACGGTCGCTCCGGGGGGATAAAATGATGATGCAGCGTCTTTGGTATCCGGTCCTCCGCCCATTCCGCCATCGATAGAGCACCAAGGCCTCGAGGCTCCTTTCGAATCTCTGCGTGTGTGTGCTTCTATCCGCTCAGAGTCCGTTGAGCTGCGCAGAACGTGCGTGTCTCTCCGTCTCACGATCCTTGCCGCTGTCTTTTGGTTGAAGAGACGGCCATTTTGAACATTGTGCCAGTGCTTCCCCCTGACTAATTGGGTTCAAGTATCATTGCATGCCATCCTGACCACCATTCAGGTCGCTCCCATGAACAGGCACGCATTTTTTCATATTCATTATAAGATTTTCGCTTACCTGCGCCAGGACTCTTATACTGAATGGCTCCCGGAAGATGTTCTCGACCCCAGAAATAGGTTTCTACTACTACCAAGATGTTTTGCTTGCTCGACAAATCGAGTCAGGTACAAAACTAACGGTATAGTAGCAGAGAATTTACGGACATAACCGTTCACGATGAAGCGATTGAAAAGGATGCGCCAGGTTGCAATACTGGGCATTTCCACTGGCGCACTCCTGAATGGACATTGTTGATGAAGACGAAGAAGTGATGCGAGATTTCGACCATTAGCGACATCGTAGCTCTCATTTTTGGCCTTAGAACTCCCCGACTGCATTTTCCCCTTCTTTCCCACATGGAAATAGGTCCAGACCCACTTTCGTGAGTGAAGTTGTAACAAATAGACCACGCGACGATCACTTTGAAACTCAAAGAGATCTTTACCACAACACGGTAAGTTTTAGGGCTCTCGGTACACGCATCTCAAAGCATGCAGAGTTACTGAGCTGCCAAAGAAAACATTTTCCTCCAGGGAAGTAGCAACCAACTAAACAAACAAGCAGATTCTTCTCCTGACGATCCTTGCTTGCCTCAATCTGGATCACTTACGGATCGGTGGCAGTCGGATCCGCTCGCAAGGGAAGTTTCTCAGCCCACTCCGACGCGGCGTCCTGCTTCGCTGCTCTCCACAAATACTAGCGACACAGCATCTTGCATCATGGGCTGAAACCGTGGGTGCTACTACCGCTGCTGTCCCCAGGGAAGATGTCACTGAACTGCGTTTTGGCGCTCGCGAAACCCTGAACAAGTGTCAGGCACTATGCGACCCACACGCCGGCTCCTTGCAGCACGCAGCATGCAGTATGACCCTGCTCCTCGCGCTTACGTTGACCTTGTTACCCCGTTCGACGCGCCATGGAAGTTTAACAAATCGGAAAATTGGAAGCTCGTTACATACCTAGCGTGTTAGCGCTTCAGCCACCATCACAACATTCAGTTCTTTGGGAACGCAACGGCGACTTACGAGCGTTGTGTTCGAGTACTCGGGCTGCGCATGCGCAGAACGGAGTATCAGCGGATGCGGCCAGCCAACCGCCGAGAGATAACATTGTTGGAACTCCTTATGTCTACATTAGTATCTGGAGCACCGTTCCATGGTACCGCCCTATGTCCTTCTGGCCTTTTCCCACGTCCCAATGTACCGGAAGACTCGGGGCCCCCCGAGTCCGGCGGCAGGTGCGTGCGCCCTTGTCCTGCTTCTGTACGTTCCTGATGTCAAGTGCTCATACAGTACATGTATGAAGGCGAGTCCCAAAACCACGTTCTTGTCTGCGGGACCCGCCGACGGCGAGCCTATGTAAAGTACAACCTGATCCCCGCTACCTTCTACCGCCTGGCGTGCACATGTCGAGATAGCCCCTGCGCCAGTGTGCGATTCTTGTCTCTCTCCTATCTCCTCTGATGTACGTATGTAACAACAAACCTGGCGTCAATCTAACCTCCCGCGATCCTCATCCGATCAGCAGGCCATTTGCCATTTCCAACGATTTCGCCCTGATCTCCGCTCTTCCCGTTTCACTACCGCCTTTACGCCTCAGTCTGTTCCATCTCGGTGTTCTAATGGCGCCACCGACGAAATGACTTAATCCTCCTCGAGAGATTACGTCCGCACGAACACTTATGCAAGAGCCTCTCTCATCCCGAGCTCGAGACCCTTTTGGCTGGTGAAGATCACCGGCCATATCGCCGGTGTACCAGTGGCGCGTGGTTGCATGCAGCGCGTCAAAGCGCCGTCGCACCCATATACATCTCAAGGCTTGCTTTCTCCAGCCGTCCGCACTGAAATGACTACGTCACCAGTGCCGCGGTTCTCTCAGGGTTTCCTCGGACTCTCAGACAGGGTCCCTCCATTGCTTGAGACAAGTGATTGAAATCTGGGAAGTGAACTCGCCAGTTGCATTTGGCGGGCCGTCCTCCGCACCCAGTGCAGTTGCGCCCTTGTTATTTGATGAGAAATTGAAGAACTAGGCGGCCTCGAACGAGGGTGTCGTTTCAATTTCCTGAGAGGAAAGAAGAATAGGTGAATTGTTTGGAGCTTGGAATACCCACTTATCCCCGCCTTGGCTTACCGCCCGGCCCGCTTTTCGCCGGGCACTGCAAGCTTCAAGCCACGGTGACAAACATGTGAGTGTCATTCATCGTCTTCGCTGAATGACGGATGTTCGGATAGCATGCCAGAGTCTGGAACAATTTAATGATCGCTGAAATGCGAGGCAGCGCACCAAGACATTGCGTCAACTTGACAACAACGTTTACTATATTTATGACGCAATTACACGTGCGAGTTTATACACAATATGAACTAATAACGGGAGATTACAGCTTGATATGCTTCAACACATGCAGCCTCGGTGATATGAATCATTAAAAAGAATCACTTCTTGCTGAAAAACTCGTCCACCTTACGGTCCGTCTTCCTCCGTTTCGACGACCCCTCTGAATTCTGCACACCGCCTGCTCTTTTGCTCTTCCGAGTACCCTGTTCGTCACTCCTGCTTCGTTGGTCAACCTGAACCCCTTCTCCACCTCTGCCTATTCCACTGCCGGCCGGGCCGTCCCCAACGCCTTCTCCGACATCGCCGCTGTCCGCCGCACGATCCGCACTCTCCGAGCCCTTGTCGTGCGCGCCCTCGAGCTCCGCAGTCGCTCTCTCACTCAGGACGGCTTCGTGATCGCCGTGGTACCCTTTTTTATACGCCATCTTTATCCTGGAAATACACCGCTCTTTTTCAAGCTTGTCGTCGAGAATGGGCATTGGATAGTCCCGCCCGATTATGCACCCCGCCTTTTTCTGTACGTCGATCGGCGCCGTGTGCGGGGCATAGATGTACTAGCCGTTTCATAAGCAATGACATTAGCGCCACCGGCCCTTGAGGGCGGGGTAAGCGTGGTGTAGAGTAGAAGCACACCTTGTCCGGGAACTTGGCTAGCTCAGGACAGAACTTTCGAACGAGCTTGCCTGTCTTGTCAAACTTTTCTGGAAAGCTTTTGACGCCGTACACTCGATCTGGAAAAACACACGTGAGTACAAACCATCCAAGGTTTTAATAACACTCGAATATAGCACGGCGAAGGTCACTCTACCGCCGCCTGACCAGAGTGGTGGGTGGAAGTCCGCTAGGTTGACACTCACAGTATGACGAAAAGAATGCAGAGCACGAAAGCCCTGCATATCCGTGAGTAAAACCAGAACACCGACGCATCATCACCGCCGGCAGCACCACACAGCCCAATTTCAGGTCGCCGATGAGCATAAAAGCATAAAGCATCGTCAGCAAGATCAATCATCCTATCTTCTGAACGCACACGCGGGTACAGAGCTGCGCTGCACTTCTGCACGTTAATACTCACACATCCAATTTCCCGCGTTAGAGCACGGGTCCCAATCTATGAGAAGTTCTGTCATGGTTGCATTGTCAACATGAGACTTGGCTATCATTCCGCCTCTAAATGAGCAGTCGTGCATCACCGCGCTACTCACCGTCAAATACTTCTGCGCCGCGCTCCCACGAGATATAGCACTGTCCCCGTGTAAGGAAGCACTGTAACGGCACGCGTTGTTAATACAAGATATACAAAAATATTCGCGTCGGCTGTCATGCACATGCGCGCAGACCAAGAAGAGATTGCGCAAAGGCTCACCGCGACGGAGTGCCTCGCGAGGTGATGTATCCAGCCTTCTAGGCGGAGCTGTCGCATGATGGCATCTATCCATGGGAAGCCCGTCTTTCCCTCCTTCTGAGATTCATGATTTTCGTTAGACACACGCGGTCCACAGTCACCCGCCGCCAAAAGAGTCCCCGAAGACGCGTCCCAGACAAGCAGCGGCGCCACCGGCGTCATACAGAAGCAAGTTCATTGTAGAAACGCGAAGCCAATGCAAATGCAACCTTGCCAGAAGCATCGAAATGTAGCCGCCAAGTTCACGATGTGCCATTTATAGGTTGTCGCACGAAATCGAGGAAGCGATATTGATTACAGGCAGCGTACCCCGGCGTGATTGGCCAGACAACCGCAGACAACGTTCGCGGGGTATGCAGAGCAGGCTGGAACGTCAGAACTGCGTTCAAAGCTTAAAATTCAATGGACTCGCCCATGATTGAAAGCGCTCCTCATCAACCGCGTTTCCCCGAGGACGAGGGACAAGTTTGCTTCCGTCAGCAGCGTATTGGTTCTGTGATAAGTCTTCCTATCAGTTTTTCCGATCCGATCGCGGGTCTCCGAAGTCCACAATCTCATATCTCAACAGAGCGAGACGCACAGGTAGCTTCCAGTCAATGAATCTAAGCAGGGAAGCGCGTTCGAAACATTATTAGCTCTCGGCTGTATTACGGGGAAATGAGGAGAGAGAAAACAAGAGCGGCGATCACGACGCGGAAGCAAAAACAGCCCAGCGTTGCCAGGACTGCAGATCGCTAACCCTGGAAAGATTATCCCAGACGTGCTGCATAGCGAGGGGGAGAAAGCCGTCGAAGGATATCATTGCCCCTCTCCGGAATGATCGCCAATTTACCTGCAGATTGAGTTCCCCCGGACCTGTCCAAAGTTTATTCCCTGGGCACACTCCGCCGCGTAGTACATTTCTCGAAAAAGAAGCTGGCCTTCGAGGTTTTCCGGTGCTGCATGCGTAGAGAGCGTTCCACCACGGTGGTGAAAGGCAAAGGGTTTAGGCTCGGATAACATCTGCAACATTAAAACACGACAGAAGACACACGTTTCGAAGCGGGCTTTGACTTCTTCGCGTCTCCGTTGGACTTAACGTATTCGTCGACGGCGTCCCGTACGCGCCACAGAAATTCCCTCGAGCTAAGGCAGCCGAATTTGAGGTATGGCGACTAAATGTTTTGTACGCGTAAGCTCCAGCTCCAAGATAGCCATAAAAGATATATATAGTTTCCAAAAGCGTTGTGAAAGCCGTCTGAACGTGAAGTACTAGGAACGCACCAAAAGGGTAGTCGCAGGTGGATCAAACTCTGCAGGACTCGTCTTGGGTTTAGCAAAGGTGGCGACGCGGACCTTATCTCTGCAGTAAGCATCTAGTCTTCGCAATGCCTCAGTTTCGCCACCATATATAGATGTCGTAGCTGGTGGGAGTCCGAGCTCATCCATGGATGGTATCGCAAATTCATTATTTGGACCCGCGATATGATCTAGAAAGTCGTCGTAACGGGTAAATCCAGGTCTCAAACTTCCGACATCTAAGGAAGATATACCATAGCAGTGCAACTCCGTCTCACGCGTATCCTCGTTCAGATCCGTATCGCAGCCAATGGGTTGATTTTTGCGAGTAAATGCGTCTCCCAAGTCCGTATCTCCGGGCGGAGGCAGTTTTTCTGGAGGCGGCAGTGGTCGTTCAGGCTCAGGCAAACCTTGAGCTGCCTATATGCGCTCCTTAATGCGCATATACTAGAGAAAAGCGCGCATATATCCCACTTACCTTCCGCCAGGAAGCAAGAGACATCGTGGGCTTCCCGTGGTTTGCAGCGACGACGCGCTGCGGGTCGTACAGTGTGTGTCCATGAACGGCCAGAACCTCCGTGCCGCCAAGCGCCCGCACGCGCTTCACGACCTCAGAGTCGCGGATCGCGGCATATCCCGCCGTATCGCGCTCGTACACAAGATGCGTAATCTTCCACTGGCGGCAGAGTGCTGGAATCGCCATCTGGGGCGGTGCGCGGACCACGAGGAGCCGAGACTCGGGGCTGCGCGTCGTGAGTGCAGCCGAGAGGTCGTGCATGCTCTCGAGAAGGAAATTGAACCTTCAGAGAGCCAATCGCGGTCGTCAGACTAAACGGAGGCTTGGCGAGGGCCAATATGAAAGAAGACTGGACGCACCGATTGACACCGACGCGGTGAGAGAAGACGTATTCGGGATCCCATGTCCAGACCTATGTACAAGCATGCATGTATGAAGAATGAGATGTTGTGAGAACACTAAGAGTAGAAACATAGGGGCTTCGCACTGGATACAGGACTTCGGGGTTGAGGGCGAGTGCTGCATGGAGCGCGGGAGAATCGTGCACACGCAGGTCGGTGCGAAACCAGTAGAGGACGCGCGTCGCCTTGGCCATGGTATCGGGCCAGCTGCTTCAGACTCGAGGGCGCTCTTGAATCGTATCTCGAGGCAGAAGGATGGATCACCGCGGCTATCGAGGCGAACTAGACGTGAGAGGGGAGTTACACGCGGCGGTCGAGGAGTGCGAACCGCAGAGGCTAAAGTAGGGACTCGAGATATGAGCGCGAGACCAGTTACAAACGCGGCTTGCGTCAACAGTCGACAATCAGCCAGTAGCAGTAAGCGCCGCGCACGGCCAAGTATTGAGAGAGCGAGGGGTGGGTGCGTCGACGTCGTCGACGGGGAGGGTTCCACCGAGGATGCGGCACATACGTTGACGCACAACAGCCACAACGATGGCGGGCACCAAGTGGAAATCGCATCTCGCGTCTCTCGATCGTCCGCTGCGTGTCGTAAGCAGCACTGACTCCACCATCGCGCTCGGGCAAACATAAAATCAATAAAGAAGCGTGACGCGGATTAGACGAGCACGTGATGCCGACGACGCGTGGTTTCGTGGCGTGCGATGCAAACTCCGATACCTTCTTTTCTTCTCGCATCGAAAGGATTCCGCGAGGAAACTCCGCGCCCTCGCCTAAGCATGAGAAGGCGAAAGAAGGCGGAACGCAAGGGTCAGGATGGTGCTATGGTTGGCACCGGGAGCTCGCGATTCCAGGGCGTCTTCCTCGAGGGTAGCGCCGCCCAGCAGTACTCACCGCAGACAATCTAGGCTGGTTTCTGAGGGAATATTGTTAGAAAGTGGCGCGAAGACGGTAATCTTTTTCTATGATACTCACATGAAAAGGTAAACTTTTCCACCATGACTTGCCCGATTTAGGAATAGAGTCCGAAGGTTACTGGCCAGAAAGGGAAAGTCCGTCTACTCAAAATTTCCTTACTGCCCGAATAGACAATATACAGCTGAAATATTTACCTTTTCAAACGAATATCTACCGAAAGTGTACCATCTTCACGCCTTTTCCTAATAATATTCCCTCGCCTGGGTTATCTGCGGTGACTGCACATGCAAACCGAAGCTAGATCAAGCCTTTGATCGGCGATGACCATGCTGGCTGGCCCGGCTCATTTGAATTATAATAGACTTTGAATATGCTCGCGCGCATCCGAGTGGATGATCCGTGGTCCTGGACTCTGCTCTGCATGGCGATGGCATTGCATCGCTGTCTGATCGACGTCTTGGCGGCGTCAGCGTCGCAGAAAGCGATCGGGTCTGCGCTGGGTCTGCCAAGATCTCTACACGATTCAATAAGAACAGCGATACACAAAACACATGCAACCAGCTACTACCATCAAGACGTGGAGAAGGCCAGACTGCGCATGCAAGGTCGAGATCCATCCAAGGTCGCATTCGAAAATATGTTTACTACACGCGTACCTGTGTACGTGCTCTACATAACTTACAACTAATATCAAGTATGCAGTCCGTGTGACCAATTGCAAGGTCAGATGTAATTGTATGAATATCGAATCCCTCTAACAAGTAATGCGTGCATGTCCGTATCCACTATAGAGAAGAAGAAAATAACTTGCAGTTGTACAAAGTGATGCCAGCGTCCGTTCTTTGAATGCATATAAGCGAATAGCAAAATCGAACTTCCAATCAGAATAAAACATAGCAGAACCCCACCGTCTCGCGAAGCGAGACTCCCAAGCGACTTCGTGGCGCCACACGCGATGAAAGCGAGGTCTAGGGAGGACACGTTGACGAGCGAGCGAGCAGGAAACGCAACAACGGGGACACATCACCGTTGCCACGATGGTGATGTGCTGCCACCTCCAGCCAACAGAACATCCATGTGCTTCCCCCCTCCCCGACGTGCCCTCGCCACGATACAGGGGAACAGGGGTGCGACGCCAGGCCCCGCGCTGCATGTGCGTTTTTAGCGCGTGCACACGCTCAGAACCCCTGAATACCCGAGACGACCCCACCAGCGCTGCCAGTCCCCACACCCACGAGCTGCTTCCCGCCGGCGCTGTCCTGAACGCCGCCAAATCCGGGGCCCGTGCGCGCAAATCGCTGCAAGAACTGCTCGTCTATGGGGTCGCGTCTTGGATACGCGATTCCCTGCAGATATTCGAGGGGAACGAGCTTCGCTGCTAGCTGCCCCGCGTTCACCACGCCCAGCCGAGGCGATGGCGTCGGGGGAATGGATCCACCAAGAGAACCAGAATCCCGCGACGAAGGTGATGGCGAATCGCGGTAAGTCTGAAGGTGCGAATATGCTGACACTGGCGGCTGTTGGTACAGCGCCGGTGCCGAATACGTTTGTTGCCGCACCCCTGTGCTTGGACTTGAGCTCGAGCTCGCTACCGCGGAAGCCGCGGGGTCCGGGTGAGACGGGAGGGAGTACGTTGTACGACGTTGTGGAGAGAAGTAGCCACTTGAAGAATAGGCCACCGAGGGAGATGTCGGGAACTGAGCATAGCTATTGACATCGGATGGGTCCATCAACCCGGGTTGTGAAACAGCAAACCTAGGTGCAGGGGGTGGCACGACACCACCCTCAAGCCTGGCGGGTGCATGCGCAAGACTCTTCTCCACGACGGCTTTGGGGATGTCTTCTTCTCGCCTCGGGCGTGGTGGGGCACGAGCGCTGCGGAACCAGCCTTCGGGAACGGGCACGTCTCCAACACCGTGTAGTTGGTCAACCGTACGGAGGCGGTCGAGTCCTTGTTGGCTAAAGTATGCAGCTATAGTAAGAAGGAAGCGATTGCATCGATGAGCTAAAGGGAGCAAGAAGTGAGCGATCCAGACGTACTGAGATGCCACTTGCGGGACTGGTTTCGAGGACGGTCTTCAGGAAGGGTGACACGGACACTGTATGTCTGTTTGATGAGACGTTCGGCGTCGTTCCCCGAGCGTGAGCGAGGAGATGGATACATGCTGCGTGCCAAATAAGAACCAGGTCAGCGATGGATCATAATGCGGCGATGTCCATGAGAAGCATCGAAGTTCATCCAAAATGAACAAATGCAGAGAAAGATGGATGGCCGCACGGGAACAAACAAACGTGGCCCCGCGACATGCCAGTCAGTCCTGGGAGCAAACCCGCGGGGACACGTCCGCCATCCTTCATATCCACGGGAGGCGCAGATCGCCGCTAAATCAAAGGACTGATTTGCAAGGCTGACAATGGAAGAAATGGCTGGGATCCACTCGGATGGCTTATCCCATCCGATCAGGACCAAATAAGCAAATCGGAAGAAGAATACAAGAGAAGGACGGACAGCAACAACAACAGAGAGCGAAGAGAGACCGCGCCGCCTACCTGATCATCTGTGCCCATGGGACTTCGATGTTGCTCGCCCGGTCGTTGACGTCGCACTCTTTTTGATGGTAAAACAGAAATTCCTGCGAGGATGCAGCATGATTAGCATGCTGTCTGCAGGGGTGATATGTCGATCCCATTCCGTGCTCCAGCTCGAGACGCGAGGCTGCAGGGTGCAGAAACGCCGCTAGATGCGTGTATGCTGGCCTAGGGCCGCAGACCGCAGCGGCGCCCGAACAGGCAGAGCATGCGTGACAGCGAGGGTACTCACGTCGCGAACGCGGCTTGGACCCCATCCCATACCATCCGTCCTAGGTGGCCGAAAGCATGAGCGTTGAAGAGGCAGAAGGATGGTGAGAGCGAACTCACCAGCGTTCCATGCCGAGACCGGTGGCTTCCGAGTTGGCACTGCGCTCTTCCCAGACATAGACGTTGCCTGGTATGATGGCCCGTCGTTCCTCTGCGTCGAGGCGACGTGTGATGAGGGGGAGTATGTTGCGGGCGACGGCGTAGAAGACGTGGAGGGCGTCTCTGGTGGAGCGGATGCGGGTGTTCTGGAGGGAGGGCTGCTGCATCGCGAGACGGAAGGTGTCTGCGCTGTGAAGGGGAGAGAGGAAGGGAGAGACCGGGGTGGTACAAGGGACGGGGAGGCATGAAGGGAGGGATATATATACACGTCTGTATAGAGTACATAGCTGGCATTAACATTAATATTGTATCAGCGAGTGTGATTCGGCGCGTCACGACTGTGAAGCCCGGACGTCGAGACGGCCCTGTCAACTTTGAATTAAATTTAGGTTTCAATTGCCTCAGCCCATCATCCCTCTTTGGGTCCCGCAATCTCACTCGAATCTGTCCACCATCTCGTCCCTTGCGAACACCCGGCCACTCCGACCGGACGCCGTCCCCTCGTTAGCCGCCCGCCGGATCCCCGCTCCATTTGGATTTTTGGCTCAAAAGCTTATCTTGCCTAATATTCCTTGGCCCATTCCTCCGATATCCATTCCTTTGGAACTCACCCCTCCCACATCCACCCTCCCCTCTCCCGGATCTATCCGCACCCCTCGCCAATCGCCATCCATCCGTCGCAGAAGGCTCGCCATTTCCTCTGCTAATCTATCCATTCACCCTCTTTCTCTCCGACGTTTAGACGCCATGCATGCACTCATCTTCATCCTGCCGACCCCGCCGAATGCGCGCAAGCATGGTCCATGATACTTCACCTCTCACAGTCACTCACTCGCTCGGCCCCCTCTCATCTTCGATCACTGTCATCGGCCACCCGTCGTAGGTTATTGCAGCCACCTACGTTGTTTCTCCCAGCCCTTCATTTAAAATTAATAACCTCTGGCGTTTATAAAGTCCACAGGCACACGCGCCGTAATAAGCTCGCACCTTTGATATATGCTCTCTCTTCTTTGTACGCGATGTTCGTATGCACACATCAGTCACCTATGAATAAACGTCTACCACACAAGTCAGTGGCGTAAATAGGCCAGGTTATTGTCGGAAACCAAGCAGAAGCTCATCTCTGCTTTTCTCATTTCCAATACAACTGATGATGATCTTCGCAGAAACACCGCCGCCCGGCTGCAGATCCGGCTCCCTCAGGTGAGACTGTGATGTTCGACACACCCTCTCTTGTCTCTTGATCCTTCTTCCCTCCCGTTTGTAATTCTGACAGCAAGGGACCACCCTAATCTTCCTTTGTGCATGCAAGCGTCCATCTCAATTCCATTCTTTCCTATCACCGCCACGCACTAACCCTCCAACAACAATGTGCGTGAACAACATCTTGACAACGGCGCTACCAACTGTTTGGGATCGATGGAATCTGTCGGAGACAATGGCAATGATCCCGTACCCCGCACCAGAAGCAAAAGAGCCATTCCTGGCGTACATATGTATTCTTTGCAGTGCGCCATCCGTGGCTACAATCGTGCTGTCGATGTCATCCACCGCACGTTGAATGTGCAGCCAGTTTGCCTGATTGCGCTCGCCATTGATTCCGCGCGAGTAACCATCATGGGCTTAGCCTGTACACGTGAGGCGGGGTACGTTAGGGTACGATGCCACTTTTGTGCATTTCTGGAACATCATAGTTCCGTCTCCGAGCCAGCAGACCTCGGTGGCGTAGTTTTAGGATGAGCGAGTGATCGCATTGTCACATTGCAATTGGACTAATACAGTCGTGCATCATTGCGTGGAAGTTGAGAAGGTGGTTATCAGGAGAAGGGAAGTCGGACACCCATCCAAACCCTACCGAACATTTGTCGAGTGTGCTATTTTCTGCTCCCGCGGAGGCCGCCAGCGAGCTATCGTACTCCCATACCCGCATATGTCGCGATTTGCCAGCGCGAATCACCTCGTAACATATGCGACGACGTTCCCTGGGCCTGACGGAAGCGTCTGGCAGGTCCGAGTTTGGTCAGCCACAATTTCCTGAGAACGCTACCTTCCGATGTGCCTGATGGCATGTGTGTTTCTTCCATTCCGCTTCCATCTTACCTTTTTGCCTCAGCCTCACGCGCGGTCATCACGACCACGCCTCCGTCTCCCCAGGAGCGGGCCCATAAGGTTTTGCAGTTTTGCTTCCGCGCATACTGCCGGCCGAAAGCCTAACTCTCGTGGAAATGGAATGTCAACGCGGAGGTGACGGTATGTACGTCAGGGGGCGTGTCATAGCCAGGAACCGAACGGCCTGTCCATGCACCGCAAATATTAGCTGTCAAAACCTGCCGTCAACGGCACGTCGCCCGCCGCCACGACCGGGGCGGTCCCATGTCCGGCGTTCTCCCAGGCTCTCTCTCCGCCCCGTGACGCGATTGGCCGGCGGTCAGACCGCTCTGTATCTGGTACTGTGCTCTCAGCTTTCGACCAATCGTATCGTCGCAGCAGTGCGCCTCGGTGTTTCCATTGTCAGTCAACTCATTGCAATCTACGTTCTCCCATAGGCTCGGGCTCATCATACCGTAATGCAAGCTACCCACAGCGCTGGAACGAATGATCAGCGCAGCCCCAGTAGAGGTTCGCAACGCGACGAACAACGATCGCGGCGCATACGACCGCGGCGCTGCGGGCTTACGACTGACTGAACGTGCCGCCACGGCTGGGATCAGGCTCTAGCTCCGGCGAGCACAGATCAGGTCGACCTTCTCTCGCGCTGGACGACACAACAAGGAACGGGGGTGAGGATGGCACGGGTACGTGTACGTTATGCAGTTTTACCGCTTGAATTGGGATCATTGATGTGAACATGGACGTTTCAGCATAACGTTAACCTTACCGGCATGCTCGCGGCACAAGTACCCCAGCCACAGAACGCGACGCATCGAAGTTCACCTTGATTTACCGTGTTTTCGGACGGACGGGGACTTAATCTGATGCTCATGCACATGCATTATGGGCGGTAACGTTTGGCGGCCCGTAGCCGCGGTAGCGCATTCAGTGTGGCGGGTTGAACCTTCTCGTCTAAATCTCGCACAGGGTCTTCACGCGTTGGCGGCGTGCTTCTATCCGTCCACGATCAAAGTGCGTTCGGGTTCTGGGAAAGATGACTGAATGGAATTCCGCAGTTTTACGAGGTCAGTTCAGTCTAGGCCTCGCCCACGCGCTTGCACGTTTCATGAGCGATTGTCGAGAAACCACACGGATACCCTCATATCTTGGTTTGCCTGCATAACATGATCTCCATCCGGCACGGCCGCGACTCGAGAGCGTCTTATCGAGTGTGCAGGTCCTCTCTAGCACTCAGGGTATCTCAGTTCAGACGTGGCAAACCAGGGGTAACGGATCCCACTGGTTGAAGAAACGTTTTAGAGGAACGCAAAAAAACAAATCTTTTGCTCCCTCACAGGATCTATCACCGTGCGTTCCTAGAGGCAGGTCCGTACAGCAAATGTCTGTGTATCAATAAGCTGATTCCTGGATCGTGGCAGTCTCGATAATTTCTCTCTCTAGTGCTGCAGGTCCCATCCTGATTCTCTTTAGTCGCCATCGCCATCGAAGATGGCGTCGGCTTTAACCCAGATGCAACTTTCCGACATGAATGCGATGCTTAGCCTTAAGTGCAATTCTAGCAAGATGATCTAGTTGCTAAGTAGCCACAGTAAACTTGATTTACATCAGGCTATTCGACGCCTCACGCCTCCACTCATCAGACAGCCTATCCGAGCCGCAAATAGCACAACACGATTAGCTAGCTCGTGATTAGACTCGCAGGTGCGTGGATCTCGCAGAGGGCCTTACTAGTCACTAGATACACTAGCCTATAGAGATGGCTTCCCCGAATAGTCGTTCTTGTGGCAAAGCCGCGGCGATTCGAGGTTTTAGAAGCGCCCTCGCCCAAGGCGAACTACTCCGAGTCCACGAGTGGCATGCTCAGGGAGACGTCATGGAGCCGACGTTGCTCGGCTGATCGTGATCAGGAGTGCGATGCATGTATACCTGCGGCCCAGATGCAGCTTGGTATGTGTTTGTGTGAGCCTGCAGCCACACCTTCGCTTTCTTAGGCGACCATTCAGACCCACGACGCGGCCCACTTTACTGCCAACTGCCAATAACATGTGTCGTCGGCTGGCTCCGGCTGGGAGCCCGAACGCAGGTCAACCAGAACCAGGGCAGGAATGAGTGAATAAGTGAAGCGCCACGGCGGTGTGATAGGGGAGAAGGGGCCTCTCCACTGAATAAGAGTAGGTGTCCCCGCTCCCATAGAACACCTACCAAGTTGAAAGCTGAGAACGTGTCGCTGGAACCTCCCGAACTCAACGGCCATCGGCGCTGCCGTACGAGCGCAAAAGTTTCGCAGCCCCTTTGCCTCGGATACATACACACTCGTTTACCTTGCCTATGCATGCGTTCAGAAGACAGTTCTTACCTAATTCAAACTTAGCGATGGCATCTCCACTCTCCCTCCCCGGACCATCTGGCGGCCCAGGCCTATCTGGGAAAAAGAGACCGCGAAGCTTTCAGCCTACGTCGCTTCTCCCCGCTTCAAACCCGCCGTCGAAGTCCGTGGGCGCCGGCTGCTTGGTCGACCGTGCGCACTGCGCCCGCCGCGTGGATGCCCGCCACGCTCTGGGCGCTAAAACGAACAGTAAGCCAAACTGTAAGTATGATATCCACCCGCAATTAAACCATTGATATTCCTGGGACAATGAGCGAGGGAACACCCACGGCCGGCCCGCCTGGGAAGGCCGGCCGCGGGAAGGGAAGGGAAGAAGGATGCGTCTGGAAGACGAGATAGGAGAAACCGCTGGAGGGAAAAGAGGTTGCTGCTCGAGGGAAAGGCCGTCTGCGCAGGAGAGAGTCCCCAAAAGTCACCCCACTTCACACCGCACCGTCGATGCGTTCATACTCTCGGGCTTATCGCACAGTGTCCCCCCCCTCGCGAGAGGCCATAAAGCGCCCTTATCGAGCAAATGAAAAGGATGGAGAGTGCGTGCGTAAAAGCGCGTGAATGAGGAATGATTAGGCTATCCCTGGCCAGTCTCCTCGGCGCGGACGTTCTCAAGGGTCACCCACTTCGAAGCTCGAGGCACGCTTCGTCGCCGAGCTTGTTTTGCATCCTTCCGCTTTGGCGCGCCGGGTCGCGGCCCACCGGTCCGGAGCCCCCTCCGCTTGCCACCGCCCACTGGCGAAGCCTGGGTTAACGCGTCTGTAAACCCCTCGGCGGTGGACGAGTGGATACTGGGGCGACTTTTGCGACGCGTACCGCAGGAACGCGTGTTACTTTATGTCCCAAAGCGTGAGGGCTAGACGTCGGGCCCCTTTGGAGCGGACACAAGCCTGAGTATGGGAGGAGAAAGTGGTGCGAACATCGCCGTCGAGCGCAATTTCGTCACAAAACATCTCCGTGACCACCGCCGCACTCTTCTCTTGATGCACATTGAAGACGGGTCAACAGCGTGGCGTGAATACCAGACCGGTGGGCAATCGTGTCAGCCCGGCCGGCCACGTCCCCATTGGCACCGCAACCGCCATCAACAACGGAGCCTTCAAAATGAATTCGAGGATAATGAGCACGGGTGAAACTCCCAGCGCCTACAACCTGTCATTCAAGAAACCATGCAGGTCTGACGTCAACACTTTGCACTGAATTGGAGGCGATCACAGTGGCCCTGTGCGTGGGGCGACGCAACACGTCCAAAGCCTATGTACCAAGGGGCAAGATCAAAAGAGAAGGCGTACGGAGGATATGCGGTCAAACACACATCTTTGGGTCAACGGCGACGCCACGCAGCGGCGATGAGCACAAGGTAGGTTCCGGACAATCGCGGATTCTGCGCTATAATTCCAAATTGCGATCACTGAGTTGGTGTCCGTAAAGCAATAACTGTATCGGTTCCCACCCAGCGCACATGCAACAATAGAATCGATCTCAAGATGCACTCAGAATTAAAGTGCAACTTCGCTCTCGCTTTGGACTTCTTCGATCAATAATCTCTATGGGGCGTGTCTTTATGGTGTTATAATGATTTGGTGTTCTACTTCACGATAGCGTAATCCATTCATTCATCCTTCTTGTTCCGAAGTAACTCCTGCAAGAAGCTGGACTTGAGGCGTATCTGCATACACGTCAGTCTGAATTATGAGATAGCATGACTTTGATGGCGTATTTTTACCTGCTTTCCATACTTGTAGAACACGAAAGGCATAGGCATCATCAGGGTGGCGATCACCGCCAGAATGGAAGACGCCTGTGAGTGCCCAACCTTCTCGTAAAATGTTGCCTGCGGTGAGAAATAGTTTCAGATTTTATGATACGCAACACGACGTCTTGATAAATGCAACTTACACCAACAACCGAGAGTGATGCTGACATCGCCTCCCGCAAGAAACTCTGCCCGCTTACGGCTGATGATGCGTATACGCCATACCTTGGGAGAGAGCTGAGTCAAATCAAATCGTGCTCCGCGGCTGATACTTACCCTTCAATCACGTAGACAGAAGCGACGATAAAGATAATGTGGCCTGTGAACCCCAGAATCATATTGGCGATGATAGACACAACCCAAGGTATAGAGGGCTGAATGGTCCACGCAAACCACCACCTATTCGAGTTCGAGTATTTGGTGAGCAGATGATCAATATCGGTCTCAACGTCCAAACGTACATGGCAACAGGGAACATCACCGCTGCGACCAGACCCCATTTCAGACTCGCCTCTGGGTCCTTTTCACCACGCTTGATCATGGCGCGTTCTTCAGCGCGAAGCTGAAGCGGATAGCAGAACATGGCAATCCAAACGCCAATATACGGTGCGATGAATAACAAACCGCTCTTCGTCTCGTCGAATCCGTGAAGTGCGTAAATAGGTGGGAAAGCCTGGAACAGGACGAACACCAGGCCATCTGCAGGCGTATGGGGTGTTTGTTGTCAGAGGAAGCAGTGGATTCGAAGATAAGGAAAGGACACAGACAAGAAAGGCCATCCCAGAAGCCAAACAGAAGAACAGCAGGCTCGGTGAACAGCATCTTGACGGGCCGGATGAGCGATTCGACCAAGATGTCCCGCCACGTGCGCCGTTGCAGTTCCGAGAGCGCTCGAATGCTCTGATCGCCCGTTTCCTTGCGCAGGCGGCGGGCTCGCGCAGCGAGGAGGGCACCACTCCGCGTCTCGGGCACGAAGAGGATGTACGGGACGGCGAGGGAGCCTCCGACGATCGCGCTGATCCAGAATATCCATCGCCAGCCCAGTGCTGCGTTGATGTACCCTCCGATCAACGTGGCGAGGTAGATGATCTCTGCCTGCAGGTATGATCAAGGTAAGCAAGCATTATACTTTGATACATTGGGTAGAAGATGAAAAGTGCCGGTGCAAGATGAAAGATGAAAGATTGAAAGATGAAAGAGGGGCACAGCCCGTCCGTCTCGCGTGCGAGAGTTTCAAACATTCGAACGAGGTACAGTTATTTTTGGCTGTGCCACTTACGCAGTGTGCCCACACATTTACGGCATACCCCTGTCGAGGATCGTCTTCGGTGAACAAATCCGGGATGGTGGCGACACCCTAGTACAGGAAAAGAAAGTGAGTTAGCCAAGTTAGCCTTTCGTTAGGTTTCGTTTCGTTTGACGGGATCGTCGTCAAGTCATGCAGCCGGCAAGACAGGCGAGGCGACGACGGCACGATGGACTTACGTTGAGCAGAGGCGAGGCAAAGCAGCCGGAGATGAACCTGAGCACGATCAGCTCTGCAATCGAGTGCGTGAGGGCTTGCGGGATCTGCAGCACGTATAGCACGACGATGCAGACCGTGTACACCGGTTTTCGGCCATAGTCTTCTGCCAGTGGCGTGAAGATGACGGGGCCGACGGAGAAACCTTCAGGAGCGTGATCGTGAGTACTCGTTATGAACGCCGAAGTCGCTCGTGAGCAAAACCAGAGACTCACCGAGTAAAAAGGTTGCCTGGGGTATCCTTGCGACGATCGTCGACACATGCAAGTCGCGGGCGACACCGCTAACGGCCGACGCGTAGATCGCGGAGAGCATTGCCGTCCAAATGATCTACGAGTACACCATGGTCGCGGTAAGTTAACATTCGAGGGTTTTTGGCGGCGCAGTTATGTATAACACACCTGCAGACAATTGATGCCGACAACCCAGCACTTCTTCGAAAGGGACCAATTGAACGGGCACTCGGGATCATCGGGCTGCAAAAAGCAGCATACAGTGGTCAGTCAGACAATAACCCTCTTTTCATCGCGGCAACGAGGCTCACCGCCCACTGAACGATTTTGTGTCCATCCACTTCGCGAAATGTGCACTGTGTTGAATGGCTGTTAGATCCAGCCTCGACAGCGTCGGGCCGTACTTCCAGCGTGCAACTGATCTGGTCTTCGGTGACTTCATCGCGCGAACCCGCGGCTGCGGCATTGAGGTTGGACATCTCCATGGCCATCCCGTTCTTCAAGTGATTGAGGGACCTCGTAGAGGTATGGGGGAAGTGAAAAGAGCCTCAAGTCGATGGCATGCAAACCACATGGCAGCTGTTAGCCGGTTAAAATGGTCTGGCCTGACAACTGTCTGACTCGATGCTTGGCCACAAACCTTTGGGGCCAGTCACAAGTGGCCTAACAGTTGCGTGGTCCAACTGCGGTGCCGCGTCATTTGGAGGTTGATCGTAAGAACCCGCGGCATTCGGCCGAGTGGTCCGCCTACATAGAATGGCACCATAAGTTAGAATACAAGCCCTTGCAGTGTCCGACGTGGGCGTGGCGGCCTGCATTCAGTACCGTTTAAGGAACCCGCAAGACACTCGCTTTATCCGCAAATGTTTTAAATCATACTAAATAACCAGCTGGAACGTGGGAAGAAGTGAATAACGCCAGAGCCCTTACAGGACCTGCTCAACTAGTGTAGGTGAAGTCCGAGGAACAACTGAGCTGTAGATTACGACAACTAATGGAGAAGGGATGTACTGATCCAAGTTCTAATGGTGAAGCCATAAAATCCAAGCATTTAGCCATATCGGTGAATTCGAAGATGCAATCACATAGGGATGACGGTGTTGAAGGCGTAGTCCCAGATCTTACTGGTAACACCAAAGCCGAGCTCGAAGTTCTTGTAGTGGTGCGCGAGGTGGTACTTCTTCATGTGCTTCAGATATGCGGGGAGCTGGGTGTGGTGGAGCGCGTAATGCATGGTGTCGTAGAGCACGTCTAGTGCAACTCTTCAGTGCACGAAACAGGTTTAGCAACCGAAAAGAACTTACAGAACGTGAAGGCGCCCGCGATGATTCCGTTCGCCATGGCAGTCGGGAAAAGGAGGTACGCGAGCCTCGTGAAAGGAGTCTCCAGGATGAAGAACAGCGCCGGGGGCATCACCAACCGCAGCCTAAAACGATGTCCGGTCAGCAAAACTGTTGCGGAAAACAAGGGTTGACGTACCGGTCCATAGGGAGGTAGTGATGAACACCATGGACAGTGAAGTGCAGGGTCAAAGCCACAGGATGGTCGGGCAGCATTTCATCTATGTGGAACAGGAAGCGATGCATGCCGTACTCCAGGAGCGTCCAGATGACGTTGCCCAGGAAGAAACAGATCACCGTCTTGACCAGCGCATCAGTCGTCACTTCGGACGTGAGGGACCAGGGGAGAGTCGGGTTCTGGAGGAACGTGGGAATGGGGCGCGTGAACTGGACGGCGGAGCGGAGGAAGAGGTTCGCGGCGACGGGGAGCCAGATGAAGGGCACGACATACCACACCGTCCGGGTGCACATTTCGAGGATGCTCCATCCGAAGAGGCGGGGTGAATCCGTAAGGTGGCGGGGCTGGTGGACTTGCTTCAGGTAATATGATTTACTGCGCAAGCGTTAGTCATCTCACAGAACAAAATTGAACGAGACGTGGATGCGGTTCACCTGAAATTGGAATTCCACATCTGCGAAAGCAGGGGCTTGCGGAGGTCCAGGAACTCATTCTTCTCAAAGTCCGCCGCCGTGTCCGTCACCTCCGGCTCAAAGTCATCAGGGGCAATCCAGTCTACAGTAGTCCTAAGTGTTCAGCAACGACAGTCGTCTTGATAAGACAGAATGCACTGACCTTCCCCCTCGAGGTTCGACTCGTTCGTTCCGAGCTTCCCAATGCAGTACTCCTGCAGAATCTGATACGCCGCATCCGAGTGGTCGTGCTCCTCCGAATCCTTCATGACGCTCTCGACATCCTGGCCGCCATGCTTGAGAATATACTCCTCCCCACCGGGGTGGTCGGCAAGGAACTTGGTAACGTCGTAGACCTTGCCCTTGTAGGTGATCCAGCAGCTGTTCTCCGTCTTGTGGCTGGTGACATCCTCAGTTGCGTAGATGCGGGTGCGTTTAACGAGCGACATGGTGGGCGGTATGAAGAGTCGTGCAAACTGCGCGACGCTGTCCCGTCAGAAATCTCACCACTTTCCAAACTCCCGATCCAGAAGCATGATTAATGTTCCCACGCTCTAGGTAAGCAGACGCCGGCTGCCGACCCGCAGCGCCGCAGCTGCCATGTCCGCATGAAGCCCCTGTCTCATCGCAAGTGCTTGGTCAAACGGATGGTAAGTATGCACGTTCATTAACGTTCATTGATGGTTGATACTCCGATATGCCAAGAACACATAAGTTGAAGTAATCTAAACTTTACCGATACCTTTCACAGCCAACTCCTTACTCCACGCTCTTAAGATATGTTTCTGGACTTTGCCACTGGCGGTCTTGGGAAGCTCCTCGGGTGTACCGTCCTCACCGAGGAACCACACCCAGGAAGGCGCATTCTATGAAAACATCAGTCACGCCATGCGTCAATATAGGACCACAAAAAACGCATTACCTGGGGATTCATGCTGCCGGCGACTTGTCGGCGCACATCTTCTCGCGAGAGCTGGGCGCCCGGATGGGGTGCGACCCAGACGCCCACAACCTCCCCGTACTTCGTGTCTGGCACCGCGATAGCCGCAGCCTCACGGATCAGCGGGTGAGCGGTCGTGGCGTTCTCGATTTGGACTGGGAAGAGGTTCTACGGGCCCGAGAGAATTAGTAATGTATTGAAGTGACGCAACGAGGATGACCTACCTCGCCACCACGGATGATTATGTCCTAGAGAACACTGGTCAAATAGGCGAAACGTCGGTATTTCTCATACGCACCTTAATTCTTCCTACAACTAATGTAGACGTCAGTGCACTGATCACTGGCTTTCAGTATGCACGCTTACTTTTGAGGTAGCCTTCATCATCCATGATGGCCTCATCTCCAGTGTGCATCCACAAGGTGCCTTCAGCATCCCGCTTCATCACTTTGTCAGTCTGCTCCTGGTCATTCCAGTACCTATGCTATGTTGAGAAAATGCACGGAGAAACTCGCTGAATGCTTACCCCTTGTGCACCAAGTACCCAGCTATGTGGAGTTCACCGGGGGTGTTCACAGGTGCGACGTTGCCCTCTTTATCCACGACTTTGGCTTTTACGTGTGGCTGAACTTTACCAACAGTCTCGACACGCTTGTTGATAGGATCAGCCGCGACGGTTTGGAACGACACAGGGCTTTGAACCACATCCCACAATTAGCCCGCCAACCCGTCGGAGCCGCAAGAAGTGTTCGCCTACCTCGTCTCGGCTATAATGAGAATAAACGTGAGTAGTAATTCCAGGTTCGCTGAGTCTGAGAAGGCGCACTCATGCCGTATGCGATGGTGAGCTCAGTAAGATTAAGCTTGTCGATAAGCTCTCGCATCAGGTCGATGGGTATGGGAGAGCCCGCGGCGATCCCAGTCCTGAGATTTCGCGTGTCTGGCCGTTCTCCGGCGGCTATCCGTTTCTCCAGCTCGGCGAGTACGCCAATGAAGTGCGTCGGAACACCGTGCAGCGCTGTGCATTTCTCGTTCACGACAGCGTCAACAATCGACGGGGCGCAGAAGGTTTCTGAGGGATAAACGATGCACGAAGCGTGAGACCAAGCAGCTAGGTTGCCTAGCACCAGGCGTGCAAGGCAGAAGACAGGTAAGGTCCGAGTTTGAATGCCATAGAGTATAACCAGACTTATCAAAGCAGTGGAACAGAGGAGGTACATTGCCTAGAAAAAGGTTATGAGCAAGTATGCAAGGACGGTTATCAGTACGATACGCACAAAGCACGTCTGTAGGCCCAAGGTTCATACATCTCCCAATCGAAAGTCCGTTATTCAGGACGTTCATGTGAGTTAACTGAGGGAATGACGTGAGTGAGTCATCCTTTACTACCAAATGATGGACCTACAGAAACAGCCTTTGGTGCACCGGTGGTACCGCTGAGCACAGTCAACACGAGTATGTTTCGTAATATGTATTTGCGCACCTGGTGAACTGCAGGTTGATGACCTCGTCAGTATGTAACGTCTTCCCAATCTCCTCTACCTCTTTCCGTTCCCTGCCATCTTCCCGCCACATCATGATTTCCCGCCAGTCCACAGCACTCTTGACGTTGTCAAGCTCTTTTGCAAATGCTTGTTCATCGGGGAAGTTGTTCGCGACGACTAAGTTACGGAGTGTCGGTATAGCGGGCTCTTGGATGTCACCCGGACGGGAGTTTTTCAAGTCCGGGAATTGACCAGCGAGGCCGTTGAGGTACTGCGACTTCCGGAGCCTCGGGACGATGAAAAGGTGGTTTACTCCAGCGGTGTTGAGATTCGTGACCTAGGAGACTTGCGATGAGCACTCTTGTTCCTTCCAACACCAGAGACACGTACGAGTTCATGTAACCGATACGCCGGATTTATGGTGACCAAAATTGCGCCTATGCTCGCACACGCCCACTGCAGCGTCGCATAAACGCTGACCACGCCAACCACGGCACCTAAGTTACCCAATCCCCGCGCGAGGATCGTGATGGGCCATCCAGCTCACCTGTGGTTCCCCATGATGACTGCCACCCGGTCCCCCTTCTTCACGGCCATCGCGAGCAGCCCACGCGCCGCGGCGCCGATATGTCTGTCGAACTCGTCAAAGTCCCATGCGAGGTGCGTCTGCACGCCGAGGTTGCGTGAGACCGGTCCACCGTGCGAGCGCGGTCGCTCCTCCCTGCATATAAACGCTGGACGCGAGCCGTGCTTGTCGATGATGTCTTCCTTGAAGAACTGGTAGAGAGGGCGCGTCTCGAGAGGTGGAGTGGCCGGGCCTTCGACGGCTGAGAGGGTCAGAGAACGACGTGTGCCGGTGCTGGCGATGGGTGTTCGAGAGAACGTATAGCTGTTGAGGGCGGACTTCAATGGGGTCCGGGGTATCCTCACCATGGTGGTGGCTTATGTTCAAGAAATATGCGTCAAATGCGCGTAACGCGCCCGCCGACCAAGTCCGAGCAAGCTGTCATATGGTATTAGGGGTGAGGTCAAGCGAAGCAGGTGTCACGGGGACGGGTTCCACGGCGGCGACGCGTCTTGGTGTGACGCCACCACTCTCTTTCCTCAACGCGCACCACCAGACTCCAGACGTAGAGAGTGCAGAAACCGAAACTCGACGTCGCTTATCCAAACAAGAGGCGACACAATCTTAACTATACTTTGATCACTCGAAGAGTCTACAAAGAACTATCGACGTAGCCGTTACGCAACCTTAAGCAGCCGACACCAGGTCCAATCCCCCCACTAGAGTTCACTCCGTCGTGCCCCTGTCAGTCCTATCCAGTCACTCCAACAAGGCTGAACTCCGATGGTCGGGAGCCGCCCGGGACAACAGCGGCGACGTGCTACGGATAGAGCGCGTCAACTGCGTCAGCTCCCTGAGGAAGGCCCGACGGCCCGCCGCTTCTTCCTCAAAAATGCGCTGGTCTTGTTTAGTCTGCTCTTCTATCCGCTTAGCACAAGCATCGATGCAGCTCTTGAGCCCCGTGAGGGCGGAGGCTATTGCCTTCAAGGTGCCATCTCGGGATTCTGAGCCCAGCTGCAGCTATTTAAGCATCGAGTGCAGCGCACAAGAACTTGTCACAAGTGCTCACCATCGCCGCCTCCCAGTCTGACTCTTCGGGCGTCTCCTCTCGTGTTCTCTTGGTCCTGCGCCGCTTGACTGGACGCTCGCTATCTCCTTGCCGCTTGCAAGTGGCATGCAGGACGTGGCATTGCATGCACGAGCTACCCTTCGTCTTCTGCTCGGGGGGCGTGCACGTGTCCTTTCCGCAGGCAGTTGTAACAGGTCGTCAGCCATGTTTTTCGAGCAGGTTCTGCGCCGGTTCCCTCAAGTTGCGCGGCCGCCATTTCCCGGGCCCTTTGCTCCTCTTCCTCCACCCTTACCCTCCGGGAAACCTCAGCCGCAAGCTCTGACTGCCGCTGGAGAAGTTCCGGGTTCTTGCGAAGGCGGTCAATGCCCCCCAATCTCTGATAAGTCCTCAGTGAGTAGTGACTTGAGGAGGGCATCTGCAGACCCGAGGAAGTTATCAACGTGCCCCAGCTGGCTTCGGAGGCCTTCAAGGGTGTCGAAATTAGGATCAAAAGGGGTTGCAAGGAGTTGGAGGACCAGGTCCTCCGGGAACTCGGAGTTGATGCTCTGTTCATTGTCGCTGGTGGACATTATGGCGGGTATAAAATAAGTTTTGGTAGTGGCCCGAATGTCTTTTATCCGGTAACCACGTATTTCAAGCTCCGTATTAAATCTAGGAGTTCCTTCGCTTATCTACTAGAGGGAAATTCAGGGTCGGGTGCTTCGTTCAATACTCCGTCGCTCCGGAGATGCGTACTTCAGTCTTCTTGTAATGTTATCTTGTCTGACTTAGGGACTTTTAAATTTCTGGCATGTACAGTTCCTACTCTGCGTTGTCTCCAACACAGCTTGCTCTAATGATTAGAGCAAGAAGCCCAAAACATCTGCGTTGGACTCTTTGTGGTTTCCAGAAATGTTTCGTAGTTACCGAGCCACTTTGTAAATGATAGATTTGCTCTGGCAGATTATGCACAGTCTGTGGTAACTTTTTATCCTCTGTCCTTCCTATTTTACCTACAGTTCTCATTCTTCCTGATCTCTTTGTACTACCACTGCATATATCCACCTGTTTCTTCTTCTTCTTTTGAGTGTCCCCCAGATGAGCTCGGGTATGTACATCTTTTATACTACCCGCTCATTTGTAGCTTTTAATGAACCTTAATTATTAGGCAGATTAATAATTCAGTATCACTCAAGGCTTTTATGTAGTCAGAGTGTGCCGGTGGGAAGGCAAGGACGGTTTGTTTGGCTAGCGCTAGCCGATCCAGGCTCGGGCGGAAATGACGATGAATTATTGACCAAAAGCACAATGCGGGTATTGGTGATCATTGTAAAAAGTTTATGAATGCTGATGTAATTATCAGATTATGCATGCGGTGAGTTGTGAGTATCGCCACTTCGATGGAATTGTATGTTGTTGCAAAGGTGTTACTCAGTGATTTGGCTGGTGCACCGTAATTACAGCTATACTAGTACTGTATAGCCTGTCCGCAGACACGACTGTGTCGCCAAAATGGCCTGTCCGCTCGCATGATGTTCAAGTTGTCGACGCCGGCCGCGGCTGCCTGCATATTCTAATCGCGCGAAGATTCCACTAGCTACGGTAGGATCTGTATCCTACGAAAAACTCTGATATAATAAGATAACCTACGACACGTTATGATTGCGTTATGATGCGAGCGAGATCAGAACTTCACGGATTGTGGGGGTGGGCAAAGCCCGCGCAGCGGGCGTGCCCCCTGATGGCCGGTTGCCTTTGGCCACAACACCTGTAACAGCTGTCTTGTCATCATTTAGATTGCAGATTATTCGATGGTGAATAGGTTTTTGGCAAGGTTTTTGGTCGCAAAGTGTGTCAGGGAATAATCTTGAAGTGTATTATCAAACCTTTTTCAAGATAAATTATAAGAAATGACTGTTTAGTGTTCTCTATCTCCACTTGAAGTGTTTTCCTCTGCCAAAAAGATCAAAATATCTCTGCTCTCGCTGAAAGCTAAATACGGACATTTAAGCCTCGAAATTTTGTTTGAGGTATGTGCCACATGAGTAGATCAAATCCTTCAAGCAGATTTTTCATAGGTGGTTTGGTTCCTGCGTTGTCCATAATCGCGGGTTTACAGAGGTTCAAATATTGGTTACAGGGGTGCTCCCACAAAAAGACAATTCACAGTCAGGGGGTGGGCACGCTGACGAAGGCGTCCATGAATGCAATCGTTAACAGGGCACCTATAGTGCCGTGACTAGTACTTTCACCGTCCTCACCCCCTCCGGCTCTGAGATTGATTGAATCTAGTGCACCAAAGGCGCGAGGCATTATGCTGTGGTAAAAAAAATAGCCGATGAATACCGTCCGAGGTATAAATAGCAAACACAGGATACAGGTATTGAGTTTAAGGGTCCGCGAAAGCGTGCACTGACGGCACAACAACACACGGATATTGTCAACTGGGATTTCCTGTGTCTTCGAGAATGTGTCCAAAAGCGCCCTGAGTTCATACAGCTGTCGTTCCTCGAAAAGGTCCACCAGAGCTGCTGCGACGGCAAACTGGGGGCCGATCTTGACAGACAGTGATTGAATCTCGAGTTCAGAGGGAGCGACGGGAGGTAAGATAGGGTGTTGAGTGTGTGCGATATCTTCGAAAAACGATCTGAGCAGGAGCGCGATGTCGGCTTGGGCGTCGAAATCTGCCATATCGAGAGGTAGAATGACAGGGCTTCTTCGTGCAACTCTGTTCATGAAGGCGTATGGGCGACTAGTCATGACGATGTTCAGGAAGTTGAGGAAGCCCTCTTGACGTATGGCTTCGATAAAGAGGTTGACGAGCGATAGGAAGACGTGACGTTCATCGTTCAAAGCTTCGTCTCTGTCAGAGATATCGAGGATGATAACCATTCGCGTGGCATCATTGTTGAAGCAATGTCTCATGGACTTGAGTGGTTCGAGGATGAGGTGAACAAACTGGTCGCGACGGGACCTGTCCGGACTGAACAGCGCTGGATCGTCGACAATTGCTTTGGTGATGGCTTCCTTGGCGCGAGGGTGCATGAGGCCTAGTTGGTAGGATATCGTGGGCAAAAAGCGGTTGGCAACACGGCTGATAGGATGCTGTCTAGAGGAGAAGAATGTGGCAACCCGAGCACCAGAGTTCTGAAGCTGCTGTGCAAAGGTATACGCAACAGCGGACTTGCCCGAACCAGCGTTGCCAGTGAGCCAGATAAGTTTGCGTGGATGGTGATGGATGGTGTCATGTAACGTCTCAAGGAGGTGTATGCGAGTGCCCTCGAAGCACAGGGGGAATGGCTGTCGCGCTGGGGAGTCGTAGATAGCAGAGTGATCGCTTTCTTCTGCGAGTCTTCTCCATGCAATGACTTGAAATTTGGCAGTGTAGGATGTGTGAGACATGACCTAGGCGGTTCGTGTCGTGTGCTACAACTACTGATGAGAAACAATAACTCATACGCGACATGGAGCAGCATCGCTCACCTTTGAGTCAGCTTGCGTCGAGGGCGACCAGAGGTAAGGGGGGGTCTACAGCACTCTTGCTTGCAAGAGAGTCGCTGTGCCATTGCCTCCACCACGCGTATCTCATGAAATAAACGCTCATAACAAACCTGAAGCGCCCAGACTCAGCGGGTCTATCAGTTGTGTCCAAGGTATAGGGTTGAAACGCCGACGGGGGAGGCGAGCGAATGTCACGATGTAGTTGACAGCCGGTTTGGATTCTTGCTTTGATAACATCTAGGAAAGAAGACGAAGATTAATTGCCTTTAAAACTTCAAGCTGGGACGATCGCGGATTTGACTGGACGGACATGTAGCAAGGATAGATCTGTGGGCAGTCGCCGAAGGTGAGCCATCTCCGGGCGCAAGCTCCTAAACTTCGCCTGCAAGGTGATCACGGAGCAAGGGAGAGCAAGCGTCAGTAATGCGTGCACGGTGTCAGTGATCAAGCGCTCACCTGCGTTCCCCATGATGACTGACATCCGATCTCTCTCCCTGACGTCTACCGCGAGCAGCCCAGGCGCCGCAGCGCTGTTGTACCTATCGAACTTGTCAAATTCCCATGCGAGATACGCCTGCTCGCCGAGGCTGCGCGAGGCCGGTCCGCCGTGCGAGCGCGGTCGCTCCTCCCTGCATATAAACGCGGGACGCGAGCCGTGTTTGCCGATGATATCTTCCTTGAAGAACTGGTAGAGAGGGGGCGTCTCGAGAGGTGGAGTGACCGGGCCGTCGACGGCTGAGAGGGTCAGAGAACGACGTGCGCCGGTGCCGGCGGGGGATGTTCGAGAGTGTAGGGCTACCAAGGGCAGACTTCAGTGGGGTCCGGGGTATCCTCACCATAGTGGTGGTGGCTTATGTTCAAGATAAATGTGTGCGTAAGTGCGCGTAACGCGCTCGCCGACTGTCATATAGCATAAGGGGTGAGGTCAAGCAAAGCGGGACCTGTCACGAGGACGGGTTCCATGGCGGCGACGCGTCTTGTGTGACGCGACCACTCTTTCTTCTCAACGCGCATCAACATCTGCTGAACGGGTATGGAGAATGCGGGGAGCGAAGCTTGAAATTGCCTTCACAATGCTGAGGGCATTGCTCAGCCCACGGAGACTCTTTCAGTGAGCGTCCAAATATTGAAGGCTGCACCTAGGATTCGGCTTGGAGTTCCGATGACCACCCTTAATATTGGTACTTAGGTGCCGATCGTCGTGGTCCTTGAGCTCACCGTGTGCAGTCATCCGAAATATTGCACTTCTACTTCCTCAATCATTGGGAAACAACACTCTTATCCTGCCTTCTCATGAGGTCTTGTCCCAGGCAACGTTCCGCGTGGCTTGTCGTCACCGCACACTATGGCGCTGCTGGCTGTGCTGACACTCATCATCCGCGAAATTGCCTCGTGAAGCCGTAACGGTGAAGTCTCCCTTGGTTAATCCGAACATCATCCTCGCACAGTAACCTAGGGGTTTACGGCGCCTTGATTGACTTGTCGCCAGGCAGATACTTCCGCCGGCAAGCGGCCATTTTCCGGAGGCTTGGCTGTCAACCACGAGGCGATATTCACCCGTCCGTCTCGATCCCAGCTTATGTCTATTGAACCTCTCGCCCATGTGCGTTGGTCACCTTTGTTCTCTCCAGGAACACATCAGGGATGACCTACCTTGCTATGCTGCATTATGCTGCACGGGAGCCGCTGGCGTACCTGACGACCTGCTTTCCCCGAACCATGTCGCTTGTTGGGGCCTATTGAGGCATTATCGGCGGTTGAGACGATACGGCGTCTTACTGCCAACGCGCCCCGTGTGTCGCCTTCTCCTGTATAAAGAGACCACCATCGGTCAGGTCTTTACATCGGCAAGTCTCAGTTTTTCTTCTCTAACTCAGACTCGTAATGGACGCCTTCGCCTCTCTCCTTGCCTTCGTCGCTTGCGCGTCTGCGCACGGCGGTGTCCTCTATTACGCCAACGGCGGCAACTGGTACGATGGCTGGCAGCCATACAACACTCCCACTGGACAGACGTCCATTCAGCGTCCATGGTCGAGCTAGTGCGTCATATTATCTGCTCTCCAAAGTCCACATGCTAGATATCATCGAATGTATAGCAACCCGATCCAGGATGCGACCGACCCTACCATCGGATGCAACGACGATGGCACCGCCGGTGCTCTGCAGCTCACCGCCACGGTCGCCGCCGGCTCTGACATCACCGCATACTGGAACCAATGGCCGCACCCCACCGGGCCCGTCATGACCTATCTCGCCGACTGCGGAGGCGACTGCACCAGCGTCAACTCCAACACCGCTAAATGGGTACGCATTCCCTTCTACCCCCATCTCGCATCAAGCCGTTGACACAGCGCTTTCTGTCTACGTCGAACAGTTCAAGATCCAAGAGGCCGGCCTGATCAACGGCACCGTCGCCAGCGGCACCTGGGCCGCGGGCGTGATGGCCGCGGGCAACTCGTCGTGGACGACGACGATCCCGGCGACGGTGCCCAGCGGCAACTACCTCATCCGCTTCGAGACGATCGCGCTGCACTCGATGCCCGCGCAGTTCTACCCCGAGTGCGCGCAGATCGAGATCACCGGCGGCGGCTCGCTGCAGCCCACCGCGGCCGAGCTCGTCTCCCTCCCCGGCGCGTACTCGAACACCGATCCCGGTGGTGAGCATCGTTTGCACCTCTTCATCCTCTTCTCTTTTTTTTCTTTTTCCTTCGTGAGTGTACTCAGCGCGAACTCACAACACAATCCAGTCAACATCAACCTCTACTCCGAAGAAGCCACGACAGAAACATGCTACCAGATTCCCGGACCCCCGCTCTACGGCTCCGACGACAAAGTCGCCACCTGCGGCTCGACGACAACGACGCCCCCTCCCCCCTCCTCCACGTCCAGCTCTGGCACCGCCCCCACCTCCACCGGCAGCTCCGGGTCCTCCGGCGGTGGCTCCATCCCCCAGTTCGGACAGTGCGGCGGCACGGGCTGGACCGGCAGCGGCAGCTGGTGCGTTCTTTGTCTGCCTAGTGTTTCGTTCGATCGATGATGGCTGACCCGTTTATTGCGTCTGCTCGCAGCGCTTCGCCCTACACCTGCCAGGTCCAGAACACCTACTACTCGCAGTGCCTCTGAAGTGCTTCGGTTTCGTGACTAGCTCTGGGATCGCTCGAGGGTTTTATGCTGTCTATTGTTATTACACTTGTGTATTAGTATGCGGGGGTCCTTGTGATGAAAACTGTCTCAATAAACGTCGTGCCGTCCAGGCGACTGGCACCGCTGTACACGTCTACATTGCAGCGTCTTTTCTTCGAGCAGTTCGACCGGCAGATCCAACAGCCCTCTGCTAACCGTCCCACTATCTAACAAAGGGGAACATCTGAATCTATAAAATATTACGCACGACATTCGATATATACATTGACAAGTTGATATCGATCATACATTAACTCTAGTCAGGTAAAATAGGGATAGACATCGGCCCTGTCCAACTCATGTGCACGAAACCCAAAACCTGATCCATCAGATAAAAGCAAAACAGACGACGAGCTCGAGACGGTCTACGTCCGTGCAGTAGCATTAACGCACTCCGCCTTCCAGTCCCCCGGCATAAGCTCCCGCACGCGCTTCTGGAACGCAGACAGCGTGCAGAACTCCGGGGCGCCGGGCAGGTGCTCGCCCTCGCCGGCGCAGAACGGCATCGCGAGGTTCTTGTTGTCGTAGCGCAGGCGGACATCTGTGCAAGGCCAGCCAACAAGTGTGATCAGTAAGCAATGGATTTTAAAGGAGGGAAGAGGACGGTCGGCTAACAATGTTCATCGTCTAGAGCCTTGGCTTTCCAAAAGTTCATCACGGTCTGGAGCACACCGGGCTTCTCGACCGGCGCGGCTTTCTTGAAGAGCTCAAACGTGATGTGAGCAGTGAACAGCGGCCATCTGCTCCCGTCAGCCTTGAGAGATGCCAAAAAGAGAGAGAAGGAACGTACCGTTGATCATATACGTCAAGGGTATTCAGCAGTGCGGCTATACCGGAGTCGTGCGTGCTGTGGACGAGCAGCTTCGGTGCGTCCTCGGGGGCGACTACCATATCTTGCATCTTCCGAGAGAGTTCGGTAAGCAGAGGGCCCATGGCTAGTTTCCGGGCCTCTTCTGTGGTAACTGTCAAAGGATCACATTCAGTACGTGTAGCTCATGTGCCGAGGGCTATTTCCCAACGTACAAACTAGAGATTGGAAAAGTCAGAACTTCGAAAGATGATAAACTGCCGCAAACCGACTACGAACCTCTGAACCACTCGTCTACAACAGCATCTTCCTATGGATACGTCAAGTAAGTGGCAAAGGCGAAAATCATGCAACACCCACAAGCGGACGCATAAGCTCATCGTCCCGGAACTCTGAAGGCAATTCGATATCATGAGCAGCAGCAGCGCGGATCTGTCCTAGCTATCAGCGCCGCGCCTATCAACCACAAGGCACCAGACGTACGGTATCCAGGAGACCAGACGCTCTCGGGCTTCCATTGACCTTTACAGGTTTTCCGTCGATGTACTTGGAGACCTTGTCGTTCAGCGAGGCTAGCTTGGGATTCCACAGCGTGGCAGCAGCTGGTGTGCACAAGTGAGACGGGTGTATTTCCTGGAAGCTTGGAGACAGAACAAACCTTCCGCAAACTGCAGCTCGAGAGCGGCGAGCCGTGGACACGCCATCGTGTTGCTGACCAGGTTCTCGTCCACACGGTTCCTAGCGAGGACCGGTTAGCCCTGAGACGGTAGTGGGGTGGGCAGGTTGAACTCACCGGACAAGCAGCGAGGGAGCAACACCGGCTTTGCGCAAGTTGAGTGGGTAGAGGCCATGCATGATGTACTCCAGCGATTCAATCGTTCGTGGAACATTCGTCGAGCTTGGACAGACTCAGAATTTGCGAAGCCCATGACAAGAAAGGACAACACACCGGAAGTACACGTCCTGTTCTTGGCCAAGAACGTTCGGCAGGAGCCCAAGTCTACATGAATGCACGGTCAATCTCCTTTCACCACACGCGAACGAAGAAGTCCCAGACTAACTTGTCAATGTACAGCTTCCGCAACGCCAAGCCGTAGTTCAGCGTCGACTACACAAACCAGGAAGAAGCCGTCAGCATAAGTTAAACACGCCAAAAACTTACAGCACGACTCACCATCCTCCCCGTATCCGTTAACTCCCCAAGCAAACTACCCAACCCAACCCAAACCCACAAAACATCCTCTCAGCAATCCACATTCCACTCCACACAAAGGCAACCACGAAATACTCACCAAAGCCCATCCACAACCCTCCCATCCGACGTCTCCACTGCGCGCCGGAACGGCCCCTGTGCGCCCCCGCCCTTGCCGTTGTTGAGGAGGTCACCCGCCGCGTCGAAGAACCGCGTCGCCTGCTGGCACATCGCCCAGTTCTCCGGGATCGACGCCGGCGGCTCGTTCATGCGCACTTTGACGGGCGTGCGCTCGCCTTAAGGGCCGAGAGCCAGAGCCGGGGTCCGGGGTTGGAGTTGGGGCGGTGGACAATGGAACACGACGGCGCATCGAGGTGTCGAGGCACAGCAAGACACAAGGAAAGCCAAAAGAAAGAGGAAAAGAACCACCATATTGAGCACCCATCCACACCCACAAAATACAGCGTACTCACCATGCCGCACATACACATTCACCTGCTCCAGCTCGAGCCCGTCCGGCGCAACCGGGTACCTCTCGACGTCCAGCGGGTTCTGCTGCATTGAATATTGTAAGTGTAAGTCAGACGCGTCCATATCACCGACGAAAACGTAAGGCTGAAGCTCACAGGAGTGTATGAAGCCGAAACGGCCGTTTTGGCAGTACTGATAACCATAGCTTCGACGTGGTGGTTCTGGGCTGCTCCCGACTGTGCTAGCAGCAATGATGACAGGACAAGGAGGAGGAGCAATGACCACGGAGCACGTAGGACGGATGTCATGGGACGAGACGAGTGATGCAACCTTTGGAGAATCGATGCAGAAGCTGAGTCCGCGGAGCCAAGTCGGGAAGTCGGGACCCGGTGGTGAGAGTTTGCGAGGAAGAGGGAACAGCGGTCCGGCGGCAAAAAATGTCCTTGAGGTTTCCCGTCAACACGTCGCGTGGCACGCGTGGTAGCCTTCACCAAAACCTTCACACTTTTATTGCTGCTCACGAAAACATCACGAGTCTTTATATCCATGCCAATACAGCAAATCGCGTATGGATTGCATTCCGTACAAACAAGTTAATGGACAGCATAATTTACAACGATACAATGTCCTTAGATTTGGTAGGGCCCTACAGCACGGCTGTTGGTTGTCACCGACCATTCCAACAACCCTTCCAACAAAGTCACCAGTCGTAGGACGCCATCTAGGGCTTGATAGCAATCTTGAGGGCACCACGGCTGTTCATCTTGTCGAGCGCAAGTTGGTAATCTTCCAGCTTGAAGATGTCAGTCACCATTCCCTTGACACGAACCTTTCCACTGTCGAGATAGGCGACGGCGCGGGGGAAGCAATACGCCTGCGAGAACGAGCCAATGATCTGCAAGGACATACGTAAGCAATGCCACACTATCCAGACGCTATTAGGATACTCACCGTGATCTCATCACCGAAGATCTTTGAAGGTGGCCAGTGAACGAGCGCCTTGTTCTCGTAGACACCGTAGATCATGAGGGTACCACCACGACGGACGTAGTTGATGGACTCATTTGCCAGCTTCTCGACACCGGTAGCCTCAACAACGACGTCAAACCCATATGGGTTGCTGGTCTTTAGCGCCTCCCACTGAGGTCCGGGGTTTTGTCGGTCAAGCTCGATATACTCGTCGGCGGCCTCCAGATCCTTGGCAATGTCCATCTTGATGCCCTTGTTGGCAGCAATGACGACGCGGGACGCACCGTTCAGCTTGAGCAGCTGAGCAAGGATGAGGCCGGTAGGACCAGCACCCAAGAGGAGGACCTCGATGCCGACTTGCGGGTTCAGCTTGTCAAGACCATGAATAGCACATGCAGCGGGCTCCAACAACGTGGCATCTTCGTCGGTCATGTTCTTGATCTTGTACAGCTTCCTCTGTGGGCTAATCGGCGAAATCAGGGAGGGAACCACCATAACCAAAAGTAGACTTACTAGACGATGTAGTCAGCAAAGCCACCATCTAAGGTAACACCACGGGCTTCGAAGCTCTCGCACATCAGGGGGGCGCCGCGTCGGCAGTAGAAACAGTTGTCGCACTGGATGGCTCTTCAGCATGACTCGCTAGACAAAGCAATGCTCATACTCACGGTAAGACTGACGTCCGCGACGCAGCGATCACCAAGTTCGAAACCGGTAACGTTCTTGCCCATCTCGACGACCTTTCCGATAGCCTCGTGACCGGGGATGAGCTATAAAGGACGATCAGCGTCAAGAGCGTGAAGATCCGAAAAGATGTGATAAGACGCACGGGGAACCTGGAGATGAACTCTCCGTCGTGAATGTGACCGTCCGTGCCGCAGACACCTATTACATGGGTACTTTAAATGCAAATGGGCAGCATACATGCATGTCTACTAACCACAGCAAGTAACTGTTGTAAGTTGGTTAGCAAGGCTCAGAACACACTCCCAGTGAACGAACCTTTGAGAAGAACATCGTCGTCGCCAACCTTGGGGATGGGGACCTCTTTGATCTCAAAGTCCCGAGGCTATTATGCGACAGGGGACGGTGAGACACAAGAGGGTACATGAGTGGATCAGATGGTACCTTGTTGTACCAAAGCGCTTTCATGGTTCCTTCCGGCATGGTGGGCAGATGATGTGGAGGACGACGAAGGGAAGAAGGGAGGATGAGGGTTGAGAGGACTCGTGAGCGAAATTGGCGAGAATTTATACGTCGATAAAGATGATTGCAAGGTCGATTATGGCAGGTCAGATAACTAGGAACCTTGACGTCATCTCACCTGAACCCATGTGCGAGAACGACGCGCTCAATGGAATGTCATGGCCACGATTGGAAGGTGATACCCGGGGTCAGCCTGACCTTAACCACACTTTAGGGTCACTTGTTCAAGCGCTCGGGTATTTTTTCGGTCGGCGTCGCGTGCCGTCAAGCCGCGTACACGCTCCCTCCTTATACAAAAGACCGACGTTATGCTTTATATCTAAGACGTCCGTCCAGCAACTCGTGCAAGAAGACAACGAATCAGTGCTATGGCTAGCCGCCATGGCTCCATACCGGAAGGAGCTTCACAACCGTCTGCCACTAGACAGGCGCTCAACGATGTCGCATTTGGAAGTGTACGTCCGTTCGCTGAGAATCACTCTCCTCGAGCTAACCTTGTTGTGGTCAGGTGGCGGGCATGGTAGCAGAAGTGTTTGAATACCCGCTCGATCTCGCCAAGGTTCGCCTTCAGTCCCAGGTCCTCGACGGACAAAAGCGTTTCGGAGGACCGCTCGATTGCCTTTCTCAGACATGGAGGAACGAGGGTGTTTTGGGTCTGTATCGAGTACGTGCGCTGCCATGAAGGAGAACCGCTGAAACTCATACCTGTCTCAGGGACTGACCGTGCCCATCGTCGGGTCAATGGCTCAAACAGCTGGGTTGTTCCTGGCGTACAGTCAACTCCAGAATCTAGTCCGGTGGTCTACCAACTCACCGCCCTCGTCCGACCTCAACCTCACTCAGCTTGGTGTAGCCGCTGGGGGCGCCGGTCTTCTGACGAGTTTCATCCTGTCCGTCCACCAAGTGCATATTGCGTGCGAACTCATGACCTCGGTCAACTAACCGTGCGCGCTGTTTTGCAGGACCCCGCTTGAGCTCATCAAGTGCAAGATGCAAGTGCAGATGATATCCGCACCTCTTCTCGCACCCCAAATCCCGTCGCCATCATCCACTTCTTCGACGGCACCTGGCGCTTCAAAGGGCTCACTACCGGCTGTGAGGCGCACACTGCCCGGACCCCTGGCTTTGGCGACTGGTGTCCTTAGGAAGGACGGGATACCGGGTCTTTACACCGGCCACGTTGCAACCATGGTCAGAGAGACGGGCGGTACAGCACTCTGGTTCGCGTCGAAAGAGTTTGTAGCTTCGACACTCCTATCGCGACGCGAATACAGTTCGCTTATCCCTTCGAGCTTGGAGTCCACGAACCCCAACACTGCGCTTCTTCCCTGGGAGTCGGCACTATCTGGTGCTGTTGCCGGAGGTGTATGCGTTCTGGGCATGTATCCCGCGGACACTGTCAAATCAGCGATGCAGACGGCGGACGATCTGCATCCACCAGACAAATTCACCCCCTCTCGGCATCTGCCACCACGATACTCATTCTGGACCATGACGAAGGCGATGTACAAGGCCCAGGGCCTTAAGGGACTTTACGCGGGCTGTGGTATGACCGTGGCGAGAGCGATCCCTTCGAGTGGGATTGTGTTTGTCGTCTACGATGGGCTTTCCCAATATTTTGGCTGATCTAATTGCATTTATCCCAATCTCCGCTTTGCCAAGTTACATTACATGCTCTATTACTCTACGCATTTTCGCTCATCGTACGCACATTATTACCATAGATCTAGACCACATTATCAGAGAATACCCAACTCATGAGCCAAGGGCGTTTGTAGCTGAAAAGTCGGCGCGTCTGAGTCCGGGCCGAGTAAGGGGAATAAATGCGGCAGGCGGAGCAAAATGTTCGGAGGCCGCACCCACGTCGCTTCTGTCGTTCTTGTCATCGGATCGGCCGAGGCTAAGAGTACCTCCTCGCCAAAAAAAAGTTGTGGGGATGGCACCAATAGGGAGCCAGTATGTGAGTCATACTCACCTCATAAATACTTTCTCAACTTTTCTCTTCTTCTCCTAAACGTGAATCTCTACGACGAACAACAAATCGACGATGGCGGAGAGCAGCCTGCCGCGCGTGCTCGGACGCCTGCAGAATCTGCCATCCATCTCTCTCCCCACCGACTATCCACGTCCATCGGGCACCACCCGCGTCATCGAGGCCGCCCACATCGCCGAGCTCTCCGAGCAGACGTCCCTCAGCCTCCTCAAGCTCGCGCTGTACACCGAGGGCGACGACCTCGATGACGACGATGCGGCGATGGCAGAGAGCAGGCCCTCCGCGTTCCACCTCCTCCTCTCCGCGTTCTCCGTGCTGCTCTACCGCTGGACAGGCGACACCGATCTCGTCATAGGCTCCTCCTCCGCAAACGCCAACGCCCCTCTCATCCTCCGGCTCTCCGTCGACCCGACGGACCCGTTCTGGTCGGTCGTGCGCCGCGTGCAGCAGGTCGAGCGCGAGGCCGAGTCCGATCTGCTCCCGTACGAGACGATCGTCGAGAGCCTGCGGCAGGGGCAGGGGCAGGGGCAGGGCAAGGACGCGATGGCGGCGGCGGAGGGCGAGAGCGCGCGCCCGCTCTTCCGCGTGCGCTTCTTCGACGAGACGGACGCGCCGCGCGAGAACTTCATGCGCACGACGGGGCTCACGTCCGACCTCACCGTGTTCGTCACGCGCCCGCCGAGCACGAGCCGCGCGTCGCTCGCGCCGCGCCTCTCGCTCCGCATCCTGTACAACTCGCTCCTGTTCACCGCGAGCCGCATCACGTACATCGTCGACCAGCTCTCCGTGTTCCTCCGCAAGGTCGCGGGGAACCCTGTGCTCCCTGTGGGCGCGGTGCCGCTGCTGACGCCCGCGCAGCGCGAGACGGTGCCGGATCCGACGGCGGATTTGCACTGGTGCGACTGGAAGGGCGCGATTACGGATGTGTTCTCGCGGAATGCGATCGACCATCCGGATAGGCCGTGTGTCGTCCAGAGCGTCCCTGGCGATCTGCCGAGCGACCCGCAGCAGAGGCGGACGTACACCTACGCGCATATACGGAAGGCGTCCAATGTCCTCGCGCATCATTTACTTCGGAACGGTGTTCAGAGGGAGGAAGTGGTGATGATCTATGCACATCGGAGTGTCGAGTTGGTCGTCGCTATCATGGCTGTGTTGAAGGCGGGCGCGACGTTCTCTGTCATCGGTATGTCCACCGCTCCGCCTTTGGTCAGACTAGCATCGCTGACTGGAGTGCGTCTCAGATCCTGCGTACCCGCCCTCGCGACAGATCATCTACCTCCGGGTCGCACAACCCAGAGCGATGGTCGTCCTCGCCAATGCCGGCAAGATCCAGCCCACCGTTCGCGAGTTCCTCGCCAGCGAACTTCGAATTCGAGTCGAAGTCCCCGCTCTCGACTTCACACCGGAGGGAGAGATCGTCGGAGGCATCGAAGGGGAACTCGACGTTCTCAGGACTCAGAACTCGCACGAGCTGGGAGAGACCGATCCGAACGTCATACTCGGGCCGGACAGCATCGGGACGCTCTCGTTCACGAGCGGAAGCACGGGCATTCCGAAGGGCGTCAGGGGCCGGCATTACAGCTTGACGCATTTTTTCCCGTGGATGGGCGAGCGCTTCCAGCTTGATGAGACGTCGAAGTTTACGATGTTGAGCGGTATTGCGCATGATCCGATACAGCGCGACAGTGAGTTCCTTTGTCCAGCGATGCGACGATTTAGTTGAGTTTGCCGTCAGTTTTCACCCCCCTCTTCTTCGGTGCGGAGCTGCACGTCCCCACCGCTGAGGATATCGGCACTCCGGGTCGTCTAGCTGAATGGATGGACGACAGCAAGGTGACGGTGACCCACTTGACGCCTGCCATGGGTCAGCTCCTGTCTGCCCAAGCCACAAGACAGATATCTTCGTTGAAGAACGCCTTCTTCGTCGGCGACGTCCTCACAAAGCGCGACTGTATCCGCCTGCAGTCTCTTGCCGCGAACGTCCGCATCATCAACATGTACGGCACAACAGAGACGCAGCGTGCGGTCTCGTACTTCGCGATCCCGCCCGTGTCGGAGGACGCGACGTACCTGGCCACGCAGAAGGACATCATGCCCGCCGGCGAAGGCATGGTCGACGTGCAGCTCCTCGTCGTCAACCGCGCGGACCGCACCGTGCCGTGCGCCGTCGGCGAGGTCGGCGAGATCTACGTGCGCTCGGGCGGGCTCGCCGAGGGCTATCTCGATGCGGACGCGACGGGCGAGAAGTTCGTGACGAACTGGTTCTCGGCGAACGCGACGCCGCGCCGGGACACGATTAAGCAGCCGCTGCAGGGGTTTGCGGGGCCCGAGGCGCGACACTGGAAGGGCATACGCGATAGGATGTATCGCTCTGGCGATCTTGGGCGGTATATGCCTGACGGGCGGGTGGAGTGTACGGGCCGCGCGGACGATCAGGTGAAGATACGTGGGTTCAGGATCGAGCTTGGGGAGATCGATACGCTGCTCAGTCAGCATCCGCTCGTGCGGGAGAACGTTACGCTCGTCCGGCGTGATAAGGACGAGGAGAAGATCTTGGTCAGCTACTTTGTGCCTATCGATGGGCCGAGGATGAACGGCTTTGCGAGCGAGGTGACGGACGACGAGGATGGCGCTGGTCATAAGTCGATTCCGAAGTACAGGAGGCTCATCAGGGATATCAGGGAGCATCTCAAGAAGAAGCTGCCGAGCTACAGTATTCCTTCGCGTACGTGGATTCTCGGAGGCGTGTTTGACACTGATGTTGACTCAACTCATAGTCTTTGTACCGCTGCATCGCATGCCCCTGAACCCCAACGGCAAGATCGACAAACCCGCGCTCCCCTTCCCCGACACCGCGCACGCGCACGCGGCGCTCCCCGGGACGAGCGCGAACAAGCGCGACTCGCGCACGCGCAAGGCGAGCTCGACGGAGGCGAAGCTGCAGCAGCTGTGGGGCGCGATCCTGCCGAACGCGCCGTCGCCGATCCCGCCCGACGAGAGCTTCTTCGACCTCGGCGGGCACTCGATCCTCGCGACGCGCCTCGTCTTCGAGATCCGCAAGAGCTTCGTCGTCGAGGCGCCGCTCGGGCTCATCTTCGAGCAGCCGACGCTCGGTGGGCTCGCGGCCGCCATCGATGCGCTGCGCGATCCCGATTTTGGGATCGCGTATAAGGACGCGCTGGCGAATGGCGGTGGCGGTGCGGACGCGGTGGCGTCGGATAAGGCGGCTGGGTCGGAGTATGGGCAGGATCTGGAGGGGCTGATGCCGCGCCTGAGGGAGACGTATGCGCCGCTGCCTGCGGACTTTGAGACGCTTGCGATTACGGTGTTTTTGACTGGTGCGACGGGGTACCTCGGCGCGTTTGTGTTGCGGGACTTGTTGAGGAGGACGGAGCGTGTGGCGAAAGTCATTTGTCTTGTTCGTGCCTCTGATACCAGCCAGGCGCTCGCGAGGCTGAAGGAAGGGTCAAGTGATCGTGGTGTTTGGGACGATGCGTGGGTGACCGATGGGAGACTTGAGGTCGTCACTGGAGACCTCGGGAGAGACCTCTTTGGCATGGACCGGGATACCTGGGATAGGGTGGCGTCAGAGGCGGATGTCGTTTTGCACAATGGTGCTTTGGTGAGCCATATAATTATGACTTGGATGGAAACGTCTCTGACATTTCATCAGGTGCACTGGGTATATCCCTATGAGCGTCTGCGGGGACCTAATGTCCTCGGCACTCTCACAGCCGTTGAGCTTGCTTCTACTGGCAAGCAGAAGTCACTGGTGTTTGTGTCGTCAACATCGGCGGTTGACACGGAGCACTATGTGAGCTTGTCTGACAGGCTTGTCAACGACACGCGGAACAACTACCGCGGAATCCCTGAAAATGACGATCTCGAGGGTGCACGGACGGCACTCAAGTCAGGGTACGGTCAGAGCAAGTGGGTATCGGAGAAGCTGCTGTTCGAAGCAGGTCGTCGCGGTCTGAGGGGCCATATCGTGCGACCGGGTTATGTTGTCGGTGATTCGCAGACTGCTGGTAAGCCACCGCCACTTTTGCAGTCGCAGCCGTAGACCTCACCCAGTATTTTAGTCACGAACACGGACGACTTCATCTGGCGCATGGTGAAGGGCTGCGTTCAGCTCGGCCTGGTGCCCAACATCAACAACGGCGTCAACATGGTCCCCGTCGACCACGTTGCCCTCATTACCGCGCAAGCGGCCGTCGCACCCGTACCCGGCGCCACCCAGTCCGTGCTGCACGTCACCGCGCGGCCCCTGCCGACGTTCAACGAGATGCTGTCCTCGCTCGCGCAGTACGGGTACGCGACGGAGCAGTGCGAGTACCTCGTCTGGCGGCGCCGGCTCGAGCGGCACGTCATGGAGGTGCAGGACAACGCGCTGTTCCCGCTGCTGCACTTTGTGCTCGACGACCTGCCCACGAGCACCAAGGCGCCCGAGCTCGACGACGCGAACACGGAGCGCCTGCTCGGGGGTGTGGCGGAGGACGTGAACATGACCATCTCGGACGCGCTCATGGGCAAGTACCTCGCGTGGCTCGTCGCTGCTGGCTTTTTGCCCGCGCCGACGGCGGAGAACCCCGAGAAGACGCTGCCCCCGCTCGAGAACGCGGCTGCTGCGAAGGCTGCGGGACGAAGTGGGGTGTAAAAAACAAAAGTAGCCGGGAGTGCTACATCCAAAATTCTTGCTTTATGCTGTGTTGCCTTGCTGTGATTCTTTTGTATCATTTTCATGATAGATGCACTGTATAGAAGTAGCTTTGAATTCAGATCAGCCGAACGCTGGCAATGTTGTACCATCACCTTAGTGCATTACTTAGTATGAGAATGAGGCTAACGACTATCCTCATACGTAAAGGACAATATTTCCCCGATCTGACATTAGGGCCTCCTACATGTGTAGCAAGCGCGTAGATCGATTTTATGGGCACAGCCTAAGTTACCCCGTCCAGTCGAGTGATTCCAGCAAGACAATCAATGAAAAGTTATGCTACACTTTCGCCGATATTGTCGAACATTACGATGACTGCGATCAACTCAACGTACTAAAAGCTAAATACAAGCAAGACTATTACTACGAAGCAAGGGGACAGTCGGAGAATGAAATTGACCCGAAAGTCAAAAGAGGGCAAAAAGGGTCCAACTGGGATTCGAACCCAGGATCCCTTGCAATTGTGTGTACCCAAAGCAAGTATCTTACCACTAGACCATTGGACCGGTTGAAAGATGTTAATCTGTACCATACTTATTCACCGTTGTCAGCTGAATTCACCAATCGTCTTTCGCCCATTCTTTGCCTACTACGTCATCACCTTTCCTGGTATGCAAAGTCCTGCTATGATGAAGAGGATAGCGATATCTCTCGAGTTTACTACCTTCACGACTTACAATGGCTAAGAAAGTGTTGATCCTCATCGCAGATGGTACGGAGGAGATGGAGTTGTACGCCTTCCAAGCCACAAGACCGTCCGATCCCCATGCTGACCCAGCCCTCCCTCAACCTGGCTTATTCACACATACGCAGCACCATCGCATACGACACCCTCGTCCGCGCCGGGATTGAGTGCACGTCCGCCCTCGTCTCCGCTTCTTCGTCCGCGACGCATGCGACGTGCTCCAGAGGAGTCAAGATCGTTCCTGACACGATCTTCAACCCGTCCGAGTCTGGTCCCGTAATGCGGTCTTTGCACGTTGCCGCCTTCAAATGCTAACTGCACGGAATCCGCTCGCATGTAGGAAAAGTACGATGCGCTGATCGTCCCAGGCGGCGCGCAGGGAGCCAAGACGATATCCGAGACGGCGGCGGTGCAGGAGCTAGTGAGGGCGTACCACGAGAAGCCGGGCAGAATAGTCGGTATGATTTGCGCAGGTGGGGCTCGAATTACTTCCTGCGGTCATCGCGAGCAGAGCTGAGTTGGCGGTGGTTGGCAGGCAGCTTGGCCGCGCTGACATCTGCCGATGGAGGCGACACCATCGGCGAGCAGGAGCTTACCTCGCACCCCTCTATCAAGGACCAACTTAAGGAGAGTGAGTGGTCGATCCTTCGCGTTTGCCACGTGTAAGCTTGACTGCTTGACACCATCCTTGCGTCATACGCAGAGTTCGCGTATTCGGACGAGCCTGTTGTCGTCTCGAAGTCCGGAAAACTCATCACAAGGTACGCGTGCTCGCACTTTTTCATCGTCATCTATGCGAATGCATTTGAACGAATGATATCAAAAAACTTTGCTCTAGCCGTGGCCCAGGTACGCTTGATTTGCGTTGCGTTGTCTGGAATCGTGTGGGTGGGTTGTTGACGAGCGGATCACTTTCCAGGTACTGCGTTCCCATTCGCATTCAAGCTTGTCGAGTTGCTCGCCGGCGCAGGCAAGCGTGATGAGACTATTGGACCCATGGTTTTCCCCGCAGGCACACCACTAAAGTTTTGATGCAAAACCTGCGGCACTTGGCATGCACACGACTTCTCGAGTTCTCCAGGTCATGATGTGGCTGAGCACATATCCACAAGGAATTCGGAAGAGCGTCATTTATTGCTAGCGCTGGCTTGACACCAGCGAGCGTCGGGACACTGTCATGATATATCTGTATTGATACATGTGGTGCGAATACATGTATCCTCAATCCGGGGGATGAACGCTTTACTTTGTATCGTATTCTGCAGGCAGCCTCGATCCTCTACCCGCTACAGTCTTATGTATATACGCCAGGAAACATAGAGTCATCGTCGACTCTGAGTCGCTTGATGATCCACACCAGGCCCGGGGAACGAGCTCACGGATTTTACCAGGTCGATCATCGTTGACCCAGTCGGGTCCGGTCTTGCTTAGGTCTCTAGCTTCATTACAACGCCGGTTTCATAACGTCGGCGATAATAAACCTATGGTGTTTTGGTCTTCCAAAAACAGGTTCTATCAGGAAACATTCCATATCACCACATCAAGAACGAGTGGGTGGTCTTGACGGAAGTCGTCAAAAATCGGAGCCCCTAGCGATGTTCTGCTATCTCAGACATTTACTGGAACTTCCTGCAGATATGCTGGTCGACTCAGAATAGGGGGAAGGCTGGACGCCCTACTATTGATGAAGCCTGAGTAAGTATGCCGCTTTATCGGCTCACAGATGGACATCCACGCCGTGCCCACGATAATCGTCAATCTAATCCCAATACTGGGTGCGAAAAGTCTACGAGTTTCTCAACGCAAACCGTTGAGGCGTCAGGTAAGCTATCAAAACGGAGCAGGTATGTGCCTATATAGTGCTGCGTCAATTTGGACCCTCAAATGACATTCATAAAGTCCACCGGAGCCTGGCTAGCGCCGTGGACCTCATCCCTCGAGACAGGCGACTAACCCAGGGAATTTGAGTTTTCCTGACTATTCTGACAAAACCGAACGAGCTATCTCGCTATGACATGACAGATAGCCTTGGATATTGTCTGTCATGACTTGTGTTCCCGTCTCAATCGCCTAGCAAGCGAAATTCTGAAGAATGATTCTGACTATAATTTCCTTGAAGTGAAGAAGCTCTTAGACTACGCTCGACTTGGGGAGGACATCAACCTGATAGGTGAAGCTATCGCTCTGTTGAAGCAAGACATCCATCACCCCGGGTGCGTCAATTCAGGTTCCAATGGGCTACCCAAGAAAATGAGCTCATAATTGACTTCCAACAGACTTGCTCCCTATGCCTTAAAGCTGCACCATATATTGCAGACAGCCCTTCGTGACGAAGGCAGCCTCGGTCCTTTGCCCGCCACCGTCAGAAGACTACTTCTTGCCCTTGCCAATGCATTGCAAGCCGAATGGTCGTCCATCACGATGCTCCAGCCTGAAATCATCTGGCCTGTTTACTAGCTCTACTACGACTCTTATGTCAAAAAAAAATTCAAAGTCATCGCTTACTCGCTTGATATTCCTTGTCAGGGGGCGGCGACACGGAATTTCCCAGGTCGACTATCGTTGACCCAGTCAGGTTCGGTCTTGCGTGAACCTTTAGCTCCCTTACACCGACACGTCAATTACGCTGATAATTACTGTACAGATGCACGTTCCCCGCCAGGATGGTCTATAACGGTTTGACAAGCTCAAGTTGAGTCCAAAGATGGGCAGAAACGAGAGTTGGCAGGACAGGCGAATGACAGAAGTCGGGGGAAAGGGTGGCAAGTCGAGAAAATGAAAGAGAATAGTGGGAGCATGTAACTGGAAATGCGAAGATATGCAAAGAACATGCGCATGGGAAAATGACTAAGAAGAGATGGACAAACAGCAATCAATATTTGACTCGGACTCAGACGCTGAAATGAAAGACCTTAGACTTGGACACAAACGCAGCCTGAGACAGACGCTTTATAATGACTCTAGCATCCTCAAAACCAGCTCAGTTCCGAAGTCACTAGCTGTAGACAGTACAAGGGGGTTTGAGTTCGTAGATACACTTCCGGATGACGTTCGCGGGATGACGTGAATATTATGGCATAATTGAGACGCTTATATATGCATGCACTGGATCTGACCCCTGTTTCTCGCGCTGCTGTTCCAAATCCCCCGAGGTTTGCATGCTTGTCCCTAAAGCCCAAAATGTCCCGACGGACGTCCTAACTTCTCTTCCGGACGCCCGTCATGCTCTTTATTCTGGTAGCAGGGCTCGGTGCATTCGTTGCCTTTCTCTATGCGTATATCCGCCTCAATGACGCAAAATTGGAGGTTCTCCCACCCGAGGCAACCAAATACTCACCCGAGCGCTTCACTCCGGAGAGCACACACGCCGTAGCCGAGAAACTAAAGAGGGAGCCGATCTCGGTTAAACAACACTTGCCGCTCAAGACTGGGCGTCGGTACATCGTCATCGGTGGTGTACGTCCAAGTTCTAATCATCGCTTTGCTATTACGATGCATCTTACTTGAACCCTCTAGGCTGGGTTCCTCGGCGGATGGATAGTCCTTCAGCTCATTGAGCGCGGAGAGGATCCACGACGCATACGCATCCTCGACATTCGCCAGCCTACACGGCCCGACCTTTTGAGCGGCCCAGCCAAATCCGTAGCCTTCTTCAAGGTCGACGTTTCAGACTCCAAGGCCGTCGATGACGCATTCACCGCCCCCTGGCCCCTCCCAGAAGAAGATGCACACACGACCGTCTTTCACACCGCCGCCAACATCCGCTTCTACGAGCGACACCTCTCGCTCCTCCCCCGGTCGACGCGCGTAAACGAGCAGGGCGTGCAGAACGTCATCAGTGCAGCCAAGGCGATCGGCGCATCCGCGATGGTGTACACCTCCTCGGGGTCTGTCGCCGTGCGCCGCTCGCGCTTCTGGCTCTGGCCATGGGAGCGGGAGCCCGCGCACTTCGTGCAGCTGATCGACGACAACGACGCCCTCGTCCCGACGCGGCACGATGACTTCTTCTCGAACTACGCGGCGAGCAAGATCCGCGGAGAGCGCGCCGTTCGCGCCGCGCACCTCTCGCCTACCAGCAAAGACGGACGCAGGCTCCGCACGGGTTGCGTCCGACCCGGGAACGGCGTGTTCGGGCCCGGCGGGGACATTCTCTGCGGAGCGTATCTCGTACGGAAACACAACCCGACGTGGGTCAACCACATCCTCCACTCCTTTGTGTACATTGAGAATTGCGCGCTCGCACACCTCCAATACGAGGCGTGCCTCCTCGCCTCCTCGGCCGACGCCCCAAGCAGCAGCGGCAGCGCCTCCCCGAGCAGACCAGACGTGGGCGGCCAAGCATTCACCATCACCGACGCCGGCCCGCCAATGACATACGGCGACGCCTACACCGCGCTCAACACGCTCGACCCAGAGACCGTCTTCCCGCGCATGTCCTCCACCGCGATGCTCCTCCTCGCGCAGCTCTTCGAGGCCATCTACCTCACCCGCGCCTTCCTCACCGCGCCCTCCGCCCCGCCCCTCGTGCGCGCGCTCGCCCGCGCGCTCGTGCCCGATCTCGACGGGGACGTCGTCAATCTGCAGCCGCCGCTGTTCGCGCTCACGAGCGTGCACCTTGTGTTCGACGACTCGCGCGCGCGGCGGGCGCCCGAGCAGGGCGGCATCGGGTACTCGGGGCCGTACACGTCGCTGCAGGGCCTGTGCCGTACCGCGGAGGATTATTTCAAGGCGGGGCAGAACGGCGAGGAGCGCTCGATGTCGGGAGGGGTCAGCTTCGGGTTTGGGATGGTCAAGGCTCAGCGGGGCGTCGATAAGGTGCAGAGGGCGGTGGAGAAGGGAGCGGAGACGATACCTAATTAGTTGGTGTGGAACAGTTAGAGCGGCAGTGACATTCAAGAGTGACGTTGCTTCAGGTTGTTTATCGACAGTGGAATACACGCTCCCCCATCGTATTGCTAGGGTTTTGGTGTATAGAGGTATCATACAGACTTCACTCATTGCAGTGCCTATTCTTACAACCGGACGCCACTGTCCCTCGTCATGGCTTCACAACAATCTTGAGTGCATCCCGGCTGCTCATCTTGTCCAGGGCCTTCTGGTACTCGTCGATCTTGAACACGTCCGTAACCTGGTTTGCCAATTAGCACGTACCCAGAAATACCACACCTGCGTTCAGATAAACGTACCATGCCCTTGACCTTGATCTTCCCGCTGTCAAGATACTGTACTGCACGAGGGAAGCAATGCATCTGCGCGAACGAGCCGATGATCTGCAGTAAAATCGTCAGCTACGTCGAACAAGAACCAACAGGTAAGCTGAGTGAAGACAGTTACTTACCCTGATCTCATCTCCGAAGATCTTGGATGGCGCCCAGTGGACCTGGGCACTGTTAGCGTACACGCCGTACACCATCAGCGTCCCGCCCCGGCGGACATAGTTGATCGAGTCATTCGCAACCTTCTCAGATCCCGTCGCCTCGACCTAAAAATGCACACCCGTCGTCAACATCCGACGCAAGCGCACACCCCCACCACGCCAACTTCAAGCACTAGCACGCACCACCACATCAAACCCATACGGATTCTCCTCCCTAATCCTCGCCCACTGCGCCTCGGGCGCCTCCCTGTCCAGCTCGACATACTCGTCCGCCGCGCCGAGCTCCTGCGCGATGCGCGTCTTGATGCCCCGATTCGCGGCGACGACGACGCGCGCGGCGCCGTTGAGCTTGAGCAGCTGCGCGAGGATGAGGCCCGTGGGCCCCGCGCCGATGACGAGCGCCTCGATGCCCACGGGCGCGGCGAGCTTGTCGACGCCGTGGATCGCGCATGCGGCGGGCTCGACGAGCGTAGCTTCTTCGTCGGTGAGGTTGTGGATCTTGTATACTTTGGCTGCCGAGCTGCGGGGTTATCAGGGGTGTGGTGCTTGATTATTGCATGCGCATGATGCAAGAGGGATCAAGACGCGCACAAGACGATGTATTCGGCGAATCCGCCCGCCGTGGTGACGCCTTTGCCGTTGTAGTCCTCGCAGAGCAGAGGCTGGCCGCGTCGGCAGTAGAAGCACCGCTCGCACTAGCACGTATCCCCGCCTCAGCTCTTCACAACAACATCGAGTCAAAATCGCCTCGGAGCACTCACGACGGACGACGGATCCGCGACGCATCGGTCACCTTTCGCAAACCCCTCCACGCCCTTGCCCACCTTCTCGACGACACCGATCACCTCGTGGCCCGGGATAAGCTAGCGCCCGCAATATCAGTGGTCCGTCGTACATGAACGCGGCGATCACGCTGGTAGCGAGGAGATGGAAGCGGACGCACAGGGAACTTGGCGATGAACTCCCCTTCATGGACGTGAGAGTCCGTGCCGCAGATGCCTGCTCACCAGAGGAAGACGAGTCCTTATCAGCCTGGAACGTGCCGCCACGGACGAGAAACCCAAAAGGCACACGTACCGCAGCAGGAGACTGGATTGAAGGCACAGGGCACAAAGTGCGAGCGATAACGTTAATGGTCAAACCGCGTCGAAGCCCTTCAGTGTGATTGTTCGGTAGGTTCTGTCGGGAAACTTAACCTACCTTTGATCAAGATCTCGTCATCGGATATGGAAGGGACAGGGACGGAGCGCACGTCGAACTGTTTGGGCTGCAAGCGGCGGCTGAGTTAGGTATCCTATCATGAGAGTATGATGGACGCACCGCCTGGTAATACACGGCGTTCATCGTCGCCGCATCCTTGCTCGCAGCGTCTTTGCTCTCTCCCTTCTCGCCTTTCTCGCCTTTGCTAAGCTAATCCGCCAAGACATCATCAAAGTTCAACATCAAGATGCAATCGGAAGATACTGGTGAGCTTACCGCTCTCTTGACCGACTTGAGCATCGACATGATGGGGGTGATCTATCGCAACAGCAAGCTGCGTCAACCAGGGACTGTGAGTCGTCAGCAGCGACCGGGATATCGGCGAGCTCCACCACGTGCGAGCCGTGCTCATTGCTCGACTCGTGATCGGCCCGTGGGGATAACGACGAGAAGCCCGTCAGTTCGGTTTGTTGCAGTGGCAAATCGTTTAGCAGACTATGGATATAACACCATGATTGAATGGGCAAAGTGTCCGTCGCGTGAGAGATACTACTTCGTCGAGCGAAGTGAGCCCAGCGATAGAATGACCGTGTCGCTGCTACCATGATGGAAGTCCAGAGGTTGCTCCGGAGTATGCGTCGGTGGCAGCGATGCAAGAGACCAAGACGCGCATAGTGCAGCCACAGTCAAGCCACTGCTACTACAGTAGCTTTCAGGTTAGTGATAATCAGCATGTTAGTCTCTCGGGACCATTCCGTGAAACTGTACATGCAAACAGGAGAACAAAGACGTTGTCGAGATCTGCCCGTACAGCTGACGGCGGGGTTGACAACATCGCCAGATAGCTTATCTTGTGCATGCTGCGTCCCCGTCCTTATCTCGAGTCGTGATTCGTCCCCCGCTACCCCAGACAACCCCAGACGGAAGCAAGTTAAATCCATAGAGCACACGGATAGCCAACAAACCGGTGATCTAACGAAGAACCGGGCCATGCGAAGTTGGCGAGCATGATGAAGTGGCTGAGAAAAGGTAGGCGTCGGGATTTTGGACAGCCACGAAACGGAGAGAACACGCGGTAGTATTTATGTAACCTGTAAGGGATCTTTAGGCACATTGCAGCAGTATGAAAGAAAGGAAACAACCACCGCCCTATAGATGATCGGACCCTTCCAAAGGTGTGCTTCAGTCAGCTGGTGCAGTGCTGGTGCTAACACTCAATTGCGCGATCAAACGTTTGCAACATTGCATTATTGAATGGGCTCTTCGGAAGAATGCACCCACGCACCTCATTAGAGTAAGCTCTTGTTCCCCTCCGTGCAGGTACGTACGTACTTAGCCTTCCTTGCGCCTTGCGATCCATCACTGGCCTCTGCACGACGCGATCCGTGCTCCTGTTCACAGTCCACTCGTTCTGTGTCCTACTTAACATGCTCATCCAAGTCGTCTAGGAGTTGAAGTGCACGGACGGTCCACACTGGTGCAACGGGCAGAGGCACGGAATGTCCGGGCTGGACGGACCTCAACCACAAAACTCGAGGAGTCCGTCCGCTTCGGGTATGAAATGGAATAGACTCGCACCAAAACCCCGTCACAGTCGTCGCACACGACGATCCGGCCGGGCCCTGCCGTGCGTGCATGTGAACCCAGCTCAGTCCGCCATGCGACGGCGTGTGAGATGCGATCTTGGCAGGGCTTTCAATACTATGTAATGACTCTCCTTAAGCTTGCGCCCTCGGCGACGTCGGGAAAGGCGCAAACGCCGTGAGCGCACTGGACTCCAGGGTCACCAACGGTGTGTCCTCGCTGCGTTCTCAGTTCGCAAGCGGTGAGGAGAAGGAGATTGGGCTACCGTATTCAAGTAGACCTTCGAGGACCGATCTATCATGCAAAAAACGAGCACATTGAAAGCGGCGTGCTCTCCGCTCGGAGGTCACACCGCCGACGCCAACCACCAGGCTCAGATCACTCCGACTCATAAATCGTCAAATTGCTCAAGAGAGCGTCACTCGTGCCTGTCAACTGAATCACATTTATCACAGCGTATCGAGGGCGCCTGTTGGCGTGACGTAAGGTTTGCGCGACTCGGTGCTCACACCGGCGCGTGAACGCAATCCCGACGCAAAGCAACACCCAAGCTCAGGCGCTCATCGTGGCGTCATGAAGAGGACTCGGACTGATCATACGCGGCAATATTCACACTTGAGCTTGAAAGGAGGGGGTATGAAGTTTTTTGGATTTTCATTCCAAGTGGTATGGAATTACAGTCGTCCATAGCTTACAAGGCAAATACGCAAAGAAGACAGGGATAGACGTCCAGCGAGTGTTTCTCACAACACCACAGCCGTGAAGTACGTGTACACTAAGATGCGCCTAGCCTTGGAGGGGGAGGGATACTAAGATAGTCGGGTAAGAAGCGAAAACAACAGCAGCGGCGGAAAGAACCCTTCCTTCCGGCGCAAGAACCCACGATCAAGGAGAAGAAGAAGAAGAGGAGGAGAAGAAGGAAACGGAGACGCGAAAAAGGTCCAAAAAGCGGGGGAGCTTATGCGGAATCCTTCTCGATCGAGCCCTCCTTCTCTCCGAGCTTCTCGTTGAGCTCCGCGTTCTCGTTCTGGACCTGCGCGAGGTTCTTCTTGCCGACGTCGCGGCCGATCTTCCAGGCCTGGAACATGTGGCCCTGCGCAAAGATCTCCTCAACCTCCTCGAGCGTGCGCTGCGCCGTCTCGGGGAACATGAAGAAGAACTGGATGCACGCAGCGAAGTTGAACGCCGCGAAGATCAAGTACGTCTTCCACCCGATCGCAGCCAGAGCGGGCGGCACAGCCCACGCGAGCGCGAAGTTGAACAGCCAGTTGACCGCGGTCGAGACGGCCACGGCCTTGCCGCGCACGCGCATCGGGAAGATCTCGGCGGGGTACGTCCACGAGACGGGGCCGAGCGTGATGGCGAACGAGCAGACGAAGAGGTACGAGCAGACGATAACACCCTTGGTGACACCCTCGTGGCCGTTGATGACCCAGACACGCGAGCCGTCGACATTGCCCCACTCTCCGAAGCCGCCCTGGAGACCACCGACGAGGGAGAGGAAGAAGCCCATGAGGAATGTGCCAATGATGATGAGAGGACGACGGCCCCAGCGGTCAATGTAGATGATGGCGGGGACTATAACATCGGATTAGCATACTGTTCATAAATCGCAACGCGAGTGCGCAAAAAACTTACTCGTGAAGAGCACGTTGAGGACATACTGGACGGAGTCGGCAATGAGGTTACCACGGGTACCGGTGAGACCAGCGCCCTCGAAGACGTAGATAATGTAGTACATCATGACGTTCATGCCGGAAAGCTGAGACCACATCTGCATCGAGGCACCAAGGAAGACACGGCGGCGGATACCAGGCTTGAGCAGATCGAGGTAGGACTTGGCGCCCTCGGTGCGCTCGAAGGTGACCTGCTGCTTGATCTCCTCCCACTCGAGCAGGACGAGCTCGTCGTTGGTGTTGCCTCCACCGTGGAGGTCAGCGAGAATCTGGAGCGCCTGGTCGTCCTCGCCGCGGTCGATGAGCCAACGGGGCGACTCGGGGAAGTAGAGCATGCCGAGGGTGAGGACGAGGGCAGGGACGAGTTGGAGACCCCATGGAATACGGAAGGAGGCCTCGCCGGCGATGTAGGAGCAGCCGAATTGGACAAAGTACTGCAACATGATACCCCAGGTGATGGCCCACTGCTGGAAGGAGACGAAGCGACCACGGAGCGCCGGGTGGGTGACCTCGGACTGGTAGACGGGGACGGTGGCGGAATAGAGACCGACGGAGAAACCGTTGATGATACGACCGGCGACGAGCATACCGCGCTCTTGAGCGGCGCTCTGAAGGATGGAGCCGACAACCCAGACGAGACCAGCGAGAAGAATGGTCTTCTTACGACCGATCGCGTCGGCGAGCTTGGTCACGGTGAGGGCACCGATGAGCGAGCCGGCAGGCATGGCCGCGACAATGGCACCCTGGGCATTGGAGCCGGGCTGGAAGGAAGATGGATGTTAAAACGGCATCAAGGAGACGATAAATAGAGATCAACGTACGTGGTCGAAAACTTCGAAGTAGGCCTGGTTGTTGAGCACTCCGGACATGGACGCAATGTCCAGACCGAAGAGGCCTCCACCAATACATGCGAAGGTGCCTACGAGGTAGGCATTGGAGGCGACGCGAGCGCTATACTATAAAACAAAGGACGCGTGAGTCGGTGTCGGGCAAGTCGATAAGATGGAGGAGACGTACCCCTTTGCCGAGCGACATGGTGAGGGTTTCTTCGGAAGCGAAGAAGGGAAGAGAGCACTTGAGGAAGTGGGGATGGAGAAGAGGATCGGTTTATATAGTGACCGACAGGGTAACCGGCAGCTGACAGTCCCGCATGGGTCTGGGGCGTGGCAGGGCGTTGGCATGATTTGAATAAGGAAGGGATCAGTATATGATGGAAGTCATGAGGTCCTCCGGTACGCGACCTGCACATGGACACAATTGACAACGGAGGGTGCTTTTTAGCCTTTTTTCGCGCACATAAGGAGGAGGAGTGTCAGTGTCAGATTGTTGACAACCTCCAGGCGCAGCATCCCGGCCGCTGTAGAGAGCTGGCACGAGTGGTGTAAAGTGGTGTATATGGTGTGTTGCCTGCGCTCTGCAAGTTCAGAGACATTTGGACACGAGCTGAGACCAAAGCTGACAAGAAAAGGTGGAGGAGGGTGGCTCGTGAATCAGGATCTGGGGTTACAACCCCATTGAAACGGAAGGCAGACTCCCCACATTCATCAAAATTCTGGCCAGCGATTCTCCGATGTTCTTGCCCAGACTGGCGGGGCTGGAGTGCGTCCGATTTGATGGTCGTCCTTGTCGTGCCTGGAATCCAGCAACGTCCAGATCATTCTCTGCTCCGCCCGTGGGCAAGTTGCGGGCGCTAGCAATGGAATTCATCTTCCGGTATTGAGCATCGCAAGACATTTTGTTGATCGGCATGCATGGGTGACAACCGCTTCGCTCCCCATTCCCCTTGCAGCCGCGAAGGACGTCACTGGCCATGAGTGACATGAGCATCGTGTCCGTCGGCCATGTCGAGCATTGTCGGAGGCGCTGGCAGGGTCGACGAGCGCTCGGAGGACACTCCGAAAGAGGCATCCCGTCAGGGCGTTCATCACCATTCTCCACAGCTGCAAACCTCCACAAACCATCGCGGGGTCGAAAACGGCCCCTGGCAGAAGCCCCATGTTCCTTCCGTATCGGGTAAGTACCTCCCGAAACGCGCGGGGTTTGTTCTGACGCCTGTCCGTGGGATGAGACTTTTTGCGGCTCTGAAGCCTAATCGATCTCCTTCTTCCACCTGCCCGAGCGAGAGACTCCGAGACGCGTGTGGGAGTCAGGGCCTATTCAGGGCTGTACCTGACCGGACGACGTCAACGTCTGCTCATTCTGTGATGCAAATTGACAGCCTGATCGAAACACACGTAGCCACCCGATCGACCCCACATACCTTTTCGGTCGGACGACACCAAACGTTTTGCACAAACGCTCTGTACATACCATCAAACTGGATTATGATTCTCCTCCAAAAGAACAAGCACACATGTAATTACCGCACGAAACCTCGAACTTCTAACCTAAAGAAATATAGTACTTCTTTCAACATAACTTTCTTACGCTTGCGCCTCGCACTTAGTAAGACCGACCAAACATGGTCCACCGTTTGGCGTCCTGGCCACACGCCGGGCACTTGGTCTGCCCAGGCACAATGGGCGTCCAACGTGCCTGGTCGAACGGAATGCACAGCGACTTTGCGCCCGCTGAAGGAGCCCTCTCGTCCGTCGGACCGGAACTGCCCAAGAGAAGACGAGATCCCAGTCAGCCTCCGAAGACAACAATGAAAACCAAATGAACGAATGAATGGCTGCTCCGGGACGAATACCCCGGGCCAACGATGGAGAGCTAGAGGATGAAAGGGAGAGATGAGCTGTCGACTCACACTTGCGCACTCCGCTCCTTGATGTCGTCCTCGCACGCCTCGACCTCGCACCACGGGATCACCGCGACGCACTTGTTGTTGAGCGTGGGCACCACGTCCTCCCAGCGCGTGACCTCGATCAGGCGCGAGTCGTATTCCTTCTTCGCCTTCGTGTACATGTCCTTCTGCACAGTCTCCAACAGACCCGACACCGTGGAGCCAATGTCAGCCAGAGGCACCGGCGTCTTAGCGCCCGAGTGGCGGCGCACGGCGACAGTCTGCTGCTTGGCAAGATCGTTGGGTCCGATCTCGAGTCGGAGCGGGACACCCTGGCAGAAAATAAGACAAAATGATCGTGAGCACATAGGTCCGAGTCGGAAGGGCGTCAACTTCAGGCTTGCGCCCAAAACAAAACACACCTTCTGTTCCCAGTCGTTGAACTTGTAGCCGGGGGTATAACCGTCCCGAAGGTCTGCCTTGGCCCTGATATCGGCCTTGATGAGCGTCTGCGCGAGCTCCTCGCAAGCACCATTAATCTTAGCCCGATCGGCATCGGACGTCTTCGCCGTAATACCGCAAGGCACAACGACGACCTGGATAGACGCGACACGCGGGGGGAGAACGAGACCCTGGTCATCGCCATGGATCATCGTCATCACGCCGATCGTCCGCGTCGAGAGACCCCAAGAGTTCTGCCAGACGTACGTCTTGCCCTGGCCCGTCGGGTCGTTCGGGTCCTCGACCACGATGTTGAACATCTCCGGCCTGGAGAAGTTCTGCCCGAGCGAGTGCGACGTGCCACCCTGGATGCCCCGGCCCGTCGTCGGCACGAAGCCCTCCACGGTAGTGGTATAAAGACCGCCAGCGAACTTCTCCTTTTCAGACTTGACACCTGGGATCACGGGGACGGCCAGAAGCTCCTCATAGACGCGGCGGTACAGATCGAGAATGTCCATAACTTCCTTGTCTGACTCGGCCTTGGTCAGGAAGGCGGTGTGGCCTTCTTGCCACAGGAATTCACGCGTTCTCAGGAACGGCTCTAAATTGAAAGCGGAGACGGTCAGGATTTTCAGGTCCGAGGCTAGAAGTGCGTAGCGTTGGTGCTTACGAGGGTGTTTAAACTCCCAGCGAACGACACTGTTCCACTGGTTCAGCTTCAGCGGCAGATCGCGGTGGCTCTTGATCCATTTGGCGTAGTCTATTTTTTCGGTGAGCATGAAGTCCGCCGACATGACCTGTCTAATTCTCACAAGGGTACATGACCGTCTCTGACGTCGGCCGGATAGCAATTGGCTCCTCCAGTTCTGAGTTTCCACTGTCGTGTGTCTGAGCCATACCGTGTAAAAGGAAGAGAGAAAATCTGCTTACGCTCTGGTAACCCATGCGACCTCAGGAGAGAACCCCTCGATGTGGTCCTTTTCTCGTTCAAGGACCTTGGATGAGACGAACATGGGGAAGTACGAGTTCTGAACGCCGAGTGCCTTGATCCTCTTGTTGAACCACTCTGGGCCACGGGAGAGTTAGTTAGTACAAACTCGATACTTGGATCCATAGTCGCAACACACCTTGAATCTCCTCCCAGATGCTATACGACCAAGGTTTCAGGATGTAGCACCCACTGACGTTATAGTACTCCAGCATATCAGCCTTGAGCAGGACCTGGGAGATTCTAGTGAGTAAGGTGGGTTCGAGGATGAAAGGGGAACGACTCACGTTCTGATACCAGGCGGAGAAATCGCCATCCTTCCGCACACCAATAGCGATCTGCACGGCGCCCTCGATCTTTGCATCATCCTTCTCCTTGACAGTCGGCTTGGCGGTCACGCCAGCGGCGACGCCGCCGTCGCTCTTCAGGCTCTCGAAGTCGATCACCTGGACTTTCGTCTCCTCGTTCTCGAGACTCGTGATGTATGATGCGATTTCCTTCCCTGTGAGGAAGACGGTGGCCGAGGAAGAGAGGGCATGCACAGCGAAGGGGGCGTTGGATGACTCGATCGATGAGTCAAGGACAGTCACGATTTTGGGGAAGATGCTCTGGTTGATAGCAAGCGGGGAGACTGCCGTCGCGTTGCGCGTAATCATATCAGTCTAAAAACACGATGTCCGCACAGAAAACCAATGAGAGAAACGCACGAGAGTTCTTATCGAGCGCGAAAAACTCGCTGAGGAGGTCCTCGGACGCGAGGCGAAGCTCCTTGAGGTTGAGCTTCTTGCCGAGCGCGGACGAGCTCGTCTCCGTCTGATCACGGGCGATCACGACGACGGGGACGGGTGTGGCCGTCTTCGCGGTCTTGGGCTTGAAGACGAGGACCTTGATGGGCTCGAAGCCCGCTGGGGTGGATGCGTCCTGTGCGAGGGCGTCGCGCCATTCCTGCGGGGAGGCCGTCGCGGCGTGGTTGACGTGCGCGGTGGGCTTGATGGAGAGCGCCTCGAGCGCCTGAAGGAAGGAGTCCGACATGCTGCTGCTGCTGGGCGTCGTCGAGTTCGAGGAGAGCGAGGAGAGAGTGCGACGCGCGCTGGGGCTTGGGTGAGGGGTTTTGTACGCGGTCTGACTAGGATTGGGATTAGGATATAAAAGTGACTCGGGCTTTATCAGATGCGCAGAAACGTGATCAGATCGTGGGTGGCCTGCGCTGCTCGAAGAACACGCCCGCGTCGTCGCCGACCGCCATGTCCTTCGTCCCGCAACTCGCCATGCAGCACGCATCCGCCTGGTCTGCCGTCGCTCCTGGTGGTGGGTGGCACGTTGCGTCCCGGTTGGCAATTTTCGCGTCAGAGACCGCCGCCGGGTCCCACGAAGCGTAATGAATTGACGACCAGCGACCCTTAGACGCGTCGCGTACACAGGGGCAGCAGGCTCCTAGCACAGGACGACAATGTTCATGGCATTGGAGACCTTTGTGGCCATGCATGGTGTCCCATTGCTACCTCATGGTCCACGGGTACATCCCCCGTTAAATAGAACACATGCATTCGCACCACACGTATCAAAACACGTCCATCATGACAGTGCAGTCCCAATGCAAGCCAGCACTTCAAATTCTTCTCATGCCTCGGGTTCCATAGCAATGAATGACGCTCTTCCGAACTCCTTGTGGATATGTGCTCAACTACATGCGTCATGACCTGGGGGACTCGAGAAGTCGCGTGCATGCCAAGTACCCTCGAACTCAGCCACGTACTTGCAGCCTGAGGCTTGTGCATCAAAACTTGAGTGGTGTGTATCTACAAACTCAAACTTCGTTGTGCTGCCCTCAGTGGCTGGACTGAGTTGGATCTGAGGATACTACAATCATTTTGAGATTCTGAGTAAAGCGTCTGTCTGCGTTTGTGTCCAAGTATAAGGTCTCTCAGTTCAGCGATCAAGTCATCGCGGCTGTTTGTCCATCCCTCCTTAACCATCTTCCAGTGCGCGTGTCCTTTGCATGTCCTCGCATTTCCAGTTCCGTGCTCCTAATAATCTCTTTCATTGTCTCAACCCATCACCCTTTCACAAGTTACTCGTTTCTGCCCGTCTTCGGACTCAGCTTGAGCTTGCCAAGCCGATTTATTATAGACCATCCCGACGGGGAGCGTGCATCTGTACAGGAATCATCAGCGTAATTGACTTGTCGGTGTAAGGGAGCTAAAGGCCCACGCAAGACCGAACCTGACTGCGTCAACAATGGTCGACCTGGTGAAGTCCGTGTCGCCGCCTCCTGGCGTGGAATATCAAGCGAATCAGCAATGGTTCTGATTTTCTTGACATAAGAGTCGTAGCAGAGCTGGTAAACAGGCCAGATGATCTCAGGCTGGAGCATTGTGATGGAGGACCATTCGGCTTGCAAGGCATTGGCAAGGCCAAGAAGTAGCCTTCTGACGGTGTCGGGCAAAGGATCGAGGCTGCCCTCGTCACGAAGGGCTGTCTGCAAAATATGGTGCAGCTTTGAGACGTAGGGAGCAAGTCTGTTGGAAGTCAAGTATGAGCTCATTTTCTTGGGTAGCACATTGGAATCTGTTGACGCACCCGGGGTGATGGATGTCTTGCTTCAACAGAGCGATAGCTTCACCTATGAGGTTGATGTCCTCCCCAAGCCGAGTGTAGAGCTTCTTCATTTCAGGGAAGTTGTAGTCTGAGACCTTCGTCAGGATTTCGTTTGCTAGACGATTGAGACAGGAACACAAGTCATGACAGACGATATCCAAGGCTATCTGTCATGTCATAATGAGATAGCTCGTTCGGATTTATCAGAACGGTCAGGAAAACTCAAATTACCTGGGTTAATCGCCTGTCTCGAAAGATGAAGTCCACCGCGCTAGCCAGGCTCCGGTGAACTTTACGTGTCATTTGTGAGGGGTCCAAACTTGCGCAGCATTGTGTACGCACATACCTGCTCCATTTTGATAGCTTACCTGACGCCTCAGCGGCTTACGTTGAGAAACTCGTAGACTTTTCGCACCCAATATTGGGATTGGGATGACGATGATCGTGGGCACGGCGTGGATGTCTATCTGTGAGCTGATGAAGCGGCATACTTCATTAATAGTAGGGCGTCCAGTTCCTCTATTCTGAGTCGACCAGCATATCTGCAGGAAGTCCCAGTAAATGTCTGAGATAGCAGAACATCGTTGGGGTCTCCGGTTCTTGACTACTTCCGTCAAGACCACCAACTCATTCTTGATGTGGTGATATGGAATGTTTCCGGACAGAACCTGCTGTCAGATGAGCAAAACACGATAGGTGTGTTGGTGGGATTATATTTATACACACCTGAAACATGATGCTGCCGAAAGAATATACGTCCGCTTGCGTAGTAGGCATCAGCAACGTACCATCCTCCGGTTCAATGAGCAGTTCAGGAGCTGTCCAGCGAATTGCGCCTTGCCTGACCGAGCTGAAGTAAGAATTACCGAACTCTGCAAGGATGGTAGACATTCCAAAGTCTGCCAGACATGCACGGCCGGCGCTGTCCATGAGGATATTGGGCTAGGCGAAAAGAAGTGTTGGGTGATGCGCTGATAACACGCTATATGCCACCTACACTGGTGAGATCCCCGTGAACAATAGCATGGGAGTGCACTGAGAGGAAGAATAAACGTCAATATTTGCATCATAGATGCGTCACAGTGGCATAAATTTGGACTAACAATACTGAAGTCCGGACGTGACATCGTTCAGCTGTGCTAGTGATTAAGTTCTCTTGATTCTCCGAAGGTGTCGTTGTTTGACGTACGATATCAAATTTGTCAGCCATGGAAAGGCGCAGCCCTCTCGAAGACTCGATGTAGTTGTTGAGATTGCCTCCGCTAGCCCACGGACAAACCATTGCGGGAAAAGGACCAAAATTGGCCTGATCATACACGAGGCCGCAGAGGGGCAGTATGTTCTCGTGTCTGAGCTTCTTCCAGACGCGAAGCTCTCGTCCAATCCTCTAGGCAAAGAAGATCAAAAGTTCAGTTTCAGTTCCAGAAATAGCGACTTGCTGTTGCACAAGAACCTCACTTTCCGACCCTTCCGCAAGCGAACCTCAGCATCGTTTCCCACTGGCAATGGCCGACGCACGGCCTTCACTGCCACCTTTTGATCGCCCGTTTAGTGAGCCATTCTTGGAGCCATTCTTGGAGCCATCCAGCGCTTGATCCAAAAAGTAGACACACCTGCAGCACGGAGGTCGCACCTTTTATGCGCAAGACAGCCTTGAAGATGTCGCCATAGCCTCCATTTGCCACCGGGTGCCCCTTCAGACCCGTAATGTCCGAAGTGAGATCAGGAAGAGGATCGTTCTTGCTGTTTCGCTTGGTGGCGACATGGCTCCAGAATGATGGTTTCCTTCTCAAAGGAGGGACGCGAGGGGCTATAAATGCGACTTCGGGTAGCGAAGGCGCACTCCATGGGGGAGTGCTCATCGACGGCAGCTGGTATGGGAGAGGTTCATCCAAGTCATCAGATGTTTCATGCCTATATATGCGTGACTGCAGTTATGCTGCGGATATGAAAGGTGAAGAAGGACGGCGGCCCCACCAAGGGCAACTTGACAACACAATCATTGTTAATGCTGTAGCTGCGGCACGTTATGCGATGGTCGAAGATTTTTGTATTATTCTTGCGGTTCTTCGGCAAACCTCAAGAATTTGGCGGTGAAAGTAGTACAGCAAGTCTCTGTCCCCATGCTAGGGAAGGGAGGCGAATAACATCGACAATGACGTAGCACGGCCGGCGGGACGCTAAATCGGGCGTCTATACTTATATCCTGGTTTTGTAATGTTCGAGACGGAGATCAAGGTGGGTCCTCAAAATACACGGCGGGTAAGCGCCTCCGCGCTTTCAAACTTTGCTCAGATGATGTTTCATCGATCCTGCGGTTGGCTGGTCAAGGCGGGAAAGCAGTGAGTCGTGGGGGCCCTACAGAGGTTGATCACAACGAAAATTAGGAGGTGAACAAGGGCCTCAAGGGCTCATGTTGCCGATAGCCAACGCCTCGGCCAGTGCATGGTTCTATAAAAAGCGGAGGATGTTAGGGAAACACTCCGCTTGTCACGGTTGGATCGCACGGCTGTGAGGTAGCGTGCTGTACAGAGAGGATCAAGAAGGGGGGCTGATTCGGAACACGGTGCTTAACATGCGTTAGCAGAAACTTGAAGTTAAACTTGGCGATGGATATCGATAGACAACGTTTAGGGCGTGGTGGTCGGACCAAAGTCCGATTTTAATGCGTGGGAACGGAAAAGTGTACACGCAAAAGGCTATGTATACGTACGTGCTATGTTCTCATGTAACTAAATCTAGTCTAGAAGCGTAGGTCCGAACATTAATAATGAAATGTTATGACCAAATTTCCCTGTGTTACACACATTTATTTTATTTTATAAAATTCACTTGATAGGCCAGTATTCGTGCAATGCGCCCAAAATATGGCTAGCATTATGCAAACGCTCCCTCTCCTCACTAATACTAATACCAATATCATTAATATTGTCAACATCCAGCGTCACCCTGCTCTAACCTATTTGAGCTTCGTTGTTTTTGCCTCATGAGTCCTTTCAGCTGCACATTGATGAGGACCTCATCATCTGAGTCCTCTACTAGTACGTTGAATTGACGTTTTGTGTCGGGTTTCGAGAAATCGAATACTCAGCGTAAGTTAATCTGACTCACCTGGTGTCGGATCCTTCTTTCTGCCCTCTGTTTCCCAATCGGTCGGGTGCGTGTGACTAGTTTCCATGCATAAATGATGAAAATTTGTAGGCTATGCTAGTGTCGGAAGCGGCGGAGAAGGAGGCCCGGACGGTCGAATTGAACGTGGCAGACGAGGAACAGCTCGGTTCGCAACTTCTAGCAAGTCTAGTAGCTTCCGTAATTTGTTGGTGCGATGTGTGTAACCGGCCTCATAAGGCGGCCACAGGATATGACGAACGGCGTGGAACTCAGCGTCCAATACCTCGACGACGGATCTAAGCAGCTTCTGGAGTGCAGTAAATATCTTCTCCGGAGTATTCGATACATCTTGCCCCTGCAGAACCATCTCCAATATGTCATGCAACTCTTCAGCAAGAATTGCGAGGCGACTGAAATTTGATATGAGCTCATTTATTGTGGTTATTAGTATCTTCAAACCACACACCAGGGCGGGCTTTTGTATATCTGCTTTAGTATTTTGAAGGCCTCGCCGGTTAAGATGAGGTCCTCTGCAACTTGATGATAAGCCACCTTTGCCTGTGCCATTGTATTTTGACTTAGTATGGTCTTCGCAAGGCTGACAAATCTTGAAGACAGGTCGTGCAAAACGGAGTCCAAAATGATCTTTGACCATAGATGGGATGAACTAGCCACGATGAAAGAAGTGACAAAAAGGTACCTGGGCATAACGAGAGGACAAACCGCGGGCAAACGCTATAGATAGGTTTGGATGTACTATGCAAACAGTGGGTGGGTGGCGACAGCTGAATTTGTTTGTATTCTCACCTGGGCCATCATCATAGTTGTTGTAACGTTTTAGAGAGTTGGCGTCGCTAATATGGCTTGCAATCGGGATGGAAACGGGAATGACGATAACGGTACGTTTGATGTGGAGATCAACTTGCGAATCGACAAACTTGCAAATCTCTTTCACGCTAGGACGATAAGCTCCATCTTTCTCTGACAACCAACATTCCTCCATAAAACTCCAGTGAGTGTCTGCGATTACGGGCCTCGAAAGCCTCCTTGGTTTCTTCCGCAAATAAACTTCACCGACAAGTGCGTTGTCGTTCTTGATATAGTGGTACGGGACTTTGCCTGACAGAACCTAGCTTCAAGTCAACGGACTCGGTGCTGAATGATGAGCTTATACATGCCTGGAGTATTATGCTACCAAAGGAATACACATCCCCTCGTGCTGTAGGTAGCACAACCTTTCCTTCCTGAGGTATAATGAGTGCTTCCGGGGCTGCCCAACGGAGTGCTCCCTGTCTAACAGAGCTGAAATACGTGTTACCAAACTCCGCGATGATAGTGGATAGTCCAAAATCTGCCAGGCATGCTCGGCCTGTGCCATTCATAAGGACATTGAGCTAAGGAACGGCAATCTAGATATCAGCGTAGTGTACCAAATTTGAACATTTGCTCGATATCCGCTGCTAAGGACTTACACTTGTGAGATCTCCATGTACTATGTCCCGAGAGTGGACTGTAATTATCTCCCGTTATTCGCTGTATGGATACATTAGACATGTTCTTACGATATTGTAGTCCAGCGGCGACGTCTCTAAGCTATTCATGGTAAGTGCACTTATGCATTAACTCCGAAGAAAACACGAGTCAACATACGATGCAAAATCTCTCGAGGGAAGAAAGACGGGTTCCATCCGAAGAACTGATATAACTGTGTAAACTTCCACGCTCAGCCCAAGGACAAATCATAGCAGGAAACGGGCCAAATTTGGCCTCATCATAGATTAATCCGCACAAAGGTATGATGTTTTCGTGGTCAAGTTGTTTCCAAACGCGAAGCTCACGCCCAATCCTCTGAATGAGCAGGGTGAGCCTGAGCAAGTGACATTGTAACATACGAATAAATACTGACCTTTCTACCCTTTCGCATCTCAACGTCATTCAGCGGTGGCCTTCGTAAAGCTTTGACCGCCACCTTGAGTTGGTTGATTATATGGTTATCCACGCAAACTATATTACTGTAAATCACACCTTTAAAGTTATCATAGGCTTTCCTGCCGCAATTTGAAGATTAGCCTCGTAAATGTCCCCATATCCTCCATGCGCTACAGGATGTCGTCCCAGGTCCTTGACGTTCCCAGTTAGGTTGGGGGGATCACTTTGGCTTTCATTCCCATTTTTGATAGCGGTAGTCCAGTCGGGAAGCTCTTTCAGGGGGAGGATTGCATAAAACACGACTTGTAGGAGTTCATTGGCGTTAGCACGGGGATATGGTCCTAGATGACGAGCGTTCATGGTGAGGTTAGTTGAGTGTCAGTGTCAGATCCGACCTTCTGACAGTGACGTGGACTTTGCTGAAGAAGCACAGCTGCAGCATCTTGAGTTCATCAACAATCCGCATAATATAGGACTTGGAAAACACCAGAGAGGCGTAGTCCACCGATTACGTGGGAACGGGCCTCACTGCCACTGAGAATCTTAGTTTCACGACCAATTCACGACATCACAACATCTTCACAACATCGTAGGCAAAGGAAGAGCGAGGAGAAGTGTTTCGGGTATTACGATATTTCCGATATCTCAAAGATTACTCTATATCTAAACTTATGTTAGTGTCTCTCAACGACGTCTTCGCAACGTCCACAGAGTTTTTTGTCCTCCTCCTTGGTGTAGGTCCAGCACCGAGGACACTTGCCTTTTTCTGCAGGTCTGACGCGAATCAGCTCCACCCCTTGAACATTGGCAGGTTCGATGGCCAAGTCTCGCGACTCGTGCCAACGAAGGTCAGTGCTGGTTAACGAAGGTTTCGTCATCAGATGGACATCAGACACGATAAAAAGGGTCTTTAGGAAGTTTTCTAAGTCCATCGACGTGGGTTAATTCATACCCGAGACAGCTTAGCGGGCTAAAGAAACCATACCTTCGCGCTTAAGTAGGGCGACGAGGTCGCTTCCGCCACCTATATCTTCGGGTATGACGATGTCCACAACAGCTTCTAGGGAGTTCCTGAGATCTCTGCGAGAGGGATGAGCGAACTAAACAACACATGAAAAAAGGTGCCTAGCCATACCCCTTTCTTCGAGCCTTCTCGAGAAGACCAAGGACGAGAGATCGGATTTCAAACAGTTGAGTCATATCAGCTTCTGCACGGGGATCCTCCCACTGCGGGTCCTGGACGACTGTGAGACTCTAAACTCGTCATTCAAAGAAGCAACTTACCATCGGAACCCACTTCTGAGAGAATACGGAAGCCTGGGTGCCGTCGACCTTGTGTTCGTTGATCTCTTCGGCGAGGTGAGGCAGCACGGGCGCCATGACATGCGTCATCGTGTCAAGAACCTTGAGGAGCGCGTATACGACTGCACGGCGTTCAGGGCTATCGACGGCATTGATATACAGGCAATCTTTGACGATGTCAAAGTAGAATGAAGAGAGTGTGCTATAGGCGAAGTTGATGAGAGACGTCGTCACTGCGGATGCTTTGAGCAAAGTTTCAAGACATCAGGCGGGGACAACACACACCTCGGGGGAAGTTGTACGCAGAGTAGCCCTCGAGAGCCGTCTTCTCGAGTTTGTACAGCATGTGCAAAACGTAGCGCTCTGCCTGGATCGCATGTTCGTAGTGAGCGACACCTAGAGACGACCGGCTGCTCAACCTACCAGACCAAGCTCAGATTTCTGAACGTTCTTTGCCTGCTCTGCCGTCGAGTTTGTGTTGCTCAGGATGAACCTGGCGGAGTTGCGAATCTTGCGCAGAGCCTTGTCCGTTTGGTCAAGGATGGTCGGACCGATCGACATGTCTGACCAATACTCGACCGTAGATGCCCAGAGACGGAGTACGTCAGGGCCGTAGGCAGGCTCCTTCTTCTTGTCCTAGAAAAGCGGTATCTTGTCGGTCGCAAATCATCGAATTGGACCAAGATGAAATATACCTTGCCGCCGTGGATGACTGTCAGTGGACTGATGACGTTTCCCTTTGACTTGCTCATCTTCAAACCCTTCTCATCAAGCACCATCCCATGCGTGACAAGTGCGCCGTACGGGCTCGCCGGTCTGCGGTCATTCTTGCCGTCCTTCGGCGCATCAGCAGCACCAACTGCCGTAAGCAGCTGGCTTTGGAACCACCCGCGGTGCTGGTCAGATCCCTCCAAACAAACGTCCGCTAGGAACTTCCTGTCCGCCTGGCCGTCGAGGGCCCGAAGCATCGTCCAACTAGAACCGCTGTCGAACCATACGTCCATCGTATCCGTGCCCTTCTCCCACGCGCCTGCTCCGCCCTGCGCGGCGAGCTCAGGAGGCAGGAAGTCAGAAACAGGCCCGTCCCACCAGTGCGCGACGCCCTTCTCCTCAAAGACGCGGAGGATGTGCGAGAGAGTGGGACCATCGAGGACGACTCGTCCGGTGGGGATGTGGTGAAGCGCGGGAATCGGGATGCCCCAGACACGTTGGCGGGAAATGCACCACTCGGAACGGGAGCGGATGAAAGCCTCGAGGCGATTTCGCGCTATGGGACAACTGAACTATTAGAGGGAGAAGTATATAACACTGAGCACTCACAGTTGGGAGGGTAGAAAGCGACATCTTCAATAGCGTCTAAGGCATCTTGCTTGATATCGCCTAGATCTGCAAACCACTGCGACGTTGCCGTCACGATGACCGGTTTGTCCGTCTTCCAGTCGTAGGGATACCGATGCTTGACCCGTTCAATTTTGACCAAAGAGCCCGTCTCGCGAAGATACTCGACGATGCCCCTGCTCCCGTCGCCCAAGATATCCTTGCCAACAACGCGTTCAGCCAAGCTCGTTCCTACAACGTCTGCGATTTCACTGGAGAACGTTCCGGCACTATCGACGTGACAGACCAACGACGAATAGGCGTCAATCTTGGACTTCATGGCGAGGTAGTCTTCGTGACCATGAGCAGGGGCGCTATGAACGAGACCCGTTCCCGAATCCGGGGTGACATGATCGCCGAGAATGATGCCAAACGAACTATCCGTCGAGTGCTCGAATAACGATTGGTATTGCAACCCAGCTAGGTCCGTGCCTATAAACTAGTTGTAAATGGGAAAGGCTCATCCGGAAGAGAGGCCATACCGTGAACGTCAGCCAGGTGTTCTCTTGAGCCAAATAGTTTATCCAGCGCCTTCACGCGTTCCTTGGCAACGATAGTGATTTCCGAGCTGCCTTCCTTCCGCAAGAGCGAGTATGTTATCTCAGCGTTGACAGCGATGGCCTCAAATAGAAAGGATTAGAGAATGTGCGGATTCACCGAGGAACAAGTATACCATGTTTGCGGTGAGCGTCCAGGGTGTCGTAGTCCAAACCAATAACCGAACAGTATCACCCGGAGCTACCAGTTCTTTGAGCTTGCCACCTAGACTTTGCGACTTGACCGTGAAGTTGACATAGACCGAGTGAGAAACATGGTCGTCTTTGTAGACGAGTTCCGCCTCGGCAAGTGCTGAGCGCGACGAGGGGGAGTAATACACAGGTTTATTCTGACGGTAGATCATGCCTTCCGTGTTCTCCTCAGCTTACGCGTCTCATGTTGTTTAAAAAATAGGAACATACCTCGCTCGACCATCTTCTGGAACACGCGGAGCTGCCGTAGCTCATATTCATGATCTACATCATGTCAGTACGCTCCATGAAAGCACGTCAGAATCGCGACGCACCCAATGTCCGATACGTTGATTCGCGACTCCAGTCCGCCATAATGCCAAACTGCTTGAACTCCTCTTTCTGCCTCTCTATCTCGCGTTCCGCAACCCCTTTCGCCGCGGCCCAAATTTCATGGCGAGGGACGGAGAGAAGGTCTTTCTTCCGAGACATCAGGGGTCGATGGCGAGAACAACCAGAAGGGCGGAGCACATACCTGAAGTTCTTGTAGAGCCTTGTTCTCAATGGGAAGGCCGTGGCAGTCCCAGCCGGGAATATAGTGTACTCTGTGGCCAGTGGAGACGTAGTACCGATTAATAACATCCTTGATGATCTTGTTTAGCGCGTGACCTTGCTCAAGCTCAGCATATACGCGCAAACAAAACGAGATGGGTGACATACCAATGTGCAAGCTCCCGTTAGCGTACGGAGGCCCATCATGCATCACGAACAATGGTCCCTGCGCGTTCTTCCACTGTCCCAGAAGTTTGTACCAGAGCATGGCCCATATAACGCAAAATGACTTACCTGCCACCTATAAAGCTCTCCCGTTGTCCTAGCATGGAGCTTTCCATCTTCCTTGGACACGCTCGTTCGTAGCGGGAACGAAGTCTTGGGCAAAAGAATAGTGTGCTGGTAGTCGTGTGCAAGTGCTTCATTCGCAACTTTTCCGCCGAGCCTTGAGGCGCATGAATGGAAGCGAGACCTAAGGAGGGAGGCTGAAGGCCATGGTGGGCGGAGTGCCCTCGAGACCCTCGAGACCATCTTCGGAAATGCGCAAGGCTCACGTCGGTCGGGTCGGAGGTTCGCGCCGTAAATTTCGCGACGCGTCTGATGGGCGTCTAAATGTCCAGGCAATAGACGCCGACACTATTGCTCAAGCACTCCCAGTCCTCTACGTCCATGGATTTGTTTATTTAGATAGCTCACATTCACACATGCAGAGGAATTGGATATCGAGGTTTATTGTGTGAATCTACACGTACATCCCCACTAGGATAAACGACTTCTTATTAGACAACTCTGGACAACCCAGCTCAAAACGAACGACAAAGGGACGAAAAAAAGCTGGAAGAAAACATAGACCGAGGAGCGATATGTACATATAGTTATGTTGAGTGTTCGAAGTTGAGGATGAGGGTGGGAGTCGTGGTAAAGGGAGGACGGGGTTAGGCTGGGTACTGGGGTACTAGGAAAGCCAAAGGATGATGAGAGCGCGACGACAGAGTTAGGGCAGCGCGGGCAACGAGCAATCGGACGGGATAGCGTCTCGAGGAACGAGATAATTGCGATTGCGAGTACGAGCGACAGAGCGTTGCGCCAAAGCGGAGCGATAGGAGGCACTGTGTTCGGATAGAGGGCGACATCACGAGTAAGCATAGACAACATAGGGCATAGGGGCCGTGGGGAAGGCGAGGGGGATAGTGCCGATAGGTGAGGACAAATCGAGCGAGCGCGTCATTCGTGAGTGGGTGAGGGAGAGGACGGGTGAGGTTGCGCATAACAGGGAAATGAGATTTCATGAGAAAATGAGATGAGGGACGGAAAGCTCGTAGGCACTTCGAATAAACAAGGATGTTGATGGAATAAACAGTTGTGGTCGATGCCATGCGTATGATGCTTGTGTGTTGGTTGTCCATGCGAAGTGAAATGAGATTGCAAGTGGAAAATGAGCCAAGAAACCAGATATCGAGCGCGTGCGTTCCTAACGTTTCTCGGACTTGACCCGGTTGTGACCGTTCACTTGTTCTCTCAAAACCTCCAACTCTGCCTCCGCTGCGGCTTCCTGCTCTTGTCTCGCCCGGTTCTGGGCCTTGATCGCGGGGAGGTCCTCCCGAAGGTTAACCTGAGTACCTTCTTCCCACATCTCAAGGGCCCATTCGCGAACCCACACGCTAACCTAAACGAAAAATCAGCCATCACCCGGCCTGCTGATGACCACAACTCACCTTCATGAAGCGCTTGCCAGCATACTTCTTGTAGAACGACTCATGCCTTATGGGCTTGAGCACGTAGTTGAGCATCAGGTTAGCAGTCGGGATCAATGAGCTCTCCGCATAGGACGAGTAGTGCGCCAGGTTTGGCGTCTATACGGGGATATTTTTAGCTATGGTGTATGACGTCATCGAGAATGAGACTGACCCATTTGTCGTAGCCGAGAATGAGACGTGCCAGCCACATAGAAGCCGCAGCGACCAGCGACGGTGGGGTAGCGAGTAATCTCCACTCAAGAGCTCCAACCTCAATGAGATACTTCCCAATCGTCCGAGCTTTGACTTCGTATTCGTCAGCCTTGCTGATCCGACGAAGGTAGTGCATAGGGTTCGGGAAGCTGAGATTCCAGTCGATGGTCTTAAGGATGTACCGTTCAGCCTGCAGGATCTCAGCCTCGCTGTAAGACGAGTCTGCGCAGTGCAGGAAGTGAGAAACTGAAGGCGCGATGATTTCCTCGACCTTCGCCGCAACAAACAGGCACGTGATTCCGACAAGCTGGAGTTTAGCTAATGAGACGACGCGAGCAGACAAGAAGCGATCGATGATGTTAACGCAAAGGAAGAAGGTCTCGGGGAGTAGACGGAAGCGCGCATGAACCTGGACGAGCCAGTCCAGGAGGATGCCTCGCATTGACCATGCGAGCTCTTTTTGGCTCTCCATGTAGTTGGGGTTGGGTAGTGTCGTAAGCTTCGAATAGAGGGTGAGCTCGAAGCCAGAATATCAAACGAAGGAAACACACCTCCGTCTCCTTCATGTACTCGAAGATCTCATTGACATACTCACTGACCATCAATGGGTCATCAACGTCCTCCGCGTCAAGGTCCTCCCACTGGTCGCCGTTGGGGTCCGCTTCATCTTCATCGGCGAAGATATCAAGGCGAACAGCATCCTCAACATCGAGCTCCGGTAATTGTTCTTCCTCCTCGAAGAGTTTGGCATCATCGGGAACGTCAGAGGAAGTACGCCGCTTCTTGAAAACGCGGTCTTCTTCAATTTCCTCTTGGACCTGGTGCTTGACTGTGGTCCGCGACGGTGCCTTGCGACGGACCTCGACCTTCTTCTCCTCGACATGCGCAACAGCGCGGGATACAGTTTTCCGATGTCCAGTAGGAGCAGGTTTTATCGTATGCTTGTCCAGTGCCATTCCGTCATCTTCCTCAGCGAGAACCTCGAACTTAGACTCCTTGACGTGTGCTAGTGGACGAGACTGAGACGGTGCTGCGGTAGCCCGGGTCGTACGACGAGTGTTCGTCGTCGTGCTGCTGACGCTTCGAAGAGGTTGGCGGGAACCAACTGTAGAAGGGGGCTTGGTCTGGATCACGACGCCATCAAACTTGTCCCCCTTGACCGAAGGTGGTGCTTCCTTGCCCTTGCCCTTGGCATCTTTCGTGGGAGCTGCGACGGGGATGTTGCCAGACTTTGCCTTGTTGTGAAGTTTGGTGACCTCGCCAAGGGCCTCGCGCTTGCGCTTGCCTGCAGCGGGGTCGGGCTTCCCTTCGACATCGGAGGCATTACCGGCCTTGGCCCGGGAAGCCGCAGTAGCGGCAGTTGCCCGCGTGAGACCAGCTCCCTTGGTAGCTCCGCTGGCAGAAGGGGGTTTCGTTCGAGTAGCGATGCGGGTCGGACGAGTGACTGCGTTCTCGCTATTTTGAACGGTGCGAGTTAAACGCGTGGTGCGTCGTGTCTGATGAGGCAGTTCAACATTAAATGTCAGTTTCGGAGTGGTTTAAGCTCGAATCTCGAGGAAACTTGCAGGTATGTTAGAGGCCATTTCACAGCTGCACCCGCGAGCTCTTAAGATACTATTATGAGGGAAGGTGACGAGCGGGCGGGGACGAGCTGGATGGTGAGCGGGAGTGGAGGGCAGATGAGGGCCTGAACAAATCCGGAAGTGGCCATTTTCAACTAACCAGTCGCTAACACGACCAAATAAACACGAGCGCGTTCCGTCACGTGAAACCCGCCTAACGAGCACGCGCTCGAGCGCGCCTCGGCTGTAATATCGCCCCACGAACTTCCTCCTGCCTTCCTCTACCATGCAACGTGAATGAGTTTCAGTTTTTATGTAGTATAGAGCCTTGGAGTATGCGCAGGGGAATGTTTGCAGGCCGCTTGGCCACCTTAGATGCGATCGATTGCCCATCGGATGTCGGCGCTGCGGCGGCAGGTCCGTGCTTCAGGGTGGGTAACATCAAGGTGACATTCAACTCAGCAGAACACCCCCGAACGGTTTCCCCGGTGATCGTTCCGTCGTCAACAACAACTTTAGACTTCTTCTCATGGCCAGAGCGATGGTCGATGCTTTTGCGAGTATGTTATGAGCCCAGAGAATCCCATTACATGTCCGCACCCTTCCAAGTTCCAGCCTGTCTTCCTTTATGTCTTGCTGAAGGTGGGCAATCTATATCTGATGGCAAGACTTTTTCGTGTTGGCGGCCGTGCGCATTTTCATTTTGCCAGATCGTTGCATGTGGGACTGTGACGCGTTGGAAATGGTGGTTGCCCGTCTCCAGTCTAGTCCAGCCGCCTCATCCGCCCATGTTTCTCGGTCTCCCGCTCTTGTGTGCATTACTGCAATTCGAGACATCCCAGAAGCACCCGAGCTCCTCACAAATATCTTTTCACGACACCTGGCCTGAACGAGCGTGACGGTGATTCTTGATATCAGACTTCTGGCCGCTTCCGCGCGAACTCTGTTTCGGCCCAATAGGGGCTCTAATACCCAAAAGTGAGACCGTCCGCGACTGTCGCCCAAGCTCGCGCCATTTGGCACATCTCCTGCACCAGCGCCCGCACAATAAACCTTCGGCTCTTCAGAAGATGACCACCTCTGTCGCACCAGCAGCGCAGCTCCCAACCACTAGCATACCCAGCCTCTTGTCGATGCTCCCAAATGACAAGTACCGCGGGGCGGTCGTGGAGGTGCGTTAATTATTGATCTCCGAGCCGAACTGAGCACCGGCTCACGACTCACGCTGTCCTGCTACCCTTGCAATCAATCTTTCTTCCGCATCGCAATTCGTTCTATGAATTCATAAATGTTAAATGGACCGTCTAGGATCTACAATTGCCACCAGCGTTCTCGCTTCCGTCGAATGAGAGCATCTCGCGCGCGATTGAACTTGCGTATGATCGCGACTTCTCGCACATACCGTAAGTCCTCCACCTGCCTTTGACCGCATCCTCGTATGCTAAAACATGTATCATAACATTGTCACCCTTCATTCTTGCAGTGTCCTGAACAACAACCGCCGTCCGCTCGGATACATCGACGTCCCCGCGCTCAAGATCAAATGGGAAGCAGGAACTGCTGACCCTGTACGCCTCCATCTCCTGTGCAACACCCATATCTTGAAACCCCTAACCGCTGACCAACACAATCATTATCTGTTCTTCAGAGCGACAGCGTCACGAAGTACATGACCAAGTTCAGGCGCAGGGCATCGCAGCCCTACTCGCTCATCACGCCCGCTACACCCCTCGCCGAACTCGAGGAATTTCTCAAGGATAACATCTTTGCACTTGGTGCGTCTCTTGTAAACCGTCAAGGGCAAAAACTAACTCATGTTCGTTGGTACATATAGTCACGGATAACGATCGGAAGTTCGTTCTCGCCGTCGCAACGCCCTCGGACCTGCAGGTGAGCAAACTATTGCCTTAATCCATCTTTCTCTGACACAATGTCGGTAGACCTTCGTTACCCGAAGAGGGATTTAATCTAACCGATCTTTGACATCTTTGTTACGTCCTTCGGGCCTTCAATGTCCCCTTGTCCAACAATCCACGTCGTTTCACATCGTACAGAGTTCTTATTGCGCCGATTGTATATAATGTATGTACAGATTCAAGATCCATGGGAATATGCGAATCATAAGGATATACAACACCATCTTCCATGCATACGAAAGAATGTGTGGGGAATAGAGTAGCGTCTAAGGTAAGGTGGTGATAGCGCCAACTTTGAGGGAGTGGATGTTGTGACCTGCAGCGATGCCTTGGGGGGCTTCTGGGACGGACGAAAAGGAAGGTGGTTCGATGTGGAGACAAAGAGTAGGGGAAGTAAAGGCTGCGCCGTTGTTTATGACAGGACACGATTGAAGTCTGCATTCACTGAATCATCATCTTGAGGTCTGACTATACGCCAAAAGTAACACAATGTGCGGATGGAGAGGTCGTTGTTGATGACGAGAACAAGAGAACGAAGGGGCGGACGTGCTTGGTATCACCGTCTCCACGTGAGGAGTTGTTCGCGAATAGAAGGAAGATGTCCTAAATGTCATTGATGGATCAGTCAGTAGTGCACGAAAACTCCAGAGACCAGGGTCGCCCACCAAAGACAATAGCTGGACCCCATCCAGCGAGAATCAAAGCGACGTGCTGAGTGCCAAACGGTGTAGGCGTCGGCTTCCGTCGTGCGACATCTACAATGGTAGAGAGCGCAGCCAACGTCTGGATGGTAAAAAACGCCCTGTAAACAACAAAACAAGTCCTCCGGTCAGGTTATCGGTACCAGCATCATAGGAGGGGTACTCACACTTGGAAAAGTAACAACCGCCAGATCGCCGGCGTCAGACTTCGGGTACGCTGGGAAGCCACCATACTAGACACCTGCTTTGTCTTTTGGCCATCCTGGGACCGAACCCCGACAAAGGAAAGGAGATGCTTTTTCACCGAAGTTGTTGGACTCGCCGAGCTGGGGGGTCCATCTGTAGGCGTTGATCCTACTGGCGTTGGAGGGGAGAATACAGGCGTCCGTAGCGTGGAACGTGACTGGGTCTTCGAGTGAGATTGTGAATGTGAACGCGAGCGCTTAGGCTCGTATGCGTCGTCCATGTGCGGTAGGGCGTCATTTAGGTCGGCCGACCATGAGTCCCTCGGTCCCGGTTTCGAAATCCTGCTGTCTGAGTCGTCCTGAGCAGCGCTCTCGAGATCTTTCGGATTCTCCAAGAGATAACGATCGAGGGTGACGTCGTCCGCCACGTCTATGCACTCGGTGTCCGACATGTCGTACAGGTGCGGGCTTGACGCGCGTTCCTTGAAGTTGGCGCGTTCGGAGCGTGTTGTATGGTTGCGGCCGTTGCTCGTCGTGATGGCTGTCCCAAAGTTGAAGCTTCCACTTCTTTGGCTTATGTGTGAGGGCTGGGTAGGATGAGGAGAAGAATCGACAGGTGAAAACGCTTGAGTGAGCTCGATCGTGGGGTTCAACTTCTTCCGTTGCATATGCACACGCCAGACGCGGATTACTGCAGCGCCGGATAAGAAGAAACAAGGCATGGAGACGACGAGGGTTATTCCAGCGTAGCCAAGGAATCTACCCCTGAGCAAATTCAGAACGACCTAACAGATGGGAAGTATGTACTGGACACACCACTCGGGGCTGTTGGCATCACAGTGCATGTCATCTCCGGTGGGTTGAATTGCGTCTGCCTTGAGCAAGATGGGAATGGCAATTGCAAGAGCGCCAAGCGGAAAAAGAACCGTCGGGAAGAGATAAAACCAGCGCCAAGTCAATATCCTTGAGGTGAGAAATCATACAGTCGATGAATGGACTAAAATGACAAAAGCGGAACGACGTACGACTTCTTTCGAGTCCATCGCATTGGCCAAATGACGGAGCAAGTAGTAGCGACAGTGAAAACGGCACATACTCCAGCTAGTGCATACGCGCTGTGGTAAATGAGAAGCGTCTGGACTGTTATGAATGAGATTCATGGCGTGAAGTGACAATAGCTGCATAAACATTCTGCGGCTCACCGATACAAAACAACTTCGGCATTCGGGATGGATCCATTCGATATATCATGCCTTTGGTCATCATTAGCTCTCGTGCCCACAAAGGGAACAAAGAAGGTGTGAGAACGCACCGAGGCAGAAGGCGCTCTCAAGGATAGTGGTGTGCACGCAATACATCATGAGTACCCACCAGCTGTTGAGCACCTTTGAGAAAAGGATCAGGACTATCCAGCAGGCAATCATGCCTAGATGGAAAACATTAGAACTCAGAGACTCAATAAATGCAACAGAACTGACCCGAGAAGGATAACCCAAACCAGACGGCCTTGAGGGCGAAGGGGATCATTCTCGCTGGGGTCGAGGTCGGGAAGCGGGGGGGCATGGGGTAGCTTCGGTCCAGCAGGCTCGGCTACCGACAGGTTCAAGTAGGCCCGCTGATGCGACCGAGAGGGCCTAAACCCATCAGTTGATATTTGCGAGCCGTCATCATAAAGTGCGGCAGAATACTTGATAGACCAAAACTTGTCCAAACATACTGACAACTGCTCCCGCCGGAGGCAATCAATCGAGGGCGAACATAGGGCTGACCCTGGCTGACATGGGTTGACATGGGAGTATTCGAGGCTGCTTCGAGTCGACCTCCATTTTTGAACCCAAATCACTGGTAATCTGTGTTATGTGCCGTCTTATTGGTGTAAGTATACACCCTGGTAAAGCCTAGTAGGCATTGCAGATGAGTATGCTGACGTGTCGACCAGGAGGTTGACCCGCTTGATGACGACCCTTGCATGATCCTCTGAGGCCACTGACGGTCACTGGCAGTGTCAAGGAGCTGCCGAACTAATTTCTCGTTGAGGGAGCAGAACTTTCTCTTGTTTTCCTGATGCCTAGCGATGCCTATCATATTGATGGAAGATGATGCTGAATGCACTCTTAAAGTTGATCCAACCCTAGCCCACGCGAGGAATACGGGCTGACAGAGGTTGACAGGAATCATACATATAATGGCAGCGTCGCGTCAAAAAGGCGGTCATGAACTGCCAAAGAAAAGCCAAAGCTTGATGCATCTTCACGACATCCACCACAGGTGACAGGATAGTTGTCTAAGATTTCGGCACGGTTAGAGCGGACACGACATCTCCTCATCGATCAGGGTTGTGCCAGCACCTGTGTAACGGGTTCGCAGTTGCGCGAAAGAAAGTTCGAATAGTATAACGAATATTCGTGGTGAGTGTGAGGTGTTTCGACGAGAAATCAGCGAGGAGAGTCGGCGTAACTAGAAAGAAAGTCTAGATTTGCACAAGTCTGCATCCGTAAACCACAACTGATGGTATTCCTGCTTCATTCGGTAATATAGCCCCTGTCTACCGGGGGTCGTTAGGCACGCTCAATTTGCGGTGGCCTGCGTCGTTTCGACAAACCCTCCGACCACGTCCGTTGCGATGGAGTCTACGTTTGCAGCAATACCCGTTGGCTCGTCCGCGTAACCTTCCGCTTCTCCTGCAGGAGTCGTGACGCTGTGCGGGTGTGAGAAGCCCGGAGGTTGCTCGGGCTCCTCTTCTGCGCAGCGCTCGAACGATATTTCCACGTCCAACAGCGCGGAACCAATTCCAACCGGAAAATCCGTATCTTTGCGGGTGAGGAGAATCGTGCTCGCCGTTCCGGGCGTCATGGCGGGAAGATCAACGTGGAAAGCAGGGATCAACCAAAGCCACGCAATGAACACCTACACCAGTCAGAAAAGCAACAAGACGAGATGCTGAACATAAACATACCTGGCCCATGTAGAATTTGACGCGTATTTCGCGGTGTGCATCCACCACGATGCCGCGTTCATGGCTCGGGTGAGTCACGTCGGCGATGGAGTTGGTCTCAGAGGGCACTGCGTCATTAACGACACCGCTGTCTCCGTTGGTCGCGTGAGGGATGTCCTCCTTGATGGTGACCCACCGCTCGTCCGAAAGAGGCCGTAGAACGTATTTTGTCAGAAACTCCTGCCAAGTAAAGGCCTCATCAGCATCTTCGCCGGCCGAAAGGAGCTCGAAATGGGGACCAACATCTCCGGCTTTCTCGGTCTGCACCGCGTTGTTCCCAATCACACCCATACGCGCAAAACTCCGCACCATCTTGGTCGAATCCCACTGCGAATCCGTGAAGAAATGTCTCGATGTCTCGCGTTCGCCGTCTTCGTTCAGCGCCGTCCTCACTTTGCCCATGTTACCGCTTTCATGCCGTGTCGCACGCTCGCAAGCCTCGAGCTCCTCCGCGAGCACGTCGTCGTACCGCGCGAGCGACACCCACACGTGTCCCTGCTCGTTCCCCTTGCTTCCACCGCTCCGCCCGTACTTGGTCCGGTCGATGACCATGTTCGCGGCGCGCACGAGTGAGACCCTAACCCCGCCGAGGTCCTTCATCCGAACCTTGATCTCTGTCAGGCGCACTTTTGGCTTGGGCTTAATAGTGTCGACTTCCCAGAAGCCATGTGGGCCCTGGTTCGCGAGCAGCTGCGACCAGTAACCGAGCCAGCGCCGTTGGCTGGGGATGCTCACACCTTGTTTGACCTTCTTCGTTGGCGACGAAGGCGACTTCATCCGCCGGGACGTATGCAGGTCGAGCACATGCTTCAGGGAGACGGGCGCGACATCTATCGTCCCATTGGGGTGCTCTTCGCCGTGAATCGTGACAGTGCTTGTGGAAGGGACGGTTTCAGCGGGGGACGTGAGATCCTCTGCGCTTGAGAGCGTCTCGACGGACACGCGTGGAGAGGCGGGCTGACTACCAGAGGGGTCGTCGGTTGGCATGACCTGCATAAGCTTTTCCACTTTGACCTGCGCCCATTGCTTGGTGGTGTTGCTGCGCTCGAGGCGAGGCGGGTGAGGCGTGATGTCCATGGAGAGCAGGTATGAGCAAGCAAGGGTGCCAGATCTGCCCTTGCCAGCTATACCAACGCATGAGATATGATGAAGAGGTTGCTGAGAAATGTGGGGCACCTTTGCAGTGAAGCACAGCAACTCTGTCAGGAGATCCATCCAACCACGCACGCATCTCTCGAGCAACGAGAGGGAGAACAGCAAGCGGAGGTGCGCTGAAGGCTGACATGTCAGTCGACGCAATCAACCCCAGAGTTGCAGTGATAATACGCACTGGTGATCAGGGAATGGATACCGACTAACTCTTCCATCAAATACAGTCGGCGCATACGAATTCTCGCGGACGGGGCAGAAATTGAACACCCAGTAGTTCTTGCCATGACGATGCTCGAGGAACTTCTTCGCATCATCACGGCGATTGCGATAGAGTCCCTCCAGCCCGATGGCGGGGTAGCCCATAACGATGACCTGGTCGGTCACATATACTAGATCTGCACATTGGACCGTCGTCTGTGAGCATACCGTGTATGATCTGAGACAAAGTCAGTATGATTCATTAGCTTACCTAGCTCAAGGTGAAGGTGCTTGTCTTTAAATCTCGCTTTGTTGCCAGACACGAAACGGCGGATGACGTCAGTCATGCTGGTTAGGCTCTTGAGATGATCTTTAGTCTTCTAAGGGTTTGTTACTACGGGCCTTTGCAAAGACAGTGAGGAGGAAATGATTCTAGCCGAATAGTGATAAAGGGAGTTGAACAAGGTCGGTGGTGCCCATCGTGCGCAATCGCCGCGGCGCCAGTTGATGCTCGGGCCCTTGGAGCCCATTGCGTATTCGCGGCGCGCACACAGGACTCCTCATGGCTAGAATAGAGCGATTACTGCCTCCGACATTTGCGACGTCAACAACTTAGTCGGAGGGGTGCACTGGGGCTTTGTTCTGAAGACTACGATGATACTATCTACGCGTTAGGCAGAAACCGCTCGAGCAAACCTGGAACACGTCTACGGGAACAGCATGCATACTAACGAGAAAGCCTGCTGCTGAATTAATGAGAGGAGCTCTAGCTACATAGCGTACATTTCCCTGGTTTATGCGGGCCACGCAGCCCCAATCCTCGCCATCTATACCTGCATCGTATCCTCCTGCTCCCAACCTGGGTTCTTCTGCAGAATGACGAAACCCTCGAGGGCGTGCGAGAAGGGAATAAACTCCTCCGTCGCAAGTTCTGCGCGCTCCGTCGTGCCCAGCCGCACGGGGGTCGTGTGCGTCTGGAAACCCGAGATCGTACGGGGCTTGCCGGCCTGGCCAACCACATCCACTGCCTGACCGACGCGCACGGATACGGGCTTTGGCTTGAGCTCCTCGTCGAGGGTGATGAGGAAGCGAGGGTACATTGCCGTCGTGAGGAAGTACAGCATCCAGTGGTACTTGTCCAGGATAACTACAAAACGCCAAGGTCAGTTCGAGATATTATTTGAGACGTAAGAAAATCACCCACATGCTTTCGCGTCCGTGAATGCCATGATTGTGGCTAATAAACCAGCGATTGCTGGTCGACTCAGGATATTCCGGTCCGAAAAGAAGGGGTTAAGTCCGATCGTGCCCTTGCCCATGTGGACGAGACCCTGGGCAATGCGAACGGTGAACAGACAGTCTGGTTCCTTGTAGTAGTACCCTGCAAGCTGGCGCAACATCTGTGCAAGTCGTGCGTTGTTAGTGCCAGCGCCGACCAGACCCATCGCGAAGATAGCGTTGAGAGCGACAGCGAGATCATTGTCGTGGCTGTATCTCGAAAGGGTGTCGAGGACGGAAAGTTGAGGATTTGATATGCTGAGCAGACCAAGGGCAAGGGGGACGGATTTGCGTATAATAGGGTCACCGTAGTGCATCTAAATATCGCCCGTTAGCGAGAAAAATGTAAAGCAATACTCGAAATGCTTACCAGGTGATTGAATTGTCGCATCGACATTTCGGAGCCAATTTCCTCGCCCATCGCAAGTAGAGCGAGACCGAGGACTGCGAACGCAGGCCCAAGGTCATCTTGCTTCTTTTCCTCCTTTTCTTCTTTCTTGTCGCTGCTATTCTCCTTCTCCTCCTCTTTCTCCTTCGCGTCCTTCTCGGCCTCTTCCCGCTCCTTGACAGTCTCAAGGTGCTCACCACAGAAGTGGAGTAACGACTGCACCCGAAGAACATTGCCTGTACCTGCGAATGCACAGACCTCAACGAGAATCTGCGCCTGCTTTGATACAGGGTGCTCGATAATTTTGAGCGTCTCGAGGGTTGCGTCTGAGGCGTCTTGAAGGCCTACAAATGGATTTAATCAACGCAGCACCATGGAGTTTACCGAAGACGTACCAACGAACAAGAAAGCCAGCCCAAGCACAAGGTATCGCGACCATTTCTCGTCGAGGCTCTTGTCATCACGCTCCATTAGCGTCTGAAGGATCGTGCTAGTGACCTCGCCGTTTCCGCTTCCAACGAAGATGAAGCCCAGCGCCAGCGCACTTAGCGATGCAATCTCCATTGACACGCCATCATCAGCGATGGTAGGGAGAAGGAGCTGGAGAAGGTCCTCCCGGTGTGAACCTGCATACGCCAAACCAAGGCCCATGATCGCGCTTGTGCGGAGCGGAACGGACTTATTTTCGACGTATTCTCCGAGTAGGGCGAGGGCAGCGTCCGCTTCTGTGCGAACGCCAGTGTTAAGGATACCGGTAGCAAAGAGGGCGCCGGCCTGAAAGGAACATCATTAGGTGCTCGTTAATCTCGACGCGAACCACTTACCTTGATGTACTCTTCTGCTGAGTAGGTGTACTTGTCGACGTGACTGAGACCGACATCGGTGTCCCAAAGCAAGCTGACGCCCAAACTTGCGGCAGCACTCAGCATACCTAAGAAAAACTTATAAACCCGACCTATGCGGAATATTTGAGCCCTTACCGTGGTCCTTGTTCTTGTACACCCAGCTGTTACCCTCCTCCGCCTCCACCATCAACTTGTCATTTCCGAATCCAGCATTAACGAAAGCGTTAACAAAGGTACCAGCGAGGTTGGCCCTGGCGGAGTCAACGTTGGCTGACGTTCCAGCACCTGTTAAGCAGATGACGATCAGCCTTGACTCAGGGTTTTATGGTGTTGAAACGTACGGGTATTCTCAAGGTGACTCTTGTAAACGTCCTCCAGGCTACGGGCGTCCGTGACATCAAGCTCTTTGCCAAATTCCCTGAACAGCTCGCTCAAGTGGGTGTTGCTTAGACAGTCAACGAGATCGGTCGGCATTTCCTCTTCGCCATCGCCGTCTTCATTTGGTGGGACGAGCCACTCGATAGGTATCTGCGCCCGAGCAAGAAGGAAAGCGAGCTGGCGCTTCATCGTACTGTGTGGTGTATTAGTAATTGTTAGATCTCAGCAAAGATATACATACGGGTTTCCGGATGCGTTAAAGTCCTGTCTGATGAGGTCCGCGTCATTCAGACGGATCGCGAGACTGAGTGCCTCGGGGAATTTAGAGAATCGCAGGTAGATGGCGTGTACGGAGCGGAGGAAAGAAAGATCGTCTGGTGGTGGGAGTAGGCTTACACACCTACAAGGGACATCAGCATTTTATCAAAACCAAATTACTAGGCTACGCACCGAATCATGTAAATGCACACGCGACCATACGTGTTCTCGTCTACTAGATCAACAATGTCATTGATCATTTCCAGCTCGACAAGTAGGTCGACAGCATCTGGCTCCGCGTTGTGATGCATAAAGTACCTCGCGCATTCTAGTGCGAGCAACTTGAGGTCTTCGAAAGTGCCGGGGACCTTAATATGCACGGGCTTCTCCGCAGCTTCGGGTGGAGGTACGGCATCTTCACCCTCTGACCGTATGGTGTATTCTTCACCGAGCTCAGCAGCAAGATGGCGAACATATTCATGGCCCCAGGAACCAGGGTCGGAGGCTTTGGAGGATGCGGGGAGGAGGGACGTGGAGAGCAGGCGATATCGGAGAGATCCCCGAGGTTGTGTGTCCGAGTACGTCATTGCGAGAACGGAGAGGATGTCTGCGAAGAGAGACTAGAAGGGGAAAAATCAGGTTGTGCCGAACGAACAGACATCGGGTGCCGTACCTTGTCTTCTGATGGAGGCCATTGTTCATACAGTAGCTGTAGGCTGGGGTAGTGGGGGTGGAGGAACTTGAGAGGTTTCGGGACCGATGTCATAGACGACGTTGACGTTCTTATGAGACTTCGAAGACTCTCGAGTGCGGGACGATGCAGTTCCGTGTTTGATTCCTACGTGAATGAATAAGTAGACATTTACGAATGAGCTCACAAATCCTACATTGAGCCTTTCTACGAGCATGTCAAGCTCTGCCTTGAGCTGCTGATCCTCCTCAGACTATAACAAGGTCCATTAGCATGAAACTAGTTCAATCGCGAAATAAAGGAACAAAGAACGCACCAGTTCCTCCTCCTCATCCTGCGTCTTGTCCCCGTTCACTGTCTTGGACGCGCCGTCCTTGCCCTCTTTCTTGGCCTTCTCCTCCTCTTCCTTCTTCTTGTCTTTTGGGTCCTTTGAAGGGACTGCGATCTCCGCTACAGCGCGTTCGGGCATGGCGTATTAGTGCAGGAGGTATGATTACGCCTCACAAGGACGCGCGTCGATTTCGAAGGGGCGACGCTCGGATACCTCCGAGTTCCGACAGAAATCACTAATCAGGTGACCATATTAGACGCGCATCGGAATCGGAATCGGATCCCCCGTTTATCACAATAAATAACAAGTTAGATTCAAATGCGTGATTGCCCTCTACCTGAGTCTTTGTACAAGGCAGAGTCATAAAACAGGAGTTCTCGGATGGAACACTTCGACATTCGAATTTACTACTTAGATCACATTTACTTTACTTGCCGAGGCGGTGCTTGATTACGGAGTTTGCATACATCTTGTACCTTTGAACCAGCTACAGGGTCACGACCAACTTGACGCCGCTGACCTGGTCGGTCTTCAGACGGTCCAAACCAGCGGCAATGCCCTCGAGGCCGCCAGGGATAACCTCGACTTTGTTGGGCTGAGGAAATAAAATAAAATGAGCGCCAACGAATGGTCCATATGTGCTCCAAAGCATACCCTGATAGAGCCATCCTCAAGCCACTTGGTAAATTGGGCCCACATAGCACTACAGACCGGCCTGTTCGGTGGCATAGTAGGCACGCTGAGCACCCACTTCGCTTTGCGACTGTCACCTTCCTGGGGCTTGATGGATGTCACATGTGTCGTGCACATGTGTCCGCCGGAGGCGAGCACCGCCCAACCGATCTTCTGCGTATTTTCCTCGGTGATGGTGTCGAAGACAACCTTGATGCCCTTGGATATGTTAGCAACTGCCTGGGTAACCTCAGCTTCGGGAAGGTTGCGGTCGATGACGTGCGTTGCGCCAAGGGACTTCAGGTACGCTTCGTGGCGGGCAGAGGCGGTCGCGATGATGGTGGTGAAACCGGAGAGGCGAGCAAGCTGGATGGCTGGAACGACGCAGGACCGTCGGCATAAGTCCCACCTTTGCAAAGCGACGAGCGCGACGCACCGTAGGCACCAACAGAGCCAGAGCCACCAATGATCAGGATGGACTGGCCCTTGTAAGCGCCAAGAGTCTCAACCGGCGAAATGAGCTTGGCGTCCATAGGCCCGAAAAGGCCAACTGTTGCTGTATCTACGCCTGTGGGGAGTGAAGCGGCTTCCTCAAAGGAGATGTTAGACGGAAGCTACAATAAGCGCCGTGAGTCAAGGTATCGGAGAGCCCGTCGGATCGAAACAACTTACCTTGGCGGATAAATCAGCAGGCGCAAGCATGTACTGCTGGTAGGTCGCGTGCGCGTTGCTGTTGAAGGCGCCTCTGGCAGCACTGTCACAACGTCAGCATTGAAATGGATCTAGTTGATAGGAGATTGCATACACTCTATCCCCTTTGACGAAGTTAGTCACGCCAGCACCAACTTCCTCGACAACACCGGCGGCATCCTGGCCGACGATAGCGGGGTAGCTGTCGATGAGGAGGCCGAACGCGTGCTGCTTCCATTCGATCGGGTTCAGCCCAATGGCTTGAACCTTGATGAGGATCTCGCCGTGGCCAGGCTTGTGAATTTCGGCGGTTCCGACTTCGAAAGGTGCCTGCTTGGAAGGGATGAAAAGAACCTTCTGAGACATGTTTAGGAGATGAAGCTAGTGGATGAGGCTTGGAGAGACGATGTTGAATGCCCTCACTGAAAAACTACGGGTTTATATAGTGTTCATCAGGGTATTCCAAGGCCAGCAACAAGTCTGTAAGGAGACGAGTTAGTCAACACAGAGCCGGTAGCTGTAGCCTGTGAGCTGACTGATGTTCAATGTCTGGGGTGAGGCGTCAACTGAACGCAAAGCGAGACGTAACTCGAAGCCGAGAACACGCGTGTCGCCACGGCATCAGGGTACGAGTTCATCCATCACGAATACCAGTGGGTTCCTCAACGGACTGTAAGGGATCGCCTGAGAGATTTGTCATCTTCAAACTGCAGAGACGCTGACACCATCAACTATATGCTCGCATGACGCGCTTGCGTGACGAAATGAGGCCTGAAATGGCCTCTTTGTTGCCCTCAATACTACCTCAATACGCAGATAAAGCTTCCGGGAAGAGGCAAGAATAGGATGAGGATTTCGAAGTTTCTGAGCCTGAAGATGATGATCCTTGAAGTGTCTAGGATTTACGAGCAAGAGGTCGGGACCGAGGGACGCTAGATGCTGCATACCATAGTGAAACCAAGAAAGACCCTCCTGATTTCAATAAACCCTTATAGCTAGACCAGGTGGAGCGAGGAAGAGGCAGCTTGCAGGAGTATAGCGAAGAGGACATCCATAACATGCTGGTCATGACTCAAAATGCGACGCGCGCACCGAGGGATCGGTTGGCACGTGATTTTTGTCAGTGACAGCTCGTAAATCGCCGACAGCCCGATGTCAAGTTACCGTTACTTTGGCGCTGCCTCCCAGGAACGCTATAGACGCAAAGACGCGGTGCCAACGCGCGGTGAGTCGAGCAAGCACTCGTCTATTCGTAGAGAACATACGCACGCCTAGCCATATGCGACTCAGACTTATAGCCTTCTCTGCTTGTAGCAGTGTGCAATATTGTAGACATTTTGTCTAGATCTCAGTCTCTCTCATTTTCAGAAGGCGAGCACAATATGAAGTGCGTAATTCTTATTATTGTGTACTGGAATTGTTCCATTGACTTCCTGGGTATCTCAGATGTAAGCATGGTTCATTATATGGGCATATACGTGCACGATTTCTATGAGCTGAGTACAAATACAGTTCTGCTACGTGAAGTGGAAGGCCCATGTCCTGCGCTGGTCCTGAACACTGATATTTAAGTCCCTTCAAAAGGGCGCACGACCAACTTCACTCCGCTAACTTTGTTCGCCTTCATACGTTCAAAGCCAGCTACCGCACCTTCGAGGCCTCCGGGTAGCACGTCGACCTTGTTAGGCTAGAAATAATCGCCATAAAAATCGTCTTTCAAGGCGAAAGTGTTGGAAATACCTTAATCTTTCCTTCGTTGAGCCACTCGGGCAGCTTAGCCCACCACTTCCTGCTGAACTCCGCGTTGGGTGGCGCATAAGGGCTTCCATAGACTGACTTGAGCGTGCGATTGTCGCCTGCCTCAGGTTGAATCGTCGGCGGCAGGGTCAACACCAAGTGACCATCTGGTGCGAGCAGAGACCATGCAGCCTTCTGAGTGTCCGCCTCAGAGATAGCATCGTAGACAATCTTGATAGGATCTGAGGTGATTGTCTTAACACGGGCAGCCACTTCGTCTGGGGAAAGATGCCTGTCGACGACATGCGTGGCACCGAGTGATTTCAGATAACCCTCATGCGTCAGAGACGAGGTTGTGATGATCGTGGAAAAGCCAGCAAGATGAGCGGCCTGTATGGCTGAGATTGTGTCAAATCAAAATCAGTCTCTTAGGGAAGAAAATTCGTCAACGCACCATAAAGGCCCACAGATGAGGAGCCACCAAGAACAAAGATGGTTTGTCCCTTATAGATGTCGGGGCTGTCGGGGAATGCCAATTTCCCGTCCGCAGGTCCAAAGAGACCGATTGTAGCTGTATCTATGCCAAGGGGGATAGACGATGCCTCATCAAAAGATATCGAATCGGGGATCTGAAGTTTATAGAACGTCAGGATCATTCGGAAGGAGTGCCTGAAACTACATGCCTTGGCTACAAAGTGCGCATCGGCAAGCATATACTGTTGAAAGCTGGCATAGTTGGACCTCACCATGTCGCCTCGAGCGGTACTGGCATTAAGATTAGTATTGCACAGGATAAGCATCTCGATAAACGCACACTCTGTCACCCTTGGCCACATGAGTGACGCCTGCGCCGACCTCTTCCACAACGCCTGCGGTATCTTGACCAAGGACTGCAGGGTAGTCGGAGTCCTGGAGGAAGATGCCATACGCTTGTATCTTCCAATCGACAGGGTTCAACGCAGCCGCATATGACTTAACGAGGACTTCGCCAACGCCTGGCTTTTGGATGTCCCTGGAACCGAGTTCAAAGGCGCCCTGCTTGGACTTGAGGAGAAGGGCTTTCTGAGACATGTATGATAGGGACTATTCTTGAGACAGTGGATTCGGGGTGATGGATTTTGGTTCACAGAGTCCCCCGAGGGCTCTTTTATCACTCAGTGGACCTTCGATGGCGTCATCGCTTGGACAGCAGCGCAAGATGGTCAAGGCTTTACTAAGCCTGATCAAATCCTTACTGAGAACATGTCCCCAGATGGCATAGCATACGGTCGCAAAACTAAGCGCTATCTATAGTGCGTTAAGAACTTGCGAGCAGACGGAGTTGTTTGAGGGCTTACTAAGGTACTCAAGCTTTACTAAGTGACGACGTACCCCTGATACATAGCCCTCTGATATACCGAGGAGGACTACCTCGTGCTATCAACACTACGAAAGGCTCCGTACTTGGATAGAGTTGGCGGAGACTGGCGACACAAAAGTAAGGCTGATCATGATCGACACGAATATCGAGGATTGTCTCTGCATAGCTCTCTGTATGGGGTAACGTTGGGGCATAAACGTCATTGGTGCATAGAATTTAAATCCCGACTCGACCGGATAACCGAGACGCGTCGCGTCAATTCTATGCGCGTCTTGGTAGATCCCACACTTTCATTAATTCTGCATCCTTAAACGTTGTGTTAGCTCTGGGACAGAAATTATTTGACGTTCAACGTTACTCTCAATCCACGGTCCTGCGAGTGCAAAGCCATCTCACGCGTCAAGCATGTCAACGGACCACCCACGGTCACCTACTCCACCCCCTGCTGGCCCTCTACCTATTCGTCGCCTCCATGAGTCTCTAATCAACCGCATAGCAGCAGGAGAGGTCAGTGGCATCACGTACTAAAATAAAACTGTCTAAGAAAATCCAGATTATCCATAGACCAGCTTCGGCTCTGAAGGAGCTCATAGAGAACAGTCTTGACGCTGGCGCTACGTTCATCCGTGTAACTGTCAAGGACGGAGGGATGAAGCTCTTGCAGATACAGGACAATGGATGCGGGATACGGGTATGTGGGTGCTGATTTCACGGGTGCTCCTCTTGAGGGTGAAGCTCATTGTTTCGACAGAAAGCGGACCTTCCCCTCCTCGCAGAAAGATTCACAACGTCGAAACTCACCACATTCTCCGACCTTTCACGCATCAGGACCTATGGCTTCCGAGGCGAGGCGCTTGCATCGATATCTCACGTCGCGCACCTTTCTGTCATGACTAAGACCAAGTCTGATACGGCTGCGTGGAAGTGAGCAAGCTATGATGATCCCTTGAACGTTATTAATGTTTCTTCTAGAGCTCACTATGCTGATGGGGCTCTTACTCCCCCGAAGTCAGGACTGTCACCAGATCCTAAGCCATGCGCTGGAAACGATGGAACCACAATTACTGTATGTAAATTTTTATGCTGGTTATATGCGGCGGACCTATCGTCGTTTTAGATAGAGAATATGTTTTATAATACGCCAACACGTCTCTCGGCCTTGCGAAGTTCTTCCGAAGAATACTCTCGCATACTGGACGTTATGACGCGATATGCTGTACACAATCCCAACGTCTCATTTAGTTGCAAGAAGGTGCGTAATCTCGGAGGGCTAACATAACCCTCGTTAACTAACGTGTTGTAGTCAGGTGTATCAGGTCAGGACCTGTCAACGCCTTCCAACTCAGACGTACGCCAGACCATTCGTCTGCTTTATGGGCATGCAATATACAAGGATCTGTTGCACGCGAAGGCATCATCTTCTAGCTCGGATCGGGACAACAGCACGGATGATGACGACCCTGAGTCCTGGAGCTCTGAGGCGTACTTTACGAACGCCAACTATCAGGCAAAGAAAACCACGTTTCTTCTCTTCATCAATCGTAAGCGACACGCGTTCCTTACGTTTATTTATTTCAGAAGTCATGTTTCCCTAGATCGTCTAGTCGAGTCATCTCGCATTAAACGTGCTCTCGAAAGCGTTTATAGCGCAATTTTGCCCAAAGGGATGTCACCATTTATGTATCTGAGGCAAGTCTGTTTCTTCACCCTTACGCGTGAGCGTGAGCCAAGACTGACAACTATGAAGTTTAGATATCGATCCCCAGGCGGTAGATGTCAACGTTCACCCGACGAAACGCGAGGTCCACTTCCTGAACGAAGAAGCCATCATTGAAAATGTCACGGATGCGGTGCAGCAGGAACTTGCGGGCCAGACTCAGTCGAGGGTGTTCCAGTATCAGGTATGACTCTTTCCTTCAACTATCTTCACAAGTGACTAAAGGGATGAACAGACCCTTCTCACGGGCGGTTTGGCTGGCGACTCGACTCAGAGTACTAAGTCAAGAAAAGGGAAGGAGAAGGAAGAGACTAAAGACCCAGACGAGGACGAGGAAGAAGCAAGCGCAGACGATGAAGATCTACGTCGTGGAACCCAAGGTGAGAAATGCCACGCATGTTGGCTCCCGCCCGAATTCCGAAACAATTGCAGAGATAAAGAAAACATTGTCTCAGCACAAAGTTCGCACATCTCAACACGACCGCACACTGGATTCCATGTTCCCAGTGCTCAACCCCGATAAAGCCAATGAGGTCGTCAACAGCCAGGATCAACCTGCAAAGGCAGACATCGCGGAGTCTTTTTGTGACCTCACGTCAATTCAGGAACTCAGACAGGAGTGTCTCAAGGGCAAGCACCACCGTAAGTTTGAGTAGCTATCCGATTTCAGTGGACTCACCTCTACTATTTAGAATTGACTGAAATACTGGAGAAGCATACTTTTGTTGGAGTAGTGGACCTGAACCAGTCTCTGTCGTTGATTCAACATTCCACCAAGCTGTATCTCGTCAATCATGGCGCCTTGGCGTGAGTGCCCGAGGTCGAAAATTGATGAGCTTAACCTAACGCTAAGCAGGGAAGAACTGTTTTACCAACTCGCACTACGCCAGTTCGGCGAATATGGCCGCATGAGGCTCGAACCTCCCCCCTCTATACGTACGCTCGTAAAATTAGCGATCGACGTAGAGGATACGTCCAAGAGCCGGTACAGTAAAGAAGAGATCGTCGAGGTATGTTATCATTATCCCCGTTCATATCCTTTGCTGAATCAGAAACTATAGCATATCGTGAGCATCCTAATGAAGCGCAGAGAAATGCTCGCGGACCTCTTCAGCCTACGTATATCCGATTCCGGAGAGTTAGAAAGCCTTCCGCTCTTACTTGGCGGGTATACGCCGAATCTGGACAAGCTACCGATGTTCCTTATGCGCCTTGGGCCGCAGGTGAACTGGAACATCGAGAAAGCATGCTTTAACACACTTTTTCATGAATTGGCATACTTCTACTCTCCGACTCGCATGCAATTTTCTAATAGCTCAAACGACGTGGATGCTACCCAGGACAAGTCAGACAGGTGGCAGATCCAGCACGTTTTATTCAAAACCATGCGCAAGAACTTCGTTGCACCAAAATCTTTGTTGGACTCGGATGTCGTGCAGATCGCCAGTCTTCCGGACCTATACCGGGTCTTTGAGCGCTGCTGAGGTACAGCATCTTGCACTAGAGTTAATTGCTATAGCTTATCTTTTCTTCGTTACTGCTGTAGATTCTGCATTGCCTAATACCATAGTTAAATTGATGATCCATTTCCATATTCCAGGTTCCAATGGTAAATACCGTAAACTACTATAGAGTAACGAAAGCATGACGACAGTAATACGTTCTAATAGAATATACAGAAATTAATGTAACTTCGTTCCGTTGGGCGCACTACAGTACAGTGAAGGTTTGTCGAAGATGAAAGCATCGAACTCGGAATCACTCGCTGAGTCGTCCGTTTCTGAGTCGTCGGAGTCGCTGGGAGGAGCAAGCTCGAACACGTCGCCGAACGGTGTCTGCGGGATATTATCATCTTCTCCCGAGTTCGTGCGCGCCATGATAGACGCCACGCGTGCCTGGAGCTGCTGGCTAGGTATCGTGCCTCGTCCGGTGGGCTTCGCGTTCTGGAAGAACTCGCTTAGCTCGTGCAGATCTTGTACGAGGCCGCCGAGGTCTTCATGCATGGAGTCAACGAAGGCAAGTTGCCTGGCCTCGGGCTCGAACTCGATCATCGACGGCCGCGTGCTGATGTGGCACATATCAAACACGGCTTGCATGCGGGAGCGACACTCTTGTCGACGGGCGTTGGCGCGGGGCACCGACCAGCCAGATTCCTCCGGGGTGCCAAAAATGTCGCCGATTTCCGCACTTTCTGGCATGGGGGCGTTCATCATGCTCATCCGCAGCACGCGTTTGGCCGTTGGCCCTCCGGTGATAGTCATGGGCTCCTCGAGAACGTCGAGTGCCTGTTCGGCGAGCTCACTTTCCACAAGCCGTAGGAGAGGCATGAGATGCTCCGATGCTAATGCTTGCTTACTAGACCGATCCCTCTGTTGAAAAATAGATTTGAGCACTTGCATTGCATGAATTTGAATCCATGTCTCCCTATTCAGGACCAATCCCAAAAGTAGGGTCACAACCTCCCTCCATTGATCTCCACCAAATTCGCGAAGAGCGGTGGCGGACTGTCGCAGAAAATCGTCCTTAGTCCGGAACCGGTTCTTGATGTAGGAGTTCATGATGCGTGAGATACCATCGCGGCCTTCAAGCTCGGCTAGGCGAGCAATAGACGCGCAGAACCCATCCAGAGATTCCTCGTGCTCGGAGCGAGTCATAGCGTGCATACACCATGGAACTGCCACCGTGAACAAGTCCCTCAGGCGAGTTTGCGAATTGTCGATGAGGGTCGAACTTTCCACTTTAGCAAGGGAACGAAGGACATCAAATGTAGCCCATACGGTGACGTCAGAGCGCAATCCCGTCATGAGACACGCTTGTATTGTAAGTTCGGTGTCCCAAGGAGAAGGCCGTTGAGCCGTGATGAGTTGCACAATTTGAGGCTTGTTGATGTCAAGCTCCTTGATAATGGTGCTGAACAACTGAACCGCGGCGGCGAAGACACTTTCAATAGTAACCGATAAGCAGCCAGCTGCAGCCCAGAACAGACGAGGAAGGAAGGACTTGTCGAGCTCTCCACACATCAACGACGCATTGAAAGTGAGAATAATTTCTGTGGCAAAGCTATAGGCATTGGGATCGGATGACTGGATAGTGCCTGAAAGACGACCAAGAAGGCGCCCCATGCCGTCCTCTGTCATAGGAACACTCAAGGCGCGATAAACCTGGAGAGACCTTGAGGCCATGTGGCGGAAGAGGCACGTCGTCCCATATACCACAGCGGTAGTTCCAAGCCTTCGTCGCAAGTCCGGGAGCAAGGGATCCAAGATGTTCATGGCTTCGGAACACAAACTTCGAACCTTGGTCTCCGAGATGTCCGACAGATCATCATCTCCCCAGAACAGATCTTCGCCTTGCGATTCCAATTGGGCCAAAGCAGACATCGCCTTTGTACGATTTGACATGTCTGCACGTTCAGGCGAGTCCGTAGAGACGAGAATGCACGACCGGATCAACTGGAATAACATGCGGCGAACCTGGGTACGGACGAAGGGGACGCGATGACCGAGGTGCACGAAGATAAGCTGCAGCAGCACGGGGAGCTGATCAAAACAAATCCACTGTCGGTCGACGGCGACCTCAGACATGCATAGTAACGCATACTCGGCTGGTCCTAATAGAAGTTTGGAGGACTGCTCGTCCGCAAAAAGGAGGTCAAGGTCAGAAAGCAGCTCCCGCTCTGACGGTGGAAGTTCGCCAAGCTTGTGTTCGTAGGATGGGAGAGTGCGTTCGGGGTCCAATATAGTGCAGAGCTGAATGAACACCTCTCCCCACATCGCTGTGCGTGACAGGCAGCCGACGATGGCAGCGCAACACCGCGTGAACGAACTGGTGGAAACTTTTTGAGCCTCGTTCACGAGGAAAAGGACAGTGTTGACAGCATTGCGGTCGTGAGGCGGCTCCACAAATCGAGACCAAATAGTGGCGACTTGGTCTGGGTTCGAATCTCCGAACCTCTTGGTGATAGAGATAAGATGGTATAGGACAGTGGTCCCTTGGCCCACAACTACCACATCATCGTCTACGACTTCAGTCCGCAAGGTGATACTCGGTACCCAAGCTTCCAGTGACTGCAGGAGTACGAGCGATACGCGACTGTGTCCAGACCCAGAAATAGGAACGAGCCACTCTGAGACTTCAGCGAGGATTTCCACCGCCTTGGATGAATGCTCGCCAGCGAAACATTCCGTGATGAGCTGAGGTGCGCGCAGGTAAACACTGGGGATGGAGCTTCCTATCAATGACTCGCATTCGGCAATGGATAATACGCCGGCTGAACGTTCGTGGACGACCGATAATAAGTTGAACGCCATCCTCCGAATCTCGAATAGGGGGTGACAGAGGTTTGATAGGCCCAGACAGGCGAGTTTGGCAAAGTCAAACGTCTCTTCGGGCATGCTGGTAGCGTTCTCCGTGACACATTCCAAAAAGAGTGCCCCGGTGCTTTGAAGGATGTCCGCGTGGTCGTCATGAACCCTTTGGGTAACGAAAGCCCGTCTCAGAGCTTCATGCAGTAGAGTCGACTCCAGCCTTGAAGAAAGGAGCAGCGAACGCAACGCTTTCCTGTGACACTGAATAAGGGCGAACCAGATTATTCACACTGCGACTTACTTGGCCTGCTCCCTCGCCTGAGGGTGAGCCGATGAACTGATGGACTCGATGCGATGTAAAACTTCCGACGCCTGCAGAGGCCGCACATAGTCTTGCACGGATTTCTCGGTAGGTGACCCGGTCTCGATTGCTTCAGGCTGATAATACGCCTTTTGCTATTATACGTCCCATAAGCATGAATAAAATAACCCCGACAATAAAAACAGGGAAAACGAGCTTACACAAAGCGCAGCTAGTGCTCCAACCGACGCATTCGACAAGAGCTTCGTCTCGTGCTGGAAGCGCTCTGCCGAGTCCGATTCAGCCTGCGGGTCGTTTGCAGCTGCAATGGATGCCCTCTGCATCCGAATAAACCGTTGCTTGACGTTCTCCGCCTGGTTGCCATATTGACACCACTCCTCGCAGAGTCTGTATAGCGTCAGATGCATGTTGGCCGGTATGAAGCGGTCCGAGTCCGACAGGCTCGCGAGGCCGTCAAATAGCCGCTCGACAAGCCCGCAGAAGTATCGGCGGAGCCGCTGCAACGCGTAGCTGTCGCGGTTATCTGGCGAGGTGAGGAAAAGCTGCGTGTTGCGCACGAACTTGAGCGCGTGAGAGAGCGCGTCCTGCTTCGCGGAGGATTTCTGCAGTTGCAGGAGGTCGGCAGTGATGAAGTAAATTCTGGCCACCGCCGAGTGGAGGCGCGCCTGTCTGCGTGTGCGCAGCACCGCGACTGACTGCCCGTTCATCTTCAGTCGTGCATCGTCATAGAACTGGCGGAATGCGAAAAGGTTGAGATCTTCAAGCAGCTGGGGGTACGCGCCAGCAGGGAAATAGCCGATGCATTGCACAGCGATGTCACGGAATGGAGTGTATTCGGAGTCTAGGAACGGCGTGAGCAGACGGAACAAGCACCTCGTCGTCGTCATCCGCTCCCGCTCGAAGTTGGTGATATCAGACGGCGCCCGAGCGTGTTCTCTGCCGGCATGGGCCATTGCAACCCTATTATCCGATATCACCGCCGTCGCACACAAAATCTTGATCCACATGTGCCACTGATCGAGAGTCGCTAAGTTCTCCTTGATGAGTTTGTAGCCCTCCCTCTCCGCAGTGAATAATTGGCGGCCGATGCCGTTGGGAGCGCGGGTACTCAGTCCAGCAAGGGAAAGCATGAATGGATGAAAGCGAGATGCGGCGGCCTCGAGGGTGTTGCGACAATCCATGACTGACTTGAACCCGTTCTGCGTGCACGATTGCATAAAGGACGGGAAGACGTGCCGCCAGATAGCACGGTCCTTTTCCAATGCACTGTCGGCTATCCTAAGGAGGACATCATCCTGAGACGAGTGCCTCCACTGTGTTAGACGATCCAGCTCGGCACGATCCAGGAAATCGTCATATCCCTGAAGGTAAGAGGCGTTCGATATGTTCTCGTGCAGGCTCTCCACCAAGACAACGAATGAATGCCTAGAAAAGGCAAGTTCACCCGGTAGCTTCGTCGATACTGGCTTAAGCTGGCGCAGGACCTTGACTCCTGAATTACGCACGGACTGCGACTCATGAGCCAGTAAGAACAGGCACCCCGCACTGATGTCATTGCAGAGAGCAATAGTTGCTTCAGCGTCTTCGTCTGCGATGCCGCTCGACAGTATTTCCTTCAACCAGGTTTCGACACCGAGACCCCACTGCGTAAGCAACCTGGCGTGTTCCCCGACCACTCGCGATGTGGTGCTCTCCCGCATGATGACACTCGGATCGAACAAAAACTTTGTGAACTGCCTCAACACCGCCCTTGCGTGCTTGGGCTCATTCATGAAGCGGCGTAGCGCAGCTCTGGCAACCTCACCGATCCTAGGCTCGACATGGATGGTTCCGCTAATGAGCATATCAATGGCATCTTGAAGAGGGAGTGATGGGTGAAGGCAGCGAGGCCAAGACTGGAAGCAGGTTTGCAAAAGGCTAATTTGCGGGAGATAGTTGCTGGGATATGTGACAGAGATATCCTTGTGATGGCGCGTGATCATGATATGGGTTTCGTCATAAGCAGGATTCCAGCGCGCGAGGGCCCACTGGTCGTCGAAGATAGACATCTTCCCGACAGACGCGAAGGAGAGCTGGGCGATCCGGGATATCGCAGCTCCAAAGCGATCGGAGAAATCTTGAATGCCAGGTTTTGCAAGCAATGCCGGAGACATGAACTCGGACGATGTCGGATAGTCATTTCCTAGCTGAGTTGACGAGAAGTCAGATCCAGACGGCCAGGTGGGCGTGGGTTCATCCCGCTCAAGGGTATGAAGAGTCAAGAGGATGGCGTTGACGGCGATTTCAAGACGTTCCGGTGCCAGGGCGGCAAGCGCGGCACTGGAGGTTGCGGACTTCAGGGCGTTCTCTTGCACAAGCTCCAGACAAAAGTCCTTGCCAAAATCAAAGTGTCGGGACAAGATAAAATGTACAATGCAAACAAAGGAATCGAGGAATTCCTCGTAAGGGAAGAGGAAAGTGCCCCGCGACGGAAAGAAGGTCTTCAGTATAGTGTCTAGCTTCGACGCAGTCGTGGAGGCCGGCTCCTGGCAGCGATATAGATATGTCCAGATTATTCGCATAATTCCATTCATGGAATAAATACGGAATATCTTTTCCTGTAACTAGTATTAGCGATTGTCGGGCTACCACATCAAAACGTAGGCTTACTTTCGTCCGAGCGAAGCTGGCGTCAACCGCATTGCTCCAGTTCTTCAAGAAAAACTGATGTGGTGCGACACACAAGGCCGTAACGGCCAGCGGATATGCTGCTTGCCAGTACCGGGGTTTTGTCGTCATGTCTTTCGCCCGTGGATGGATCTTCTCGATTGCCTTCTCCCACTGCGGATGGTTGACTTCAGCTTGTGCAGTCTACCCAGTAATAAGTTAAGCTCAGTCGAAGGTACAGACGAAAACAAGGTATACAAACCTTCCCAATTCCGTGGAGTAAACGAGTCAAGGTCTCGGCGAAGGCTATCTTAAACCGAAGGCCGTGAGTATTCTCAAAAGCTTTCGCAACAGACTCCATGAACTCGGCCCCTTCTTCGAAAGCTTCGGGAGGCCACACCTAATCAAAGTCAGTATCCTGATGATTATATAGGCATGCTTGAAACTTACTTTGAGTGGGACATAACGCATGCCCTTCACTAAGCTCTCGTATTTCGCGTCCAAATCCTTCAAAACTTGACCGCTCGATACTGGAGCCAGCTCGCTAAGGAACCGATCCGTCACGCTGACGAAACTGCAAAGCAAACTGATATCAACTGGTGCTCGAATCGTAGCCAATAACCTCAACGAACCGGATGTTGGCTAAGTGCCCCAGCATTGTGGCATATAACTCGGCGTTGATGCGATGGTTTTCCGACTGCGAAAGCAGGTGAATATCAGGTTTGCGAAATTGTTCGAAGGTCGTCTCCTCCAGTCGGTACCCTATCGAGTCGCCAAGGGCATCCTTTGAGAGCATCTGAAGCACGGATACCAGCGTCCGACACATGATGTAGATATATGCTAGGGATTTGCGCTCGTTCAAAGCAGCAGCTGGCTCCATCCCACGAGCAATTCGCGCCGACGAAGGATACTTGGAATAATGGAACGTAAGGATCTCCTTGCTGACGTTCTCGTTGTGGCTACGTCTGAAGCGCATAACCGAGTCGATGACAGGTTTTGCATTCTTTTGCGCTATCATGCCCAAAGACTTCAAGTGATCGTCGAACTTGGGGTCGATGCCAGGGCCGAAGACATCGGTCAACAAGGGCTCGAAGTCCTGCAGTATTACATTAGCTTACGAGCGTAGTACGTTATGTATTCGAGAGGCGTACCAAAGATTCCCGGAGGAACGCGTCCACCTTTCCTTCTGCTGTAGCCGCAAACCTGATGAACACGGCGTGAAGCGCGTATTCCGAGGGAGTTTTAGGACCCTGCACGGGGGCCTCGTCTTCGTCGCCAAGCATCGGACTCTCACTCCGTACCGAGCCTGCGAATTGCCCCGGCATGCGTGGTACAGGAGGCGGAGATGATGATGAGAAGGGAAAACCGTGTCCCGAGTCGCTCCCGGTGTCTGAGAAGTGGAATAGAGACCCGTTATGAGAGTGCTGAGACTTTATCGTGGTGTGCCCTCGTGCCCTCGTAGGTACACGGGAGCGAGAATCGTTGGATGGTGTTGGGGGTCTGATAGGTGGGCTGCTGGCATATGAGGATTTTGTAGTCTGATTCAATGACGAAGTCGACCGATTGAATGGATTCTTGAGTATTGGATTGTTGTCAAGGGAAGGTAGTGGAGGAGGCGCCTCGACATTCCTGGCACCAGTCTTGAATGCGTTGCGGATAGACGCAAATGAGGACTTCTTTGTAAACGGTGTGCTGCTAGTCGTAGCAACAGACGGTTGGGGGGCGTGCGAGAAAGGCTTGGGGGTGAACTTTGACTGAGTGGACTCGATCGATGCTGTCGAGTCACCTCGGGCGTGAAAATAACTCTTGTCGTTGCGCTCCGAAAAGGGCGTCGGGGTGAGTGCAGTGGGGGAGTCTGACCCAGGTCCGAAGCCCGAGCCTGCATTTCCAAAGGCAGAGCCAGCTGCACCAAAGGGGGAGCCGCCTTGGCCAAAGGCACCAAAGGTAGGGCGACCGAAAGGAATGGGGGTAGACGAGTAGTCGTCGTTGTCGAAGTCTGGTTCGGTAGTGGTCCTGTGAGTGAGCACGCATCGCGAATTGGCTCCATAACGCACCGGGGATAGTGATTTGAATGCCCTCGGAGCCCATGACTTCAGTATGTTGAGAGGGTGCAGCTGCTCATATAGCTATGGCTCTATGAAATGCACAGGAGATGTGCGCGTGCAGAAGAAAATGACGAATGGGAAATGAAAGTGAGAGGGAAAACACCGTCACCGAGACATACAGTGACAATTACCATCTCAACAATTGTGCGCGGATCCGGACTTGAAGCGGATTTAAAGTCACCGAACCCATAATGGACTCACCCCAGTCTCGCTCACACATTATCTTGAACAGCTGCATCAATGACTTCCCTTCGGTTTCTGTCGGTCTTCCACTTGAACATCTGACTCGAGCGTGGCCACCCTCACAATGCTATCTATCACGTATAAATAGGGCCAACATGCTCGAATCGGATACCTTCTCTCCTCAGACCAGTCCCAATGGCCAAATTCTACGACGATATTCCTCCGTTCATGATCGAATGGATCCTCAAACAACACATGTTCTGGGTAGCTTCAGCACCCCTCTCTGGCGCGGGGCACGTCAACGTATCTCCCAAGGGCACTGCAGATTGCTTCCATGTCCTCGACAACCACAAGGTCTGGTATGAGGATCTGAGTGGAAGTGGTTAGTCGAACGGCGGCACTTACTTGATGACCGTGACTCACAGTTGAACCGTTCCAGGCGTAGAGACTATATCGCACTTGCGTGAGCCTGGCAATGGTAGAGTCACAATCTTGTTCCAGGCATTCGAAGGGCCAGCTCGTATCGTCAGACTCTTTGGCTACGGTAAGCATCACTCGACGCAATCTGCACAAGTATCATCCTAAATGAAGTCCATGTGTAGGAAAGTTCCACGAATTTGGCACGCCTGAGTTCGACGCACTAATCCCCCAGAACATGCGCAAGCCAGGCTGCCGTGCCGCTATCGTGATTGATGTTTACCAAAGCATGACAGTATGTCACGAGTCATTATCCTGCCAGCCTCTCGCCTCAACCGTCATCTCTATTAGTCTTGCGGCTACGCCGTTCCTTTCTATCAGTTCGTCGGCCACCGCCACGAGCTTATCCGCTTCTTTGATAAGAGGGAGGTCGCTGACAGGCGTGCTGTGGAAGAAAGCTCCACTGAGCACCAAGCAAACGGTCTAAAGGCGTACTGGGCGTTGCAAAACTCGTCCTCTCTTGACGGTTTACCGGGACTCCAGATCGCACAAGATTCTGACGTCCTTCCCATAAGCACTTTTGGCAGAGATATCAAGGAAGACGGATCAAGCTCTATCACAGCCGCTGCTATTAAGACAGAGGTTCTAGAAAAGGTTGACCCTCGCATAACATTGATGGCTGGTTTTTTCCTTGGGATAGCGACCACAGCTCTTTTATCGAAGCGTCTGATGCCAGCTCTAGAGTCGTTCACGGGCTTCGCGCACTGGGCGTGAATGTATTGCCTAGGGGCTATATTATTTTGGGATTGTACGACTATAGTGTACTACAGCTGTCTTTGTATGGTATTGTATCAATGCACCCTCTCATTATCGGCACACCTGGCACCTGCCTCAGCGATGGACCGAGGAGCACTCGGTCATATTCGGTCTAGATCTGGGCAAACCCCGATTATGACCGATTGGACTGACATCGCTAGCAGCTTGTGTTGACAATGTCAATGACATGAACAGGACCAAGATTCGGAACAGTCCGTAAGTAGTATGCTCAGGTTCAGAGTTCACAGATATCGAAACGCACAAACACGTCGATGAGGCCTCGTCAAGTCGCTACGCGGTTTCGACGCTCCGGGCTCTAATTCTATGCAGCTTATCGTGTTCAGGGGACTGAACTTGAATTATTCGACCACATGCAGCTCGATTCGACATGTCTTCCATGGTCTCTTACAAAAGTTCCCAATTTGAAATCGCGGAATGCCAGGTCCCTTGATCATGACAAGTACTGCTCCACGGGCCGTTCGTCTGTTTGCTGTATAAGTATATACGAAGGTATAGAATCATTGCTGCCCGTCGATTCCCTGACGCACCCCACCATCCTTTCTCAACCATGGGCAAGTATTTCGACGAAATCCCTCAATTCATGATTCAATGGATCCTCAAGCAGCACCTATTCTGGGTTGCAACTGCTCCGTTGTCTGGGACAGGCCATGTTAATGTCTCGCCTAAGGGGACGGCGGACTGCTTCCATATTGTTGATAGTCAGAAGGTCTGGTATGAAGACTTGAGCGGTAGCGGTAAGTGATCATAACACGCGTATTGGCCACTTATCAGACGTTTGACTTTGCACAGGGATTGAGACTATATCCCATCTTCGTGAGCCTGGTAACGGACGGATCCGAACTGTCATGTTCCAAGCGTTCGATGGACCAGCGTGCATCGTCAGGCTCTTTGGGTATGGTTAGGCATCACGTCTGTGTCGCCTTCGCCGATTCATTCTAACGACCTCCGACAGGGACAGTGCATGAATTCGCCACGCCCGAGTTCGACGCGTTGATCTCTCCAGACATGCGCAAGCCCGGCACCCGGGCCGCCATCGTCATCGACGTATACCAAACCATGACTGTAAGTATGACAGGCGCGCCTCTTCCTGAACTCACTTGCAGTATTGATGCATGCCCCAGTCCTGCGGCTACGCGGTCCCGTTCTACAAGTTTCTCGGCCACAGGCACGAACTTGTACGTTACTTCGTCAAACGGGAGGCATCTGACCAGCGTGCCATCGAAGAGGACTCTGCCGAAGCCAAGGCAGACAGTTTGAAGACATTTTGGACGAAATACAACCTGGCTTCTCGAGATGGACTTCCTGCTCTTTTGACTGCGCCGGAATCGGACGTCGTCCCTACCAGCACTCTTCGTAGAGACACCAAAGAGGATAACACGGCGACGAAAGCTGCCAAAAGGATGCAGATGAAGACCATTGCGAAACTTGATCCTCATATCACACTAATAGCCGGCTTTGTCCTGGGCATCTTCGTCGCCTCCGTTTTGTCGAAGTGGATCATGACACCCCAACCACAACTGATTTTCTTGCATGAGCTGTAATCAGGTCATCAAGAGTTTTCGATTGCTTTGTCCGCAATTCCGTACATATCGAGTTCAGCGCGTACCATACTATACAACTATTATCACAAGTGATCTTTTTAGAATACAAGTAGGAGGTCAAATCCTATGGCGCCCTTCCCCGGATCCCGTCCCATTGATAACATCATGAACCTTTTGCCAGGTCCGTGAGGCCTGTCCGCCACTTCCTGCAAAACCTGCGCCAAAATGTTGAAATGAGATGCCTGGAAATAGTGCCATCAAGAAATCCGCAACGTCGTTGACATTTTTGGGATCGATGGGCGATTGAATTGACAGGAACAACTTCAAAGCTTCCCCCGCCTCCTTTCTCTCACCCGCGGCCGTCCTAGCGACCTCCACCGACGGCACATCTGTCTGGCAGTCTACCTTGCCCAGTGTCAGATATCGTAAACGTGGCCAACTCGACGGGATCACGGTAAGTCCGCGAAGCGTGAGTTTGCTAAACGAAGAGTTGTTACTGCTGAAGGAAAACTCCTCGATTTGCGGCCAGGCGCCTGCGAAATCCGCAAAGGCGTCATCTGTGAGCTCGAGCGGGAGTTGCAGGTGCACGACGCGCAGACCGCGGAACGCGAGGAGCCCGAGGCAATCTCCGATGGTCGCGCCTTCGTTTGTGTGGCCGCGGCCAACTCCCATCCTGAGGGACAGGTTCAGTTTGAGTGTTTGAACATTCCGCACGTTGAATGATACATCTTTGAACCGGGAGAGCAGGCGTCTGAGGCTATCACCGGTACCCTGCTTACTATTGATGGTGAGGCTCGTCAATTCCGGCGAAGAGATAGATGATAGTAACGCCATTGCGGGAGCCAAAGAGTCGACGTCCATGGTGATGCGTCGGAGCTCTGCCAAGCCTCCTTCAGGAGCTGGCTCCGAGGAATTCCAATCTTCGTCTGAAAGAGAATCAGGACAGACCAAACGCAGCACTGTCAGCTTGCGTAGCGACGTTAGCGGGTCGAGAATTTGTCGGTCGAGAAGAAGACCATCGTCATCGATGAAGTCTGAAGGAAAGTCAGTGTCGTCAAACTCCGGGATATCAAGACAAGGTCAACGAGGGACTCACTGATGGCTATGTCTACGTTTTCCAGCTCCGGGCATGTCTTGAGAAACGTCGTGACAGTCTTGACTGCATGCGGTGGCTTGAAAACCTTTACAGAGAGCTTCCTAATGCTCGGTGATGCTAATAAAGAGATATGTGGATAGAACAGAGGCGACGATTTCATGCTGTACACGGCGCCTGAGTGGAAGTGGACTAAGTTGGACATAAGGTGTTCCACGGGGCACCTCCCAAGAGCTGAAGCAATAACTTCGACGGGAGGAGCGTTCGAGAAAGTTGCGGGGACATTGGGGTCATGCCATAACCGCCTGATGCGAGATGCATACTTGAGCGTTCTCTCCCATGTAAGGGTGCTCGCATCTTTGAATTCAGGCAAAGTGACCTACAATGCGTAAGTCCACTGTCAAGCTTGCGTGATACATAAAAGACCAACCTGTCCTTTCTCGTCCTTGGCCGAACTATGGTCAGAGAAGGCTCTAACCTCGGGAATCGTGAGGAATAGGGGGACAAGGGATAGCTGAGTGAACCAGAGCACATCGAGCGCTATCTCCGATATCTCGCGACAGGTGAGTGCGCAAGAAAGGACATCAGCTTTGCACGAGCCATTGTCCAATACGTAATTGAAGATTGCAGTTGCAATCTCGTCGATCATAAAGCACTCGTGCATCTCGGGGCGGTCAGCACTGGTTTGTGAAGGTCAACTTCACGAGGGGTTTGGTCAAGGGAGAACCTTGGATGAGCCTCAGAGTAGACGTCAAGGCGGATGGTGAGTGCACAGTGCCATTCTTGCCCCATGATACTAGGTATAGGCTCGCCACTGTTCGGACGAGTGAATGGAAGCTGTCAAAATCTGTGCATTGACTTACTATTCTGATCGCAGCATTCATCTTTAGGGCAGGACCATCTATATAGTACTTACCACTATACGATCCAAGAAAGATACGATCACAAACACTTCGGTGACACTGATTCATTGCATGCATGAGACACTCTACTACACCTCTCGTTATGTACGTGGTTACGATAAGAAATACATGCAGTATGGTTTATTGAATGATGCGTGGCGACAAGATTGTCCATGGTCTGGAGAAATGTAGAGGCGGGTTGCACTTGGGAGAAAGCAATGAGGGTTCCACAGACACAATGTACTAGCAAAAGGTGAGTGTTCAAGAACAAATTTATGTATGCGGGTCGTTAGGTCATGAAAGGCAGTACTTGGACGGAGAATAGACATAGAACACGGAGACGACCCAGTGCCTGGAGAGGAACCGAGGACGCAAAGCAAAGCAACGAGAGCGACGTAGGAAATGATGAGAGCAAACATATTGTGCGTTGATTATATTATATGATACCGATGTATCCCGTGGAAGGAAGCGTTCATGGTGACAACAAGGAACAGACATCGCCACATGGCGGGAGGGTTGATTAGAGCTGCATGCCGATCAGCTTGCGCGCAACGGACTGGACAACAGCTTCGGGGACCTGCAACTCCCTGGCGATAGCGGCACAATAGGGTTCGGCATTAACCTGGGGAGTGGGGTCAGGAGCCCCGTAGGACTCAGAAGACGTTGCACGGCTGTGGGACGCTGAAAATGAAGGTGGCGAAGGAATGGCAGAGCGGACACGATCCACGTTTGCAAGAGCCTCGGTTTGTTCATGAGCAAAGACTAGAGCGAGATCAGTGTGGGTAATGAGACTAATGCAAGCTGGCTGACCTCTGCAAGCGATAGCGGCATGAAGAAGCTCTTCCAAGATGGTAGGCTCGCGCTGGAAGCACGGCTCATTCAACCTGGCAACGAGCACTTCGAGCGCAGCTGAGGGATGAAACAATTTAAAAACCCTAGACGTCGTGTGGACAAGTAACGTACTGATAGTGACACCAAACAATAAGTCCCGAACATTGGGCGTCCAAAATACTCGACTGTCGATATCGATAGGGAATTTATTCAAGATATTGATGAGTGCATGGAACGGTAATGAAGGGTCTTTGACAAAATGTGCCTATTGTGGGGGAGATAAGCACGGTCTCGGTTGGGATATTGATCCTCTTACATCGCGAGACTCAATCAGGACCTTGAGAGAGGTAAGTTCAGCGTCGCTCAACAGCCCCGACTGGAAAGCGATATTGAGCTGCGAGCCTTGCAGCCCAATCAACGTCGGCTTAGAACCATCAAAGTTTCCCTTCCACGACGGGAACAGCTGGTTTTCAAGTGAGCACGGGAGGGTAAGTGGAATCCGACCTTACTCACTGCCCGCATCAGATCTTCTTGGCTGCTCCGGGTTACCGTCACACCCCTGGCGCGCTTTCCGCGACCAAGGACAGCGTTTTGGGCGTCCCGAAGAGTTGCTTTGGCTTCTTCGGAGGAGGAAAGCTCAACGAAGGCGTGGCTGAGGGTCTTACCCTGACGGTCAATGAGGACGTACGCCCGAGCATCAAAGCCATGAAGCCAAGGACAAGACCTGATCATGGATGGCGTGATGTCCTAAGTGGCATAGCTATGTTAGAAACAAATAGCACATGGGAACTTGAGTCGACGTACCCATGGAACATTGTCAATGCGCAGCACAACCCTCTCGGATCCGCGACGGATGGGTGCTGGGGTACAGCACTGGAAGGGGGTCGTCACAGGCCCCAGATTTGACTCAAAAACGCTAGGAAGGAGAGGTGTATGTTGGTGATTGACCTGTCGACTCTGTAAAGGCGACGACGGAGAAGTGCGCCTAGGCCCAGAGCCCTTGTTTGCCTGGAGATTGAAGTCTACGACACGGTTCTTGCATACAGCACACTGCATGTCCTTTTCACCAACGATGTTGATCGCGCTCGTCAAGCAAGAGGGACAAAGCGGATGGCCACAAGGACTAAGCATAGCAAGTCTCTCGGGACAAGCACCGCAGTCTGAGCAGGTGGCGCCGGACATACTGACGGCATTGTGGCGGACCATGGGCGAGTCATCCATTGCTTGATGAACAGTTTCAGAGATTGTAGACAAGGTGTGGCTGTTGAAAGGATCCTGAAGGACGAAAGGTTGAGTAGGAGAAGAGAAAGACTGGGGGTACGGATCGTAAGCGTCCTCGTCAATGTCGAATAATTCGTTGGTCATCTTAAATGCAAAGAACAAAGGGGACTCGCGGTTAAACTTCACAGCAACACAAGTGGCGGAACACCTCACCTGGCTAAATGAGGGGCGGCGGCGGGTGTGCGCCGGGTCCGTCAGACTTCCTTTGAGTTTTAATTGGGATGCATTTGTTGGATTCCGTGGCGGTGTATTCAAAGCGGTAAGTGTACGGCGGGCGGGCGTGTGCGCACTATATGCAGCAAGCGGAAAATTCTGGGGCGCAGCATACGACTGTGTGCGTGTGCGGCGATGACTTGACAAGAACGGCGGAGGTATGAGAACTAAATAGGTATGAGCTTGGTACGGAAAGAGAAGAATGAAGGGCGCGGTCACCGTCATCAGCTACAAAGCCCGTAGAATTGGTGTCGGAGGGAGTGAAATCGCTGGCTGTTTGAGCACGCAGAGGTCGTGGTTCAGTGCAAGTCCGCGGAGCGCCACGTGGAATGTTGGGAAAGCCGACAAAATGGAGGGAGTGGAAGAGGGATTGAGTCAACGACGGTATTATATCAATCGAGCGCATATATGCATACCTTCATCGTCGGCAAAGGTAGAGTCGTCAGCGTTTGACACTTTGATACCATGCTCGGTAGCCCGGTTCCGCCAACTCTCTGCAAGGTCGGTGAAGCCTTGTTCGGGGAATGCTGCTCTCAAGTCGAGACCATTTTCTGGACAATCTAAGGTGGCAATGTATCTGGCACTTGCCGTAGATTCTGGAGTTGTAAGAGTCGAACTGGTGGGAGTGGCAAATGAGCGCAGACTAATCGGTGTGTACGGGGAAGAGAAGTTTGTGGCAGGTGTTGCGGGGGAGTGGAATGCAAGTTTCTGGGCTCGACTTATACGCTGTGGTGTAACAGGGGACGCAGAGAATCGGTCAATCTTGTTGGGTCTGGTGACTGCTGGTGTGGTAGGAGCCGAAGCTGGCATGACAGGTACCGACAATGAATGTTTATGCATGACGCTCTATCAGTTACTCTGAGAGATGGAGCGGGTGTTAGCACTCGAGTTCTTGTACAAAGCTATGGAAAAGCTTCACCTATACGATGACTAGCAGATGAATTTATGTGTGGTCTGTTGCAAAGGTCAAAGATTGGTTGATGAGACGAGGCGTCTCTTCCAGCTGAGAAGATATGCTTGGGTGAGGTTCAGGACCAGTCCCAGGATTAAAGAAAAGGTTGAATGAAACGTGTTTCGCTCTTGGTGGAGCTTGTAAAAAGGAAAAAAGTCAAGCTCGACGGGAGTGACGCCTGCAACGTGGGAAGGTCATTTTAAGCCCGCGCGTCGCGTCGATGTCACGTGCTTGACTCAAAAAGCAATATTACGCAACCGGCCAGGTTTTCGGGCGACCTCTTGAACCAACCTCTTGAACCAATCTCGAAAGCTCTGGAAACCTCAAAAAATGAGCCATCTTCCAACATGCGTGGGTCGGTTTTGGGATACATATCGATAGCAAGCTATCATCGGACCCCTGAGCAGGAATGGATATGAACGTATTTTCTACTCGCTTAGAGTTGGACGACGCCAGCCTTGACGCCAGCCCTCCCTAGAGTAGCCCTGGTGGGCAAGCAAGGCAGCTATATACTAAGGCTTTTACTCGAGGGGTACCGGTAAAGCTTCACAGCGGGACCCTAGCTACAGCGCGTAACAACCAATTTCAAGTTCCTTGATACCACACCATAAGTTATGATTTACGCATGTCTGAAGGTTTATTGCGGAAGTGTATGTATGACTATTATAAAGTTGCAAATGCGAGTGGGGTGCTTTGTCAATCGAATCTAGTCTATGTATCAACCTACAAAACGAAGTCATGAACCTTCTCCGCGAAGCGCCAATGTCCGTGAATATAATCAATGTAAAATCAGCTCTCAGCCCAGAAGGCCTTCGCTGTCCGAGAGAGCCGCGGAACTGTAGCCGCTTCCACCCATCTCATTGTAGTGAGCAATCCTGAGACGTTGGCTTGGAGGGATAGCCTTATCCTCCAGTCCGTGAGGGGCTCCACCGAGTAAGACTCCAACGCGCTTCATGGAGAGTAGCTAAAAGGAGAAATTAGCGCACATTATATCAAGTATGAAAGAAAGCTTACGTTGTGCGCGGCATTGCTGTGGTCGTAAACACCGCCGAAGAACGCAGTAGTGGCATCTCGGCCGATGTATTTCGTGAGCAAGTGGCGGCCTCCCGGGTGCTGGTCCAGGAAGTCGTCGACATCATGAATGAATCCGGCGATACAAATCAGTGGCCGTGACTGAGCCTGCTGTAGGACTGAAGAAAAGTCAGTATTGTAGATGGCGAATATGAAGAAGAGACGGACAGCTTTCCCAAGAAATAACAGGCAGATGGCTGTTATCCGAGGGCCAGTTCAACTTCTCTTGTATTTCGCGGAGGCGCTTGAGCTGCATGGTAAGCTGACCCTTGCGGACCTCATTCTCGGGGAACACCTTGTCACAAAGTTAGTACTGCGTAAGTATTTACCAAACATAAACGCACCTTCAAGTGAGATGACAAGCCCAGCTTGCTCGTAAACCAGATCGTCCATTTAGTAGGATCATATTGATACCACTTGATGGCGTTGCGGTAGTCCATAGGGAACTGGTGATGGAAGTTGTGGTAACCTTCACCAATCGTGCACAACGCAGTGATGAGATGGTCACGGGGAGTGTGTTTGTCATCGAAAGGCGCATCTCCTAGGTAATGGGCAAGAGAGTTGACACAGAACGTAGACTACATTAAGAACACTTAAGCGACGACAAACTGGAAACATTCGGCAACACTCACATGATGGACAAAGCAAAGTCTGAGAAGGCTAGCATAGACGTAACCGCCCTTCCAGTCGCCCCACCCCAAGCCAGCGACGACCATGGGAAAGATGTAACCCATGCCGAAGACAAGGAAGAGATAGTGGCGGTGTTGCCACCTGACAACCTCATTCTTGGCCAAGTCACTGATGTCGGCAACACCGGGCTTGCGACGAGGCTTGAAAAGCATCCAGCCGATGTGAGACCAGAGAAGACCCTTGTGTGCGTTGTAAGGATCGAGGTCAGTGTCGGTATACCGATGGTGGGCACGATGTCCGCGCGCCCACCACCTGATGGAGCCCTGGACGGCACCCGCACCGAGAATGCAAAGGAGAAATTGCAGGGGCTTCGACGCATTATACGAACGATGAGCCCAGAGTCTGTGGTACCCTGCGGTGATGCCTGGATTACAGTGAGCGGATGATAACATATAAAAGCTAAGCGGCTTACCAAGTCCAGTCATGAAGTAGTACACGACGGACCAGACCGCCGTCTCCCAGCGCAAGCGGACCACGAACGCGCCAATGATGCCCATGATTGGGGTCAACCCGAGAATCGCAGCGTGGAGCAGGTTGAGCTCCTGCCACCAGTTGTCCCAGGAGATGGGATCCAGGGCCTTCTGGTGCTTGAGCGTGTATGAGACGTAGTTGTCCGGAATGTTAGCGTCGGAGGGCTCTTCCTCGCCCTTGGACTTCGGAGCGGACATTTTGGGCGTGATAGGGGGCGTGACGGAGTCAACAGGAGGAGCACCGTTCGACGGCGGCACTGAAGACATGGTGGTGGTCGGAGGGGGAGGTGACGGACATTAAAGAGGGCGCTGGCGCAAAGTATTTATGTGCAGTAAATTTCTTTGGGGTTGGAATGGCGTGTGAGTATGTAAATACCTCCGGCCTTCTGCTCTGCTCTATTATGCTTTTGGTCATACCCACGCCATCCCGAGAGAGGGCTTAGCGTTTGGCTCCTCTGGCCAAGCGTGCGTCCGTTCCTTAGCCATGATATCTCAGAGATAGTCCCCACCAGCCTCTAGAGGTGTTTCTGTTTTTTTTTCTCCGCAAAAAGACAAGGTTCAGGAGCGAAAAGCCGCTAACTGACAACTGTTGGGGAGGACTATGACTGCCTTATTGGGAGCTGTTACGGATACATATGGTAATCAAAGCCTAATGCAATTACTTCCGGAAATTGGCTCCGCCTAGCTTTCCGTGGTGGCACGTGGAGCGCTGAGCACCAGAACGAATGAGAAATATCATAGGGGCTTTCACGCCGCTGGAGGTGATCTTGCAAGGACGCGGAACGGAGCACTCGAAGACTCGACTTACCGGCCCAACTTCACCATTTCGCCATGATATTTGTTTGCCATGCCTTTGATGTGTAACTGTAGACTCTCAAATAGACTGCTGGGGGTACCTGTGAATAGTGTGGACTGAATGTGGCAACCGGCTGCTATCACATCCGCCCCAGCGAGACGAAAACATACGATCTGCATGCACAGTCGTGGCTAACGCGGTTAGTCGTATGCATACACATCTTCATTAGGCCACGCATCTTCATTAGGCCGTCAAAGCTGCGAGGTGGAGCCGCAGTCACAAGATATGCATCATGCATAGGTCATCCACTTGATTTACTGATCTAACATTCTACCATCAACGTGCATGGCAGCCCACTCTCACTAGAGCACCAACGTGGAGCTCGAGAAAGAAAACAACTGATAATAGCAGAGAATGAGTGAATCAAGTTCACCGCTACAGTATGAGACATTTGATGGAAGATAGTTTGCGAGATGGCACCAAGATGGCACGATTCTTTTCCCAGCTTTTCCCAGTCTCCGAGACCAGCCCGATACCGAGACCGGACGCCGAGGGCCTGGGGCGAGCGCGATCAACCCCAAGTCAACGTTTCAACGTTTCAAAATCTCAACGGCGGTGCCTGGCCTGTTTCAGTTGTATGCACATTCCATGAACAGGCTTGGCGATGTTATTCTTCTCCTCAGATATAGATCCCCATATTCCTGCGGTAAGCGTGGTCAAATGTAGGATTGCGATCGCCGTTGACTGGAGTGAAAATAAAACGATGAAGAACGACTCTCCTCTATCTGACGGCCATCGTCAACCCTTAGAGTGATCGGTTGGTATGTATGTAGGTAGAACTGGCAGTGGCAAGCCGAAGCGTTGTCCGAGGTCTTGGGTAGCATAACGCCCATCGACGACGCTATTCTTGCTGGTCTTAGCGATCCGCTTGAAAGAGTACTCACCTATGCAAAGAAACACCCTCCGTCCTATCTTCGTCGATCTGCATCGATCAGGCAAGCATTCCGCCAATGCTCACGAAATTGTTGGAGTCTTGAAATGGCCGATTGCAATCACACACGACTCGCCCTTGTTGCACGGGAAGATGAACGAAAATGATCTTTTGTGGATAAAAAAGAGTAGACATGCACCCTCCAGCACCCACTTGTTCTATGCACTACGCACTTGGGCATGATGTAGTAAGTGCAAAGGGCAGGAGCTCGAGGGTGGTCGCTGTATGGGCCTTCGAAACGAGCGACTCTCGGGTGACTCAGGCAATATCGTGGGAAATTTGAGCTCACAGCCCCTTCAGGTCCGAGTCGATGCATTTAGCTGACGGACTCGCCCAATCCCAAGCACACGTCCGATGGATCAGGTACGTAGTATCTGCGCCTTGTAACCCGGATAAAGGCCACTGTGTCTGATACCAATGTTTCCCGGTCACTTTCTCGCTCATCCCGCTGCATCTGCTTAAGCGCTCGCTGGTGGCTAGCTTAATCATGAAGTAGGTCAGTGGCGATCGGCTTATTATGCAGCCCGCCACATACCACAAAGAAACTTGGTAAATCCTTGACTCCTTAGATGCCGTGTGGATACGCGTTATCGGCCTCGAGACATGCATTGTCATATAGTGTTCACTTTACCAGCATTAAGTGCGACTCAGCCGGGTCAGCCCAACTCAGCCCAGTCAGCGCGGGCCGAAAACATGAGTCAGCTCATTGACATAGTGTGCAATCATCGCTCTAGAGTAACTGACCTGATTTTTCAAAGTCATTCAGGATGATGGCGTTGCACTCCATTGGCGCGCAGACGCAGTGGTATATAAGGCTAAGTTAGCGGTTGGGCAAATCCAACATCATCATCTCCAAGAATCACTCATCGTCTGCCAACAAACATGTCTCAGAAGGCTCTCTTTATTCCCTCTAAGCAAGCACAGTTCCAGGTTGGGCCCGCCGATATCCCCAAGCCAGGTGATGGCGAGATCCTCGTGAAAGTACATGCCATCGGGATCAATCCGCTCGAGTGGAAGCAGCAGGCGTTCGGTGTTATAATCGAGCACTACCCTGCCATTGTCGGCCAAGATGTCGCAGGCATCGTTGAAGAAGTTGGCGCCGGCGTGACCAACTTCGTCAAGGGCGAAAGAGTGTCCGTGTTCCTGTTCTTATTTGTTGGTGAGTTGACGTCTGACGCAAAGGACAGTGCTGCCCGGGCAGGATTTAACAGCAACGCACATGGCGCCTACCAGGAGTACATGCTTGCGCCTGCTGACCTCACGGCAAAGGTACGTGAAGTTGTTGTAAATTTCGGGTATTTGGAATGGCATGAGTATGAACCAGATCCCGTCCAACATCTCCTTGGAAGCGGCCTCCTCTCTCCCTACCGGCGTGGACACCGCGACGATCGGGCTCTTCGGGCCCTTGGACGGAAACCTCACATCACCTACAGAGAAACTCAATGCATACCAAGGGCAGTCCATTTTGATTCTCGGTGGCTCTGGATCTGTCGGTGTATATAGTACGTTTCATACGAATGCTGCGAAACACAAGTTCTCTCGCTGAATAATTCGTGTCGTGTAGCTATCCAGCTAGCTCGCCTCTCCGGTTTCTCCACAATCATCGCCACGGCTTCGCTCCGCCACGAAACCTACCTCAAGTCCCTCGGAGCAACGCACGTCATCAATCGTACCCTCCCCGAAGCTGAGGTCATTCAGGCCGTGACCAGCATCTCCAACGACATCAAGATCGTGTATGACACCATCAGCGAGCCTGACACCCAGAAAATCGGATGGGCGGTGCTCGCTTCCGGCGGCCACTTGGTCACAACTGTTGGGGCCACCGTCAAGCCCGAGGCTGGGGACACACGCACTGTCAAATGGGTATTCGCCGCACCAACTATTCCGCCGAACAGGCCGGTCTGCACCGCTGTGTGGGACCAGGTTACGAAGTGGCTCGAGGATGGTTCTCTTGTGGTGAGTGCTTGAACTGACTGAAACCGGTCGTCCATTCTCAATATAGCTACCCTAGCCAAACAAAGTGGAGGTCGTTCCTGGAGGTTTGGGCGGAATTGTGACAGGCCTGGACCGCTTGAGGGCTAACCAGGTCAGCGGTGTCAAGCTAGTTGTCACGCTCTAGTGGCTGTTCGAAGATACAAGTCGTAGTCTGTCTGTTGTGTAGGATACGTAGCTCGACTTTCCAAGAAACTATCATATATGCTTGATCAAGAGAAATGGAGAATCAACAAGGACTTACTCAACCTGATTATGAGATCATAGTATCTGATCCAAGTTCGCATTACACTCAGGCTTGTTTACGTCAATGTGCACGGATACGACATAACATCATGCCAGTTAACGTGTCTCATCAGCCTATTATACATCAACTTGTTCATTTGTGATTCTTTGCATCCGATGCCTCATGTTCTATGTCTGATTTGCTTTTTAGTAATTTATCTCGGCGCTGAAACGAACAATATAGCCTTGATTGATTTAATTGCTTCGTTACGTCTTGTTGACACGGCAGCTTTGTGAGAGGTGTAGTGCATGGACCCTTTCTTGCATTGGTATGAAAGAAGAGAAGGGAATGCTACCTCAAAGGGTGGCTTGCTATTATTGTACCTGGTATCAGTGAACCCGCCAAGCAAGGGTGTAAGTGCATTGGATTTATCAGTGGGACAGCGGGAAGAGCCTGACGTATCAGTGACTGTGTGATTTCGCATCGGAGCCCAAGTCAGTATATTGTGGTCGACGGATCCCAAGTTATTTTGTAGTGCCATCATGCAGCAGTGTCTCAAGCAGGATGTGTTTTCACAGAGATACCGAAAGATGCCGGCAGAACAAGGCGGACCCCCGAAAGACACGAACGTGTGGTATGTCTATAGCGAGACTGTGTGTTGGCACTGCTTCAAAGGCGATACTAAGTAACTAGTACTGTAGTGACCCGCAGCCGGCGGCTGCATAGCTAGAACTAGGCGCGCACAGAGCCCGAGCTGAACGTCCCGAAGCTGTCCCGAACAGCGTCGATACCGTCGGGCCTCCGACGCCGATCAATGCAGTGCTCTGCTCCCGTTCTCCGGCAAACGCGGAGGAACTCATATAGGGGCCATTCGCTCGAAGACGTCGTGGCGCCGTGGAAAAGAGTACCTACGCTCGGTGACCAAGTGAATGAACGTCGGAAGGGAGTTATGGTGATCCGCGTCATATATCGCTGGGATCGGACCCGGGCGATCATCGTCGGAATGGCATAACGCGCACACAGCGGGTGCACGTACAGCCGGCTCGGAGTGATCGTATGACGTTTATGTTCTTTGGTCCGGTGTGGCTACTAGCGCGCAGCAGGACCGGGCTGACATATGAGAAGCTGAAGGCCCGTATTATGCGAACGAGGAACGGAGATGCCGATGTTCTTTGGCCTGGCTCCGTCTAGGACGGTGGTCTTCAACGTTTCTACCAGTGACTAAGGCTATCTACATTGTTTGTGCGCGCGGCATCCGTCGGCCATGGAGATCGGAAAGTATGTCAGGCAGGGTCACTAATGAACGCATACTTGTGCCGTTGGTGGGGTATGGTTCCGGGTGGCCTGTGAGCGTTCAACAGCCACGTACTAGCAAGTAGCGGAAGGTTTTCGTGACTAGTGATTGCCCACTGCGTTCCCCGAGGAGGTCCATTCATGCTGAGGGCTTGATGTATAGGAGTATTATGAGGGAACACGACATTGGCAAGGCACCAGCAATTGTCAGAGATAGCTAAACGTCACCACAGGGCCAGCAGCACGTAGACATTGGGGGACAGGTGAACTTTCTGATATCCGTTGCTTGTCCGTCAGTACCTCAGCAGCCTCAACATCTTGTCGCTCGTTATCGCGTCGAGACATTGTAGCTCACACTGCAGAAAGCTTCCTGTGAAAGAGTGTGCTATACTTAGCACCTCAGCCCAGTGTTAATCCATGTGGTCGCAGGAAACCTTATACAAGCTTTAGGCAATGCCCGGCGTTGACTCGGAACGGGAGGTTGCCTGTCCGTCGGGAGTGACTTTCCAGCTCTGTGATCTATCATAGCGACAGAGGCGGACTTGTTCTTATCGTCAACCACAGCATCCATTACGAAAAAGAAGAGTGCACCCGAATAGAGAAGACAGGAAGACAGCAACAACACTTGTGGACATTGTCAACAAGACGAGAACGAGCACCCGACACAGGTTGCGGTGAGGAGGGGCGAATAGGTCGTTACATCTGCATCTGAGGATACGGACAACGCAACGAGAGAACAAGGGCGTGTTGTTCGGTGTCCATTCGCTGTGAAAATATGCCGTGCACAGAGTTGGTGGCCATAGATAGGGGCGACGGGCTGTCAGTGTCAGGACATTGAAATCAATCAAGACACCGGATCTACATGCGTCAGACATCCCAGGCTGTCCCATGTTGTTGATGTTGTTGGACAACGGGCGGAGTCGTGATAAGTGAGCAACATGAGGAAATCCGTGAAGGTAGGAGCACAGGAACAGAGTCTATTGGGCGTTGCCATCAATCCGCAGACACTTTGTTACGGAAGGTATCAAGGGAAGGGATTGATCAGCATGGGCTTTTAATAGGTAGAAACTGGGTGAGAGGTCCACCAGGGTACACCCTGCACACAATCAGTACGAGGTGTAAGCTTCGGGGGGGCCAAGAAGATTGAGGATGGTCTAATGCTGTAGGCATGAATGAGTTGCACACACGTACGTGAGCGTAACGACAACCGCTACAGCTGTACTACCGAACAAATGTCCTGATAAAGAGAGAAATTAGCCCTGTATAGAACGTAAGATGGTGGAGAACAAGTCTTATTGCCTCTCTGGTGCCCGTGGGGTAAGACGGGAATGGCTAGACAGCTGTCAAAACCGACGCTGCCTTAGGCTGAGCCTGATGTCGCCGGGTAGGCGCCGAGTTTCAGATTCGTCCCGTTCCGCGCAGGATAGATTGGTTCCTGCTGCGTGGGCAACATTAACCTCCCTCGGTTCCGGCGTCGGAGGTCACTGTTTCATAGTATGTTCCCAAATTCCTCGAGCCCAGAGTACCTTCCAGGACTTAAGCTTATGCCCGGATAGCGGCGGTCCGGTACGGTCCGGCTCGAGTGTACTTGTTGGAGCGAAGCGGTGGCCGGTGATTGGGTAATATTTCTTCCCCGTCCGAGTCGACGCTCGGGTCGGAAGGCGGCCACTGGTACATAGAGTAGCCATACGAGGATAGTTGACCCGCGGAACCACACCCTTATGACAGCCCGCAGCCTAGGTCTTGGAAGCTATGACTGGGGCCCAAAGCCTACAACGTACGAGTCGGCGGAGTGGTACACCTGATCCTTTCGACTAGTTTGCCGTAAGAGAGACTGTCAAGCGTAGAGGTGTCTACGGCGACGGCAAAGGGCTGCAAGTGGGCATCTGGGAAGTTCCTAAATCAGTCGCATCATAGGGTACAGCAAACGGATAAGTCCAACAGTTCTCGGATCAGATCACGAGAAAGACAGCAAGCGGTATTGCGTGGGCAATCATCCGCGGGATAGCAAGGGACACCTCAGGGCAATTCCAGTCGGTAGCCCTGTCGTCCAAGAAGCACATCCAACATAAGGAGTTTATGCAAGATGATAGTGCGGAGGTTACCGAGGCAACAGATGTAGACTGTTCCGGGATTCGGACAAAGGTAGGTGTAGGGTAATTCCTGAAGTATCCAAAAGGTGGATTTCACTGGCATGCACAGCGAACCTTCGAGAGAGATGACTTTTGAGGTAGCACCTGCACGCGGCCACCGCGTCCGCGAGAACGACACCGAGAGAGATGCCGGCCGATGCAGTCGGGGGTGCATGGTCTAGTTAGCTAGTACGTGGTCCCGGTGCGACTACCGCACGTTGAGTTTTTTCCCCTGTGCGGAAGAGGCCACAAGAATGTTCGGCGGTGTACCCTAATTGAGACAGCTAGGCAATCCCGAAGTGACTGGCCCGAAGTCTCATCATGGCCCGGATGGAGGTTGCGCATGGGAGTCCGATCAAAGGCGCGAAGCCCTAGACTGAGCTGCAGGAAAGGGTTCCATGTGTGGGATAGGTTTGTGGGATACAAGGATAACTTGGAAAGGTGGTGCCACAGCGCTTGATGGAGCATGTGCTCATGTGTATGAGCATTGTGCCGCACATCCTTTGGTCACAGCGACGCCATCTTTGATTGCATGCAGACATGCAGGAAGCTGGACAGCGAGCGATGAAGGTATAAGGGTGTCTGGCTAGTCATCCGACAGTAATAACACTTTAGCAGTCGTTGGGAGCGGGGCGAGCGGAAGAAACTTTGTTGGGTTACGGACCCGTCGACCCTGGCGGACAGAGGCGGGCATCTGGAATAAGGAAGTACATGCCGTACAACCGAGGATGGCGGAGGTGGGCCAGCAGCCAGGAGAACATCAAGTCGGTGACGACGATCAGTACCAGACAAAAGTGGGCATGCCGATGATCGAGGAGAGGCGGACAGCTCCGGCGCACGCGGATGCCATGGAATTGGCCAATGATGCACGTGATGGGACGGAGTTAATAAACCGGTGATCTTCCGAGAAGACAGGAGAGAAGCGCTTGACACTGGCGAGAAACTTCCGCTGACCAGACATGAATATAAAGAAGGCCCCTGGCTCCACCCCGTCCTCCATCACCGGTCCCAGCCCTCCCTCCTCACCCAAGACCCAAGACACAACCGACCCTCCTGAATATCAGGTTCTCGCATTCAAACAACATGGCCAATTGGTGCTCCCTCCCGACCGAGATGCAGCTCGCCGTCCTCGGCCAGCTCTCCCTCACCGAGACTCGTGCCCTCGCCTACTGTTCTCGCTCTTCATACACCCTCACGATCCCCACTCTGTTCGCCAATGTCCACCTCTCCTCGTTCCATGTCCTCAAGCGCTTCGTCGACAACGTTCCAGTTACCTACGGACAGTACATACAAACACTGTCTGTCAATACCAGGGTCGACCACAGCATCTCGCAAAATGCCGAAACACATCCGCGCACCGATGCCCTCATCGCCCTCCTTGATCGTTGCCCCAGGCTATCGAAGCTTACGCTCGCCTTGGATGGCTCGCTCGCTCCTCACGCACTGCCCGCCTTCACGCGTCTCAGCTGCCTGACGGCCCTCGACGTTGAGCCCGCCCGTCGTGAAGAAGATGCACCTGTGTACGTCATGCGTCCAACTGTTTCACCTTAACTAGAAAACTTACACGGCCTCTGACAGCTCCGAGCGATTTGTCGTTGCCCTTGCGCGATCGGTGCCTGCCCTCGAGCACCTCTCTCTGTCGCGCATCACACGTTCGGCTGCGCTCGCGCACCCTTGCTCCGTCCCACTCGGCGTGCCTCTCACAGAGGATGGCGACACCTGCTACACCTTCGATGGCACAGTTCCCTTCGAAAACCTATATCTCCCCACCCTTCTTGACCTCCGCCTCCGCACGCTTCGCATCTGCGATACTTACCTTGGCTGCGACGCCGTCCTGCCGTATCCTTCTGTAGACTTCCGTGAAGGAAAAACTGGCACCCTCGAGCAGCTCACGCTCACGGGCAGCATGTACGTCGACCCCTCGACGGATGATACCGAGCCCCTCGCTTGTGCTGCCTGGCTCGCCCACGTTCCCAACAGCACGCTTAGTCGTGTAGACCTCGGCTGTGCACTAGCCACGCCCCGTCTACTGACTTCGCCTGGCTGGGTCTCACCTGTCGACTCGCCCGTTATCCCTTTCACACCAGTCTCTCCATCATCTACTGGCTCGGCTTTTGTCTTCCCACCCGTCGCTTCATCAAGGGCCAGGTCGGGTTCGCTCGCCGCGGCAAGGGAAGCAGAAGTGGAGAAGGAGAAGGAGAGACTTCGCCAGCAATACCCCGCCATCGAGCACCTTCATCTGAACGCATCGCGCTTCTTCCCTGAAGCCACTGCCCTAGCTACCACCCTTCAGGCGGTCCCCCGTGTGGACAAGCTCAGTGTTGCAGACGACGATTTTCCCCAGGAAGATCCCCAGTGCGCTATGGATGATCTCGCCGACTGGTGCAGCGTCCTCGCGGATATTCTCCCTGGCTCCGGAGTTCAACACGTCGACATGCGCTTTGGTTCCACTGGCTGGAACTGGGAAGCGTAGACGACGTTTCAAGTTCCCATCTATCTTTCCACTGGGCTTTCGCGATACCATCACACAGCATTACATGCACCGCCGAGGTGTAGGACTTATATTTAACTTATCGCTATCTATCCTTGCACTAGTGGTTGTCGACCGCATCTATGATAATCACACCTTAGTAGCTTTGTATCTTGACTGTATCATATTGTATTATCATATTAGAGAGACTGGTTGTTCTGTCATGGCTCAAGCGTTTAAGAAACATTAAAATTGAAACCCCCGTGGTCTGAGTTCAAGGGTAACCTTCTGAAGTCCCCCGGGCGTCGGCATGCTTGGTCCCCTTGATATCAAGCAGAGCACTGCCCCATCATATTACCAGCGTTAAACATTGTCAGTGTCGGATTCACTCCACTCCGTTGGTGCCTGTTGATCCTCATAGCAACTCGATGAAAAACTAAGACGACACTTATCAAGCTCCGTCCTAGCATAGCAGTTAAGGCAGTGCCGCGGATATCGCGTGATACTGGCTACTGACGAGCTGCGCCTGTCCAGGAGCCTTCGATTCAGATCCAGTGCAGGTTCTAGTGATTTACCAGAGCAGCGGGTTTCCTATTCAAAGATTCTTGATGGCACCTGTTCACTCTGCAAAGGAGTTTTTTGAGGAGTTGGTGTTAGCGCTCGGCGCTCAGATGTCTCAGGCCTCAGGAGACGTTGGATATTGTGAATAAGATGATCTTTCCCAATTCGGTGGACTGAGCATTTCGGAGCTGAGCAAAGTACTTTGAGTGGAAATTTACGACTGGCTGCATTGGCACAGAGCTAACGGGAGAGTACCGTGCACGGCGCCTGCGCCGAGTGGAATGAGCGGATGAAGTCAGCGTGGATCAGAAGCCCGGGCCGTGGGTCACGGAACAACCACAGAACGCATCGGTGCGCTTGCATCAAGAATCACATGCATTGATCCTTCCCCACATGGGTCCGCCCATACGCTGACGAGCTCACTCAGGCTGCCCTCCGTTCGACTTCCCTATCGCCGCTGCGAGTAACACGCTCCCGGCGACGACCTACGACTAGCGACCGACCAACGATGGTCGCATTCTCAAAGATCACCAGAGACCGCACAGAGCAGATCGCCCACCTCCTCAAGAGCTCGTCCTCGCGCCGCCCGCTGTACATCCTCCTCGTCGCTCTCCTCGTTGTCCGCGGTGCAATCATTCATAAACTCAAGGATTCAAGACTTCAGGAAAGCAAGAGCAAAGACAAAGCATCGGAGACCAATGCGTTCGGCTTGCGGACTATCCCCCAGTCGAGACTCGCCGCCGATGCGCGGCATTTCCCCCCTTTGCCGCCAGCCGCTTCATCGAAGCCGAACATTGACTATGCGTTTGCAAGACAGCTTGCTGCTATCGTGTTCCGTGTTGCCATACCGAAATGGTACTCCCGGGAGTCGTTCATCCTCCTTGCGCATTCGCTCTTCTTGGTGATGCGGACAGTGCTGAGTGTCGCTGTTGCGAGATTGGATGGGCGGATCGTAAGAGATCTTGTTAGGGCTGACAAGGCAGGGTTTGCGAGGGGTCTGGGGCTCTGGTTTGCGCTTGCAGTACCAAGTATATACACGAACTCGATGGTGAGCCACCTTACGGTTCCCCTAACTTCCTCACCATCTCATAATCCGGATTCAAGATTCGGCATCTCCAATCCGTGCTTGCGATCAGGTTCAGGACACGGCTAACACGATACATTCATGATCTTTACTTATCATCTGCACCAAACTACCGCTACTACCGCGTACCCTTGGAGGGTGTCGACCAATACATCACCGCTGACGTTGAAGCCTGGGCGGACAGTATTGCAGGAATCTAGTACGTCTGCTCTACAATTTTTCAAAAAAGCACCATTCATTCTTTTTTTATAGTGGAAATCTGTTGAAGCCAACGTTGGACATGCTACTATTCACTTCACAACTCGCCCAGGAACTGGGATTCCGAGGGACCGTGCTCTTGTTCGTGAACTATTACATCACAGGCAAAGTATATATGCTCCCGTTTCATCCCTCAGCCCTCAACGCTGAGCCTATCTATCTTAGATCCTCCGTGCTGCAACGCCTGCATTCGGGAAGCTTGCAGCCGTCGAGGCCCGCCTAGAGGGCGAATACCGGACAGGTGTCGGACGCGTCGGCAGAGAAGGAGAGGAAATTGCGTATGTGTCGCTGCTTCTTAGCCATTACCATGACTTACATAATTTGATGTGACGTAGCTTCTACGACGGTGGGAGTAGGGAGCGTGATATCCTGACCAAGGCGTACTTGAAGCTCGTCAAGCACGTTAACTCAATATACAAGGTTAGTCCAAAGAACTAGTCAGACTGGGTGCGTTGACTGATGGAGTACAACAGATTCGCATAGCATACGAGTGGACAGAGGACTTCGTTATCAAGTACCTGTGGTCTGCTGCTGGGTATGGTCTGATCGCCGTCCCGCTGCTGATTACCCGGAAACGGAAGGAAGCGGAGGCGAAACAGAAAGAGATGGAGAAGATGGTCACGGAGGTTGTGGACGAGGTGATAGACCATGTTGCTGGAGAAGACGAAGTGCGACAAGACGGGAGCGATGATGTCGTTGCAGGTCGTACCGAGAGTAGGTGTTTTTTCGTCGTGTTTGAGATGAAAACCTGACAGTGTCATAGCTTACATCTCAAATCGCCGACTGCTGCTCTCGCTCGCCGATGCGGGTGGTCGCCTCATGTTTGCCTACAAGGATGTTTTGGAGCTTGCTGGGCTTACGACAAGGTGAGCTGGAAGCAATGCAATATCCTTGTAAAGCATTGACACATTTCGTCGCAGATTGTATACCCTCCTCTCCGAGCTCCATAATCTTCCTCCGCTGCCCAAATCGACGCTCCCCGTTGATGGTGACGCCCACGTAGACAGCGACAGCTTCACCCTCTCCCACGTCGACGTCCGCATTCCTTACCTTGGCACCGCCTCCGATCGAGACACACCTGCAGAACCGAAGGTAATCGTGAGCGGCGAAGACGATGACGAAAAAAGCGTCTCTTCCGAGCCCGACGAGAACGCCCTGCTGCTAGTGCGCGACCTGTCGTTGCACCTCCGCCGCGGCGAACACCTCATGATCACGGGCTCCAACGGCGTTGGCAAGACCGCTGTCGCGCGCGTCCTCGCGGGTCTCTGGGCGCCCTCGGGCCCGCTCGCGGAGCTTCGCCGCCCCGCGCCGTCGCACGATGTCAATCTCGAGCGCGAGCGGCCGGGCGTGTTTGTTGTCCCGCAGAGGGCGTACCACCCCACTGGGACGCTGCTCGGGCAGGTCGTGTATCCGCATACGGTGGCGCAGTTCTATGAGAGCGGACGGAGTGAGGAAGAGATCCAGGATATACTGGAGAGCGTGTTCTTGGGCTACCTTGTGGGGCGTGAGGGTGGGTGGGACGTCACGAAGGAGTGGAGAGATGTATTGAGCGGTGGGGAGAAGCAACGGGTGAGTTGGCTGCTCTGCCATCGGGTTCATCTTAGCCTTGGCCTCCTTTTCTGGCTCGATTGAGTGAAGGCTGGTGGATCACTTGAGTCATGATTGTGGCGGCGGCGGCGGTCACGTCGGGCTCGTGCCAGCGCCGAGAGTTGAAGCGCTTGGCCTGTAGACGCTTCAACGGCAAGAGCACATTCTTTGGGCTAGTGGTCCCAAGGTGACGTCGACCGGCTGGAGCGGTCTGGTACACCTCCGATCTTTTCTTCATTTCGCGGCATCTTATTCTTCTCGTAACGTTCTAAGCGCTAACCCCTATCCTGTAGATGGCCATGGCCCGTGTTTTCTATCATTGTCCCAAGTTTGCCATCCTCGATGGTGAGCCTCGTTGCACGTCTGAAACCCTCATGGTATGCTGATTAGACCTCCGGCATTTTATCATCATGCTGTTAATCGCGGGAATACTTCTCACAAAACAATCCTCGTGGGCCATTCGGAACGTTCCCTCTGTGTTATGCTGCTTTCTTTTCCTGCGGCTTTACGACTCTTCTGATACGGGAACGTTGACTTGCGATGTCTCGCCGCGAACGCCGACACTCGCAACACTCAATGACGCGTACATCTCTTCATCCATTGTGGCATGGGGAAATCCTTGATTCGCATGGCTGGGCTTCCCTTCCTTCGGACCCAACATCATCCCTCGGTGTAACGATGAATTCTTCGGCCTGCACGGGTAATTATTACTTCGCTCACGCTGTCGCTATTACCGCACACCGCAACCATCTACTACCCGCCCTATTGTCGACGATTGACGGCTTGCATTGACGATCGTACCTTGTGTGATCTCGTTGCATTACCCCCATGCAGAGTGCACGAGTGCGGTGTCGGGCGACGTCGAGGGTCAAATGTACGAACATGCGAAACTGATGGGCATCACGCTCATCACCATCTCGCTACGGTGTGTTTCGCCTCCGGTTCTCCAGCGCGAAATGATTCTCACTCTGCACTTGTTCACTTTTGTATACGTTATGTAAACGCGCAGGCCGTCATTGACGAAGTATCACAACAACCTGCTTACGCTCACGGGCGACGGCACGGGCAGCTGGATGTTCTCGCGGATCGGGGAGAACGAGCCGGGATCGCCCAAGATAGATCGCAGTAGGAGCCCGGTGGTGGATCGATTCTCGGAAGAGATCAAGTCACTCGAGAAGAAGCTATCGCAGGCGGAGCAGTGGCAGACGCGCGTCAAGGAGCTGGAAGGAATGTTGCACAAGACGGATGCTTGAGTCAGGCGGGCCGACTAAGCTGAGAAGGCGGATTGTTGTGGCGGATGTGCCCGACTCTCCTCGAGATGGTAATGATGCAAGGAAGCTGGAGCTTAAGCTTGAATGTTATCCGGACCTGTGCCCGAGGCACTTATGCCCTCTGAGAGCGCCCAGCTGAGAAGGCAGCAGGATTTGGAAGGTGGTAAACTGTGTATTTATGCTATCAGACGATCTGTTGTAGGCATGTTGCAGACTGTAGCGGTAAGAAAGTGACAGGAAATATTTAATGTCGGATTATCGGCGCTGATATATCAATTGGTTCGGCCAGGCTGCTGATGCTTCATACGCACTCGTTGTGAGTGGTAGGACGTTCATGAACACGAACGTCACAGGCGTTAAATGATAGACGCACCAGCTTCACGAATGGCTGTGGAGCGTTCTGGTGCCTGAATTTTGCTTCCGTTCCAGCTGTCAAAAGGCTGTCAAGGATTGGCCGCTTCGTTCAGTAACCAAGACACCTCATCTCCAAACGGCTTCCAGGTGCTCTTTTTCAGTCCCACATTCGTGAGATGGTGGTCCTTCCGAGGGTACGTTGTGCGGCGTCAATATGTTTTCTCGGCGTGTTACACGAACCTTCGTGGCGAGGAAGGATTCCTTGATCGCCCCGTGCGGCAGCACGCCTTCCTCGCTGTCTGCTACTCCGGTCCGATTGTGCTGCATTGGCAACTGGGTTTCCTCTGGTTGGATCTAGGGTGCAGAGGCCTGTGTTAACGCTTGTCTACATGCGGACAGATAACGATTTCATCTTGCGCGCTCGGCGACTTTTCGATTAGGGCTGCTGATTATATCACCACCTTTCGCGGACAGACGGTGAACGGCACTGACAACCCTAATATATTGTACTAAAATGTGCCACCGGCCTTTCTCTCCTCAAGTGCTGGCCTAAACACCGCCGCCCCTTTCGGTGCTTATTTATATACTGGATATCGTCTGTCCCTTCGTATGCCTCCCCACTCCCTTCCGACGATGACGTCCTTGCACGACCACCTATATCGAGCAACTGGCTCAACCTCTACGGCTCTCCAACCCAGCCAGGATGAGTGTCGGCCTCTCTTGCAAGCGCATACACGCTATGGATCACTCAAGGATGTCAATGAGTCGTCTGGAGGCGACGACCAGAGCGGTACGTGCTATGTTTACCTGCCGATAGGTAGCCCTATCTTATTGTCACACAACCAGTCAACGAAATAACAGGAGAGGCGTTTGACAAAGTCCCCAAGTCGAAGCGCACACTCGGTGCGTGCCTTACTCTGTATATGCGCCAAAATGTCGTCTCATCATCGCGTGTGGGGTGACAGGTCTTGCCAGTGCCACCTCGTTAATCTTCAATCGCGTCATTGCTACTGGGTGAGTCTACTTTGACTTACTTACGAGGCCTACATTCTTATCCTACCTTGTCGGGTATAGCGTCTTCGCTGCGCCTAGTCTCATCCTCCGATCATCAGGGAGCGTTGGAATGACGTTCGTAATGTGGATTCTCGGAGCGCTCGTTGCTGCTACCGGCACCGCCGTCTATGTAGAGCTAGGAACAGTACGTGATCATTTCGCGCTTACAATTGTTTTCTTCGACTAACGGTGGAGCTGCTCAGGGGCTCCCGCGGAGTGGGGGAGAGAAGACGTACATGGAGCACATATACCAGCGTCCCAAGTTCCTCATAACGTGCATGTGCGCAGCTTTCGGCATCTTTCTCGTGAGTGGAGTCGCCATAAACTCACCTTGGTGTAGCGTGCGTGCTAATACGCAGATGCGTTAATCTCGCTCTTAGGGATCCTTGTCTGCTGCCGGACGCGTCTTCAGTGAATGTGAGCTCATCGCTCACCCCTGTTGATCCCTCCCGAACCGTCTTCCAGATACACTACAAGCACTCGACATCGTGCCGACGCCTTTCAATCTTCGAATCACGGCCGTGTCGTGCCTCACATTCGCAATGGTTGTCCACGGCGTGTTCTTGAACTGGGGCCTCCGGGTACAGAATGCGCTCGGGCTGTTCAAGTTCCTCGTCATCATTCTCATCTCTTTCTCTGGCTTGTTTGTCCTCGCGGGCGTACCCGGATTTGAAGTGCGTCCCGAATACGAAAAGCCGAACAACTACACGTGGGGCACGTTTTGGGAGGGTACAAACCTCGATCTGAACGCGTTCGTTACCGGAATGTACAACGCTATATGGTGCGTCCACGCGTACTTTGACTACACGTTCAAGAAACTAAGGATCAGCAGGTCGTTTGTAGGGTATTCCAACGCAAACTATGCGATGTCCGAGATACGTGATCCGGTTCGAACTATCAGGATTGCTGCACCACTCTCGATGCTCTTCGTAACGTTCGCATACCTTTCCATGAACATCGCATATTATGCGGTGGTGGCCAAAGATGACATGCTCAACAGCAGCAGCGTCGCCGCGTGCGTGATTTGACGGGCTGTGGCATCGAGTATCGCTTATCAGCTTCTTTTTTTTTCAGGGCACTGCTCTTCAGAAATCTTTACGGCCCCGAGGCGGCCAGGGTGCGTCATTAATTTCCTGTGACAAGCATCTTGGAAGAGTTCGTTTTATTAATTAAGTGTTCCCTACAGGTCATCAGCGCCATCATCGCCCTATCCACGCTTGGAAGCGTTCTCGCGATCATTTTCACTATGGCGCGCTGTGAGTACTGCATGGTACCGCTTATCATTGACGCGCGTCTGACTGTATGCAGTCATCCAAGAGATTGGACGTGAAGGCGTCTTGCCTTTCTCCTCGTTCTTTGCGAGCAACAAGCCATTTGGCGCACCTTTTGCCACTCTCTTTACTCAATGGTTCATCGCCACTATCACAATTATGATTACGCCACCTGGGGACGCCTATCTCTTCGTTGTCAATCGTGAGTTTTTAGCTGGGATGTCTGAATTGCTTACAACTGAATGGCTGATGCGGCGCTTGACCTATCTATCAAGTTTCCTCCTATCCGCTTACGATCTATAACACGCTTGTCTCCGGTGGACTTCTGCTGTTGTACACTCCGGCATACAAGTCTTTCGGGTGGAATCCGCCCTTCCGCGCATACAAATCTGCGACGATCTTCTTCTTCGTCTCGAACGTCTTCCTGCTTCTTGTTCCCTATGTCCCGCCAGCACCCGGTCATGGGGTGTACAAGAACCTTCCGTATTGGGTGAGTCATCTTCCTTCATTGTCCTCCGGGAAGCAAGGGGTACTCATGGAGCGGACAGTCGCATCTGGCAGTTGCGCTCGGCATTGGCGGGGTCGGTATCGCCTATTGGTTCGTATGCTTCTATTGGATCCCTAAGCGCCGAGGATACAGGCTCGAGCAGGTGGAGGTAATGCAGGAGGATGGTGTATCGCGGAACATCCTCAAGAAGGTCCCACTATAGATCATGGTAGATGTGCTTGGTGCTTCGGACTTCAGAACAGGAAAAGATAAAAACTGAAGTTAGTAACTGTTTGTCATGATATTGTAATGCATGTACCTGCCTGTACCTATACCTCTGTTCATCCTTGACGATTAACTTATTGCGCCCTTGAACTTACTTTTAATTGCGTTTAGGTTCAGCTGCACGCGAGAGAGGATCTGCGACATGTACAGTCGCAGCCTTGAAATACACGCGTTGAAGGCGTGACAACCCTCAAAAATGTACCTGCACAGCGTAGGTTTGGGTCCTGACATGGACAGATACTGCCAGGGCAGGTTATGGCAGATCACAGCTGGTATTAGCTATCACAAGACGTATCGGCGCGCGCACATTTAGCAGTCATGCGACCATACATGCTCATTGCCAGTCACTAGATACTCCACGAGATTTACCCTTCCCTAGATAGCCGCGGGTGGTGACGGTCAATGAACAATGATAGTCTCCCCTTTGGATTGGTTGATAAAGGCTGCATTTCGTGCAATGGACGGTGGCAAGAAGGGACGCGCGTGATACTGTATGCATATTATATTCCGATCTGTCGGAGTCTACCGACCGCGCCGCCTGATCCGGGCGCTTACAACTTTGCCTCAGCTTGCACGCGGAACAAGAAACCAACCTGACCAACTCCAGTATTTCCGGTTCCTGCTCTTAGTAAATTCTGGACTCCTTGATGGTCGGTCTCGTTTGGTGGATTGAAGGACTACTTCTGTTCATCATGCGCGAAAGGCCAGCAGGGGGTCGTTCGAGGGAGAATTAGTAAGTTCTAATCGGCATATGCGCTTGCTGACTCCTGCTGCGTGAACCGATGTAGGCCGCGGTTTACGACCGTTTTTATTGTTGCCTCTGGCGCTAGGACGCTTGGTTGCTAGGCTTGACAGAGAAGAACCTTCTAGCTTGCATACGACGAGTCCCGGCTTTTCGGGCTGAGTGAGCTTGTCTGGAGCCCTAACGGTGGTATAAAAGAGGATGTCCTACGTTCATCGTAGATACAGCTCATCTTTACTGTCTCACCACCTACCAGCCGCACACAGAAATGTCCCAGAAAGCACTTTTCCTCACGGCCAAGCAGGGCAAGTTTGAAGTCGGGTCCAGGCATATCCCCAAGCCTGGTCAGGGCGAAATCCTCGTCAAGGCCCACGCAGTTGCATTGAACCCGGTTGACTGGAAGATTGCGTCGTACGGCTTTGCGGTCGAAACCTACCCCGCCGTGCTCGGACAGGATACTGCGGGTGTTGTCGAGGAAGTCGGCGCCGGCGTCACTGCTTATGCGAAGGGCGACAGAGTGTAAGTCCCTGCTGCTATCTATAAAATCCTCACACAGTAACGACCGGGGTTTCAGCATTACTAGAGGAGTCATCACGAGCAATGATCACGCCAGCTTTCAGCAGTACGTGCTCGCTAACCCCGATTTTACAACGAAGGTAAGGCATATCCGGACTCCAATTCTTCTGGGAGTTAGCAGACAAACCGGATGATGAACATGATTTAGATTCCTTCAGCCATGTCATTTGATGAGGCGGCTTCTATCCCGGTTTGCTTAGATACTGCAGCCACTGGGCTTTTCGGACCAGACAACGCCAAGTTGACGTCTCCCACCGATAAGATAGGTGCGTACAAGGGACATAGTATCCTTGTTCTCGGCGGTTCTTCGTCTGTTGGCCTGTATGGTAGGTGGCTCAGACTTATCCTTAGGATTACCTTCTGACCCTTTGAACCGCGCAGCCCTTCAAGCCGCTCGTATCTCCGGCTTCTCAACTATCATCACAACTGCGTCTCTTACGCACGAGGCATACCTCAAGTCAGTCGGCGCTACTCACGTCATCGACCGAAAGCTTTCAGAGGAGCAAATTGTCGCCCGCGTCAAAGAAATCACTGCAGATTCCTTCAAGATCGTATACGACGCCATCTCGGAGCAGGACACACAGAACATGGCCTGGGCGCTGCTCGGCCCCGGCGGCCACTTGGTAATCACAAACCCGCCGCTGGTCAAGCCCGAGGCGGGCGACGACCGCATCGCCACCTTTGTATACTTGGCTCCGTACGCTCCTAACAACGCCGAGTTCAGCCAGCGGTGGTGGGCGGCGTTGCCCAAGTGGCTCGAGGATGGAACAATTGTTGTATGTCACGCTTTTTATGCATGTCAATCCTGAGATCTCACCCATACTGCGATAGCCCAACAAGGTCGAGGTTCTCTCTGGTGGACTGGAGGGTGTCAACGCTGGCCTTGACCGCATGAAGGCAAACAAGGTCAGCGGCGTGAAGCTCGTCGTGCGCCCTCAGGAGACGGTTTGAGGTTGTGGGCGACTTCAAGGCTGCTCAATACCATAAGAACATCACAAAGCATTTAAATCCCATCGCGCTGGTTATCTATTCAGTGAATGGATTGTGTCAACCCAGTGTCGCCGCATCAGCGCGTCTGTTCTAAGTCACTAATGCGCCGCATCATCTTGGACCTTCCGAAGCACAGTCCGTGATACCCCATCATCCTGAAGGACCGTCTCTTGCTCTAGTCGGTATCCTCGTCTTTGTGGTATCCACTTGAAGAAAACGAACCAGTACAAGATTCCCAGAAGCCCGATGGCTATTGATATAACGATGTGTGACTGAAAGGGATTGTCAATCGGCTGAAGCTTGGGATAATAAAGTGCGTACCCAGTAAGGAAGATGTTCGTAAACTTCAAAGCCTCGGTTTGGCGGAAGGAGAGGAATGACGGCAAGGAATATATTAGCCAGGAAGAAGAATACCACGACTGGCTTATAAGCCTTAAACGGCGGGTTCCAGTCCCATGCTTTGAAAGGGGCCGTGTAGAGAAGCAATAAGCCACCGGTAAGTACCATGTTGAACATCACCATGGGATATGAAGCAACTATGTCAGCGCGTTAGCAAGAAAATACGGAAAATGAGATATATGTATAGTAAAGGCGCACGGTTCACTATGAAGAGATATGCATCGCCTGGAGGGGCAGCAAGGACGACAATGATAGTGCTCAGATATTGCACAGAGGTTCCAGCGAGAGGGGCGCCGAAGGGCTTGTTGCTGGCAAAGAGTGACGAGAAGGGGACAACGCCTTCTCTACCGAGTTCTTGCACGACTGCAACCATGTGAGATCATGACATGTTAACATATTGTGAATAATGCTTACGCCTTCCTTGGGTAAAGAAGACGGATAGGATATTGCCGAGGGTTGATAGCGCGATAATGGCACTGAGAATCTGTTGTCGTGTAAACGAAAGGTTGTGACAGTATGGCTGAAACTTGCCCTAGCGGTTGCAGGCCCATAGAGGTTCCTAAAGAACAAAGCACTGCGGAGGGAGCCAGTTTATTTTGTTGCTCCCGGCAGGCAAAACAAGCACTCACGCTGCGACTGTTCCACTTCCGAGGATATCTTGCTTTGAGACGACTGCAAAGTAGGCGATATTGATAAATATATATGAGCAGGCCACAAAGAACATCGCAAGCGGAGCGGCACGCTTGATTGTGCGAACGGGATCTCGTGTTTCAGAAAGTGCGTAGTTTGCATTGGAGTACCCTATGTAAGACCTAGCAACCTTAAGCGGTATGTTCACGAACTGATTGACTGGAAATTTTACCAGATGACGTTGAACATGCCCGTGACAAAGGCAGTAGGCCCGACATCACTACCCTCCCAGAAGGAATCCCATGAAGAGAAACTGAGAGGAGGATCGAACTCTGGGCCGACAGCGAACCCGGGAAATTTAAGAAGACTTAGGATTCCGGAGCCCGCTACCAAGAAGATGACCACGAATTTGAAGATACCAAGTGCATTTTGTATACGTAGGCCCAAGTCAAGTAAAGCGCCATGAAGAATGAGGCATGATGTCAAACAAATGAACGCTGCTGCTCGGACGTTAAAGGCGGTCGGTGCCAGGTCAAGTGCCGCTATAGCATCTACAGGGGGAATGAGCACATTGTGACGGGCAGCAGCGTCCAACAATCTCACATTCTCCGAAAACCAGCCCCGCAGCCGCTGATATGCCCTACAGTCTGGTTAGGGCGGTTCACAGCGAGAGAAGACGTAGACGTACGGTAATGGGAACGTATATTGCGAATATACAGGTAACCAGATACTTGGGTCGACGGAAAATAAACTCGAGGTATGTCTTCTCCGCACCGCTTCGAGGAAGTCCCTGTAGAAATCGAGTCAGATAGACCTATATTCAAATTGCTGAGCAGCGTACCGTTCCCAACTCGATATATACAGCGGTGCCAGCTGCTGCGACAAGAGATCCCAATATCCACATAACGAAAGTGAGACCGACACTTCCGGACGATCGTAGAATGAAACTTGGCGAGGCGAAAATTCTGAAGGTAGTAAGTTATTCAAGGCTTCGAAGAAGTCTGCTAGACAACAGACTTACCCAGTACCAATCACCCGGTTAAAGATGAGCATCACGGCGCTCATCACGCCTGTTTGCGGGTAATATCATATTTAAGCAGCGAAAATGGTGAATGCTCAATAAGAACGGACCTAATCGACGCTTCTCAACGGGTATAGCATCAAAGTGTGCTCCAAACGATGCCCGGGGACCTGCAACATTGTGATCAGCTGATATTAGACCCTGGGGCTCATAGAAGATTCACCAAGGGTATCCGTACCACCATCCTCTAGCAAGCTTGAGGTTGCCTGGTATATACTGTCGGGTTGATGTCCAACATGACGGCGAAGCAAAGGTGAGTTCTCTGTGCCGGCTTCCTGGCCTGAAGTTGACATTGAGAGGGAATGGTCGGCAGTTCTGGTTTTCAAACTGTCCAATGGTCGGGAAGGGGAGAGGCTTATCGGAAAGACAACAGCGGACTAGCTAAGAATATTTACGGCTGCATCCCTGGAGCTGACAACTCGGGACCAACTCGGGACCATGGTATCGACGTCCGATTATGGCGTGCTTGGATATTGGAACACTCGATCGAAGAGCAGTCCAAATATTATTGCAATCGCCGTGACAAAGGCGACATTGTCACAGGGTCACAGCGTCCACGTGATCGCGTCTCCCGTTTATGAGCTCCTTCGCGAAGCGCGCCGTTTCCCACCCTTTTCTTCTCGTTCTAGTGCTAAGCTGCAGCGCCTATGGCGCCCTCAAAGCCATCTGCAGAGCTCGTGGCGTTGGCGAAGGAGCAGCTTCGACTTCCGGCAAGGGCCCCTGTAAGTACTTTAATTTTACATTGACTATATGCGCCTCGTGGTTAGCCGTGATTGACGGCGCGTGGGCGCGTTTCTCAGGACTCTGCGCTGCCACAGAGCTATATTGAGGAGCTTGTGAAGCACGCTAGTATTCAGCCGCTGGACAGTCATGTAAGCATGCTCTGTCAGTGTAGTTATTGTCTACTGACTGCATCGGTCCCAGTTTCGTATCACGCTGGAGCCTAAAAGAGGATGTAAGACCCAACTTAGTGGAGCCTAGTGGCCCTGACTAACATGCATGCGCGTAAGATGGCACCATCAAATGCCTTGAAGAAGGATGTGGCATCCCCATCCCACTTGGTCCTAGGTCTGGAGTATCTGACGGGGGCAAAAAGCATGGGTTTGGATCGTTGAAGAACTATCGTGTATGTATGCATCCCAAAAACCTTGCGCGTGTCAATTAACTTGCTTATTTTATCAGGTTCACGTCTCAACGAGCGCGACGCATAAAGCTGCTCGCCATCGTCGAACAAAACCTATGAAAGCGGACCCTACGGTGCGATCCTTTTGAGCACAGTCACTGAGTGACCAATGTTTGCTAATATCACTTCAAGGGCACCAGTACCTCGTCAACAAAGTCCCTTGTTAAACGGGGCAGCCTTCTTGATGCACTAGATGGATCCCAACGTCATTCTCTGTCGAAACCTTTAAACAAGAACCAACCTGAGGGGAAATCGAACTCTCGCAAGCGGCCCTCTTCCACATTTCCTCTTGATCAAGAAACCGAGAACTACTCAACTCCACCTTCTCCCCCCAAGCGCCCCAAAGTTGATTCCGCCCTACCATTTGCCCACGTCGACACTAACACACAGTCGCACGTGTATTCTTCGCCGGACGCGCCTCGTGAGCACCATAACACGAAGACCAAGATAGCCACTGCGGGGGAAGCCTCGGCCGCTCTGACCAAAGCGCAAAGCACTCTGGACTCGACCCAAGCCGAGATCACTCAGCTTCAGGCTAAACGTCAAAGGACCGCCACCGACGATGGCCGCCTTGGAGTGCTCTGGCCACAGAAGTGGAAGCTCGTTCCCGAAGTACAGCGGCTTCAGTCTCTGGTTACGACCCTGACCCCGATTCCCCCGAAAACTTCTACGTCGGGGGTTCTGCCGACAAGCAGTGCTGGATCATCGAAGAGGATGCTCGCTCCTGTCCCCGCAACGGTCACGAAACAAGAAGCTTCTCAATCTGTAGCTGCTATCAGAGGCGGGGTGCACTCAGATGTGCCTTCAGTCAAGCGTGAAGATGTCGCAACGTCGATAAGCGCGCCACCTGCGTATCTGAAGGCGGAGCAAGGTGTTAAAAAGGAAGAACCTCCGTCTCTTAATGAGCCGCCCCTTCTGCCACCAAATATCCCCCATCACTATAAAAGCGAATACAATAACGATGCTATGAAGACAGACGATGATAGTGACTCAGAAGAAGAAAACATCTACGATCTCGGAAGAAGTTATGCGACCACTTTCGCAAATCCCGAAGAGTAAGATTCTTCAACTTCACCTTCTTATACTCCTAACTTAATGCCTCGTTCCTTCCAGCCTTAATCAGTTCCTCCTCTCCGCTGGCAATGCAGAGCAGTTCGAGGGTAATGAAAGCGTTGACAATGCTCTGCAGCGTCTGGGCCTTCGTGCTCAACATGAACACTTGCCGGGCATGACAATATCGTTGCTTGCGCACCAGGTCATCGGGGTGGCATGGGCTCTGGATCGCGAGAAACACCGCGATAAGGGCGGCTGCCTGGCCGACGACATGGGTTTGGGTAAGACAGTGCAGATGATTTCTGTGATGGTTTCGAACCGCGGTGACGATCCGGCACGAAAAACCAACCTCATCGTTGCACCCACCGCACTGCTGGACCAGTGGGCGATGGAGATTGAAACAAAGACTGACTGCGGTATGAAGTGTCTTATTTACCACGGTATGTGCCATTCTCTTCGACGTAATATGTCCTCCTCACTTGCGTATAGGTTCGAGTAAACCTAGAAAGCGCAGCGAACTCCAAAAATATGACGTCGTCCTAACGACATATCAGGTGAAGCAATATGTCATTCTCGATACGTGTTAAGCTAATGGGTGTGCAGACGTTGGCTTTGGAGTGGCCAGACCCCGAGGCAGATGAGAAGGAAAAAAGGAAGATGGCGAAGGCGAAGAAGAAGGATAATTGGATTGTATCTGATTCCGATGATGGAGGGACGTCCAGAGCTAAGCCCAAGAAGAAAAAACAGCGTAGGTTATTTCTTAAGGTGTTTCACCCACCTTGCTTACAGTGTGGGTTATCTTCAGGTGGTCTGCTGTTTGATATGGACGTAAGTAGCTAATTATTCCTGGCGTTGACTCGCGTCCAAATGATAGGTCACAGTGGTACCGTGTTATACTGGACGAAGCCCAATACATTCGCAACCGTAGCACCAGTTAGTGTTTTCTCTGTAGTAATGCCTACGGTCCTTACTAAACTCGTGTAGGAGGTTCTCGCTGCGTCACCGACTTAGACTCGGTTTATCGCTGGTGCCTGACTGGGTGCGTTCTTCGCGATATTCTCATTTAGTCCCAAGATTGACTCGCCTAAAGCACGCCCATTGTCAATGGCCTGTCAGACGCGTACGCTATTTTCCGCTTTCTGAAGATTAGGCCTTGGTACGACTGGGCTGAGTTCCGTGGCCACATTGCTAAGTATGAGAAAACAAGAGGTAGGCTCTCTGAACATCGGAACTTCATTGTAACTCATTTTCCCCTTAGTAAACTTGGCAACGACGCGTCTGCAAGCCATATTTAAGGTGATGCTGTTGCGTCGTAAGAAAGACTCTACCCTCGACGGAAAGAAACTTGTCGACCTTCGTCCTAAGGTCATTGAGCTCGAGAAGCTCGAGTTCGGCCAAGAGGAGGCCGACATTTACAAGATGGTTGAAGCTCGTTCGCAGGCTACATTTAATAGGTTTCTCCGTGCGGGCACGGTCCTCAAGTATGTACCATTGCCATTTCGTCTCGAACATGGTTCTCATCAGTGCTTCGTAGAAACTACCATCAAGGTAAGACAAGTGTGAACGAATGCCCGTCTTGACTTAAACGTACTCTTAGTCCTGGTGCTTTTGCTGCGGCTGCGTCAAATTTGCGTGCACCCCGCTTTGATCCAGGAGGACGGCCATGCATTAGTACTGCATGACGACACTGTTTATAAGCGATCTGCAAAGGAGGAGCGTGCTAGAGCAGCTGAGGCTATTGGTCACGGCTTTGTCAAGAGCTTACGAGCGAAGTTCAAGGCGTCGATGGAGGAGCGAATGGAGGCGGAGAAAGAGGTAATAGAGGAAATCCTGCGTGCTTGTTGAGAACTCACCATTTTGTTGACAGTCCGCGGACGCGATGATCGATGCCGACATGGAATGCCCTATCTGCACGGACACGTTCACGGACGCCGTCGTCACTGCGTGTTCCCACTCTTTCTGCCGCGAGTGCCTAGTTGACATCCTCAACCGTCCGCTCGCTCAAGGCAATGATGATAGCGGTCCAAAGTATAAGTCCAATGAAAGGCCTTGTAAGCTTTATGTTCCGCCTTCTCGTCAGCCAACTCACGCCCGTCTCAGGCCCGACCTGTTGTTCGCCCGTCTCAGGCGATAAGATTTTCTCTCGTGAAGCTTTTGAGCCTTCAGAGGAGGAGTTGAATGGCACGGCTGCTCGCTCCAGCTCGCCCATACCAGCGGAGGTCGATTCTGACGAGGAGATCGAGGGTATTCTCAGCGTACCATCGAGGAATATCCGACGCAGCTCGCGTGGCAACGCAAAGCGGCGGGCCTCGTACGCGTATGACTCCGAAGACGACTCGGAACACGGAGACGAAGACGACGATCTCAGCGACTTCATTGTACATAGCGACGAAGATGAGGACGAGAAAGATGCCCGTATGGCGCTGAAGAAGCGTCGGCCTCGACGACGTGCGATGGTCATTGACTCGGACGACTCGGATGAAGAGATTATCATCGCTCCGAAGAAACCAGCGCCGGCCAAAGAGATTTCTCCTGGGGACACCCAGGATGTGCAGATGATGCCGAGATTCTTGCCTTCAACTAAGATGAAGAAAATGATGGAATATCTACTTCGTTGGGCTGAAGAGCATCCAGATGACAAGGTCAGAGTGAATGAATTTTATTACGATCAATCCTGACGGATGCCTTATAGGTTATTGTTATCTCGCAATGGACCGAGGCCCTCGGCCTGGTGTCAAACTATCTGCTTGAGAATCATATCACACATGTCAAGTAGGCCGTTTCTGCAGACATTCCGTGCACCAAGTTCATGCCATTCCGTTCTAGGTACCAAGGCAACATGAGCCGAGCTCTACGCGACGCAACAGTGCGAGCGTTCCAAAGTCGCGACAAGGCCCGAGTGTTGCTCATGTCGCTCAAGTGCGGAGGCGTTGGTCTCAACCTGACGCGTGCCAACCGTGCGTTGCTTGCTTTTTTCCTGGTGAACTCACAGTTGATCTTTGTTTCCGTAATTTAGGTGTTATCTCCCTGGATCTCGGATGGAGCGAGGCCATCGAGGCCCAGGCCTTCGACCGTGCCCATCGCCTGGGTCAACTCAAAGACGTTGTCGTGCAGCGCTTGGTCATTGCTAATACCGTCGAGGATCGCGTACTGGCTCTGCAGGAGCGGAAGGTGCGTATCGATAAGCTGATATGAATTTCTTCTTATGTATTATTCAACAGCGTAGCCTCGCTGATGGTAGTCTCGGCGAAGGGAGTGGAAAGAAAATTGGACGTGAGTTTTATTATTTACCTGCATGAACGGAAGGGGGAATATGCTAACCACTTTTCGATGTTTCTTCCAGGAATGAGCGTTAGAGAGTTGGCCAGCTGTGAGTTGTTCCTTGTGGCTGGCTGAGTTAGTGCGCTGATTCCGTGCTCAGTGTTCGGTCTTGACCATCGGGGCAACGTTTTATAATTTTGCACTTGATCAACTACGGAGATGCGCTTTGACGCGCTCAACAACATACCCTCTACTTATATTGTCACTTATTCTTGTTCTCCGCGGATTTTCTTCAGCACCTTCAGCATAACACATCATTAATCATTCCTGGCGCGTCCTCTCTTAAACATTACAGAACCTAGTAATCCATTTTACAAGGCTCACTTCTAGTGCTTACTATAAAACTTCTCTCGTTATTTGTACTTTCTTACAGCACGTAGTTTACTTCCTTCTTCGATCACTGTAAATCAAGCTACCTAGAACACCTTGTACTCTCCTAGACGCCTTTGATGACATGACAACTCTCGCTTCAAATAGCATACTATCCACTTCTATTTTCTTTTGTACCGTATAAAAAGTAGAGAAATCTCCCATATGCTAATAGGTAATGACGGGATGATTTCCGGGGAATAGAAAGGGCCAGGCTTATTGCTACTCGCCTGAAGGACAGATTTTCGGCTCTGAAAGATATTTAGAAGAGCCCGGGCCGTTTGCGTAAACGGTAGGCATTTTCTCAAACGCCCTTCGAACGAGGCTTGGGGAATCCGATATAAGCTAGGCGATAATGAGGTGCGATTGGGGATATAGGTTCTACGTGACATTGAGCAATATAACAAGATAAGTTGCAAACAGCCGAAGTTCGTTTCTATTTCGAACCCGTGGCTTTCTTCATTTGTGCGAGGATGGCATCGACCTCGGCAATTTTGCCTTTCGCGAGCTTTTGGAACTGCATGCATGTCCTTTTGAATACGCTGCACAAGGGTAAGAAGAACAAGCTGAACGCACCTCCTCTATTTCCACGGAGTCCTTCTCATATTTTCCTTTCTTGACGCTCGTTTGCTGATGCTTGCGAATTTGGCCGCGTCCATCTTCGGCAAGACGTGCAGCGGAAGTATAGAGGGCATTGCGTGACTCAACGGTCGGTCTACAGCCATGGATAAAGGCGGGATGAATGGGACGAACGGCGGGCCCAAGACAGCTAGACGTACTTGGGAATGGGTATCCGAATGGTCATGCTGTCGTGCCGGTGAGGAACAATGCTTGGCAGTTTTGCATCGTAAAGTGCTTGTTCGATAGCTTTCATAGACTACTAGATTTCGACTGAGCATATATGCTGACACAATGACGCGTGAATACCCACCTCCTCTTCGAAGGCGGTTATGACAAGCGTCGAGCCATCCCGCACGCCGACAGTTGCGACAGACTCCAGACGCGCGGGTTCCGACGAGCCCTTGACGCGCACGCGTACAGGCGCGAGCAACGCGGGCGTGACACGGCCAATGGCGCGCGTCTCAAGCGTCGCAGTTTCGCGACGGAACCATTCCACGGTTGAGTTCATACGCTCGGTCGCCTTCTCATATTCTGCGCGTGCGGCTTCGTCTGCGATGACTTGCTTCGAACCGGGCACGAAGGCATCCGTGGACCTGGCCTTGGATTTCTTGGATGCATATCGGCGTTGTTGTTGAGTAACGGATTCGGAGAATTGAGGGAGGGAGGGGGATGAATGAAAGATGAGCGTTGATGCAGAACGCGCTAGGAGAGCATGACGGGCTGTCTGACGGGTGGCGATACGAAGCATGACGTCCAGCAGAATTGTCAAGTGGAAAGGTTGCAGAGGACAAAGAACGAAGGGAGTCACTGGGGTCGCGTATTTACGGAGAATTAACCCCTGTCGTTGGGGTTAGAAAACTTCCAGCTGCAAGTCCAAACCACTGGAGATTTTTCAATAGTGCTAGTTCTAATACAAAAATCACGAAGCATAGTAACGAAAACAGTGCGAGTCGCTGTGAATAGGAAGTATTGGGTCAAGCGCATTGAAAGGCGTACGGGGGCTGGAAACAGCGAACTTAGTACGCATAGGATCGCGTCAGCAAACTAGGAATTAGGTGAGTCGTTGCGTGTAAAGTCAACCAAAGTCTTATGAGGCACATCGCGCTGGTGCATAGTGTCCTGTCCGAAATTATGCTCCCAAAGTTCTTGGTTATGAGAGGCATAAAATAGTGGAGTTTATCGCAAACAACATTGAGCAACTCTTAGCGGTGGTGTGCAAGGCAAAAATCGGCGAAGCGAGTCTATTCTATACGTAGTGCGGTGGCTTCGCCGCGGTCAAACGCGTACATGCGTACAGAATTTTCATCCCATGGGCAACTAGGCCGTTGAAACGAGGGTGGTGAAAGAATGCCTGTTCAATGCTTTGCGTCGTCCTTCTCCGCTTCTGCTATGAAGTTCTTGATGCTATCCATCCTAGTTAGTGTCACCATTATTTTCCTTGGACTAGAAATGTACGGTACTCACAACTGCTCTTCCTCACTGCATCCGACAGGGTACTAGACGTCAACAGGCTGGTTTCTCCAGCAGAAAAGTGAATCAGGCGCACCTTGAACCGGCTTTAATGGGAACCGCCTCCTTAACCCGCTCAACAAGGGGTTTGCCAGGAGAGGGTGCCTCCTTCTTCGATCCGCCCAAGGAAGCGTAGGTGACGGCACCCGTGGCGAAGAGCGTACCGAGAGTGAGGTACTCAGTCTTGATGGCACGACCGAAGATGACGCTATGATTTATATCAGTCGGAATGCGAGCGCACAGAGGTAAGCTGGAGGCGTACTAGGACATGGCGAAAACGAGTTACGGGTGTAGGTGGAGGGTGGACTTTGGACGAGTGAGCAAACGGAACAGTGTAAAGCGCCGGAATTCTCCGGCTTTGCGCGTCGGCTCAGCGCTCCCTGCATCTTGAGCGAACGTAGGTATGTGCGCTTTGCTTCACACAACCTCAATGCTAACGCTCCAACCAACTACAGTCGATACATTTGTGTAATTTGCCAGGCTTTGAAGTGATTTCTCGAAATGGGCCTACCCCGACTATCTGCCAGATACACCTGTACCAGATCGGGGTTGACACCATCCGCCATGCCACTGTCACACCCCCGCCGATTCAAGTCAAAACTCTCCACCGTCCATCGAGGAACAGCTTTTGAGGAGCGTTCTCGGCGACTGCTCGAAGAGACCATGTCCATGACCCTCACTCGCGTCGGCGGACGCGCCGATGGCGGCATCGACCTTCAAGGGTGGTGGTGGCTCCCCCTCAAATCGAAAGAACAGCGCGACCGCCTGCGCGTCATTGGACAATGTAAGGCCGTCACCAAGAAAATCTCCCCCAATTTCGTTCGCGAGATGGAGGGCGTGCTTGCGCGATTTCTCCGCGTCCCTGCGACTGAGGAGCAGGCCGTCGCCATGCTCGTATCGGAGGCGCCATTCTCGCAAAATTCCATCATTCGCACAATGGAGTCGCATGTCCCTTTTCTTCTGTTACACCTGCCGCCGCTTCCCGAAGAACATACGCTTACCTCAGAGACTGGTGTCACGTCGAATACCACATCACCCTATGGCACCATCGGTCAAGCTATCTGGAACCCCGCCCTTGGCTCTCGCAGTGGTCTTCTGGGTGGCCGAGCGGAAATACGCTGGGTACGCTCAGAGAAGAACGATGAGCCTGCGCGCCCTGGTCTCTGGTGGGAGGGAAGCAGACTTGCGAACTGGGTACCAGGCGGTGACGACCATAGAGTTGACTCCAGTTAACGAGGGGATTATCTGGCACGGTTTGATTTCGACGTGTTTCCCTTGACTATATTATTCGTAGCTCAACAGACACCTAAATACCACCTTGGGCATAACGTACATTACTCTTAAATACTAATAATAAAGGCTGAGTGGACGACTCCTCAATCAATCCGTTTGGCATTGACCCCGCTTATCGTCATGTGTCTAATGATAAGCAAACTTGCGAGCAGGGATATTCTTTTCAAATGTAATATCGATTATGTAGGACCACAATTGTTCAAGGATGAGTATTACAGATTATGAGACGACAGTTGAATGATAATGCGAAGACCTGGTTCATGCAGGTACACACCAAGGCCCATCGTTTTGGATCGCAGCCTAGCGAAGGGTACTTCAGCCTCAGGCTTGTGTGCGAGCTTCGTATTTGAGTCAATGTCTATTCAAGCCATGCGACTCGCATTCCGGAGTATTTACAAAGTAGTACTAGCAGCCACTGTCCTTTTTTTTTTGGGAGGGTCCTCCAAGCGACATCATGATGGTTTAATTTCGAAACGGGGTAGATACCCATACAGCCATGTTAATCCATCCGGCTTTTCCGTAACCCAAGGAAGCAACGAAAGTACCTGAAAAACTGGCAACTCTGCAGTTGTGACAATGAGTGGTTCTGTAATATAACATGCAGATGCTCAAACATAAAGTGGACGTGCGAGACTGAGGGCGTGTGCTGCGGCATCTTCCGAGCAAGTCATCTCACTAAATTTTGACTTCATCTCCTGTTTCACGTCCATGCTACCGCCGCCTCACCGTTTGAATCCCTCAACAGTACAGAGACCGGCGTTCTTCTGATAGCATCCTCCGAATTGCAGAGGAGCACTGATTTCCCTATCGCAGTCAACCACGCCTCATCCATTCAACCATGTGCCTACAACCTCATTAATTTGGTCGCTTCTGCGGAGGGATTGCTTCTTCGTCATGGCTTCCGGGAAGACAGAGCATCTCGGAAACGTCAATGCCTAGGATCTCGATCGATGTTCCCGGTGCCCTAATCTTGTGTTCGTGGCTATGACGAACGCTAAAAATTTCGCCAAAAAACACCTTGAGGCGTATCTGCTTCGCATCTTGTAAACTAGGAAATTCCTATCTTCGGTCAGTCTTATCAAGAACTCACGGCAACGAGTCTATGTGCTCCAACCAGTCACGGGTCCGTGAACGTCCTCAGCTCAACTCGCTTCTCTGGTCTCGTCAACTAGCATATCATCGGTAAATGCAGCTTATATGGCAGCTCTGGCCCTAAGCAGTATCAATGTCTGGCAAACAGGCTGCTTTATGTCGCTAAGGTTATTCGTTCCAGCCATATATATTGAATGGGCATCATGGTGAGCAACATTTGGAGTACATTCTAATGTATGACATATAGGACTACATGCAGCCCAAGAGCAGATGAGATGATACTCACCAAATCGAAGATACCCGAGTGATTGTTCATTGGTTATGTTTCTTGGTTGGCAACCGTATGCTCGTCAACAACGTAATTCCGATTCCGTATGCTCACTTACAGCTTTGGATCTCTCTTCAACCAACAACTTTCTAGGGGTTGAGATTGCTTGCCAGCGGCGCCTGCTTCGGTTTTTACACGGGAACCTCGCTTCCACGGCATGGCTCGAGCATGATGTCCGGCGCTTATGTCTCTCCTTCTAGTACGCGGGAGACGTGTTTACAAGTCTCCCGCACCGCCCCATTGGTAGCGGTGTAGTTCCTACAGTGTTGAAAAACCAGTATCCCAGCATTGGTACTGGCCTTGGTCGACAATATTTGAGGCTACTCTGTGACTACTCCAGTTAGTAATATCGTTGGAAAACGAGCGCTAACCAAGCACCATTTGTCCCCCGGCCCGGAAAGGAAGAAACTTTTCCGGCTATGGGAACCATCGACTTCAGGGCTACTATGATGTTCTATTCCTGTTGTCAATTACCGGGCCCTACGCTTGCGACTTCCTTGAGGCACCAGGCTATACGTTGTTCTCTCTCGGGAGGCTACCTTACGTATACCTGCTTGCAATCCATCTCGTAAGTGCACCTACGAAATGAGTGCGTGGGCACCTACGAAGTGGATTGCAAGTACGTATCACAAAGCTTCTTTTGCTGAGCCCTCGGTATGATTTGTTCCTCTAAAAGCCATACGAATGTTTCTGGATTGCGACACAGGCCTGGACGTGATTCTCTATAGTGACATACTACCATACACAATCAAGCACCGCTACCGCTAGTCACCCCACTACGTTGCTCTTCTTCGTCAAACATTTGCGAGACTGATTGTGCACAAGTTGAAGTTACATTCTCAATTTCTCTTAGGCAGATAGGAAACATACTGCAAGGGGATTTACCTTAGAGCACCGGAATATGTGGCAGAAGTTGCCGGAGAGCGCGACGGAGTGGAAAAAGGTGCGTATTGGTAGCAACTCTGCGAGAGACGTACGATGCCGTCCCTATCAATGCTCACACCCCTCGTAGACAAGACCGTTAGAAATCCAACTAACATGTTGTGGAACAAGTATCAACAGGCACCCAGGCTGGGTGAACGTGGCTGGACTCTTTCTCGTTGCCATAATTGTTGCTGCCTTCCAACCTTTTTCTTTCCTCAATTAACTTATGCGGATCCCTGAAAACCAGGTATGTATGCTTGTCTAGCTGAGTTCCTTATTGAATAGCACGGCAACCCCCGTGCCACTATTCAAATAAATGAGGAGGTGGCTCCTGGTGGCCACGAAAGTGGGCACAAAGGCCATTGCGGGGACGTTGCCATTGCTGGATGTTGCCTGAGATGGAGGTGGAGTATCGTAGCCGCGCAGTGCACGGGCGGGACGGATGCGCGCTCGCTGTCGATATGTCGAGATAAGGTCTGAGTGGCACTCAACGGGGTAATCACTGAGCACCAGAAAAAGTGCGAACATCGCAAGGCCGAGCGGCACCGAGGGGAAGAGGGCAAGGTAGAAGGAAAAATCGCTCTAAATGGGGAATGGCAAGCTTTAGTGAATAAAAGCCGGAGGTGTATTTACCGTAAAGGTGAAGATATGACGTCCTGGCGATTCCGGAAAACATGTTAACCCAGCCAATATCAGAACATCAGCCACCAGACGACGATCAACTGCCTCAACTCCCCAGTGCCCCTGCGCCGGCCTTATTGACTGTCAAAATGCATGCGGTTTTTACTTCTTGCAAGCGCTTAAGCGCTGGCATTGGTCCTGGAGATCTTGGGTGGTTACTATAAATCACGAGCTATTACGCCCATTTGCTCTCTAGCCGTGTCCACCGGCCACTTGACGAAGTTGAACCTCTATAGCCTTCCAATTCACTGCATATGCCTTTGGCCTTGCATACACATTGACCGTCCGCACATCATTGTGTTGTTCTTTCACCCATTCGAATCTCCTAAGCCAGACGAAGGGAGCAGAGTATTACAGCCGCTACATCACCTCAGGGGCCTGCAGTGATAGCATGCTAAATGCCATCTGATTTGCTGCGTTACTCTTCTATACTTAGAAAAGACCTTCCGGACTCACTTATATTCCATGACAGATGGCAGATGCCAATGATGGGGCTGTCAACGCTATTTCGCGTGGTCCTGAAGGGCATCGTAGAGTCTGGGGTACATAAGTGCTATCACTTACGATGCGCATTTGCAAACCAACCCCGTCCACTTTCATCGTTCCCTCTGGCGAGAATAGCCATCGCTACCGTCAATGAACGCACCAAAAGGCTGGGCAACAACGAGCTCTGACCCCGACGTGCGTGTTTGGACGCGTCCTCTCGGGCTGACCGAAGCAGGCTTTTACCATGATCTGCTCTTCAACAGTACCGCAGACAGCGCAACGCACGTCCATCTTCGATCCATTGACCCAAGTGCAGGCCTCTTCTCGCCGGCCAACGTCCTCCGAGCGTGGACATCTGTCCGAAGGCGCTTCCCACTCCTCTGCGCGCACATCGAGGAGCAGCACCCTCCCCACCACCCCGGATCTTCGGACTCGACCCTTGGCGCACGCGAGCCCCAGCCTCACTTTGTCATCCGCGAGGCCGACATCCAGGAGCAGGCGGAGACCACGCTCTCATTAGGAACCGTCGCATCTTTCTCTGATGCTGAGCATTTCGCCCGGGCGATCTTTGACGGGCCAGCGCATCTTTCCCCGCATGCGCTCGCGCGGATGCATGTCCTTTGGCGGGAGGACCGACCCGCCGGCGCGGAGGCGCATGCCATCCTTGTGTTCGCGCACGTTATCACCGACAGCGCCTCCACGAGCACCGTGCTGCGAGTGTTCTTTGATACGCTTGCGTCGAAGGAGGACTTCCCGCACGCGCCGATCGAGGAGAGGCTCGAGATGTATCGTCCGCTGGAGGAGACACTGAGATACCCCGCGGGAGTGAGCGAGGCGGGACGTAGGTGGAGAAGGGCGATCGGATGGGCGCTGCATTCTGTGCGGCGGAGAGGGCGGACGGTGCGTGTCGACATACCATCTTTGCAGTTTGAGAGCACATCTGACGCTGACGCTGGTCCAGGGAGGCCATACACTGCCCCGGAAGTTGACCACACATTCATCATCAACGCCAGCTCGCTCGCGCGATCTGGTGTACGCGTTCACGCGATCCGAGTCGACTCAAATCCTGGCGAGCTGCCGGCGGGCACGGACGACGTTCAACTCGGCATGCTTTGTACTTGGACAACTTGCGCTCACCCGCGTCTTGGCCCGGCGTTTCTTGTCTGGTGCGATGACCCCTGCTGAATGGGCGTGGAGAGCGAAGGAACCCATGTTCATCTTCGGCCCGCTCAGTCTGCGTTCGTATCTCGAATTCGGCGGACCGGGGTACGAGGGTGGGGGCGAGGGTGAAGTTGGCTTCAACGTCAGCTGGTATAGCCATACGATGCCGCACATGCCGCTCGGAGTGCTCGCGGGCGTAGAAACGCCACGCCAATACAGCGGCCAGCTGCTCGGAGGCGCGCCGCCACCAGAGGACCTCTTGAGCAAAGAGCGGTTCTTTCACCGATCTGCGCTGGTGGGCCGAGGCGTGGAGAAACTGTTCGCGCATCCGAGGTTCCTGGATTTCTCCCTTGCGTGCCACAAGGAAGCGGCAGACGTATCACGAGTGGAGGCGGAGAAGTGGGTGCGTAACGGGCAGCAAGTCAAGCATGACAGTGAGACGCCGAAGACGATAGGGTTCGACGACATCCAGGAAGGACAGACTGTGCTTTCGCTTGCGGGTTCTAGTCTAGGCGATGTAAGTGGATTCGGGTTGTTGCCACACGATTGTGCTGACGTCGTGCAGATGGACGTCCGGATCCCCCGCGCGTACCCTCTTCCTTCTACGCATCCGCTTTCACCCCGTTCTCGTAAATCACACCCTGTACGCGCTGGATACTCGACATCACCTTCGCCAGCATCCGAAAGGTATAGCGACGCCGAGCCAACCTTGATTGTTGACTGGTGGCTCTCAATCCTGCACGCTCGTCCTCTTGAGCTTTATTTCGGCTCGGTGATGCGTCATGGGACGATAGAGCTCTTGGTATTTTGGGATGAAAACGTGTACGAGGCAGGGATTATCAGGGAGTGGCTGGACGAGATCGTGCTTGCGACGCGGTCCTACCTGTGCCCTGAAACGGGCGCAGGAGACCTGGATACCCAGATGATGCAGAGTAGGTTGTAGGATACATCGTCCGCGAGTTGTGCGCAGTCGAGATACCCAGTGGGACGAGTAATTGTAACATGAATACCCAACTATCGTGCGCTGACTCTCATCCAATGAATCTCGCAACCTTCATTCAAGCTGAAGGTCAATCACGCACCCATTTCCTTGCTGACATCTCGGCTTGAAGCGAACCCGGTTCGCCCAGACTTGATCGAATTTCCACGTGCAAGTGCGCTCATCATACCGGTGATTTGGCCATCAGTGCCGCCCACACAAGTACACACCAGTTGGACTGTATATCGGGGACTGCGCCCCCATCTCTCTCCGCGGCCTTGAGAGCACGGTACTGTCGCTGTATGAGACGGAGGCTCGTTCGCTGGTTCCTATCACTGATTAATATTATTTTTCTTGAGCGTCGATGTTAGTGGCCAGGAACACGCTCGGTTTTACTCTGGGCATCAAGGTTAGCACAACTCCGAATTTCCGAGACGCACACACCCAAACGAACGGCGATGATTGCCCTTGACATTGATGTGGTCTGGAAGTTAGCCGACTGCTGACGAAAGCTGTACGAACCGACGCCAAACTGATGGTCAGGCTCATTGTAAGTTGCTGTGGACTGGAAGTTAGCCGTCTGCAGCCGTCTGCTGACAAAAGGCTGCATGAACCGACGCCAAACTGGTGATCACCCTGGTTCATTGCAGCTCATGAATCCGCGGCCTGACGTCAAGTAACTGTCATAATGTATCCCCGCCTTGAGCTAGAGAAAGATTTGAGTACCCAGAATCTGGTAAGGCCTGAATCGATGTCGCTGGGGACTGCGCCGGCACAGTCTACGCTGGCGCTTGCTAGGAGGTGCTTGAGGTGCCCAACCGCGGGAGATCCAACTTGACATGACAAGTCCTTATATATGGCCTTCGAGAACAAAGCAAGCAATCAGTAGCATGTTATGGATCTAAAACACAAAGCAACGTGAGCCGGGTCCGAACATACTCCGATCTTAAACTCCCACAGTAACGGCCTTCTCATGATAGCTACAATGTAATGCAATGAACACAAGATACCTTAGATAGCAGTGAGGTATAATCAAGGCCGGGTGGTTATAGAATATAAACAAGACAGATTGAAAAACAACATACAATCTAAGCCTTAAAAAACAAGAGGTGACCATGGTCAGAAGATAATAAGGCTTGACCACGGCCAGTTAACGCTCGTGACAGTATACGCAAAAAGAAAAGAAAAGAAGAGGGAAAAAACATAAATCGGGATAAATAAGGACCCACTCAAAACCCCAACCTCACAGACTATGGCTTCCACACAGGCCTCTTCCCATTCGCCCCCGCCTTCATCGACATCGCCGACCTCGGCCTCACCCCGCTCGCCGCGCTCCCCGGCCTCGAATACGTCCCCGCGCGGGACCCCGCCCGCTTATCCTCACCGACACTCGCAGTATTCACATCCTCAAAACACCTCACGAGGTCCTTGACACTCGCACCGCTGCTCGTCCTCGCCCGCCGCTGCAGCTGCAGCGGCGCCGGCGCCGGCGGCTGCTTGGCGTTGGTTCGCGCTAAATGCGGCTGCGGCGCCGCGGGGACATGCCGCAGCTCGACGAGCCGTCGCGCCTCCTTCCGCCGCGCGGCGGCATCGCGCTGCTTCTTGCGCGTCGGCGACGCGTGTGCGAGCTGCACGCTCGGGATCCGCGCGGGCTCGATCGGCTTGCGCGCAGGCGTGGCTGCGGCGGCGCGTGCGCGCGCGAGCCGGTCCTCTGGGGGCGGCGGGAGCGGGTTCATCCCGCTCGGGCCCTTGTCCTTGTCCGTGCCGTTATGCCTGTCCTTGTCGGCTGTCACGGTATCCTGGCTATCGGCAACCGAGACCTTCGACGAGCCGCGCGAGAACGAGGGAAGATACGAGAAGAGCACGCCCTTGACCTTGCCGGGGAACGACTGCCGCGGGAGCGCCTGTGCGTGTGGGTTCAGCTCATGCGCATGTTCGCGCGGCGTCTCGTCCTCGCCCGCTTCTTCGGCAGATGCGGACCTAGATGCAGAGCCCGACGCCGACGTCGAGCTAGACGCAGACGCAGACGCTGGCGGCTCTGGCTCTGGCTCTGGCTCTGGCTCCGCCCGTGGATCCGGGTCCGGTTCCGGCGACGGAAACGCGATCGAGCTCGGCGGCAACACCTCCGGCACAGGCGTCGTCTCGGTTCCCGCGTCCTCAAGGCGCTGCGCCTCGTCGAGCAGACGGGCGTACAGCGACTGCCCCGCCTCGCTCAGCGTGTTTCCATTCGGCAGCCCCGCGTCCCCGGGCTCGGGCCCGGGGCCGTAAAGCGCGTCATCTGTCGAGGGAAACGCCGCCGCCGAGTTGGCGCGCAGCGCGGTGGGCGTGAGCGACGTGAACGATGTCGACGTCGGCGAGAGCAGTCCCGCCGCGGCCAGAAACGCGTCAGTGCCCGCGCCCGCGCCCGCCTGCGCGACCTTATTCTCCTTCTTCTTCCGTAGCGCCTCGACGCGGAGCAGCATATCGTCGCTAGCGATCACCGTGTCAGCCATTCTTCATCTTCTCCTTTACGACGTAAATCAAAGCAGAAAGAACGCTCACAAGGTCCATGTAGCGCCGCGCTGCGACAGCCCCTCGCTCCCGCCCTGCTCGGCGACAAAGCGCTCGACGACGTCCTCCGGCGCGACCTTGTCGAGCACGCTCTGCACCACCGACGTCGACGGCAGCGCGGCGAGCTCCTCGCGCAGACACCATTCGAGGCATTTCCAGTCGTCCTTTGTCCATCTGTTCGATGGCGCCCTCGGCTCGGCCCTCTCCTTCTCCTTCTCCTTCTCCCTCTCCTTCTCGATCTCATCGCTCCCGCTCCTGCTCGACCCCCGCGCAGTACCGAACGACCGCCGATCAGAAGCACGCGGCTTCCTCGGCGAATGCTCAAGCAAGAACCGCGGGTCCTGCACGAACTCCTCCACCTCGCTCATCAGCAGCTCGCTGTCCCCGCCCCCACGCGGGACATCGCCGAGCGTGACGCGCCGCCGGGCGTTGGCGCTGAAGCCGTTAGTCTGAGCGGTTGCGGGCAGGCTCGGCCGCGGGCGCTTCACGATGCCGCCCTCCGCGATGGAACGGCGGCGGCGCGTGCCGTCGCCACTGGCACCGTTGCCGGTGCTGAGGCGAGAGCTGGGTCTAGACGACGAGCCGACGGAGCTGCCGCGCGACTTGCCGCGCGACTTGGCGCGGGCGGCGAGGAGGCAGTCGTAGTCGTGCTGTAGATGAAGTCGTTAGAGATATTTACGACTGAGGCGGACCGTTGGAAGGACGCTCACCAGACGCAGGATGGCGGCGGCCCTTGCAGCTGCGTGCGGGTCCCCGCTCGTGATCTTGATCACGTCGTCGTCCTCGAACGGTGTCTCGTCGCCCGACTCATCTTCTTCCTCTTCTTCCTCCAGTTGCTCCTCTCTCTCCGCTTCCCCCTCTGCCACTGCCTCTGCCGCTGCCTCTACCTCCCCCACCTCCCCCTGATTATCCCCCTCCCCCCTGATCCCCGCCCCTCCCCTCCCCCTCCTCCCCCTGCATAACCAACCTCGGAAACTCCCTCTCCACCGGCGCACTCCTCCACGGAAACGTCTTGCTCTGCAGAATATCGCGAATCGACGAGCCCTCGAGCACAGTCGACGACCCGGGCGTCCTGAGCAGCTCGAGCCGCGACAGCCGCCGCTTCCGCGCCGTCGTCGCTGGTGTCTTTGCTGATGCGTAGCTCGTGCTGAACGTGAGAGACGCGTTGGCGTTGCCCGGGGTCTTGGTGACGCTGGCTGCGAAGCCGTTGGATTTTGGCGGCGATTTCGAGTGTTGATACCGGGTGTACGCCGTCGAGGTCGAGCTCATAGACGCAGACGACGAGCTGGCCGGCTTCCCGGGCGGACGGTCGTGTCCGTTGCCATTGCCATTAGCGTCCTCCTCAACCATAGTCGCCGACGGACTCTCGTCGCCCAGCGCGTCCATATCGTGCGCATCCTGGTCCGGCGTGGTCAGCTTGAGCGCGTCGATCTCCGCGTCGGCTTCCTCGGCTGTGACCTCGTGGATCTCCGCGTCTTCGTGGGCTTCGAGCCGTGGCTCTGGCGGGTCGATGTCCATAGACTCCACCTCCGCCTGCGCCCTCGATTTCTTCTTCCTCGCTCCAGACCGGAAAATATCATGGTCATACCGAACGTTGCTCGGCGTGGGCACCGCGCTTTCCCTCTCCCTCTCCCGCTGTCGTTCTCGGGCCTTCTGCAGCTCCCGCTCCGTCCGCCTCCTCACCGACCGCTGCCCCTGCTCCTGCCCCTGCCCCTGATGGTGCTCCTGCTCCTGATGGTGCTCCTGGCGATGCTCCACCAGCACCCCATCCATCTGCATCTCCTGCACATCCTCCGGCACACTGCTCCTTGGACTCATACTCTCCATGCGCAGCCTGTACGGAAACGGGCTCGGCGGGCGCCCCCACTCGTCGACGCGCTCCTTGCCTGCACTTGCAGGGCTCGGGGGCTCGGCGCTGAGCGGCACGCGCACGGTGGTGTACCGGCCTGTGTATTCGCCTGTGCCTTCGCCGTCGGCGGCGGTGGCATCGCGATTGACATCGGCATCGACGTCGGCGTGGGTGTGATTATAACCACGGGGCGTAGCGTGATCGTCTACCTGGTCGTCCGACCAGCCCGCGTCGGCATCGACAGCGTCGGGTGAGGGAATTGCGAACGCGGGCGGGAGCGGCGACGAGTTTGTGTAGGATGATGTGGAGGGATACGGCGCAGCGGAGAGGGGTATGGCGTCGGACGGGGCCACGGACGGGGTTGGAGTCGGGGTGGGCGAAGGTGGCGACTCGTGGTAGGCGGGGAGGGACGAGGAGGTGTGACGCGGGGAGGGAGTGGGTGTAGCGCGTTCTCGGCGTTTCTTGCGCTTCGGCTTTGATGAAAGTAGCATCGGGTCTTCGCCCGGGGAAGGCGGCTCGGGTGTCGCGCTGAGTAGTTTATCAAAGTTGGGCTGGTTAGTCTTGAAGGGGGTGTGGAGGAGGTGCGCGGCGGGTGAGCGGTGGGCGGTCTTGCGCTTGCTCGACTTGGACACGCGGGGTGTTGCAGCGGACGGGCGGGGAGTGACGGTCGGGTTGGGGGAGAGGGTCTGGAGACGGGGGTAGTCTGCCTCGAGACGCGACAGAGCCTGGCCTTGCAGCGGAGAGAATGCATCGAGGTCGAAGTTGCGTATGTCGAGTTCAGAGTCAGGGGCAGTTGAATCGAACCTCGTCCGCCGTGTCCCAGTGTTGCCGTGAGTAACCTTCGTCCGCGTCTTTGTCTTGCTCTTGCGCGGACTGCCCGAGAGAAGCATGATGTCCTCGGTCGGCGAAGGCGGTTCGGGTGTCGCACTGAGCAGTTTTGCAAAGTCTGGCGGCTCTGTCTTGACCTTGAGAACTGTTCCCGGCCGTGTGGTCCTGCGCTTGATAGTGCTAGCAGCAGCCGACCGCGATGTAGAGGCTCGGGGTGTAGCATCCGCTGGAGACACGGTGCGGCGGGAGGGCATCGCGTTCAGTGGTCTGCTCGACGCGACGACGCTGGACGAGTTTACAACTTTGTATCTTTCAGATCGTCCTAATGACCGCCTCGTTCTTTTTACAACACGTGACACATTCACGTGCCGACGCGTTCCATATCAACAAGCTCACACCTCGGACCTGCCGTAAACTGTGCAGTGGCTTGGGATTACAATATGGTAGGGTATTGCGTTCGTAACATCGTAAAAGTTCGTGGAAAGTCGTAAAGGGTTCGTGAGCTCTAGGCGGTGAATCGTGAGAGGCGCAGTAATAAACACAAGATTCTACATGGAAAGTTCAAAATCTGAAGGCAGTAAACCAAACCAGAAAAGCATGGGCTAGAATATGTCACGAGTCGTTCGCGCCCTTTAACGTGGCACTTGAGGGTCGCCGCAGTAAAGAGCTTTCGCTCGCTAACCGCGGTCGTCCGAGAACTTCGCTCCCCGCCGACCTACTCGATATCGCCAAGTCGTCTTGCGATCGCGCGAAGAAGTCTTCCTCCCCAGCTTCATACGGAGACGGGCCCGAGTTTATCTGAGATACCACGCGAATGAGCGACATGTCTTAGGCATCCAACTGGCCCAGAGAAGAACCCAAATAACCCGCAACACTCACCCACTGCTTCAGCACCTCGCCCACGCGCGACGCCTCCTCCGCCGTGAAATGCACATCCGTCCCCTTCTCCGCGTGCAGCCGCAGCAGCTCACTCAGCGAGCGCCCCAGCCGCCGCGACGGGCCGTCCTGCTTCGCGCCCCCATCGCTTCCGCTCCCACCCGCACTGGTGTTGCCTGAGCCGACGCCAGCCGGGAACGCGACGGTGCTACCGCTTATGCTCGTGCCTGTGCTCGTGCTTGGCGACTGCAGGTCCGTCGCGGAGCGGTCCCATTCTTCGTACGAGGACCTGCTCAGTGATGGTTCTGCATGGTCGGCCATGTGTGTATGGAGATGGTGTGCTGGTAGTTTGAGTAATGGATATTGGATGATCGTCGGGAAAGGGGTCCTGGCGAGTCTGAGAGAGCTTCTGCAATAGACGTCACGAACGCGATCCACGCGCCGAACGGAAGACTCTGTGCAGCACAGTTAAGATAAGCTCGAGGCGGTGTGCGCGTCGGACGGGGAGAGACGCACCGTTAAGTTAACGTGGGGTGAGGTGACGTGACGGGAGGAGGAGGGAGAACGGAGAGAGGAGCGTGGCGCGGAGGACCCTGAGAACAAGAAGCACTGCGATAAAGTAGCGAAGAAACCGCCTTCCGTTTTCGGACCCACAATGAACGCCGCGTCAAAGCCACCCGTTCCTCGACATGACTCGTGGTGTTGCTGTCCGATGGCCATTGTCTGGTCCTGCGAAACAATAGGGTGATAATGGTCGCGCTTGGACCCTGTATTGTTTGATCCTGGGGTCGAGTATTGGGTCGACCCGTGCGCTTGGCAACATTGAGCTGTCTGAGTTGTCTGTGGCTCCTTGAATTATCCTTTCTTGCCACAATACCGATCAACCAAGCTTGGATCTTTGCCTTTGCAGATTTTACACAGCGACAAGGCATCTTATCTGGATCTACGATAAGCGCAAGTACATGTTCCTTCAGCTTGGTCCAAGGCGGTTCGCGAAATGCGGCAACACTACCTCAAGGGCTCAGTACTAGTCTCCCGTAGGCAGCCCAATACTTGGTACAAGGAAGATAGTCGTTCCTTGATAGCTCAGTACCGTCAAGGCAGTGTGTCATTCACGCTCCCGAACCCTTTGGACGTTGGACGCGCCAGATGATCTTGAGCCAGACGCAATTTGTCTATGAAATGTTTTGAATTCCGCGAACTTGATGGGAACTTGCATTGAGACCCTCCTGGTGTTGCTTTTGCCAACCCCCAGAGATTATATTCGATATTATGTTTGATATGTCAATGATATGTGTTTTCACCGGTTCTGTTTAAATCCTGGGCTGCTTCCAATGCTAATAAGCATCGGACAACGAGCCTTCCGTCGACATGCCACCCTTTCCACCGCACTCATCGCTGGATTGTTAAGCTTGATGCCTGTCGAATGGTGTCTGACTCGGACACTCTGAGCAGGGACTACGATGGCTTTCTTCGATCGCGGTGGGCCCGCTGAACCCTGTCCTGAACTGCCACCTTAATCACAGGCCTAATTATATTGAAAATTGAGTCACAATGCAGAGGCTCAACGGCCTCAAAGCTTAAGGGGTGCTGTGAGCATTGCTTTCAACCACTGGGAGCGAGAAAGTTGTCAAGGGCGTGCGAAAGGTTCGGGCCACTGCTAGGCGTATGCGCCGTGCGGCATCCTCCGAGGCTGAGCAGACCTTCATCTTTATATTTCATCACGACCAGTCAAGGCCCTGACGGGCATATCTGGATCCAAAGGCCAAAGAGACACTATTACTGCTTTGTAATTTAGGCATCTAACTTTCGAGTTTGTTCCTTTTCAGTGTTCAGAGGCGTACTCTCCACAAGCCCGGCCGCGAGCAAAAATTGAGCAAAAACTCGAACGGGGGCCCGGGATACTTTTGCGGATGCATACCCACTCCGTTGATCGACAGAAAAACCATGTATAGTATGCCAAAATCATCACAGCAATTGATCATAATAGACAACCATGCAGACAATCTCAAGACAATCCTTTTTATTGTAAAACTCCTACGGGTACATTATGAAAGTTAGCAATCTTTTTATATCCTTTTAGCGAATTGTCAAAAACACTCCAAAACCTGTTCGACCTTCTGTACCACATACACACCGGCAGGATAATATACAGGGGCGACAGCAATTAATAGGTCCTGACAGGTCCTGACACCGACATACATACTGAAGATCAAATTTAAGCTTTGCTCAGCAACGCGTTCGACACAAAGGATACTCTGTCGCCAGTACTATAGATAGTCTCCGTTTGTGGCACACCGAGGGGTAGAGGGCTGCTCATGATAAGGAAAAGGCGAGGAATAGAGAAGACGACATGTCGTTGGAACTCATTACTTATATAGCGGGCCACGATTGATTCTCTAAATGATAGGTGAGTGGCTGTGAATGGTAAGCGAGCCCACATAGGAGCTGAGAGGCACACGGACATAGTGGAGAAATGGCCCATATGACGGAAATCCCAGTGAAGATACGATTAATAGGGAGTGACGTGGCGAGCGGGCCGCGATGGCAAACGGACCGTGAAGACCGTAAGTTTGCAAAACTTCTTCGTTATACCTGTCTCCTTTGGATCCAGGAACACCTCTTCTCCTCCATGGCCAGATCTAGCCCCGCCCACGACTTTCCAGTGAACAAGCCAGTCGCGAATTGACCATCAACATGCTGCACGGCCCGTGCTGCGAACCGAGCAGTACCACACTTACAAAAAGACCATCATCTGCTCTGATCTGCTACTGGTTGAGCTTCATCTGTACTTATCAGGGAGCTCTTCACCTTGTGCAATGCGTCTCACGTCGGTAGCGCCGCCTTGCGCTTTCAACGCGTCAACGTTCCAGAGACTGCAGTTCTTCTACTATCAGCCGCTTAATATAGGAACAGCTCGTGTACCGAGAACTTGCTTCTTCGCTGCAGCTCCTTTCCCGAGAATACACGCTTTCATAAAACGTTCGGCGCCTGTCATACCGATCGACGTCTAACCGGGCCCGTTTGGTTCGCGTCCGCAAGCGTCACTGTACATCTCGAGGCGTGCTGCTTTTCATCTAGAAATCCATGGGAATTACATGGTTTCAGCGCTCGCCTACTACCCAGATCGGTAGAACGGGCGTCTCGATGAGCGAATAGCAGGATATCTTTTTTTAAAACCCATAGACTTTCTAAGGCGCTGACTGGCTGGTGCTGCATGTTACCACTGGCGCCTCCTTTGTGTTTCTGAAGAGGCACCTCACCTCTGCGGCGCGATTCAAACACCAGGGCAGGCACCTGTGTGGTTAATTCCTTCTACTTCTATCTGTTTTGCCGTGCATATACCCTCATTTCGCTCCCACTGGAGCGTCGGTCCAGCAGTGTAACGAAGGCACCTCGGTGTTCGTCTTGCGGAATTTGGAGTAGGTTGGAGGTTGCCTTGGAGGTTGCCGACGGTCCCCCAACGCGTGAGTACTCACCGCACGAGAAATGCATCGGAACAAGCAAGAGAGGCATCTGAGAAACAGCATTTAGTTTGCTGCCTCGAGGATGCTGCGAGCACAGTTCCTGGAGCCGAAGACTCCAGGTGTAAGGAAAGAAATGTCGTATCCCTCCGATCATGCCGGCTCGCGGCCCGCGAGCGCGGATGGCCCGCACCGCCTGAATATTTAGGGTTTACGTCTAAATTTGGCAATGTCTCAGCGTCTGCGGCAGCACTCACACGTGTTCTTTACTGCTTTGAATTAGTGTACAGTGAACGTCTCCGCAGCCAGGACGCTGACCAAGGTCACTGACGTTAGTGACCTTGCCGGGGTCAGTGACCGGGTCACTAACCCATAGATAGGGGTAAAGAATTACTGTAGTATTTCAGTTAGCCTTACTATCACTCCATCTCCTCGTCGAGTCTGAATGTGCGCAGTGGGCACGGTGTTCGAACTTCAGACCTGGCCAGATGTGTTGACGCCCCGACAGGGATAGCACTGTTGAGACTTGTGTGACGTTTCTCTAAACATGACCAGGTTGTCGTAAAAAATAACAGTTATTTGGGACTAATATCGAGCGCCATGTTTTGCATTCTGTCGACCTCCAAGTGGGCCTCATTGTTGAGTAGATGTATTCTCCTTTGTACATCCAGTAAAAACCCTGGTAAAACCAGTAGATGTATGCTAGAGGTTGTTGTGTAGACAAACGCGTATAGTACAGTATCCTTGCGTGGCAACCAAAGTGACATAGTGTCCTTCGGGTCCAGGTGTGCCCACTAGGGCCTTGAGTCTGCCCACTTGGTGTGCACAAGGGTGCGTTGGAGTGCATCCCGATGGCCGGCCCGGGACGGACACCGGCCATTTAGCGCCCGTTCCGTGCGGAACCCTGGCCTCCATGCCGTTTAATATCTCTGCCTCCACGCGGCCCTGATGTGATTTTGAGTCTCGGCGGATACACGGACCTAGGTTCCGGGGCCAGAAATCCAACGACGTCCCCAGGTTGAGACCGGATACTGTTAGCTGCTGTAGCTCTCCGAAGCGAGAACACATAACGGCACCATTGGATCGTGCTGCGTGGCGCTGTTCGCGGGTGAAAACGTAGGCGTACGTCGCGCAAGGCGAACGTGGACACTTAGACGCCTTGTCACTCTGCAAATGAGCGCTCGAGAGTTGGGCATATAGCATTTATAGAGCTATAAGGGACCTCCATCTCGCCTCTCGCTTTTTATAGCAAGCTTTGATCCACGATAACACATTCTCAACGTAAAGAAGCTCAATATTACTTCGGAGTCAACCCAGCCTCTCTGCCTCTTCTCATGCACGTAGGTCTACCCTTCGCCGCGGGAAACATGTTAGTCGGTTTGGCTATCTTAGGGATACTTAAAAGGTATGTTGGTCCACCGCTGATTCATTGTGGACGTTGCCTAGAAGCATTTCCTCGGCGCTTCCTGTTCGTCGACGATAGTACGACCACCAAAGCCGTATTGAAAAGGCTCACTCGCTCAATCTTTATTTTAGGTGTCTGTAACAAGCCCTATGGGGTCCAAAACAGGCTGCAAATGTGGCAGCAGTCGAAACCTCATCGTCTGCATCGATGGTACGGCCCACAAGTTCGGGAGCAAGGTAACTTCAGGGCATCACAGGACCGTCACGGTTTTACGTTGTCACTTAAACTTTACCTCTAGAACTCCGATGTCATTGCCCTTCTCAAGAATATCATTAAGCCTGGGGAACACTCAGACATCCCTCAGCTTGCGAAGTATATCGAGGGTATAGGTATCACTACAAAGCGGTCGACAAACTGGTTCCATTACGGGGTCAACTGGCTTCAAAGCAAGGCTGACCTTGCTGTCGCAGTGTGAGTGAATGTTCTTGCTGCCATTCTCCGGAGCTGAGAGGTGGCCTGCAGGCAAGTGGAAGCTAATATAATCGACGCATACAAATGGCTGTGCCAAGTGTACCAGAAGGGCGACAGGATATTCTTGTTTGGTGAGTACACATGGATGTCGTGTAGGTTTGAAGCATTCCAATATTTTACGTAGGATTCTCCCGTGGTGCGTACCAGGTCAGGGTAGTGTTGTGCAGGGCCAGGCCTGAAGCCCTAAAGCCCTTGGGCCAAGCCCTGTATAGGCCAAGCCCTGCCCGAGCCCTGGCTAGGGCTTTTGAGGGCCTAGGGCCTGGCCTGGGTTGTTGCAAAGCCCGAGCCCAGGGCCTAAGCCAGGGCCTGTAGCTAAAATTTTGAAAAAATGTTAGTATGACTGTACAACTACTCTAGTAACAAAAGGTTCTATAACTTGAACTTAAGCATTAGCTAGTGTACGATGTTTTTATTGATTGTGGGAAATTCTAATCAAAGTGTGCTGTGTCCTGATCTAGCTATGGCATTATCTGACTCACTTGCCCTTCAATTAGAATATAGCCTTGAGAGTTATGTCAGTAAATAAGGTGATTTTGACCCAGCAGGTTACTAATGTCCCAAAGACAGTTATGGTGCAAACAATGAAGCTGAAAACACCTCAGCACCTCAGGCTCAAGGATTTCATGCTTATCTTGGCTCTGAGATGCCTCTTCCAGAAGAGACATCTATTGTCCATTGGTGGGGTGTAAGTTATCTTGTTGTATCACATTTTATGGTTCTAATCAGTGCTACAGCATCAGGATTGTTGCCGCCGACTTGTCGTAGCTCAGGCAAGCTTGTCTGAGCTTGTACCAGCGACAAAAGACTGACCAGACGAAAAGCGGACAAGGAACTTGAAAAATTTCACCAGATTACGACGATGAGTACTCATAAACCCTCGAAAAGATGTAGCAAGTGCAAACAAGTGTATTCTATTTCACAAGTCTAACGAGATGTCTATTCGGGAGAAACAATGCGTCTATAATTTGAGAAAAAGATTGATGCGATTACCACTACTCCGGCGCTGGGCTGCTCGATGGCATCAGGAAGCGGCGTGAGTTCTCGAGGGCATTGCTGTCGATGTCCGCGGCAGGTTCGGGGACCTCGAGCTCCTCCTCGTCAGGCGCTCCCCAAGCCTCGAGGAGGCCTTGCCATCGATTGTCGCTGATGCCGTCGATTATTTTCCCGTACTCCCGAGTAGCTTTCTGGAAATACTTCTGCTTGAAAAGCGTGACGTCGCCCTTGGTGCCCGCCCTCCATCTCGCGAAAGTGCGTTCGACCTGACAACGTGTGAGACAAATACAATTGAAACAGAAATGGGAAACCTACTGCAATCATCGCGATAATCACGGCCCCCTTCGGATGATCGTATCGAATGCGTGAGCCTGACATCCTGCGAACCAGCGGCTGCATGATATTGTTAATGTAGTCCGAACGCAGAAAACCAGCCGGTTTCTGTATGAATGCATATATTAAGAAAGGGGCGGGAAGCGTAGACGAGATAACAAGGGCTCACCTGGTAATGCGGATCATCGCGATGCAGCAGCTGCGTGTGCTCCATAGGCGTCGGATGCTGCCAGAAAGCAGGCCCATCGATATGCAGCGCCCAGGTGACGTGCTCTCGGATGGCGTTGGGATCGTCGGCATAGGTCTGGGTCAGGTACAAGGCCTTAACCTGTGTGAGGGCGGCGCGACCGATTTCGGATCGCTTCTCATACATGCGGTCGGTTGCCTGCATTCATAGGTGTTACGTATGGCTGGGCGCGCGCGAAAGATAGTGTACATACCTTGAAAAGACTGTCGCTAATGGAGACCTTGTAACCGCAGTTCGGCACGACAATGTCGACAATCTCCTGGAGAATGGGGACAGTACTATCAATCTTCTTGTGGAAGAATTCCCAGAAATTGTCGGAGGTAGCCCAGCGTGCGAATACAGTGGGAAGGATCGCAGAAATGTAGTAATCGTCGACGGCAGCAGATCCAACAGTCTCGGCGACAGTGGTAGCACTGGAGAGCGAATTGGTGCTGGTCTCGGGTTTGATGACAGGGAGGGTGTTGGCATCCACAGGCTCAGCCTTGATGGTAGGGAGACGCTTGATCCCAGCACTAGTGTGAGGTATCATAGCCTGAGAGCGGCGAGATGAGGGAGCCTTCGCTGGAGCGTTGGCTTTGCGGGAAACCTTCTTGACTGCCGCCAAAAGCGTTGGCTCCTGGAGTTCTTCTGATGTGTTGCTGTCATGCGCGGCATCATCTGAGTCTGAGTCCGACTCAATTGTGATAACCTGGAAGGTAATGTAAGTACGCCATGCCTGTGAGATTGTAGTGATGACTCACGTTGTTGCTTGTCTGGCCCCGGTTTGAGCGAGCAGAGACCCGCGCGCGAGAGTTAGGCCGACTCGCCCGAGCATCTTCGTCTGTGAGGCCACCAATGGCAGGCGTATGATCACCAGACGTGCTCGGACCAATGGCTTGGGTCCGCCATCCAGGTTTCAAGCCGGTCGCAAAGGCTGGTGCCTTAGAAGCCTTGCGACCGGCACCCTTTCCGGTGCTCCTGTGGGTAAATGTTAGTGAGTACGACTTCGATGTGACCAGTGGTAACATGTGACACTCACTTGACCTGGGAAGCCGCAGCAGCCTTTCCTTTCTCTTTTGCCACCTTCACCGTCTTCTTTGCCTTTGCGACTGGAGAATATGACTGTCACAGGTACGTGAGTCATAAATAAGGCGGAGGAGTCGAAGCAGCTTACATTGGTCTGAACATAGTACGCAGGCTCATCCTCACCAGGCATGAAGATAGGCACTCGCGGGAGGGTGCCCAGAAAGGCTAGGTCATCAGAGTCAGCGCTGTCGGGCTCAGCAGATGCAGCACGGGCATCGTCTAAGGTGAGCACAGCCGTCGACTTTTCTTCCAGCTCCCTCATCTCATCACGCCTTTCCTCCTCCGCAATCTCTTCAGCCTGTTGCGCCTCGAGCTGCTTAACGCGCTCGAGGAGACGCATTCTCTCCGTCTCCCAAGACCTCATCTCCTCCGGAGAGCGTTTCGGTCGTGGAAGGTCGGGCCTGCCAGGATGGTCTTGCCTCTTGCGGTCCGGAAGCTCACGCCGAGCAGGAACCAGAGGGGGAGGTGTAGCAACAAGCCCTGGAGCAGCGGCAGACATGGTGTTCATTGCCAGCTGCTCCATGGTCTTCGTGCCTTGACGCTTGCGCGTCTTGGCAGCCTGCTTGTGCTGTTCGGCTGGCACAGCATCAGCCTGAGCAATGCTGGCCTCACGCGGGCGCTTCTGGTTTACGGGAGGAGGAGCTTCAGCAGGGGGGACCGGAAGACGTGCGGTGGTGGAAGAGGTTTCAGTGGTGGACAAGGAATCAGCAGTCAAGGTGAGTTGTTGGTCGTGTGCTCCAACTTGGCCTTTCAGCCTTGCTGACGTTCGTTTCTGGGTGGCCATTGTGCAGAAGGACAATGCTGGACCGGGCGAGCAATGGGAGACAAAGAAAAAGAGAGGCAGCCGAGGTGCTGCGGTTCAAATGCAACGGCGATGTGTCACCCTGAAATGCAGCGGCATCCTGCACAATTACGTGTCATATCGGCTCCCTTGCAAGGTGAGCAGACACCGCTCTTTTCATTACCACCATGTCTGCGCCTAACGAATTCCGTGTCCCCACTGTTCCATGTCCCCACTGCCCTCGTAAATGTCTCTCAGCAGCAGGCCTCCTCCGTCATGTCAATGTACAGCATCGCAGCATTTCGGAGGATATCCCAGATCCAAACCTCCCTCAAAGCCGCCCTCACCCCACTGCCACCTTCATCTCGCATCCACATTTGAACGGTACGTAAAATTTTGACTCACGCAAGCCAGATTTTGACTCCATTGTTCAGCGCGTAAAACTTCTGCAAGTGGAGCCTTTCTTTTCGATGGCGACTCTCCCCCTCCACCCCCCACTGCCCCACCTGCCCATACACCTGAGGCATGGGCCCCCTTCCAGTCACGCGTGGAGTTCGACTTTGTGTTTGACCACTATGTCAAGGTGGAGTCATCAGCTTCCGACATACGGAGTTCCCTCGACTTCTGGGATGCTGTCCTTGCGCCCCACGGAGATGCAGCACCATGGCGAAATGAAAAGGAGCTCTATGAAACAATCGATCAGATTCCCGATGGCGACATCCCTTGGAAGGTTTACAAGCTCAAGTACAATGGCCCCCTCCCTCGTTCCCCTCCGAAGTGGATGACAGAGACTTACGAGCTCTGCACCCGCGACTCCCGTGCTGTCCTCCATCATCAGCTTGCGACGCGTGAGTTCAGGGATAAGATCAACTACTCACCATATCGGCACTTCAACGACGATGGCAAACGTGTCTTCTCAAACCTTATGTCCGGTGAATGGGCCTGGCGTCAGGCGGTACGTATAGCAGCTGCTTTCTTACTTGTTTTGACATTGCTAACTATGACATCCTACTCTAGGATGCTCTTGCTGAAGATCCGCAGAACCACGGGGCGATGTTCGTTCCTGTCGTAGCCGGCAGCGACAAAACAACAGTTTCTGTGGCTACGGGACATCAAGAGTTCCACCCGGTTTATGTATCGCCAGGCAACTTGACGAATACGGCTCGTCGAGGGCACAGCAACTCCGTGTTGCCTGTTGCCTTCCTCCCCATCCCTCGGAGTACGTCTTTCCCTTTTCTTGTCCACATCCTGACTGACACCTGATCCAGCCAAGCGACGCCATCGGAACAAGCCCGAGTTCCGGACCTTTTGCCGCCAACTATATCATGCAGCACTTCGTCGGGTGTTCAAGCCACTTGAAGCTGTGATGGAGACTCCGGAGGTCGTCAAGTGCCCTGACGGGCATTTTCGCTGGGCGGTGTATGGTCTCGGTCCTTATATCGCTGACTACCCTGAACAAGTTTGGCTGTCGGGGATAGTTCAGGGATGGTGCCCTAAGTACGTATCATTTTTATCTCTGGACAGCTTATTGATCATCCCCTAGGTGCAATGCAAAACCACACGCGTTAGACGATCCGGGTGCTCGGCGACGAACACGTGAGAAAACGGATACTTATTGTTCGCGTCTCCCGACGAGCATTCTGTGGGATGACTACGGAATAAGAGACGATTACCGCGTAAGTCTTATACTACTTCGCCCCTTTCGAACCAACACTGATATACCATTGTAGCCATTCATGCACCACTTCCCCCGCGCCGACATCCATGAACTCCTGTCACCCGATCTTCTACATCAAGTCATCAAGGGGACGTTCAAGGATCACGTCGTCGCATGGGTCAACACGTACCTTAAGGCTGTTCATGGTGAGACACAGGGAGGTGCTATCATTGACGAAATTGATCGAAGGTATGTCTGTTGTCTGATTCCCGTTCATTCCAAATCCTTAGTATTTGATATGATTAGTCTTGTGCCTCCATTCCCCGGTCTACGTCGATTCCCTGATGGTCGAGACTTCGAGCAGTGGACCGGTGACGACAGCAAGGCCCTCATGAAGGTGTGTACATTATTAACGGTGTTTTTGTCATTCTTACGACTCATTTGCAGGTCTACTTACCAGCCATTGCCGGATTCGTCCCCACCGATATGGTCCAGTGCCTCTCGGCATTCTTGGACTTCTGTTACATTGCACGGCAGAACAGCCTGTCGGCTGAAGACCTCGACAATCTCGATGACGCGCTTGCACGCTTCCATCGCCTACGCGACGTGTTCATTCGCGCAGGTGTACGGCCCAATGGCATCTCCCTCCCACGACAGCACTCACTGTGCCATTATCGCCACTCCATCGTCCTCTTCGGATCGCCCAATGGGCTGTGCTCCTCCATCACCGAGTCGAAGCACATCGTCGCCGTCAAGAAGCCATGGAGACGCTCGAGCCGCTTCAAGGCATTACATCAAATGCTCCTCATCCTCGTCCGACTCGACAAACTCCACGCAGCAAGGCGTTCATTCGAAGAGCGGGGAATGATGTTTGGCACCACATCAGGTTACCAGCGTCTGCTTCTCAGCGGCAACACACCTCTTCCACCTACCGTTCGGCTCAATGCTTCGGTTGACGCAGAGGAAGAGGATCACGCGCCTTCGACGGGCCCAAAGGTCCTATCGTCTATTGAGCTATCACGTACACGAGGTAAGCCGCCATTCGTCTCATCTATATGCCCCCTGTCCCTCGTCGATTCAGTCTCACTAATATTATTATTAGAACAGGCACGATTGTATCCGCGCGATCCTCACGCGCTCGCTGGTGTCATTGGCCAGCCCCGGCTTCCTGACCTAATCCAACGCTTCCTTTTCGACCAGTCAAATCCCGACCACGACCATACAAGCCACCCTATCGCGATCAAAGACTGCCCCGATGCTCTGGGCCCCATTTATGTCCACCACTCTGCCATCGCTCGCTTTTGGGCACCAAGCGATTTCTGCGGGGCGGGCGGGATGCATCGCGAGTGGATTCGATGCAATCCCGCCTGGCGCAACCAGTACGCGCGCCACGACACCGTCCTCATTGAAGTCGATGGCGAACAGCCCGGAATGCGGGGAATGATGGTGGGCCGAGTTTATCTCTTTTTTTCGTACGAATACGACGGTACGACGTTCCCCTGCGCCCTCATCCATTGGTTTACGACCATTGGAGACCGCCCTGATCCCACTACCGGCATGTGGGTCGTTCGCCCAGAGTATCTGGGGAACCAAGCCCATATGGCTGTTGTTCATCTGGACTCCATATCTCGAGCTGTTCACCTTATACCTACCTACGGTACCGCATCACTACCTGAAGATCTAGAGTTCTACGATTCATTGGATGCATTCCGTACATTCTACGTTAACCGTTGGGTCGATCATCATATGCATTCATTCATGTATGGCGATGGCTAGTATACAGTTTATTTATACTACTAGCTAGTTTATAGTTTCGCATGATCAAAAGCTAATAGGACCACAAGTGTCGATACTTGTGGCTCTTGTCGGACTGGTAGCTTGGTGTCCAAGCTGCAAGTCGCGAAAAGTCCTAAAAGTCGGCCCAGACGGCCACGATCTTACTGATGAGTTGAATTCTCCTTTGTACCTTATTTGGGGATCATGTCAACACCGTGTCTGCCCAGGGAGAACCAGGACATTTGAGCTATGCTCCACTAGGGATACAGTGTCCCAAAGATGCTAGCAAAGATATGAAGAAGTGTGGAGAAGGACCAGATGTGAACCAGAGATAGCGAAGGTAGAGGAGTTGCACATAGAAGCAAGGAGAAGATGCTAAGGACGGCGGAGTACAATAGAGATAACAAGTCAATGTCAAGTCAACTTGGAGTATGATTGGAATAGAGATGACAAGCACGAAAGAATGTCAAAGGCCACAGGAATGTTGGGGCAGGAGTAAATCAATATTCATACTATTGAATACAAGTCAAGTGCTACCACTATTTATATCGTAAGTCCGGATCTTCGGATAAGCTCCAGATATCTACAGGCGTAAGTGTGGAGTATCATGAGTAATCACCAAAGAAGACTGAAGGTCGTAAGAATACAAAACATGACAGGCGTAACTGCGGAATAATGACAGGCATAAAGTAATGACAGGTAAAATGTGGAGTGAGTTGGTCACAAGAGAACATGCTGACTGATAATTCCTGAGTATGTCGGCAGCTAAAGATACCAAAGTAGTACCAAAGGAGCGAACATGGATTGGAGTTTGACCAGAGATGCATGGGCATGACAGATCACTTTCATGCAGCTACCTGTCCATTATGGCCTCTTCAGTGTCCAATGAGCGTGCTTTTTCATGCAGCTGCTGAAATAATCACAAAAAGGTGCAATCACATTGGTGGAGATGTTGTTGAAGCTATTCAGGTATTGAGAACACTCTGCTGCCAGGAATTAATTTTCCATGAGCTAGGGCCATCCTCAGCAACTGAGTTATCCTTTGAGATGACTGAGGGCAATGTTATTGATGAAATGACTGTTGAGAAGCATGATGATGAGCTTGGAGACTTAATTTTAGGTATTTCAGACAATGAGAACCATTGAGACTTGGACGAATAAGTGTCTTTTACTACAGTGATTATTGTGACACAATCAAAATTTAATGTCTTCACTGTTTTTTACTGTCTGATTTATCCTGATAGCTTCATTGAGTTGAAAATGGACCACTCTAATTTTTTATGCACAAAGGAAGCAAAATACATGATTTTATAGTGAAAGCCCTGGCCTAGGCCCAAGCCAAGCCCGAGCCAAGCCCTGGCCCTATGTCAGGGCCTGGCCTAGGATTTTGCAAAGCCCGAGCCCTCAAAAGCCAGGCCAAAGCCAGGGCTTTCAGGCCAAGCCCGGCCCTGCACAACACTAGGTCAGGGCATTGGCTGGCATGGTGCACAAGGCAAGCCGGCTTGGCTGCTCGCCGTCAGTTGCAGGCTAACTTGTCCGCAGATCGGATTGCTTATGCCCGGGCATCTCAACCAAGCGGACCGGTAGGTCATACTTTGATCACTTCAGATCGTTATATAACACCCAACTATTCATAGAGCATTCAGATTTTACTCGGAGCGCAATTATTCTGTGACAGAGAAGAACAAAGAAATCTGGCGGGAAAGAGCTGATCTCTTCAAGCGTACCTTCAGTCGCATTGACATCTCTATCCATTTCGTCGGTGTATGGTAAGGAGTCAATCGTTGGTCGATTTATCAGATAACCCAACGAACTTATGTCTTTTAGGGACACAGTCTCCTCAATTGGATTGGTCCGCAAAACGCCATTACCATTCACAATGTCCTGTGACCACATATGTTATTTCCGCCATGCCCTCGCCTTGGACGAACGTCGTGTTAAGTTCCTTCCAGAGTATGTGCACGGCGGCGGGACTAGCCACAACGATAGCCACCGGCCGGTGGTTGAAGATAACACAGCAGAAGGCAAGTTCGCACACGTGAAAGAAGTTTGGTTTGCGGGGACCCATTCCGACGTGTACGAGAGCTTACCTACACTATCGCAGTCAGTTCCGCTAACAGTTTCTAGGGGCGGGGGTAACACCACAAACCACAACCCAGAGATGTCAGGAATCTCTCTCTTGTGGATGAAGGCGCAAGCCGAACAAGCGGGGCTGAGGATCAATGCTCTAGCGTCGGCCAAAGATAGTCTGCTGAATCAGGTAAACAAAAAACCGACAAAATCTCTTACTCCTCTTTGGCGAGTTCTCGAATGGCTTCCCGTGAAGCGGCTCTCGTACGCTTCTCACATACCTGAAGACACTACCCAATGGTCAGGTTCAGCCCCTGAAATTTCAACAGTGAATTATTACTCATCTTGTCCTGTGTTTCAGGCCCCATCGTGCACAGGCACGCGTGATCGTACCCGGTCAAAAGATCCACGTATCAGTCCTCTTGGGAGAGGACTACACACCTAGCGCTACGTTCCAACAGGAGTGGGAATCCTGGCCAGAGCAGCTTGATTGGAATGACCCAGCGAGTCATATGCGCGTAAAAGACCTGGGCTTTACTTGGGAAAAGGACTTGGTTCACCAGAGGCAGACGCACGATCTCATGATCGACCTCATGAACGATGACTTGTCTAACTCGGAGCGTGCTCTGGACCTAGTCGAACACTTGGCATTCATGGCGAGATTTGGTGGGCGCTTACCATCATAACCTTATTTGATGTTTTGAAACTGACTCGAGGACGCAGGGCAAGAGGAGAACGAGATGAATGCCAGCACGTCGCCCGAACAGGGTCTGGACGATACGAAACTGACCAAGGATTGTGCCGACAAGCTCATTAAGCTCATGGGATACGATGATCCTCACGTGCGCCTGAGCGCTGCCGTCGCGTTCTGCGAGTTGGATGAGGCTTCTCGTTCGCGAAAGTCTCAACCCTTATCGCTTTCTCATCACAGAAAGTGGGGAAAATTTATAAGTATTATGGTGTGAGCGTACTTACGTTCGTCACTATGGGCTACGATAGAGGCCCACCGTGAGAAAGGGAACATTATGAGGGTGGACTCGGGCACTATATTATAGTGCTCGGTCCGACAGAGAATTATAGACACGCACCGTATGAATGCCATGTATTATAGCCAACTATAGATGGTCATCCAAAGAGTCGTATTCAATGTAGACGCCCAGTGATTTTGCACGGTATAATTTCATATATTATAGAGTCTTGTCAAGTTAGTCACCTACATTATAGAGATCTGCTTCTCCAGCTTCTCTGCTTCATGCCTTCTCTTATGCTTCTCTGTCCGTCTTCTCTTCTCCCAAACCTCCCGAACCACTGCAAAGTGGTGTTCTATCAAATTCCGACAAACGAACCAACAGAAGCAGTCAGAGGGCCCGGATTTTCTAACTGTCAGTACTGTTAACATAAAGTGATGTGTGTGAGCTTGTTGTTCCTCAGCCAAAATAAGGTGCCGCGAGCGCTCTTTACATTAAGCGAGCATTAAATCGATACTGTTTTTGGAGCCGTTCTTAGGCTTCAGTAGCAAGTAATAATAACAAAGAAGTAAGTACTTGGTTAATAATTAGACACCGACCGTTATGTGTCCAAAACATATGATATGTTAAAATTTCAGGCGAGTGGCGATCAACGGGTACATTTGCAGCACCAACACAGAAGCAAGCGGCGAGAATGCCAAGTGCTGATCGTCGAATACCTCAAAAAATGTGCAGTGTTACACCGTTTAGGTACACAATAGTGGCGTACCATTTTTAGCGCAGCCGCAGGAGTCAAAACACCGAGGATACTGATCGTCGTTTGCCTAAAGCGTTTCCAAAACACCCTCTTTAGGCTAGTGAGAGTGAAGTTGGTGTGACACAAGGGAAGCATATTCAAATATTCAAGCTTCAAAGCTCGATCGCGTCCGGAAAGAAGCACCCTTTGAATTCCTTTGGCCGAGTCCAGCAAGAGGTCCGTGCGTGCGCCACCGAGGCAAGATGCCTCTTAACATCACAGAGTCTGTGATGCGCCCGAAGAAACCTCTCTTGTTCCCCCCGTTCCACTTCGTCGTACCGAGGACTCTTTGAATGAAGAGTCCATCTGTGTTGTGAGTTATCGGTTTACTGCTGAATCTCCTGCCCATTCATCCTATACCGGCGTTGCTTATACACCCCCTCAGTTATCAGCGTCAAGTTCGTCCACCCCTCCACATGACTCCAAGCCCCAGAAAGCTTGTAGTCCTGCTCTCGCCTCGCGTGATGGCTCAAAGACTCGAGTCTCTGACCTCAACTGCAAAGCAGGCACCGGCAAAGGGGAAGCCGCTGTTGAAGGTTCCCGCAAAGATTCCCGCAGCGTCGACGCCGGCAGAGCCGGGATCTCGGAGCAGAGTATATAGGTGAGTAGCCGTGGTCCTCGTTTTTGGCATTCCATTAATTGTATTCTTTCTATGTGTATCTAAAGTATGCGACGCTCTCCTAATTATCACTTTCTCCTCACATTTCCAATTCTTGTATGCTGACTTGTGTACTCGACCATGTCTACACCGTGTATTTTGATGCTTTGACCTGTACTATACAAGGTACCATCATTTCTAAGAGAATATTGTCATCTTGATCATGCATTGTGTGACTTGAGTATCATTATAGACCTGAGCTTTGCGTGTAATGCCATGTAATTTTGCAGCCCTTCTATCGTGCTCGATCGTATCAGCCTTACTCTACCGTGCACGATAATATCAGCCTCACTCTATAATGCTGTATTGTGACTGGGCTCAAAATGTGAAACTTCGAGGTCTTCCGTAATGAAAGTTGGACCTGTACTTCGGTGATATGCATTATGGTCATTGTACTGTAAGTTAATACATGTTTTCCGTGTACAATATCTCCCTAGTTTTTGTGATGCTTCAGAAGCTGAGAGGGTCATGACCGAGATAGCAGAGCAAGCTCTTGCCAGATTACCGGATGCATCGGATACGACCTTCCGAAAGCGAGCGTGCTCGTCCTTACATCCACTGTGCAGACACCCGAAGCTTAGAGAGATGATTATGCAGGAGGATGTTTTCCAAAAACTCATGGATTGCGCTGCTAGCAACCACAAAGGGGATATATTAGTTCGAGGGGCTTGTGTTCAAGCTCTTAATTTACTGGTAACAGACCGAAACGTTGGTGCGTAGCACAGTGTCTTTCCCGGGGATAACGGCACTTAAAACCGATCAGGCTCTCAAGCGTTATCAATCTTATTGAAAATTCAAGAGCCACTCCCTCGAATGCTTCGGATGCTGGATCACAACCGTAACAGTCAGACCCTCTTTTTTGTGTATTCCTGACAATTATGCACTGACAATACTGGCTCTACTTTAGATCAAGTGACCATCGTTTCAATTCTGCGACTCATCGAGCGTCTTATAGGTACCTATCTACAAGAAAAATCGGTGGCTGACCCAGGTGAGCGTTCCTCTGTCAAAATTTCTTCGCTGCTCATGTTCTTTCGTTCGGTTCATGACAATCAGATGAATCGCGTTCCTCTAATAAATCCAACAGTGTGGAAATTGATTTCGTTGCACATTCAGTTCGTAAAGTGCTCAAGGCAAATATGCGGAGTCACTGTGTCTTGTCCGCTGCCGTGGACCTGATATTGTCGCTGTCGCGTGAGGGTATGGAACTTATGGTATTGTCACCTCCACAGGCATTCATTGACCACCTTCATAGATAACATCATCATGAGCAAAGAAATCATGGAGCAAAATTTCGACTTAATGCAAACCATTTTTCTTAAACAACTATCCGTTGGCCGACATCTGGCCATACAATCAATTCTCACAGACAGTTTGTCCTTCGCTTGCGATATTGTTCGTCATCTCTGAGATGATGATCAGACAGGTGTTCCGACGCTATAATAAACCGCGGGATCACACTTGATCTTGTCAAACTTCTTTGTTCTCCTACTGGCTACATGGCCGCAACCCAAGCCATCAGATGCTTGCTTCTCAGAGGAACTGATAAACCTGATGACATTCATCAGCTGTGCAAAAGTATGTTTCACGGCTACCATCCCTGAAATAGCGCTAATGCGGGGCGTATGTCAGACGCCCAGGATCATATGGAAACACTCTGCGAATGCCTACTCAGTGCTAGAACAGACAACACTACCCAGTGGCAGAAACTCGATGACACTTTGACCGGATTACCGGTGACTGTGTCTCAATACAACGAGCTGTTTGTTAATCTCTGGGTTAAACACCCCTTACATGCGATCTACTTCATGCATCACCTAATTGGGCGGAAAGACTCGAAGAAGCCAGACTTTCTTCATAAAGCGCTAGACGAGTCTGAAGCCCCGGCGCTCATCGCAAGAATGCTTCGAGAAGGCGATTTTGTCTCTATTACAGCTCAGTGGATGCAAGCGGATTGGCCGGACGTGATCAAAAATATATTTGAAGAAAGCGGTAAGGGTTGCCTATCCATAAGTAAAATCCGTTCATGCGCTTATCCATTGATCCAGAACATTTCCGAAACAAGGTGATTCAAAATGGTGGCCAGGGATTACTGTCGTGTTCAGCGGGGAAGTTAACGCACCCTGGTGCAAAGCATCGTCGGAAGCATCGCCTTGAAGGGATAAAGAATATACGCTTGATCTCGGCGAGTTTAGGTTCGATTTTGATGTGAATTTGAATAGCGGATTTATGCTCACATATTTCTCAGGCGATGAAGAAATGCAGAAACTACTAAATAACGATAAAAGCAACTGGATAAAAGATCTAGTGTGCAAAGCAAAGTCAGGCCATCGACATATCATCTCGTCTCTCAGTCACCTTTCCGATATAAGTAAGTCGTGACAGATCCGCCAGCACGGTCAGCTTATCATGGTTGCCTCAACAGAACCTGTCAGAGAAGCGATGCTGCCTGAGATCCGTGACCTTGTAGGCGAGCTTTTGGAAACGAAGGATTTTGAAAACGGTGACATCAACATACATTCATCCCTTCGCCTTCTCACCGCACTGGTGCATGACGGTAAGCCAGGAACAAGTTAGCATTTACTATGTCTCCTTACCGCTACCTTTCAGCCGAATTTGGCAATATGCTTGAGGACCCGGAACACAAGCTATGTCGCGCTCTGCTAGATAGGTGCCTAGTTCATCACGACGGTAGGGCTCGGAGGAGCAAATGGCGCCGAGGATTCAATCTGCTAAATAGGTGGTCGAATCATGATGAAGGTGCGGCGCTTACGGTCATCACTGATTAATGATTACTGGACCATCGCTAACGCTATCTGTGCTGCAAATTATGTGAACAGGATTTGATATACGGAAGGAAACAATGTTATTGTGGGACAGATATCATGAGCATCATGTCAGACAAACACGAAAGCCAGATACTATATCACCGTCACCGCGGCTGAGCCAAATATTTTGCTACACCAACTAGGCATACCAACATATTGGAACTTTTGGATTGCTTTCACCTTATGTATTCGCAATGTTTCTCCCTAATAGTATATTTCTATGCCAGAACATGTATGGGTCAATCAGGATTGTGACTTCGCATGCATTCGGAAATTATTGCTGACAGTGCATGACTCACTAGTTACTCGTATACTGTACTTTTTCGACCTTAGGTTCGGTCCCCTGTCCACCCCCCCTCACGAACCGAACTTACGGGGGGTGGACAGTCCCCCCAAAGTCAGGCCTTCGAACTTAGATGGGGGGACACACTGTAAAATGTTGAAAAATCCCCTTAAAATTTGCCAATAAAACCAAAAATGCTAAAACTCGAAAATCTTCTAAGCAACCACATTATCTTC